TAATACTAATTCACCGTTTATGGCTCATAACAGTGTTCAAAGTTTAGACCGGCGGAGTAGAAAAGAGCTATACAATTATTATTTAAAAATATATTCGCAATTTATTACCCTTCCTAAATACTCTTCCGAAATCGGAAATCGAAATCACATAAAATCCTCCGAGGAAATCGCTCGTTCATGATACAAGAATCACTCTGTATAACATTACACCACTAAACTCGAATTAGGCGTTTTTGTCCCTCGTTCTTTCACGCGTTCGACATTCGTAAACAAAATTATACAATATTGGTGCCGGGGTACCGTTTCACGTAAATACCGAAAACGTCAAATCTATACGCTATTATAGTTGATGTGTTTGGCGCGGCTTTGCTCGTGTCAGTATTGAAAGAAAAAAAAAAATTGTAAACAATAAAAACACGTTTCCCCGTGACTCCCTGTATCTATCCCCGTCCCTATCACTACAGTAAACCACATTGTTGCCCGTAAATTTTCGAAAATTAATTTTCTTTCGTTTTCTATTTTCATCCTTTAGCGGTTACCTTCCGAGCTCCCCCTCCCCCGCTATCAACCGATACAGAAATACTAAGGGTCCAACGAACACAGTCTCGATCGAGCATAAAAAATTCTGTGATATTGCCGTTTGTGAAATTTCTACACAAATTTGTTTCCGTTAATAAAAAAAAGCGAAATGTACGCTGTTTTCCTGTGAAAAATGTAGTGTTACAGCACTTTACATTACTTGTCAAAATAAAGCCATACGCTACCAGTATCGCTACGAAAAAGTCGGTGCGCTACTTCAACTATTGGTTTTTTTTTCTTTAACTTGTTTCAACCCAAGTCGGTGGAAAAAAAATTTACCTTCGGTTCGAGAAAATAAGCCATTCCGTCTATTTCACTGCATTATTCGTTTTATTCGCTTGGTTGTCTTTTTCAGCGTAGTCATTTTTTGCCGGAAACAATGAAACCGGATTTTGTAATCAAAAAATACATCAAGCAGACAAACGTATTATTCAGCCGTAGCATTCCCATTTTGTTTAAAAATAAACAAAGCTCCTAGGTTACTGCTAGGAAATTTTTTATAGAAATCATGAAAGGAAAAAAAAACATTCTTAAATATTTATCGCATTACAAACATCACGATATAGATAGTATGGCATTTCAATATTTTCAGCATGTCCGATCAATAAAAAACTCATGGTTGTAACACTTTGTAATAAAAATTATTAATAAATCGTTGAAAAATGTAATATTTTAAGTAGGTATTTGCAAAATAAGGAAGACACTGCGCGACTGGCCGGACTTATACGTACATAAACAATATTCCCCTAGTTTTAAATAGCGATAAAAGAGCAGATGATAATTTAATTCACGTAACTTTAACGTTATCAATCGAAAACTAATGCAAAACAATAGTCACTAATTGAATTTAACCCCCCCCCCCTCTTATTTTGTATTATAGTAATTTGCAAAACAATAAATACCCGAATACTGCAACACGGCAATACACATATACGAGTATTTGTACACGCCTATGTACTGATATGATTTTACGTCCAAAATGAAATTATAAAATCTAATCATGGGAATGGCACGGACGGAAATCCAAGGCGGAAATTTCCAAAAGGCGTACACCCTCAATGCCATACCGTCGTGCACATACAAAACCGCGTTTTCCTCTAGTTTAAATCGCGGGTCGCGTACAGAGCTGAAAAAACGTCCTCCTGCCGCAACGACGCGGTGTAACACCGCATTGAAATTCAACCGGATTCGTACCATTCCAATCCGCCCTAAAAAAAAAAAAAAAAAAAAAACTCTCGATTTCCGAATTCCGGCATATTCGGTCCCGGAGGGATCGCCGTAGACAATACGCGCGAAAGCGGCGCGTAAAAAAACGGGTACAAATGTACAGCGCGACAGTCGCCGTTTTCGGCGAAAACCCGACGGAAGCCGCGTGACGGTTTTTACACGCCCGTCACCCCGCTCGGCCGCGTTTCGCGACGCGCGTTACGACTGTCCCTAATCGCCCTACACGCTCGACCCGAGCTTCTTCAGAGATCACGGGACCGCCGGTCCGCGGCGCCTTTGTGTATCGCGGTTTTCACGTACGCGTGTCTGTATAATATTTTATTATTATCGCTGTCGTCATCGCGCGGCCGTCGTCGTCGTTATAAATATTACTCCGCGAGTTTTAATTTCGCGAAGAGCCCGGCGAAGGCGACGCGGAACGGCAAGCGAGACAGCAAACGGACCGTGACACCGCGCGATCATCCCCCCCCACCCACCCCCCCGCGGCACTTTAAATCAAATTAGCCGCCTGACGTACGCCAGATGACTCGGTTTGCCGTCGCCGGCGACCGCCGCGGCGCTACTTTGAGCTGTTGTTGTTGTTATTATTATTATTATTGTTATCGTCGTTACCGTACACCCGTACACGGCGACCGCGACGCCTCCGTCGTTACCAGTCGTCGAGGGGTTCGGTACAGCGGAAACCAACGGCGAAAACCGTAGCCCGCGTAAAATATATTCCGCCAAGTCCGTCCGTCCGCACTACGCTCGTGACGTCACAGGCTCGTAACCCCGGCGGTCCTGACGAGACCGGGAGGCGACTCCACACGCGAACGTCCGCCACACGCGGCCGTGCGGCGAAAAACGCGTTGCCGCGGCTCGGTCATTACAACGCGTCAAACAATTAAAATAAAATCCGCAAAGACAATTGAAACGATGTAGGAAATAGCGCACGGCGTAGCGGTTAAAATAAAATAAAAAATAAACTCGTGCACACGTGGTACGCTAAACGTACATAGATACCGACGGTACCATAGATACCATAGATACACGGAATTCACGAATAACCCTTTGTCTCATGAACGATTCCGGGAGCGCGTGAAATATCCGAAAATATTTCGTCCGAACCGCATTTTAGACGAAAATATTCGTTATATTATCACGAAAACAGGGTGTTAGAAAGCAGATCAGGAATACTTAAGGCATTATCATGAATAATATAGGTATTACATGTTTACATTATATCTACCTAATTACCTAGGTACGATCATAAATGGTATAAATGGTATGATCATAAAAGAACTCGGATTCGTCACCACAAGAGCGAGCTTTTATCGACAAACTGAATTCTGTCTATACGTCTTCCATAGACACTATGAAAAAAAATACATACCTATTTATTTTAGTTTTAAGGTTATGTTGTGTGTATACGCAATCTATGTTTTTTTGCTAAGACAACGAATATTTTCCACTAAAACACGTTTCGGCTAAAATATTTTCTATTCGATTATTTTCGTATTTAACAATTTTCGGATAAAATACGTTTATATTGAAATATTTTTCGGATACTATATTTTTATTCAAAAAATATATTTTCAGACATTATATAGTGCCTCCCTGTGTCTTATAAAAAGTTCTTTAATTTTCAATAAAAAATATTGAGGGTCACCTATCGGGATATAAATCATCCAATCTCTTAAGTTGGACCAAACAATATACATTTACACGATTTTGGAAAAATCGGTTTAGCGGTTTCGGAGATTACCGTGATACAAGATAATAAAGATACTAATTTAATAATAATAACGATCCCGTTAACAAATACACGCAACTCCCAGCCATTTTTGCGGTATAGACAACTAAACTATCATATCATCATATCATTTGAAGATAATACATTTCAAGGAGTCCGATGCCAGTTTTTTAAATGTTCTCTGATTTTGAAAATTATTATTTTTAACATTTAAATTACTACCTTAAGATAGGATTTTTCAACTGATCTAAAAAACATTTAGAGGGAACGGTAGAGGCCGTTTTTTACTGACTAAAATCACTACACGGAAATAGTAATAACTCATTATCAATTCGATATTTTCATTTTTTTTTTTTTTTTTATTGATTAACAAAAGCATTATACAAGCTGTGTTGAACTCCGATTCTCTGAATTTATTTTATTCATTAATATAATGATAATAAAAATGACACGTAAATAATAAAAATGAAAAATTGGGGGGGGGTTATTTTTCCCTTTAACCGCGAATCCCTCTCCACTTGTGAATTCAAGAGCAGGTAAGTGCAAACCTAACCTTAGTTACTTTAAAAGTGACTTGATAATTTATATACCCATGAAACGGTCCCCAGTCTCAATAGTTAGGTAAGTAGTCTAGTGGTTAGGTTATGGGCGATAGGTGTTGGGGCCCCAGGTTCGATACCCTCTTGAAAATTCTGTAATTTACTGTTTTGTTTTTCCGTGTTGCTACCCCGCGATTTTATTTCAAATGATGCCCACGCGCCTATGGACGATTCATACCTGCGTAATTAATAATATAATGTGCGCAATTTCGCGTCGACTCGGCCAGTTTTCTCGAGTTAAAAAGTCCCCCTTTCAGGAACGCGCCTAGTGGGAATGACGTTTTATCTGTTTTTGTACTTAGGTTTTTTTTTCTCTCGATAATTTAATTTCTACGCGTACGACGGAAAATAACGCAAATTAAAAACGCTTTTATCTTAAAATATCGGAAAAAAAAATAAAACAAACCGAAACGAGACGTACTAACATACAGATAATACCGTCCTTACCGTTTGACAATAGGTTAATTTACTCCAATATCAAAACGAATAGCGCGAAATCGGTCCGGTCGAACGAAAATTTACGAACAACGGACGAGTGTGGCGCGGGTACGGTGAGTGGGGGCAGGGGACGTCCTCTTAAGAACGGAGAACAAATTTGTTTCGCAGCATAGCGAACAACGGTGAAAATCGGTCCTATGCAAATATGCAATACGTACCCGCACAAATGTGTTACCAATTGAGCTTTTTTTTTTTTTTTTTCTCCGTCTAACGATATTATGCGTATTATCGCGAGCACGAGGTACCTATATACGTGTCTAAATAATTAGTTATTGTTTTTAACGAATCGACACTGAAAATATCACGCGCGGGTCTTCTTTCTTTTTCTTTTTCATTTCATTAGGCAAGACAACAAACCCACTATACAAAACGAGACCGATAGTCGATGAATGTCTACAATAATACGGCGTATACGTGATAGGGTATACGATATGTATCTATGCGTGTTTTACAATATGTCTAGAACAGTTCGTTTACGAATTCCTGTAAACTCCTACAGACTCGGTACCCGCGCCTACCTAGATATTGTAATCTGTATGAATAGGCATATTTGAAAAAAAAAAACCCCAGTAAACCAAATTAAGCCGTACGGTTTAGTGCGTGGTTATTGTACGATCCCGTTGCAATTAACCAATTTTCCGGCTATATACGTAGATGTTATTATGACCGGCTTCTGCACATTATTCCGCGTCGATAATAATTACACAGTATAATATAGTGTCTGTTTTTTTTTTTTTTTTAAATTTTAAAACGAGCGTTCGGAGTGTTTATACGTTTTATTGATACGTTTCGCATATGCTGCGTGGTGTGCGTGTGCGAGTGCGCGTGTGTGTGTGTGTGCAGTGCGCTCATCGGTATAGAACATTGACTCACAAATTTTCAGACGTTTTTAAATAATATGGAGATCCGTGTAAAGCAGACGGAAAACAACGAAGTTCGCGATTGGGAATCTTTTCAGAAACGTAACTTGATATTATAACATAACATTTTCATAAATTGTACGTGATTTACACGGTCATAGCATGCATAATGTTTAAAACGAGCTGATGCTGCTGTTGTAACTTATAGGTGAGAAGTCGGGACGGTAGGATACACAAAGTTGTTTAATTTATATCGGTAAGCAACGATAAACCACTGTTAATGGAAAACGAGCGAAGTTCGGTTACACACAGTGTTTTTAAAAGGCCGTAATATTTACGATTTTCGTTAAAATTTGATCTCGAACAAACAACAATATAAACGAATAACTACTGCATTACGATTTACTTTCTATTTTTTTTTCTCACCACTATAAGTACAACATGCAAAGAACCATTCGTTAAATTTCCAAGCGTTTCTGTTTAGTCAAAAAATGTTATCCGCACACAGTACCTATCAGAGAAAGGTTAAATGTAAAATACCGATAAATAACTGAAAAACTATTATCAAAACGTTACCGCGTCTAGGAAAGGCGAACATACGTTTTCCGTCTTCATTGAGGTTTCATTTTTTAAAACCTCACCAATATGCAGCTAACACGTCACGCAGTAAAAGAGTTTATGTCGTCATAACTAAATGTTATCCTGAATGTCCTAACTTTCGGTCAACAGTGGATTTCTACATTCACATTTTTCGTGTAATCGAATCTGTTAATTATTTCCAGGTGCCCCGACGGTCGGCGTACGCCATCTGCAGAGCCTTCTGTTGTTCATGTGCGTGATGTGCAGCTTCATGCACAGGGTCGATCTGTCTATGACCATAGTGGCTATGAATCCGGAGAACAACTCGTCTGACTACCGTAGGGAGATGGCCGAACACATACCTGTGTTCCGGTGGCCGTTGCCCACCCGGTCGGCGCTGCTCAGCTCGTTCTTTGTTGGCGACTTGCTGACCAACGTGCCCGGGGCCCTGATGGCCCACCGTTTCCAGAAGAAAACGTTGCTCGCCTGGACTACGGCGGCTTCGTCCGTGCTGGCCACGATCAGCCCGCCCGTCGTCATCCAGTTCGGCGTGCCCGCCTTGATGGCCATCCGTTTCGTTCAGGGCACCTGCGCCGGGTTCTTGTTTCCCATCATACACGACGTGATGGTCCAGTGGTCGCCGCCAGACGAACGCTGCCGTCTGGCCGGGTTCACGTTTGTCGGCATACCGTTCGGCACCATGATCACGCTGTACGTCGCCGGCGTTCTGTGCGAAGGTCCGCTCGGCTGGACTACCGTATATTACCTGGCCGGGGGCGTCGGCCTCGTGTGGACAGTCGCGTGGCTATTGTTGGGCGGCGATAAGCTGTCCGAGCACCGGTTCATCGGCCAGCCAGAGAGGGATTACATAGAGGCGTCGCTCCGAGACACCGTCAGTCACGACAATGATACAAAGGTATTACCCATTCCTGTTAGTACTGTCGTTGAGTGGACAGTATTGATGGACAGCCCGAGCGTTTCCAATATTTAGCTACCGCTCGCATGTCGGCAGTCGGTGTAGTAGACGGAGCGTAGCCAAATGTCCCTACATAAATCACGAGTCCGTAGTATATAAGTAAACGGGTTGAAAAATCGTTGTAAAAGTTCGCGTGTTTAGGTCCAGCGGCGAACGGAGACCGGCGGAATGTTCGCTCGGTCGCACCTGTACTAAATTCGGATAAAAAAAAAAAATAACGGAAAAATAAAAACCTTATTGATTTGTACGTGTAGGTGTCGGATATTCCGTGGAAATCGATATTCACGTCTCTGCCGTTCTGGGCTACGTCCGTAGTGCACACCGGCCACAATTTCGGTTTCTGGTTGATGTTGATCGAGATGCCAACGTACATACACGAGGTGCTCGAGTTTGATCTCGAGGACGACGGGATGCTGTCCGCGGCCCCGTATGTGGCCATGACCCTGTTGCATTTTCCCGTCTCGTACGTGGCCGATTCGATGAACAAGCGGCAGATGACCACGATCACCACGTCCAGGAAGGTTTGGAACACGGTGGGCTTGTGGGGTAGCTCTGCCGGTCTAATCGCGCTCGGTTACGCCGAGGACAGGATACTGACCATTGTGCTCTACGTGTTCACCGTGACCATATTGTGCGCGTCCAATTCCGGTTTCAAAATAAACCACTTGGACCTGTCTCCCAACTACGCCGGTCTGCTCATAGGGCTCACCAACACGTTCGCCTCGGGCGCGGGTCTCTTGGCGCCCCTGTATGTTGGATATGTCATCACAGACCAGGTAAACGCATGGTTTGTGTTCCGCAGCGTTTAAAAATAAAACGATTGTTTTTTCAACCGCAGACTTCTGTCGTGCAATGGCGGACGGTATTTATCAGCGGAGCGGTGGTGATGTTCGCGAGCAATTTGTTCTTCGTCGTATACGGTTCGGCCAAAACTCAGGCTTGGAATTCGTTAAACAACGGTGAGTGAACGGTGTCTATAATATCTAAAAACTGTCCGAATACAATACGAACAACGGTTAATTAATCTATGTGCATTACTTGAAAGATGGACCGTCTCTGTTTTAGATTCTGAGCGGAACGAGGAATCTATAGGTTTTACGATTTGGTTTACATTGGTTTTTTTTTTTTTTCTGTTCACAACTTTTCTACCAGAAATTTCGCTCTGATTTTTAAGTGCAGCACTCTTTCTGAAAGGAAACTTGACCGGGAAGGTACATACAATATGTATATGTTTTGAAAGGCCGTAGTTTACAATTTTCATATAAATTAAATTTTAAAACTTTTATGATAAAAAAAAAAAAAAAAAACGACTATATTACACATGCAACTTTTTTTTGATCCCTAAGTACAACTCATAATGTAACTCCTGTTAAATTTTTAAGTATTTCTGTTTAGTCATAACTATTTTAACGTAAAACCAGCTACACTAAAGAAAAACTACGTAAAAAAAAAAAATTAGAAAATGTTAAATGTCTGTATAAATAGCTCAAAAATATTTTTAAATTTTTCCATGTGTAGAAAAACCCAATATGAGTTTGTTGTCAAAATGTCAAGTGTCCATGAATATTTTCAATGTAGTTTACAACAAAAAAATAAAATTGAAAATATTGCAGCTATTACTTCCGTAAATTTTCCTCAATTATTATAAAAATGCACAGAAAAAAAAAATGACTTAGTTAGTCACCAAATAGATTACAAATTCAACAAAAAAGGTCTCTTATCGTTTCTTGAACGGTGCAAGTTTTCTCTTCGATAAATTGTTTATAGACAGAAAAAAAAATCACACATCATGGTAAAACAAATTATAGATCCCTCGTTCCACTCTAAATCTAATATGAATGTTTGTCGTAGACAATTCATGTACATTTTGTTAGTAAATCCTATTTTTTTTTCACGGCTTCACCTTCACGGTTCTTTAAATCTAACCAATATATTCTATAATTTAGAGTACTAGCAGGATAAAATCCCTCGGGGAGCAAAATGGGGAAAACGTTTTATTCCAGAAATATTTTTTTTTTTTTTTTTTATATGGTAAAATGGTATATGTGATAAAAGTACATACAGTTAAAAATCTCAGGGAAAGCCAGGCCCATCGTATGATTTTTTCTGTTCTAAAGCGAACATTTTGATGCCGATCTTCTTTGACGATTATTAATTTTATTTTGCTGCTTCGATTTGATTAAAATTGTATGCCACCCTAAAGCAACGCATGGCTTGCTTGTACCCTAGCGACGAGCCTGGGGGAGGCAACAGCTTCTTTCCCCTATCTTCTATGTTCGCCCTTGTATACAAAATTAGGCCCCCAGATTGAGATGACCAGTGATAGGCAAATATGATTGGCTTAAAATTGTACCCCCGGTAAAATGTATAAGAGGATAAAATCCCCTGTTGCATTTTCAATTAAATGTAAATTGTCTATTACATTTTTCAATATAATCATTATGATTTCGTTTTTTTTTTTTTCAGACAAACCAAATATGGATAAAACTAAACAAGAGATTGAGATATTTTAAAACTGACGTGACAAAATATTTGTTGCGTAATATAATAGCCACTTTTATGAATGTGCATTATATACGTAAGTGCAATCGATACTTTTGAAAATTTAAATCATTTCAACAGTCCAAAAAAATGTGTAATGGAGTTTGAAGTTTAAACTCGTTGTTGGGGGCAGATCGGTATTTTAGATTAAAATTAGAACGATCGCCAATTTTTATTTTACTTATTCATCTATAAATATTATATATTAAAATCGCAATTATCAAAAAATACGTATTATTTATTTATGTAAACTTTCTGCATATTAAACAACGAAATCATATTAAACTTATTACTTAGGTATATAATTTCACATCGATCGGAACGCGTCATTTATCGCGGTCAAACGTACACTGAAATATTATTACTAATATTACAACCGTCATGCCCGGTCGCATATCTCGCGGCAAGAGACGCGTATGCAACAAACCACCCGCCATTTTACGCTCGCGGAAAATGAACAGCATAATATGTATATAAAAAAAAAACAACAACAAATTATACTTCAAGTTTCTGAATATAAATGAGACGAACAAAAAAAAAAAATTTTTTTAAATAAATAAAATATTATAATGTACAATTTAATAAAGACAACACAACCAAAAAAAATTACTGATCGTCAAGAGGTAGTGGACATAGATTGCGCGTTGACCGTAGTACCTCACCTTTCGCTGTTGGAACCTTTACCACTTGGACGGATCCATCAATGCCCGGTACTAACTCAACCACGCGTCTAAGCTTCCACTGCAGATAGGGGGCACAGAGGAATTTCTGATTAAAACCCTTGAATCATATTTAATGGAGGGGCCCACCTGACCTGACCGTTTGGATAGAACATGCGGTTGAACTAGGTATTCGCTGCTCCATCGCGCCCATATTTTCTGTGTCAGTTGTGACACTCGTTGCCAATGACGAAGACGATTGGATGGAACGATAGATACATCCTGTTCTGATAAACAAGTAAGAGAGCCGCCGACGAGGAATTGACTGGAAGTCAAAACATTTAGATCCGATGGGTCAGAGGACAAAGACGTGAGGGTCGAGAATTCAAGCAAGCCTCAATACAGTTAAGAATAGTATACAGTTTTTCGAAGGTTAACAGCGCGTCGTCTTAACTCTTAAGTAAATGCAATTTTACCGATTTTACCGCACTTTCCCATAAGCCCCCAAAACGTGAACTATAAATTGGAATAAATCGCTATTTTATGCCTAACTCGGTAAGACAACCTTTTACAATGGATTGATGGTCTTGCGAAGCAAATAAATCGCATACCTAGTTCTTTTAATTTGCGATAAGCATAGACAAAGTTCTTTCCATTGTCCGACCACAACTCTTGACAATAGCGTCACTTGGCCCAGAATCGCCTTAACGCGACCAAAAATGCCTCCGTACTCAATTCGCTTATCAGCTCTATATGCACCGCTTTGGTAGCAGAACAGACAAATACACACATATATTTATATATATATGACTTGATTATCGGAAAGTTACGTTGGATACTACTTCATGTTTTAATAGGCCCCGCGAAATGTATCCCAGTAACCGCGAAAACTTTACCGGGTTCCACTGGCGCCTTTGGTAAAGTCTCCAATAATCGGTTAGTAGGTATACGGCCTGGTTTTGAAACAAACAATATATTTGTTTACAGTTAGACGGGTAATATTTTGTCCATTTATCGGCCAATATTGCTCTCTGACAGAAGCTAATAGGACTTGCGGACCGACGTGTAACGGACGATAATGTTCGTAGATAAAAATTAACTCAGTTAATTCGGCTCAAGCGGGTAATAATATTGGATTACACTTATCGATACTGGTCGTTTTCATATTATTCAGCCGCCCTCCAACGCGCAGTAAACCGGTACATCTAAATACGGACGTAACAATATAAGCTTGATATTATTCTTAATTCTTAGAAGCTCAATATTTTTCTTTGTTGACATTTTATTTCGTCGCTATAGTATTGATTTTGAACTAATTTAATTAAACAAATTTGCATGCTGTTCATTTCTTCGGGTTCAATAAATGGCGACCATTTAGTCTCGTTTCTTTTTTTAATTTTTTCATCGCTTACAGAGAGCCGTAACTCGCAATAATTTAGAGAAACAGGAAAACCTATTAATCCATCCACACTCAACCTCAGTGTTCATCACAATTATCTGTTCCTTTTTTTTTTTTAACTCGGATAGGTCTTCAGATAGTGAAGGCACCTTTTCTCTGGTGCTAGGCCACTCCATCGAGTCCGCTTGCAACCATTGCGGTCGTTTCTACCATAAGGAATTTTGCCGCAGTTGAGTTTTGATACTTAGATCCGGCAAGATTTTGGTCGCTAATTGTATAAGTAACACAGTCGCACATAACTCCAATTTGGCTGACGATATAAATTTTAACGGGGCAACGCGAGACTTGGTCGCGATTAGACGTGATACATACTTACTGATACCATTTGTAGCACATAAGTAAATGGCCTTTGTTGAAGTCAGTGAACTCGTGAATTTAAACTTATTTCATATCATCACCGCCGACAATACAACGTGGTATCTTTAACGCCTCTTAATATCTGAAAGGTGACGGTAATACTTGGCCCATTCCGCGGGCAATGTAGTTCATCGACCCAATTAATTTTTGTTTGCCATAGTCGCTGCATAAAAAGCTTGGCCTGAATTACTACCGGACCTATTAATGCCAACGGATTAAATATGGCCGCGATAGCCGATAACACCACGCGTTTACTTATTGAATTATTGTTGATCGATAGCTCGTTAACTTTTAATTGATACGTGTTGTCGTCCGGCCTCCAAAACATACCCAGTGTTCGGTTATGTACTTCCATTGTAGTACCATGTGTAATAAATATATATTATATTTCAATATTACTGTGTTTCAATATTTACTGCTTTTTCCTGATCTACTGTCAAAGTGTTTACTAGGTGATAAGTTATTACAATTGGCGACGAAGAAAATCAAGTTTTGGAGATTTTCAAAGCGGCCAAGTCAATCGAATTGGCGAACAAAATGGATGAAAATAACTCGTTTGGTGTTAATGGTGAACTACTGAATGAAGTTATTCGAGTTATTGGCAATATTGGTAAATTATCTGAGTACAAAATTCATGGAGAATGTTCTCTTTATGAGGAACACACGGAGCAATATTTCAAGGCGAATAGCGGTTTTGTTAACGGCAATTGAAGAGGATGTTTACAAAACCTTAAGAGATATATGTGATCTTAAGACATATACTAGTTACACTTATGAAGAATTGGTCACAATTATCCGTAACCAATTTGCACCGTGCACATCAGTCTTCAGAAAACAGTCAATTTTATAAATTGAAGCAAGCTTTCAATGAACAATCAATGAGTGGTTCGTCAGAATTAAAACGCAGCCATTCCATGTAAATTTAATAACATGTTAGATGAAATTCTAAAAGATAAATTCGTTTCGGGATTCCTGCATGGTACAATTCTGGATCGAGTCTGTGAGGAAGATTATTCAAAGTCGTTAAATGACACATTAAACGTGGCGTTGATGAAAGAAACGTGTGTCGAACTAGAGTCTGATATTGTGGCAGTTAACAAGCTCAAGGCGAACTCAAGAAATTACAGATTGGATAAGCCAAGGTGGTCAAACCACTTAAATAAAAAGGAAGCAGCAGTTGGCGTTTCAATTACAGGAGCGGTTTTCAATAACGGACAGTCAAAAGGATGTTTTGCTTGTGGTAAACTCAATCATGATTTTAATAAATGTAAGTATAGATCTTATAAGTGTAAAATATGCCAAACATTTGGTCATTTAGCAATGTGTATCCAACAAAATAACATAATAGCGATAGTGATGGTAAAAGAAATAACAAAAGTGTTAAGACAAATGCATATGTTGAGACTGAGAGTAAAGATAATGATGTAGTTAATATAGTTAAAGTGGGAAATTTAAACAGTGTGGATCCTATAATTTTGTGTGCAGAAGTTAGTGAATTTCAGTTGGTTTCGAATTAGATTATGGTGCGGGGATTATGTTACTTTCTGATCGTGTTTATAAAAGTAATAATTTTATGTGCAATATTTTTCCTACTAAGTTTAAATTAAAAATGCTTAATGGTGTTGTAATTGAATCATTAGATGAAATTCATGTTTCTATTAAGTATACAAATATATGCCATACTAACTGTAGATTAATTGTAGTTAAGAGTCTCTGTAAACCTTTGTTTGGTAGGGATCTAATGGAGATTTTTCAAATCTAGTTAACCAGCATTAATCAGTTTATTCTAAGTAAATTAGTGAATGAGACAGTAGAGGATAAGTTAAAAATGTTAGTCGATAAGTATAGTGAGTTGTTTTTGAATAAAATAGGTACTTATAAGTATGAGGAAATAATATTGAACTTAGCCAAGGATGTAAAGCCTATTTTTCACAAACCTAAAGTGGTTTCCTATTCATTAAAGGTTAAGGTTGATGAGGAACTAGATAGACTAATTAATGAAGGTGTCTTAGCCGAGACTGATAGTATTTCTTGAGGTTAGTACCCATTGTTAAAAGTCATGGTTTAGTGAGACTGTGTGTAGATTATAAAGTAACAGTTAATCGATACCTGGAGAATTTCCAGCACCTTTTACCTTACATTGAAGAGTTGTTTAATGTATTACAGGGTAGTAAAAATTGTATAAGATTGGATTTTTCAAATGCTTACAACCAATTGAGTCTTACTAAGGAAATAAGAAATTTTTTAACACGGAGCACTAGTAAGGGGATATTTTTATCTACAAAGTTACATTTTGGTACTAAACCAGTCAGTGATATATTTCAGCACATTGTAGAAAAAGTACTATAGGATTTAAAAGGTGTACAACTTGTACAATATTATAGGACTTTACCCTTGAAATTATGTTGTGACACATTTCAAGTTGGAATTGGATTAGTTTTATTACAGGTCACAAAAGATCGAGAGGAAAAACCAATTAAATTCTTTTCAAGAGTGCTGTCTAGTGCAGAGCAAAAGTATTCTGTTATTCACCGAGAAACGTTAGCCATATTTGGGGCGTTTCTAAATTTTCGCAGTTTTTTTGGGTCATAAGTTTACAATAGTGTCTGATCACAAACCTTTGTTGGTTATTTTTGGTACGAAGAATGGTATTCCGGTGATGAGTTTTAGAAGATTGCAGAGGTGCGCCATATTCTTGTCAGAATTTGACTATGATCTTGAATACATTGATGGTAAGAGAAATTTAGGTGCTGATGGATTGTCCAGATTTCCTGTACTTGATAAATATGGCAGTGACACTGATGAAGAGGAATGTGAGTATATTAAATTTATCGAGATTAATAAGGTACATTGATTTCAAAGTTACTAGTTGAAGGTTACTAGAAAAGATTGCATTTTGGGGAATGTTTATTTGTTCATTGAAGCAGGTTGGCAGGAGAAAATAAGTGATGAGTTGAAGCCTTATTTTGTGCATAGAAACGAACTAAGTTGTAAACAAAATATAATTATGTGGGGATATAGGATAGTGATGCCATCTAGGTTAAGAGCAGCAATTTTAAATGAGTTGCATAGTTTTCATATGGGAATTTCAAAAACTAAATCTTTGGCGAGAGGATACTTTTGGTTTCAAATTTAGATGAGGAGATTGAATCTAATTAAGAATTGTAATGCATGCATGACATTTAGATCAAACCCTCCTAAAGCAAAAGTAATTTACTGGCCAATCACGAATAAACCTTATCAAAGGATTTATATTGATTTCCTGGGATCAAATAAATTATTTAATAGTAACTGATGCCTACTCAAAATGGTAGAAGGTGTTTCAAACTCCTAAAATGGATTCTAAGGTGATATTTTATTATCTTAGACAGGTATTTGCAAGGTTTGGATTACCAGATTTAATTGTTAGTGATAACGGTCTTTAGCTAACTTCAGCTGAGCTTGAACAATTTTTTACTCATAATGGTATTAAGCATGCTCTTTTTTTTCCATATCACCCAGCAACGAATTTTGTTGCAAAGAATACTGTCAGATCTTTCAAAAGTTCAATGTTTAGAATGCTGAAAGATCAAAAGAATAATAATTTGTCAATAAGTACGTTAGTATTTCATTATTTACTTTCCTATCATACCACAACTTATTAGGTTACAAATGAAACTCCATCTAAACTTATGTTGGGACGAAATATTAAAAATAGGTTAGGTTTTGTTAGACTTTTTCAGTCAGCAGTTAAATCTGAAGCTGGAAAAAGGGAAGAAAGTTTCAAAGAGGAACAAGTAGTATGTGTTAAAGATTATAGAACCAGTAAAAAAATACTTTGGATAAAAGGGAATGTAATACAAGTTTTAGGAGAGAGAACGTATTTGATTAAATGCGATGGCAATACTGAGCGGAAAAGACATTTAGATCAAATAGTTTCAGGAGTTAAACTAAATGATATAGTTGTTCCTAATGAAATTGTAGCAGAAAATACTGTTAAAAAAAATAATGATAAAGTGGATTTTAATAAAGAAAGTTTGAGTGTTGGAGTGAGTTGTAGACCCGAAAAAATTGTTAAAAAAACTGATTTTTGACAGAGAAACTGATTTTTAATTTAATGTATTAGTTGATGTTTAAATTCAAAATTTCGATTCTATTTTAGAATTAAGATATTTTATCTTATTTTTATTTTGTTGTAATTTGTTTATAATATTGTATTATCAATTTATTTTGTAATTTGTGCTAATATCATCTAGGAGAGAGTATATGTATTATTTTAAAATGTCTTTATAATATTATAAGCATTTATGATAAGTAGTGTTACTGGAGTGCTCGAACCGTGTGGTTCCATTGTAGTACCATGTGCAATAAACATATATTATATTTCAACATTGACTGCTTTTTCCTGATCTATTGTCAAAGTGTTTACAATGTGACAAGTTATTGCACCTAGGGTTTTGATTGCGCTGCCGAACAAGTTCAACACGCTGAGCTGGTCGTTATCAACATTCGGTATTCTATCTAACAATCGTTTATCGTTGGACACCCATTTACGCAAACAAAAGCCTGCTGTACTCATTATTGCTATTATCTCGTCACGCAGTGTGATCACCGATTTTGTAGTTTGAGCGCCGCCGAGATAACCGTCCACATAAAAATCATTGCTAATTTCATCGCGCTAGGTAAACATTAAATTTGATCAAATGCCAATTTTTTTGTACACGCAGTGGCGATGTATGACGCGGAAGTGGTGCCATAAGTAATCGTAGTAAGTCATGGCATGAGCCGTTTGAATAACAAATGTTTGAATCTCAGCAGTCGACTGAGCAACCTCTTCCCAAATCTCCTTGATCTTATCCTTTCTTACCCTGACGTTAATTAAGTTTCCGCCTTCGAGGAATTCTTAAGTATAAGTTAAAAAACGATTTATACGGCCTTTTAGGGTGGCGTAGCGAGAGGCGAGATTAGGCGCGTCGGCCGTCTTAATGATGAATTAAACTATATGAAGCGCATGAAACAAAAAGCATGCACAAAAAAAAAAAAATTGAAATAATTTGACAACTTTGTTTATTATTCGTTGCTGTTAACCAAACCTGTTGTGTGCTATCTAGCTACTGGGAAATTTGTATTTGTTTATAATATTGGAATGTGGATAAAAGAGAATTAATTCTGGTTCTTTTACCTGACTTATCCTGATTTTATCCTTGTTTGGAGGCTGCTCGGGGTGCAATTCGACAAGACACATCCGTAATTATCCGTGTTCATTTGGTTCAAAGGATTGTGTTCAATTGTTGGGAGCAGATCGATATTTTAGATAGAAATTAGAACGCTCGCCAGTTTTGATTTTACTTTTTGTTTATCTCAAAATATTATACATTAAAATTGCAATTAAAAAAAAATACGTATTCTTTATTTATGTAAGCTTTCAGTATATTAAACAACTAAATCATATTAAACTTATTACTTTGATATACATTATATATTTTTACATCGATCGGAGTGCGTCGTTTACCGCGATCAAATGTAATCTGAAATATTATTACCATTATAGGACAAAAACCGGCCGGTGATCGCCGTGCCCGGTCGCTTATCTCGCGGTAGAGACGCGTATACAACACTCGTAAATAATAATCCTTAATAATATTAAACATACTATTTGTTATGAAAAATATATTGACTCAAAGAACTCAGGAACCAGACGTACAACATATTTGCTGTCTGCTATACAATATTGTACTTAGGTGGGTAGTTTTCAGGAGTTTCGTCAATATTTATTTGTATGTACTCAAATACAATTAATGAATATTTTGAGTATTTTTTTTTTCTAATAGACGTTAATTTGTATTTCTATACTAAGACAATAATTATTAGTATATGCACTTTATGTCAAAAATCCAGTGAGGCCATCAACTATAATTTTAATCAAACTATGTGGTGCTACTTTTCATTACATAAGGTTACCCCCAGGTAACTTGTTTTGGCTTATTATTTCATGTTTTCTTTTTTTCTCTCTAATATATTATCAGGAATTACATCAAAAAGTTTTAACAAAATAAGTAAAGTAGTTCCCGAGATATTTGCTTACATATATACAAACTATGGGATCGGAAATTGAAAGTTCAAACCTTCTAAGGGCACATCTTCGATGGTAATTCTATTTACATATACATATTTTATCCAAGTTACTTACTTTCATGATTCGGTATTTAAAATAAGCTATTTCTTGTGAAAACGTGAAATTTAAGCATAATAATGGTTGGAGAGGACGTTAAAAACTGAAACTACAAAAAAGCATATCATTGACACATACACTGTACATATACAAAGTTTTATCCTCCTGGCTTCATTTGGTGGTTCTGTAAGAGTGTACAGAACTAAAAACACAAACTACTTTCTTAACGGTGAAGTTTATATTTAAATACAACCAAAATTTAATCACAGTTTTTTTATAGGAGGAATAGTTACTATGAAAAAACTCCCGAGTTTGAGCTCATTTGGTCCAAAGAGAGTCACCAAAAGTAAAGTATCTAAATATAATGGGAAGAAGATATAACATGCACAATACAGTGCAATGGTCACCATTTTCGGGGAAAATTACAGAGTACCTACCAAATAAAAATTATTTAAAAAACTCAACAAATGAAAATGTCTATAAATAGCTCAAACATTTTACCATGTCTAAAAAAGGCAACCAAACATTTTCTGTCAAAAAATGTCATGGCTTTATGAATATTTTTAACGTAATTGCTCGCAACACTTCGAATCTAAAAAAGAAAAAAACATACATCATAATAGTACCAATAGATCCCTAGTTATGTGTGATAAATAGTGTGATATTGCTGAAGTGGGAAGTTGAGAAAGTAGGATACAATAAATTCAACTTCTAAGAATTTTATTTTTCGATTTACGAGTTGTATTTTTTTTAAATTAAAGTTTCAGCCCTTTGTAATATAGAACTTCGCTCAAAATCGTATTTCATGAGCAAATTAAATAACTTTATGTATTCTACCTTCCCAACTTTCCACTAACTACAATGGCACACCGTTCCCAATATTTTTTTTTCAATGATAAACCATTACTAATGGAATATGACTCTGAGCGAAGCTTGATAATACACAAGGTTGCTAATTATAATTTTTAAAAAAACTAACGTGTAGATAGAAAAACCAAGTTCTTGGAAGTTGAATTTATTGAAGTCGTTTTTGAGGTCGAATGTTACGAAAACGACTATCTATTTCGTAAATATCCCGTTTTCAGAAAACGAGGTTAGGTTGGGTTAGTGATTTTCAATTGATCGTAGTTTTAAACTGATGCAAAACGATTGCGTAATTTTCTATTTTAGAAAGCAAATATAGTGTTATTATAAATTATTAGAGTTTAAGAAACTTACAAATAGTATAGTATTTACCTATATTATACAATTGTTATGGTCAGCAATGAGATTGTTCCCCCATCAATTAATTTGTGTATGTATTTGTTATATATATTTAGTATTATATTTATACAAAAATCTCAAAATGTTTAGTATTATTTCTGCTAGAAAAGTGTGCTTATTAGATTTTATGGCTGAAATCAGTCATAAAATTAAAAATTTAAATACCTCATTGTAAGATCAGTGGGGTAGAATATAAGCTTGTGTATGTACCTTTTGTATAATCATTTTAGTATCCCCTCCCCTCATTAAACAAAATCAAATACGCCACTGATTGGTTACGGATAACACCAATGTAAAGCGGATAAGGGTCTGTAACTAATAATGTTTTATTTGTAGTAAGTATAAATTAATAAATACGAGTGGCCGTATTTTCCAGCGTTATACATTTTTTTTAGGAAGTCGATTCTCAAAGGAATAATATATTCTTCGTAGATCTCTACAAAAAAATTTGGCCACCCCTGATATACAACATAAATACGTTTTCACCATAGATACCAACCCAGTACAGCACACAGTTTTTTTTCATTTTATCCGTGTTACTAAGGTATATTGCTATACAATTTACAAATTTAATTTAAGTAATACCCAATTATTTACTTACTTATCGGATGAACGTATGCCTAAAGCAAATTATAGTAACATTTGTATCTTAAATAAATTAAACTATATCTTTAATAATATTTGTTCAATGTTGTACCGATTTCCCGGTTTTCCTACATTTTTCCTGGTTTTCCTATGTTTTTTCCCAGTTTTTTATATTTGCTAGGAGAAGTCCTGAAAATCGAAAAATGACCTTTTTAATGTACCTTTCCAATGGGATTTCCATTTAGAAATATTGCTATCATTATAAATTGGAGCGGAATTTCTGATAAAAAAGTTATCTACAGAAAAAAAAAAGCTCTAATAATTTAGACTAATACCTAAATTTCGTACATTTTCCCGTTTTTCCTCCGTTATTTTTCGCTTTTTTGCATTTGATGAGAAAACTCTTGAGAAAATCGGAAAATGATCTCCTTAAAGTACCTCCCTACATCAATTTACTTTCAGAAATGGTACTACACGTAAAGTCCTCTGATAGAAAAGTTGTCCACAGAAAAAAAAATAAACATCTTTGTAAAACCATAGCTTCTTCTCCACTTAGAATCTAAAATGTATAATATATAAAGTGTATAATATTTCAGGCGCTACGTATTTATTCATTTTTTATTTCTATATTTATAAATAATACTTGGGAAAATAAATTACTATGTTATACTACAAAAAATTATTATTTATTGACATTGGCATCACTTTTTTATGCTAAACAGTTATAAGAACTTAATTTGTTTTAATTTCTTATTTATTTTTTTTTTTTTTTTTTTACGCTTAATCATGTTTTTTAATAATTCACTTTCGAGTATACGTATTGCAGTATTATTATGTTTATACAACTAACTAAATATGTGAATAATTTTTTTATTTTTACAGGCGAATATTTATGTTTATATTTTAATCAATAGATAGTTTTGAATCCAACGGGTACGTGTGGGTTGAGGAATTTACGAAATCCCATCCTGCCAAAATCCTCCTTGAGCAAAATCCGGCCGAGATTTTATCCAGAATCAGGGTTGAGTATGATAGCATGTAGGATTATAGGTATCTATTCAATAATATTTTCTATTTTATAAACGTTTATTATCTTTTAATATAATTATTGATATTGTATTATTAACAAGTTCGTTATTAAAATTATTTAACTTTTTCTTTTTACATTTTTTATCTGTGCAAAAATTATGTATAACATGTATTATAAAATCAATGTCTATAATTATATTATATTTATGCAATATGTTATTTATGGCTAATGTCAAATTATTATTGTTCAGTAGAACGAATTTTGTTGCAGTTAGTTTTAATTTAGACTGAATTAGCCTATAATTAAATTTAAAGGAAAGATCACTGTTTGTTTTTGTACATTGTTATTAATTTTTTTTTCATTCATTTAATTTTTAGGCAAAGGTTTTTAAAATATAATATGTTATATTATGCTCGAGTACCACTTAAAATGTACTATTGATAAAACAATGATGTACAAACACAGATAATATTATTTAAGTGAAGTCAATTCACTCGAATATTGAAATTTAAAGCACAAAATTGGATATACCAAACGAAAAATTGACATTATCCAATTTCTTATAAAAGCCTTAACAATATATAATATATCTTTAGACAAACGAGTGTTATAGATGCGCTATGCCGGATCCGCAGACTGGATCCAATCGTTCATTGCTGATTTCTGTATGGTGTCCAAAATTTTAAAATCCAAAAGTTTGAAAGCGTGCTTAACGTCTTTGATATAATTTATGGCATTTTGTAAGCTGTTCGTTTGATTTTTAAAAAAACGTTCAAAATCATTTATATTTTCTTCTACGTTCAATGGCTTGACCTCGTTGGTGGCGACCACGTTCAAGAGCCCTGACTGCTGATTTAACTGTCGTCCTACCGTAATGATGATATTAGACGCTTCTGACATGGGATTTATTATGAAATTATTTAAAGCCGGTATTAGGTTTTTAAGAAACAAGTCGTTTCCCAAATACTTAATCGCGGCAACTACCGATTCTTTGATTTTTTTACATTGCGTTTGTAACCATAGTTTAAATTCACCAGAATTGTTCACTATGTTTACATTTTCGTACATGTTATCACAGTAAATCGTGTTCACATACACGTACCGCAACACGACCGTTCTGAACACCTCTTTTATACTCGTACTAGCACCATTGTTGGCATTCCAGATGGACATGTAGCTGTCGAGGAGAGGAGAGGTTTGGTCATCCGACGTTTGAAATATTTCTTGGAACCGCTCTTTTAGGTCTTTCCAATTGATGCCGAGCGTTTTTTTATCCTCGGATGCGGTGAGAATTGCAAAGGTCTTGCTTTCAAGTATTACACTTCTAAAGCTCCACAGAGTGTTGTAAGTGACTCTTTTGATGGTCCGACCTTTCTGTGGTTTGACGACGTGGTTGTAATAATCTTTGAGTGACTTATTTATAATGGTGAACTTTTTCACTAAGCCCTTTTTTACATTGATCACTTTCATGGCATTAGAAAATTGTATGCCCAGCTTGGTAGAACACCCGTTAATGAAATTCTGCGTTATAGAACGTGCATATTGTGTCAAATTCCACAAATATTTCTGTTTCAATTGCATAGGGCCAGGGGTATTATCTTCTGATATTTCCTCCTCATTTATTTCTGAATCTTTTAAGTCCATGTCCTGGTATATGCTGCTGTTCAGGTTCTTTTCGTTTGTGTTCTGTTGTGAGCTCTTGGGGCTTAATGATGTTTGCATTTGTTTTTCTTCCCAGTTCTTCAAATATTCGTCCAGGTCTTTAGTTACGTGTAGTTTTTCTTTTATGACTTTACTATACAATAACATTAATACGACCCATTGTGGTGGCACGTAATTAAGGTGTATCAGAATAGCTAATAGTTTGCTAATGGTTCTTGTGACTATCTCGGAAATTTTGATCAGCTCTTTCGCGTTATCGATAAATTCGGAGTTTTCCTTACTATTTTCCACCTCTCGTATCGTAGTAATCACGCGTGATATATATATCGTTGCATAGTACGCGTGTGAACATTGGAGGTACATAGAAAACACGTGACATTGCTTTAATCTGATCGCGTACATTACTCGCAATTTGTCCAATGACGGGTAGGTATCCGGTATTTTCCATTCGGCTTGTATTTTTCCCACTTCTACCCTGTAAGAAACTGAAGAAAGGACGAGAAGCTCATCTAGTCCCGGAAGATCATATTCGGGAGTATAATAGCTAAGATGGTCTATGTTATCCGTGTAGTTACAGCCCAACACCACTGTACAAAACAAAAAGCCGATAATGGTTTTAAAAAAATACATTATTCTTACACAAGAAACAAATAATGAAAATAAAACGTGCGTTTTTCTGCTTTAAAACCTTTTCGTTTATTTGCTAATCATAAGAGTCATCTCTAATATTAAACGATATGTTTCACGCAGATGTATTTGGTCTAATATGACATACTTACTACACATCGCAGTGCACCGGCCCAATTCGATATAAGAATTTATAGTTACGACGGTAGGTAAATATCATAGGTTACATATTATAATACCATTATTATTATGCATGGCAAATAATAATAACATAACGCAAATGACGTATTATAGTGGTTTATTTTTTATTTTATCTACCAATATTTCAATTTTTTAATTTTTTTTTTTTTGAAGCTGTTGAGAATTTAGAAAACATTATTAATACATTATTTGATTAATATTTTCAAAACTTTCAAATATTTTTATATTATTTCTGGGATTCCTAACTATACGCCACATTATCTGGTAATAAAACTTCAAACTTTAACGTTCGATTATCCGCCGTAATCGCATAATTTATTTTTTCGAACATAAACTAATCCAACTTTTAGTCATTCCGACTTTTCATTTGTAACACAAAAATTACTACTTAAAATTATACTTTTGCCTAAAATAATGTAATTATTAAAATATTACATAATATATTATTGTTATGAGATAGTTTTTAAGTCAATACTGACGTACCGTTAAACGGTGTAAATAGATAAGTGAAATAACCATTCAAAATCGAAACAGAATATTCCGTTTCTTTAGCTTCTCATATCTCAATATATTATACTCTACTATCGAAACTTGTACTCAAATACTACCGAAAGAATAATCGATATGAATATTTGTGCACAATTCCTATTTCTTACTATACCTACATGAAATGGTGCAAATCACACATAATATTGTATATATTTATGGTCGATTTTGGTGCAAATTGACTACACCCGTCGTGATGACATAAGCAGGCGTACTGTTCGGGCAAAGAACAATCGCACCATAATTATGACGACCGGATATAATATGCGCGCGACATTTCGTTCGGAATACATTATTATTTTATTATGATAATATCGAAGTTCCTATGTGCACCACGGCGGAAACGCTTTACGCGATTGCGGAGGTGAAATTGTAGAGAGGAAAAAACAAAAAAAAAAAAAACCGTCTCAAAATCCAATGGAAACGAAATAATATTATACATATCTAATGCACGACAGACAATTATTATAAACGCCGAGTGCCGTGTCCACCGCACAAATTGCGAGCCCACTCGTTCGGGGTGGGGGGGAGGTTTTTCGTTCCGTGTACTATTGCACGGACCGTGACCGTTCGTTTTTTCGGCGATTTCGGATTTACCGCGACCCGTTCGACGGTTTCGCCGTGCGAAATGTCGTAAAAAGTCTTCCGACCGGCGGTGTGTCCGTGTCCGTATGCTCGCGTACCGTCTCCGTTTCTCATATTATTATATAACATAACGTCATCTAGACACTTAGTACTTTGAACTTTGTATAGTTTTTTTTTTTTTTTTCTTCGGAAGTTTACACGTGTTCTAATAATCCGTCGTACGGACCTATAGACCGTCCGCGTGTAGAACCTACCGGTTCGACGGACGATTTAATGCGATCGACTGATTAATTTAATTTTTAAAGTCGATGTCGTGACAATCGTTTCGACTTCGTAATATATTATTAATATTTATCGCATCTCTCTTGTCCAGGATCGTCGTGCAAGTTGCCAAGCGGTTTGCCACGCGATGGAGTGTTCGACAGCCGTAAAACCGAGGTACCTATCAAATAAATAAATTAATGCAAAGTTGCGGGCAATGGTAATAATATGTTAACTCGATTAAGTTAAGTTAGTTATCGAAGACAGAGTTACGAGTTAACACGTTAAAATTTAATTTTTACATCAAATAACTAATTTAACTTCAAATTTAAAATTCAATTAATTTTTCATGTTAGTTATAATTGATTTAATTTTTAGATTCTAAATGGAGCGAGGAATATATTGATTTTACGATGATGTTTTTTTTAACTGTGAATAACTGTTCTACGAGAAATCTCGCTCCAATTTACAAAGAAAGCACATTTTGAAAGGGAATCTGACTGAAGTGATACTTTAGGGAGGTCATATATTGGTTTTTTTAACAGTTTTCATAATAAATGTGAAAAACCGATGAAAACATGGGAAAACCGGTCTCAAGTAGACTTCACGACAAATTCGAATTTGCTCTCAGAATTCTTATCACATTACTAGATCGATCAGAACGTTGGAAAAAAAAACACTTTCAAGTCCCTATATCTCACGTGTGTAAGACAAAGACAGAAACTCGTCGATTTCCATCCCTTTAACCTAAATATATTATCCAATTTTATGTTAACTTGGTGTAATTTAAAAAATTAAATAATGCCATGAACTGCTCGTTCAACACACAGTAACAATCGGAACTATCGGTAGTTAAATAATGTTTTTTGAATATTCAGTTGATCGTCTTTTCTATATTTAAATAAGAAGCCTCTAGGAACTGTTTGGCCACAAATAATAAAATGGTTTTTAATAAATTTTGACACTTGGTCACTTTTTTAGACGCTATATCTTTTCATAATTTAAACCGGCAGACATAAAAATACGTTTTTATTTTTATTTGATATTTAGTGTAATGATATCTATGTATATGTGTAAAAATCGACTCCCGTTAGTATATCAAGGGTGAAGATAAGTTTTTTTCTCGGTATTGTAATTTTGAAATTTTGAAATTTACAAGATATGAGTATGCGAAATACAACAATTAGAAAATAGTCATATCTCGTTTAGAAACTAAGATATTAAATGAATTGCGCCAACGTTGTTCAGATAATATTCTTATATTTAAATTTTTATAGTTACCTGTTATCTTCACTATATTAACAGTAATAACAGTAATAAAACTAACAGTAAAAAGTCATTTCTGCTAACGTAAATTTGCTATAGCATACGTTTGTAGAACGAAGGCAACACAATACACATGCGAGTGTCCACGTTCTTTTAACATTACCATTGACAAGAATTATAAATATATACTCATATATATTTTCTTTTTTTAGTGATAGACAACCGCGGTTTTGGAAACAGCGCAGGAACATAATTGCACTAATGGCGTTTTTGGGATTTTTCAACGTTTTCACACTCCGGGCTAATCTCAGCGTGGGAATCGTGGCCATGACTACGTCCACGATTAACGGAGTAAATTAAAAAGCTAATAATCTATTTATTTATTTATTTATATATTTTTTTTATTGTACTCGTCGAATATAAGTAATTAAGATCCAGTAATGAAAAATATTTGTCTGGTGAGGCGCTGGAGATACAACCAATTCCAAAAAACATTCTTAAATTTGGCATAAAAAATCTTTCTGAACGAAGCGAGGAATTTATTGATTTTACTATATGAGTAATTATATTATATTTTTTTTTGTTTATAAACAACTATATTCTATTTACCAGAAATCTTGCTCCGATCATCAAGCATAGTGTATTTTCTAAAAGCAAATATTTTCTAGTTGATTGTTATTGAGGTAATTTTATGATTTTCCTTGTAGTGTTTTCAATAATTTGTACACACGTTTTAAGTTAAAATTTGTAAGTGAATCGTAAAATTCGCGACATTTCTAAACGTTTAACCGAACTTCGTTCAGAATCGTGATTCGTTAGCAATTTCTGATATTGTTTATTTTTGGATCACTCCAGCATCAGCATCGTCCGTATCAGTTTTTGACATAGACGTGTAAAATTGAACGTGCACATTTTTGTATTACCATTAAAAAAAAAAAATGTAATAGTTTTAAATAGGTAATGCTAGCCACTGAGTACGTGACCGTATACTTTAACATTTTATTTTTCAAATGAAACTTTTTTTTTCCTACAGACAAAAGAGTTTGACTGGAGCCCGGAAATTCGCGGCGTCGTGTTGAGTTCATTTTTTTACGGATACATTTGTACGCAAATCGTAGGTGGTCTTCTGGCTGTTAAGTTCGGCGGAGTAAGGCTGATCGGTTATGGGATTTTAAGCACGGCGATTTTCACTGTGCTCACTCCGTTGGCAGCCAAATATTCGGTCTACCTGATCATTTTCTTCAGATTTCTCGAAGGGCTGTTTGAGGTTTGTCGAATATAGTGGTTTATATGATTACCGTGTTCCCTACCCAATAATACATGTAGCATACATACGTGTGTGTACTTGAACGATTTGTAGGGAATAGTACTTCCCTCCGTGCATGCTATGTGGTCGAAATGGGCACCACCCGCGGAGCGTACCCGGCTGGGGTTATTCGCGTTCTCCGGTAACTGTTTGGGCACGGCCATCGGATACCAAATATGCGGTTGGTGTGCTGAGAAATTTGGTTGGGCTTACACGTTTTACGTGCCAGGTGAGAAACGTCTAATGCGAATATTCGTTCATATAGACACGTATATACATAATAATATTATCACCAAGTCTGCAGTTCAAATCCGTAACTTTTTCGATTGCGTTTTATTATTCTTTAATTTTTGCTTTGTAAAAATGCTTCGAAACATATCTTAAAATGATATATTCGATTTGAAATACACACTATAAACAATTTTTTTTTTTTTTAAGAGCTTATATTGTAAATTGGTATGCTACTGTTGTAGACAGGAATTTGGCTACATAGAGTTGGGTATTTAATTATCTGTACGTAACGATAAATCATTACTAACGAAATACAATTCTGAATAAACTTCGGTTGTACATATTTTGAAATGCCATGATTTGGATCTCCAGAGACTTGGTTAGACTAAGTCATAATATTTAGAACACTTTACTTATAACAAAAAAAAAAAAAAAAAATATGTTTTCAACACAAATTTGTACTTAATAATTTTAGTTTTGGCAAAAATATCAATAATATGATCACACGCCTTACTACACACTTGTACGTGTTTATAATAGTTGATAGTATAATTTGTGTTTTTCGTGTAACTTTGTTTTTAACAATATACAATTTTAGAAATTTGGGCTTGGGAAATGGGAGGGGTGACCCCTAGACCCCTTCTGAAGTCTCCACAGCTGTCTTTATACTATTCTCAATCGTATTAAAACCACCTTTTTTTCGGTTTTCCTATTCCTTTCTTTTCACTTACGTTTATTTGTATCACAAAATTCTTAATGCTTCTGATTTTTTTTTTCTCATAGTATATCCAAACCATTTAAGTCTGTCATTTTCTTTTATTTTGCCTATTATCAAAGCCATGCTTGAACTATATCGTATATGTACCTAATTATTTATCTTATCTTCTCTCATCACTTCATCCACAACCATTTAAGTATTCCCATTTCCGCTACACTGCTACATCTATTTTTCTGTTTACTAATCAACACTCTGAATCATACAACGTAGTCGTCCTTCACACATTATTGTAGAACTTAACTTTAAGTCTCCTTGGAATTCTCTTGTCACATAAAACACCTGACGCCTCCACTTTATCCAACCACACTTAATCCTATATTTCACATCCTCGTAAAAGCCACTGAATTTCCCATTGAAGAACCTAGATACTTAAAAAATCTTAACCTCACCTATCACGGCATTACCTATTGTCATTATAACTATTTTATACTGTTTCTCCATATTCTGTTTTACTTCTACTCATTTTTATCCTTCTCTATTTATCCGTAAGTGCTACTCTCCATTCCTCAAGCTTATTACTTATTGCTTATTGCTAACTTCTTCTAGATTTTCTCCTAACAAAGCTATATCATCTGTTATTTGTTAACATCGTGCACCATGGTACCTCTTCTCATCTGTTGCGCTCGCGCATTTCCAAGATGCGACAATTCACCCATGTCTTGTTTAAAATACCTCATACTGTTTGACAGAAGTTTACACCGGCTGTTGATTTGATGCAATCCCATTTGGCACTTCATACGACAGTTCGAGGTACCGTGGGAACTGGGAGTATTCTAACTCCTCCCAGTTTTTTTTGTATAATATATATTATTATTATTGTGTTTTTATACAGGTTTTGTCGCTATAGTATGGTGTACTGTCTGGTTGATGTGTATCGCCGAAACGCCGGCACAAGACAAAAGCATTTCAAAAGCTGAACTAAAATATATTGTTGACTCGTTGGGTCCGACTGATGAAACAGCGAGTAAATGTTCATTTTTTGCTGATCTCGTCTTAAGAGGCCGTCGTTTAAAATGGAATTTATCGTATCCGTCTTTCTTACGGGCAACATAGCAAAAATGTGTCTTTAAAATCTTGTTCATAGATAAAACCTCTATTATAAAGGATACAATTTTAAAAAATTGTCTAAATATTCAACTCATATTCAACTCAAAAGTATATAAATATCGTATTTTATGTATATTTTTTGAAATAACCGTAACTTTAACAATATTTAATCTATTTCAAAAAACGTTGAATCTCTAAAACCGATTTCAAAGGCTTTTTCATTTATTTTACGCGAACACGTCATATGGTCCGTTTGAAAGACAGATACGGCAAATGACACTCAATAAAGGTCTTTTAATATTATATATTTTGGTCTTTTTTAAATATACTCCGTTTTTTTTTTTTTTATACGTATATAGTCAATTTATTCAACTGTCCCTGGAAAGATATTTTTAAATCAATGCCAGTTTGGGCGATAAATTGCGCTCATTTTTGCGAGAACTGGGGAACCTATACGTTACTCACGCAACTACCGAGTTTCATAAGTGGTATGTACCGTAGTTATACACAATACAATATGAAAAAAATAAATTAAACCAAATACCGAATTTATAAATTATACCTATATGTTAAAGATACATTGAAATTAGACGTGGGAAAAGGAAGTTTACTTTCGGCCATGCCGTACCTCATCATGACAGTTGTCCTCCAGTTTGTCGGTTTCTTCGTCGACTGGCTTAGAAAAAACAGCTCGTTGTCTAATACACAAGTACCGATATCAACTTTATATTATAGCCATATTTAATTTTCGGTATAGATTTTTTTTCTTTTTAGATTAGAAAGACATTCAATAGCGGCGCGTTCCTGGGTCAAGCGACTTTTATGCTTTTAACAGCCATTTCCTCCAGCGGGTTTGAGTCCATGGTTTATTTAACGTTAACGTTAACCGTTGGAGCGTTTGCTTTGAGCGGATACAGGTGGTGTAGTTATTTTAAACTTACTTGCCATCGTAATTTTTACGTCACGTTTTAAACAAATCGACAAATAACAATCGACTTAAAAAAAAAAAAAAGCGTTCACTCATTGGTTGATTTCAGCAAGACTGGGAAAATCAATGAATAAATTATATCAACTCCGGTTAAGCTGTTATAATCGTTAATTGGAATATATTATATAGATTATAAATTTAATATCGCGTTAAATCTAAAAGAAATTTAAATTAATTTAATGCGGTTAATATAATTTCAATTTAACCAGGTTAAACTAAAAATGAATGTAAAAGATATGGTGAAAAGTTTAAATCAATTTTGATTTATAAGTCATAACTTTTTAAAGAGTGAATAACCTACCTTTGTTTATTTGTTTCGCGTACTTATAATGTTATAATAAAAATACGAGGAACTCGAATTGCTTATTATAGTATTGTATAATATTTTGTAGTGTTAATCATTTGGACGTGGCGCCTCAATACGCCGGTATTTTATACGGAATATCAAATACTTTCGCGTCCATACCGGGCATCGTTTCTCCGATGGTGACCAGTAAAATCGTACGAAACAAAGTCAGTGTATTTCGGTATATTCTTCGTATAGCGTACTAAATATTAATTAACGACCGGATTTGTATGCGTTTAAAATGCTAAAAAATACGAGTATATGTTTTTATAATATATTCTATGTTTAATGCTTAAAAATTTTTAAAACAAATATTTATATATATACATACGATAATATTGAAATCTTTACCGAAAAATACCTGGATTTCGGTGTTCGATATTGCCTTAAGTATCGCAAGTATTGAGGTATCGGATCGCCTATCCCTATAGTAAATACATAAAACATCAATAAGTTATAAAATGAACAGTTTCAATTTCTTTTTCCGTAATAGATAAGAGATATCATATTATATTCATCAGAATAGTTGTGGCGCTTGTTGGCGAATGATCATCAAATTCGTCTCTTCAAAGCAAGGGAAACCCGATGAAGGTTGCCGTAGTTTGTTTATATTGTATTTTCTTATAAATCTATTAGGTGCACGTGATGAAAAATGCACTAAAAGCTCAATATCATATTCTTGAAACATAATATTATATTGTACGAAACATTTTTGATCTAAAAATATGCTTTTTTCGGGCGGTAAAGATGTTTTCGTACATCAGTTTATTGACAAATGAACCGTCAAAAGAGCTGAGCTTGAATTAGACCTGCGCATTATTGCCTTGGCACATACCTAATCACATACAAATCCGATATTTAATTAATATAACTTACTTAAGATGACGTGCTACTTTATCCCCCTCCCATAATTCGACTGTCAATTTTTTTTTGTACGGGAAAAAACTACTCGGGCTACACATAGACTTAATTAAGAAATCGAATAATTTTCATCATAGAAAAAAGAACACGCAATGTGCAATGTTCATTTTATTTTTCCTTATTATAAAAATAAAAAAAATGTATTATTATTTAAAAGTATGACAGTTTTAAGTTTTTCAAACTTGAACAACTTTTTACATATATCAACAAGACGACAAAACTAGAACCATCGCTTAGTGCAAGTTCTCTTTGTTTTATGATCAAAATTTTGTTTTGCAACTCAATCCATAGCCCGAGTAGTTATTTTTTCCGTGTGAAACGGTTTTTCGTAAATATTTTTGTTAATTTAACGATTACGCAATAATGCGATAAAGATAGAGAGCATAATATCTTTATATAAATGTATTTAAAAGTAAATTTGAGTATTTTTAAGTTGATCAAATTTTAATTTTTCAAAAAATTGTGAAAATGGTACGCAATCCAAATACCCAGTAGCACGGCCTCTTAATAAAATAATATTACCATGAAAAAACGTTGAAATTATGTTTGTTGTATTTATTGTAAAATCCTTAGAGCGCAGAAGAATGGAAGTGGGTTTTCATGATTTCGAGTGGTGTATATTTTTGCGGCGCCATATTCTACGCGACATTTGCCTCGGCGGAACGACAACCTTGGGCCGAAGTCAAAGCGCCGGAAAGAAAGAACCAGGAAGTCAACGCACCTCTAATATGAAATCGCACATATTATCGCAGACATATTATAACTAGACTAGGAATGACGATCGTTTCACATGTAATGTATTATGTACGTTAGAGACAGACAATACGAAATTTTTTCATGACAATATTATCATGGTTTTTTTTTTTTATGTAAGTATGTATGCAGTACGTTCACGCTAGAGATACCACTAAATATTTCAGTTGGATGATCTAGTATTGGAATTGAATTTTCGGGGAATGATTGGAAGTACCCAAATACACATTTTCAGACAAATTTCTAATTTTTAACTCTTTTGGTACGTACGTGCGCAATACAACTCACTTTTTTTTTAAATGGCGACACCATTTTTTTTTCTATAGAATATTTTTTTTTAAATAATTTTTGTCTAAAAAGTTTTTTTTAATTATAAAATTGGCAAAGTTACAGTATGTTGAAATTTAATATTTACGAATAATCTGTAATTGACGAAATTTTAACTATGTACAACTTTTATACTAGAATATCAAAATGATGATATCTCCGATATTGTGAAATACCTGTTTATAGACAGATAAGACACAAGTTAACACTTCAGTTATTTTTATGGGGGCGTTTAAATATATTGTGTATGTGGATTCTCTTAATGATGTCCAAGATTTAAAAAGACAAATTACAAGTAGTATGTAATAATTTGAGAGAAGACAAAATAAACGCTGCAACATCAAGAGAATTTTTAAACCGTTTGGAATCATGTTTGGAACACCGAGGCGGAAACTTTGGACAATTTATTTGATAAAACTATAGTTGCAAATAAATAAATCTTAATTTCAAATTCATAGTGTGTATATTTTTATAAGTTTTATTACCTTCAATTTATTTCGGAAGAATAAATGATAAAAATAAATCTAAATTACGAAAACAGTGTTATGTGTGTCTTATATATATCTACAAACAGGTATTTAAAAATATCGGAGATATCATTTCGATTTTCGAGTGCAAGTTGAACATTATTATAAATTCGTCAATTACAGATTATTCTTAAATATTAAATTTCAACATACTTTGCCAATTTTTTAATTAGAAAAAAAACTTTTTATACAAAAATTGTTTAAAAAAAAATACTCTATTCGATTCTGTAGAAAAAAAAAATGGTATTTGCCATTGGCACGTGGGTACCAAAAGAGTTAAAAATTTGAAATTTGTCTGAAAATGTGTATTTGGTATGCCAAAATGTGTATTTAGGTAGTCCCTATCATTCCCCGAAAATCCCATTTCAATACTAGGTCATCCAATTGGAATATTTAGTGGTACCTCTGAGCGTTGACGCACTGTATAATATATACATAAATATACACATTTTTATATTATAGTCTGATTTTACTATTATTCCTGGTTTAGTTATATTATGATGTCTATGTGCGTATCGGGTACCTATAATCGGAACCTGATAATATAACCCGACCTTGTGTTTAATCCTATAACTTCCTCGATCCGGTGGTATTGAGATTAAAAACACAACACATACAAAAAAAAAAAAAATGTATAGGATCGAATTTCGACGTCAAATAAATATTTAACCTCCCCCCCCACTCCCAAACACACAATAAACCCTCTTTAAAAATGTACAAATAAGTAATATATTTATAACGTTTTCATTAGTATAGTATCTTTGGTCTCAGGGAAGAAGGATTCAAGTTAATCGTTTTTTTTATAGTTTGCATGAAATTGCATGCATTAACATGCAATTTCATTTTTTTTAAATACATACACTTGTAAAGAAAATAATATATTAGTATTCTATACACACTAATTTAAAAAAAAATGTACAATTATAATTTTAGACCCAGAAATAAAAGGTAAAAAATTACATTAGACATAATTATGAAAAAAATGTTCCAAAAATTTACTTAAGCCCTCTAGTACTCTGGGACCAAACATACATAAGTACATCATATTATATACAGTCGAACCTCTATTGAACAAACTTCAATTTAACGAAACTCTCTGTATAACAAAATATTTTATGGTACCATGAAATTTTTATTCAAAAACGTTTCTATTCAACGAACTAATTTTTTTAAACAAATATAAAAAAATATTGTTATTTATAAAGTACACACTCGTCAAGAATAGATATGGTATGCTCGTACGCTATCATACCTCATTAAATTGTATTACTTTAAATTATTGTTATGGATATTAATATACAAGAGACGATCTATTATAAAACCTATTGTAAAATCAGTTGTTTATCATACCTCGTGTTTAATTCATATATCCTATTTTTAACCATTGAAAATTTCGTTCCTGAGCCCAAATTTTGAATTTTCGCCATTGAACTGAATATTACCTAGGAAACCCTCTCACTAACTCGAAATGTACGGTTTCAAAATTCACTAAATTGTTTACTAGAAAGAATAGAATCAGACTACAGTAACCAACTCGCAAAATTTTTATCATACGGTTAACGCACAAAAACCCGTTTGTAATAATTATTATATTATCATTTAATAAGTAATAGTTTGTTATTTTCTTATGATAGACGAACATCCTGCATAATATACAATAATTTGAATTAATCTGAAATCTTTTCACTGTTTCAATTGAAGAGTATCAGATTATCGAACTTTCTTGTGATAAAACTTAAGAAAATAAATTAAAAAACGAAACTATTATTAATTTTTGGTGTGCAGTATATAATGGAATATCCTTATAATACAAATGTATTCATAATTATTTTTGTTATTATTATTAATTATTATGTATTAAGCTTCCATGACATACTTGGTTTTAAATATACATTTTTTAATGTGGATCGTATACCCAAAAAAGAGTAAATGTATGGATCATCTTAACAAAAAGATTAGGAACCACTGCTGTACATCTTAATCCGTGGTTCATACTATGGACATTTTAGTAGGTAGATAAAATGATACCTATTCGGATGTACCTATACCAAAGTATGTTCACATAAATGCTACTAAAAATGAGAAGTAGTGGGTGCTATATAAGAATATTATTAACGACCGACCGCGGAGAAAATAAATACGAAAACCACAAAAAAAAAAAAACAATAACGGATTACGGTTAGTATAATATTATCATAAATCATAATTTAACACTTAATTTGATTCAATCATTTTTTACACTTTACACGTGGTTAAATTATGTAAATATTATGAAATGATAATGTTTATTACTTCCATAAATAGTAGGGATCAGGATATTGGCGCAATTAGGATTTTTTTAAAGGAGGTGTCCACCAGTAGCGTAAACAGTTTTTCCTAATTATTTTTTGTTAAGTTAACGATTGGAACATTTCAGATGACTACTATTTAATATTTATTATATTATCTTATTCAAACGATTTGAATCAAAACGTCCGGTGTTCGATTAATAGAAAAATTTAAATCACGTATGTTTAGATAAAAATTACATATAATTTTAGTAATCGTCGAATGTTAAAGAAGTTTATAAAATTATTATACATATAACAATATTATAAATTTTAAATTATAAAGCCTAATCGTCTTCTTTTCTGAGTTAACACTTTTATAACGTTGTATACATATATCAACTTTAATCTCACAGTGAATATTCAATGTTGCTAAACCATTTAGTCTATAGTCTGCTATTGAATTTATGAGGTGGATATGTTTTGATAAGCTTTAAATTTGAAAATAACCTCTCGGCTTCACAAGAAGTCACGGGTAACGTTAAAATAATTATAAGTTACTTATAAACATTAGGATATAGAGCATTATTGCAATTACCGATTACTTCAATTGCAGTAACCATTTTTAAATTGTTTTCCAGTGATAGTTTAATAACTTGATGATGCCAAATCTTTACTTCAGCTAAAACCTTTAATAAATCTTTCACGTTGTTAACATAAAATTCCACCAAATGTTCTATTAACTTTTCTTGTTTTTTAGTAAGAGGAACAATTGGAAAAAGCATTCGGAACTTTTGAACAATTTCTTTATAATTACTATATCTGTCATTTAACTGACTTATGAATGAATCTAAAAAAGGTATAAATAAAGAAAATTTAAAATAATCTTGAACCAAATTTCTTGGAGTATTCTGTCTATAAGTCTGTATTTTCTTAATTCTAGGCATTTGTGTTACAAAATATAAATCATTTGATTTTCTTTGAAGTTCATTAAAACATTTTGAAAACTCTCCGTTGACGTTGTTCTAAAGTTAATGTAATTGACGTACATTATAAACAAGCTCGAGAGCTTAAATTAGATCTATGTTAAGTTTTTGTAAGTATATACATAAAGATACCGTGTACTAAAATATACTTTTTAAAACAATAAGACCAACATTAAACTCACATTCTTTTAGAGACAATAATAACATACGAGTTTTAATTGATGATTCGTTATTTGCCCAACTAGTCATCTCTTCTAAACACAAATGTACAGCCGGAAGAAGTTGTTTAAATACTGTTACCGAGTCGTGCCTTTCAACCCATCTTGTCGAACATAATTGCTGTAGTTTTTCTTTACGAGTCTGTGCTTGACTCCCTTGGGTTCCCTGACATATTTTGAAAATTCTGTTTGCTTCTATGGAGTAATTAAAAATACGAAAACCTTTTTAATAGTGTCCATAGTATTTCGAATACCTTGTAATCTGCAAGCATAAGAAACAGTCAAATTTAAACTGTGTGAACTGCAATGGACATATATAGCTGTTTTATATTATTTTTTTATGCATGCCTGAATATCATTGAATCGTCCACTCACCGATTCAGCTTCGTCGTAATTTTGCCCTCTTAGATATTGCATTTCAATTTTCATCTCAGTAAGTTCTTTAATAATTATACTTGCAAGTGCGCTTCCACTTAAGTCTATGACAGGAACAAATTTTAAAAATTGTTTTAATACTATTTTAATTTAAAATCAAAATAACGAACACAAATTGAGCAATTGCTCAATGTCAACATCTGCCGTTTCGTCTGCTATAACCGAAAAACATTTACTATTATTCACTTCATTAACGATTTCAGATAATATAATTTCATGACAAGAACCGATAATTTCGTTTTGAATCTTCCAACTTGTATACTATGCATGTTTTACACAATTAGTTCTAGCTAATTGGTAAGATTCGTCACTAGACAGTTTTGTTGCATTTAAATGAAATCGCATTAAAGCTCTAAAGTTACCGTCATTTTCTACCGGATTTTCTGTAGTTAATGTTCCAAAATCACGATTTTCCCGTAAGGCGATTCCTTGTCTTCCACAAAAAAATCATAGACTCGATTACAGTAATAATTATTTTTCTATTTAATTCCCTTTGTACTTTAGCAACTTTATTTAATTGTAAATCGATAGAATCTCCTTCCTCAGTTTCAATAGCAACAATATTTTGATATTGTTCAACTGATTGAGGTGATAATTACATTTTTCATTATGGTTAAATTTTTCTATAGCTTTATATTACATTCTAAAAGGTCCGCTATCCGGACAAGATTTCTCGATGTTTGTTTTCACAATTGATTGTGTCAATTCTTGCCGAGGTACTTTTTTGACAACAAAGTCTGTTATACATACACGCTTGCTAATTTTATTTAATCGACGGCAACAATAACTATCAAACAACTGAACAGATATAATAAAAACATGTAAATACAGACAGTTCAGTGACTGTTTTATCGCAATATTTAATTCTAGAATAGTGTACAATAATTATATGGTTGTAATACTGATATTTGCACTATATTATATTATAGATATCTTTGGGTTTTAATAGTATATTTATTTTAGCTATGATAAATTTCCGAATTTGTCGGTAAACTATGGACAAAAGACATGGTAACATTAGTAACATTTATAACACTAGGTAACACATTTGCATTCTGTATTAATAGTATTTTAAACAATACTTTCTAATGATACATATAAATAAATTATGACGGCAGTTGAACGTTATAAATTTAAAAAAACATTTTTTTTTTTTCAATTGTTATGGAATATAATTTCCATTAATACGGTTCAAGAAAGGTGTCCAGACACCCAAAACACCCGAAAACACATGAATGCGTCACTGGTTCGGAACTTATTACACAAAAAAAGCACTTCAAACAAATATTATTAGACAAAATAGCAGAATAGATTAAATTTACTCCTCTCTAACAGCTTTAACTTATTAAATACAATTTTTTAACGCTATACAAATTTATAGCTATACAAAAGTTATTTTTTTTTATAATGCGTATAATTTTATTTAAACAGAATACATTTTTGATAATAATTTGTGTGGTGTTAGAAAATTATGTTTAATAATTTAGAGTCGTTAGAGGGAGGTGATTCATTTGGTCTAATAATATTTACTTAAGGTGCTATATTTGAAGGCTTTTTTCACGTTTTTAAACACTTTTTTGTGAACTTTAAGTGTAATAAGTTCCGAACCCTAATACTTAGTAATTCAAATTTACGGTGGAATCAGCATATGATCCTACGTATATTGTTCTCGATCTGCACGAGTGCTTATTTAATTTCTATATTTGAAATTGTGTTAACATATATAATATAAAGGTATATACATATATAATTTATGAGTAGATCCTCGATATTAATCCACAAAAAATCACTTGAAAACGTTATAAGAGCCCTGAAAAAAATATTTAAAAAAGCAATAAATAATAGAGAGGTTTAATAGTTCCTCCACTAACAAGTTTATTATAAATGCAATTTTTATAATACCACAAAAATGATGAATAAAAAGTCCTTTTTTTTTATAATACGTACAGTTTTATTTAAAAGAAATTATTTTATATTAATCATTTGTATAGTGTTAGGAAATTAAATTCAATAAGTTAGAGCAATTAGGAAGGGGTTAGGGAGAATTTTAAATCTTTCTATCATTTTTACTTTTTAAACGAATTTTTCAAGACCTTTTTTGACGTTTTTAAACGCTTTTTTGTGAATTATAAAATAATATAAATCCAGTCTTTTTACTTTTAATGTACGAAAACCCACTTTTTCCATTTTTTTTTTTTTATGTATACATACATTTGTACATTTGTTATGTGTAAAGATAATATAGTTATAAACTAAACAGGAATTGTTATTTATCGGTAATAATGTTCACATTTTGAGGTTACAATACTGTATTTGAATGTATTATCATTGTCAACACCGTGGTTCGTGCGAATAAGTCTCGATATAAGATTTTGAATTTTAATAAACTATTTTTACCTACTTTTATGTTACCTTTGTGATATAGGTATAGACAGTATACTGAATAACAGCATAATGAAAATTTCAACGAATCATAACTGTATTTTTGTGACATAATGCACACGTTATACTGCAGAGGTAGCTACTAATTTTAAAATTTTATTTTCATACGACATCGTTAAAATAATAGTGTTTATTTATAGACTGCATATCGTATATTACATAATTGTTGTGAATTTACATCGAACTCAATGTTTGAATATACTGAGCCAAAAAATTCAAAACGCAGGTCTATATTCTATACCACATGTGGACGTAGGACGATAATATTTACATAGAATGGGCAAAGTGCGGTGTCAATTGTTTTTATTCTGGCCGGATTGTATCTATAATATTGTATAAGTCGTGTGAATAGGCCCATAAGCGATTCAAGGAAAACTACGAAAGAATATACCGCGAGCGTTCCATATTATAAACCAACGATAGTAAGTTATTGTATTCAAATTTTTGATTTCTTGTAAATTGTCTTTTATTAGACGCGATTTTAAAGGGCAAAACATATTTTTACTGACATAATTATCTGTAATTTAAACCACAATGTAACTTCGATTTTTAATATACCTAATATTATTAGAAATCTCTAGTTTTTTTCTGTTCTGTCACGAGAATTTAACCAAACGAGGACTATGTGTAATGATATGCTATTTAAGCTATCATACATTATGTAAAATANGCCTTATTTTCGTATTACTACATATGTTTGATAGGACGCGACTATCACATTTACATATACAGTACATTATTAGTATTTGAGTTTATAATATAAGTGTAATTCATCTTTGCTGCAATAATATTATTAATTATTTTAAATTTCAAGACTAAAGCAATAATTATTGAAATATTATATTTAACAGATATTTCCAAAAAAAAAAAAATTTAAAAAAATAATAATAATAATAAAAACTATACGTCATTCTTAATATACGTAGGTGTGTTGAATTTCACGGCGACACTATAATATGTATTTTGCGTACACACAAAAAACAAGTTAGTACCTATATGGTGTTCACTTATGCCATTGACAAGCGTAAAAAACTATATAAAGTCATATATAATTTATGTAAATCCTCATTGACAGAGACAAATTTTAGATTCTGAGTGGAGCGAAGAAGCTTATGGTTTTAAAAAGATGTTTATTTTTTTTTTCTGTGGACAACTTTTCTACCAGAGGACTTTCTCCGTTTTTTATGTGTAGCACTTTTTCTGAAAAGAAATTAGTGTGGAAAGGTACCTTAAAGAGGTTAGTTTTAGAAGAGTTTTCTTATCAAATGCAAAAAAGCGAAAAATAACGGAGGAAAAACTGAAAATGTACAAAATTTAGGTATTAGTTAAAATTATTACGGATTTTTTTTTCTTAGCACAACTTTTCTTTATGCTTATCTAAAAAGAAATTTCACTAGCGAGGTAATTTAGAGACATTATTTTTCGGTTTTCCCAACAAATGTGAAAAACCGGGATAAAACATGGTAAAACCGGGAAAAACGTAGGAAAACTGGGAAAATCGGTACAACATTAATAATAATTAACTATAACAGTGGCTGTACCCGTCTTTATTATCCTATGATATCTTTATAATGTAGAATAAAAAGATAACAAGGAGTCAAGAGGATCTATTTATTTATTTATTTTTTTTATGAACCTCGTATACTTTTTCCAATAAATAGATTTAGTTTGAATAAATAGGCACATATATTTACAAGAATTTGAACTCAAGTTCCGTCGATCTATTATTATTTGTCAATATTTAAGCGATTTACGTATATCGACCAAATTAATTTGTTTCATATTAATATAGACAGGATATTGATATAAATCGTATTGACCGCAATTTTACTTACTCCGTGCGATGGAAAAATCCCCCCCAAAAAAGAGTAGTTATAATGATATATATATTATACTATACCTACATAATATATGAGGTTAGGTCGTTAGAAACCACCAATAACTAGATAATAAAACAATATGTATATAATATTATTAAACTAGCGTAAATATTATCATTATTTTTTTTTTTTTTTTATAGTTTTATTTCGCGTGTGTATGTGTGTGTGTGGGGGGGGGCACAACGTAACGTCTGTGAGTCGACTTTTTTGCAGACAGTTTACGAAGAAGTTGGTTGCGAACGTCAACGTGCCGAATATTACCTGCCAGCGTTTGGCCACGTTTCCGAGTTTCATTTGCAATAATTTCCATATTTTAATAATAATGATAATATTGTAATATCATTCCGAATAAAATACTGACGTTATTATTAGACCGGTTTAGTTACTCGCATACATAGGAATCGTTCGTCTCTCGTCCGGCCGGTTCGTACCTATCCGTAGTTGTTCGCCGCCCACGCGTCGCTGAAGAAACACGACGGATATTTTTGACAATTCGCCAGGTCACCGGGTATCATCGTCTCTGCGCTTTTCGTTTTTGAGTATCGCAGTCGTCGTATATACGAACGCGCAAGTATGCACCTCCTAATTAATACTATATAAGTAAGTACGGGCGTAAAGGTATAGGTAATATAACCACGAGTTTCAAATGCGAAGTTGACATTTTTCCAAAAGTATAAATGTAGAAATCGAAGTCGTGTGCACGAAAATAAACCCGCGGACTACGTACGTAAATGCACGGTTCGATTCTGACGATTTTTTATGCCGGTTAGGTATTCGAACATTTGCATTTGCCCGAAAATAATTGTAATTATTAACACCATCACCGTCGGTTACGAATTAATCTTATGATAATGGTTCACTTATTGTAAGAATAATAATATTCGGTCGACGTAATTATAATTACGTTACTGTGTTACGATGCGCGTGTTATCGTTTTGTGAAGTTCGTAGATCATAGTACTCACAACATTAAATTAGAAATGTATTTTAGTATTTATCTTTAGTAGAAACAACAAAACTGTATATTATACAGGGTGACTTTTTAGATCGTCTATACGAAGATTTCGAGTATATACGATTTTATTATTTTTAAACATTTTTAGATTCTGAGTGGAGCGAGGAGTTTATTAATTTTACAATGATGTTTATTTTTTTTTTCTGTGAACAACTTTTCTACCAGAAATTTTGTTTCGATTTTAAAATGTAGCGAATGTACTTTTTCCGAAAGAAAATCTGACTGGGGTGGTACTTAACGAGATCATTTTTTGATTTTCCCAGGGGTTTTCATAATAAATGGGGAAAAAGGATAAAATTTACGAAATTTATTATTTTCAAATCGTAAATATTACGGCCTTTCAAAACGTGTACAACCGAATTTCGCTCAAACTTATCATCTTTCATTAATAATCAATAATCTTAGAGTACAGATGTACATTAAATCTCCCCTCTACTTTCCAACTTCTCGCCTACAACGGCGGTACCTATCGTGTGAAATATGTCCGTTCGTTTTTTTTTTTTTTTATATAGAATCATTTATAACGATTGTTTGAATTCGCTTATAAAACGGCCACATGTTCATGTGTGAAATGAATCTTTAGATCGATAGGTATTATTTTTTCTTTCATAGGTAAGTTTCAAATTAGGCGGATTTAGGGTGGCTTAAGAATGTTTTTGAGCTATGTAGAGATTTAGTTCCTAAAATACACTTCTTATAAGTAGTTATTTAAATATTCGTATGAATTTATTTTCAGGGGCGTAGCTAGGATTTTTTTTTTGGGTAGGCAAACTATAAACCTTGTAGTCTTATATATACTTATAGACGGAAATGCATACTTATCCCAATTTTTGAATTAACCTATCATAATTTCAAAGTTATCAATGATTATTCTTATTAATAATTAATAACTTAAAACAAATTGAACCAAAAATAAATAGATAATTTTAAAAGAAATAATTATTATTTATCTGAATACAAGAGAGTTTTACAAAATGAAATTATAATTACTATGCTAGGTAACTTCTAATAGGTATACGTATTGTCCATTTATAAAATACTTTCAAAGTAAGAATTCCAATCATTTTTTCTTTATGATGGCAAACTCGTCAATATTATCCAATGGATTATCCATAAATTGTCCACTTATTTCCCTTTCTATGGAAAGTTACGTCAAATCATTTAGCCTAGAACTTTCCTCTGAAGCACCAGATACAGGAATTACAATTATAAGTTCAACTACTTCTTATAATACTTTAAATCCAACTGGATAACTTTGTAATTGGTAAAAAAATTCAATAAAACCAGAACTAGATGACAATAATGTCTTACACAATGCAAATTGAAATTTTAATTTATTAAGAAAATTATATAATAATAGAAATTATAAAAGGAAATAGTTTTTGCAAAATGATACAATTTTATTTTTCACAGTCTCCGGTTATTTAGACATCTAATTTTTGTTCTAATATTGTTGTAAATAAGAGTATATTATTTTATATATTATTGTTTTTTATATATATATAGAAAATCTGGGTGGGCCCGGGCGGCTACAACACGTTTGGCCGTTTTAACTCAAATTGCGACACGTTTGGGTACACAATCACAGTAGCGCGTTGAACTCGTTTTTGGTGGGGAGCAAAAATGTATACAAGGTACCCATCTACCCCACTTGTACATCCTAACAAAATTTCCGCTACAGCGAAAAACAAAATATTTAAAAAATACACGTATGTTCGTAGAGATTTGTATTATCGGACGTGCATATTTAATTAGTTAAATTATTACACTCGTTATCTTGTATCTCGATTTGTATTGTAGCGTATGCAGATTTAATAATGTATAAAATATTGTTGGCAGTGGGGAGGCCAAGTATTCTGTATTATTATTATTATTATTATAATTAATATTATGCGGTTATAATCATTCGCGATCGTTGAGCAAATTTGTAGAAACCAACCACCAGCTTATCTGTGTTTTCCTAATAATACATTGTAACCGACCGACGACGACCGTCTGCGTCGACGGCTGATGTTTTCGGCTCACTTATTTACTAAAAAGTGTTACATTTTTGAACTACAATTAACAGGTTTTACGATGTAGAGACGTTGAGTGTAGGACGTACGTTACACAATTAAGACATATATTCGTTTACGTAGTGTATTTCTATTTTCTATGATATACCTAGTCACCAATGTGGCTAGGCAATTTGTGGCAGGGGGACGACCCACCCACCAAAAATTTTAAAGGAGCAATTGCTCCGAAATAATACGTTCAACACGCCAATGCACAATCACAACACGTTCGGGCACTATATAGTTTATGTGTGCACCATATAGTAAGTAGTGAATAAATATATGTATACTATACATTGTTTAGGTTTTTATACGTATTTTTGAATGCACAATTTTACTATCCACATCTGAACATACACCATGTAGTAGACGATGTTTTTTAACATTCAGGCAGAAACTGCATTAATCAAAAATAGCGTAAACAAATATCAATTCAATTGCATTAGAAAAGAGTCTGTACTCAAAACTCAATATATAACTGATAACTGGAATATTTATGAAAAAGGAGACATAACGTTAATTCAATGTTTAAAAATTATGGGAACTCGAAATCGAGGAAATATAATATAATTATTACAATCATATACATATATCAGAGGTAGACAATAGGCCAGATCCGACCCACGGAGAAAAAATAAACGGAACGCCAACAATTTTTAATTTAACGTTGGTTTTTTTTTTCGTTTTCATTATTTGTCACTGTGTAGATCCAGAATATCCAATCGTCCGAACGTAATCTATACCCACACAGCATTTGTCAATCATAACGATTGTACTAATGTTAACAATGGTTGGAATTTAAATATTTGAAATTAAAACTTTATCTTCCATTGAATAATTATTTAATATTTGATGTTGTAATTGAGATATTGAATAAAAATTAATGAACATTAGAAAAGTAATATTTAAATGTTAACACAAATTTTTAGTTTGATTCATTTTAAAATTTACCAAGATTAATAATTTTTAATGTTTTAAAACCAAACATTCATTCGATATTTATATTAAACATTTGATTTTAATTTCGTGAACATTGAAAATTAAATGTTTGATATTCAATCGAAGTAAATGGTTTAATTAAGATTCAAAATAATTTTAAATTAAATATTAATAAATAATAATTAATATCTATATAATATGCAATTATAAATATATAGTATTATTGAATTCAAATTATTATTATAAGCACTTCATTGATTAATAACTAATGAAGAATATGTTTAAATTAACATGGTACATAAACCAATATATTATTTTGCCCTACTTATTATTATTATAATTTATGTGGCGTACTGGTAAAATTTCATGAACCCTACGTTTAAAAATAATTGTTACCTATTGTAATATTGTGTATTGTGGATACCATAGTATCCAACAGTGTTATACAGTGAAATGCAGTGTTTTGTTTAAGTATTTGTTTTGTTCGTTTTGGTTATAATTATAGTTATTGTTGGAAAACGTCTGCATATGCACGCGATTATACCCAGTTATTGTTGTTATCATAATCGCTATCGCTATCGGCTTTCGATATATTAATTTTATTATTATCCGAGAGTCGCGACTTGAAAATCTCAATTCTATTTCCCATTTTCTAATACACGTTTTTGTTGCATTTGTACCTATATTATACTGAATATACTAGTACTCTACATTTTTTTACAGTTCGCCGCAGTCTATTGCCTATTTAGTAAGTATTAACTGTATCTACAAACAATTTTTTATTGTGTTTCCGCTGTCTAGTGCGATTTTATAATACCCGTTTGATTGTAATTAATGTGTGATTATATTATTTTATGATTCGCGTTTCTCTCTATAGTAAAAATATAGTCATATTATATAGTAATAAATTATATACATCATATGTTATTGTATTAAAATTATACTACACACTTATATTATACTAGCACCTACTTACGCACTATAACACTACACACTATGTCTACTTAAATATTACAGCTAGACGTGAGTATTGACATATTCTATTAATTAGCATTATTTGATTATTATAATATAATTATTGTATTAAATAGATAAATTAATAATTGCATAAAAAAAAATAATAATAATAATAATATGGGTATATAGGGTAAACTATTCTAAGCACGTTGATGATTGTTGTGTTTAATATAATATTTGATAGTATATTACATTTATTTTTTTTTTGTATTGTAGATTAATCAATTAACATATTATATCGGAGAAAAACACCTTAAGGCTATGATTAAAAGGATAATAGGAAAACTTTTTACTGATGAACTATTAAAAACATTTTCCTATTCGGAAAAAAAAGGAAAAAATTAATTCTCAGACCAAGTGATTTGTTCAATTATTTTGGGTAAGATAAATATTTATTTATATTGGTTTTGCTTTAAATAATTTTTTAAAGTTGCTTACCTACTTTTGATGTACAGTTTTTATTTTTGATACTTTGGGGAAACAAGCTAGTTTAAGTGTAAATGTAATAATTATAAATACACAACATATGTTTTTTTGTCGTTAAACAAAATTTAATAGTACTAATATTAATAAATTCAACATATTACTATAGATCCTAAACATTATTTATTGAATGCAGTTAAAAAACAATCAAAGTTTAAACACGTTACACAGAATGAAATTAAAGAAATAGTAAAGTATGTCCTTCCTCGAGCTCCTTTCAACATAAATAATAATTATTTTAACATGAATAATCATATAATATTGTTAATATGGTAAACCAAACATGGCTGTGTTTTTTTTCCATCTTGTTTAAATTATTACAATATGAACAATAAGTTTAATTTTTGTTTTTTTTTTTATAGCTATTCATGTCATTTCTTTAAATAAATTTAAAAAAATGAATATTTATTTATTTGTGAAATATATATTATTTTGAATTTTCTTTTATTAGTTTTATTGTTTATTTTAGTATTAAGTAATATTGTTAAGTAATATTTGTAATTTATCTTTGACAGTTATTCATTAAATATTTTGTATTTAATAAATATTGTACATTAATTATTTAATTCATAAATACAAGGGTTCAGCCAATAATCGCTACACATTGTATAAATATTTATAAACATACTGACAACGAAAATACAATATTAAATAATTCAATTTTATTTAAAATATTAAGTAAATATTTATTACAAATTATTGCGCTGTGTGGATATAATATATTTATTATGTATTTGGTGTGTTATTAAATAATTGTATACATTTTATACTATAAAATAATTCAATAATATTATAATAATAATTGTGTTTTAATAAAAAAATAAATACATTTATTAACTCATAAATTTATGTTTTTTTTTTTTTTTTGGAGGTGTTAAATAATACGGAACACTGAATAGGTATAGTGGTTGAACTTTTTTTTTTTGCTCAACCATAAATATATATGGCTATGATACTCGAAAACTTTTTTAAATTATCAGGCCCCCTCTTAGAAACTAATTGCCGACCACTTATATACATATAAATACAAATTATTTAATTTAACCCGAGTATATAGGTACTCATGTATTTTATATAACTAGGTATATTATTTTGGATTAGTATACAAATTTGATTTAACACGAGTTATTTTATTTATATGTTTATATTTGTGTAATTTGTATATAGTTTATTTACTTCTTTAGCAATAGTATATACTTTTTTTATTTTAATGTCCAAACGTGCTACGTTTTTATGGATATTAAATGCTCAAACGTTGTGTGGATTTTAAATACTGAACAGGTAAAAACGCCCAAACGTGCTGCACCGACCCGGGCCTACCAGGCCTACCTACTGGCTACACCGTTGTTTATTTTAACAATACTTCATAAAATGTGTGGACATTTTTATTTTAATCAATTCTCGACAGTGAAAAAACTATATACAAATAGTTTTATTATAGATTAAACATACATGTTAACTATATACATATGTGGGCCATAGATAGAAAAGGTTTGAAGCGCAAAACATGAATGATTTCGTTAACGGGTAGGGTCAAATTGGTCAAAATGCCAGTACCCCATTCCAAATATGTAACCAAATATCCGATTGCGTCGCTCTTATAGTGATTTAGTTAATTCGAATATAAGTAACACGTCTTATTATTGCCAGCTTTTTTTGTGTTTACATAGTAACAATGTATGTTTAAATGCATTTACATATATAATAATACGTAAAGTCATCGAGAGAAAATCGTTTAGAAAAAAAAAAACGCATAACTGTTATAATAGATGAGCCGATAATTACGATTGTGCATTTCAAAACTAATATAGACATATACTTACGTTAATTATGCGTGTCCAACGAGTGTAAATTAAACACTTAAAAAACATATTATACGATAAATGTCCGATTGCCATCGACTCCATCGTTCACGTACGTAATTGTTTTTTCCGTGTCTATTTACAATCATTTATTTTTATTTTTCGTTTGCGGTATGGATATTTAAACGAAAATATTATAAAATATGACTGCGGGTTACTAAAATATTATGTAGGTATATAATATCGCTGGTCAATAAATTTTTGTACATTGTACCGACGTGATCGTACACGGAATAAATTTAAAATTAAGTATAGTTAAAAAAAAAAAAACCCTGGACTTAGACATACTTGATTTGAATATACGTATTATATAGGCGAGACGTTGAAATATGATTTAATGTTTAAATAACGACTTTGAGAGTGGAGCTGGATAAATTATGTTTTTTTTTTTTTTTTTAACTTTGTATGAAATAATTTTTTCCGGTTTTTCCAATTATTAAGGAAATTTATTGGGAAATTCAAAATTGACTTTCATACCCATCAATCCATCAAAATAAAAATACTAAACATTTTTTAAAAAATGACCCACCCAACGCATTTAAATGTTATCAGGCTAACTCATGTTGCGTCCACAATGCTATACGTTTTTTTATTATTCAAACAATTTGTTCATAATTGTGTGTGTGTCTGTGTGTGATTGCAGGAGTAAAAACGTCAATTTAAGTTATTTTAATGATTGAATACAACAATAAGGATATTGAGAAAAATGAACAGAATCCAGTGGATTTTGAGACAGCAATTAAACATACAGGTAATATCATAAAATTATTACCCATCAAATGTATGTATATACTGTATGGTATCCGGTGAATTGATCGCAGCTGCAAATTGGTTGCCAAAAAAAAAAAAAAATAATTTTGTAGGTATTGATTTATATAGACTTTTCTAGTTTATACTACATAATTATTAAATACAATAGTAATAATAAATTTAATAAAATTGAATAATTTATTGTTTCTAACTTAATTTATCCACTAAATTATTACGAAAAAAAAAATATTATAATATAATACACAAAGTATGAAATATATAAAAATTAAACAAAATACAAACATTTTACTACTAATTTGTCATATTGTATAATTATATGTATGTGTATATTCTGCATTTTTAAAAAAATGGAAGTTAATAATTCAAAAAAATGTACAAGTTAATCCTGTGTCATTATCGCTACACAATTATTGATATCTGACCATAGTATATGAAATTCGTTCCAAATAGAAAAAATATATTCTTTTAAGTAACTTTAAGAGTATAAAACACAGAATAATGAATGAAAAAATGCTTATACCGCTGACGGATATGACATTTTTGTAGTTGGAAAGTTGGGAAAATAGAATATATACAGTAATTTAATTTATATCTTTGAACAAAAATAAACCATAGCAGACAAAAAACAATGCTGAGAGAAGTTCAGTTAAAATATTCAAATAACACTTAACATATTTAGACAATACTTTATGATTTGCATAATAATATTAATTTTAAACACATATAAAAATAAATTATTGCATATCACACTCAATACATTTTTTACCACTTACAATTTATAGTGAATTAAGTCGTGTTAAATTTTCGAGCATTTACGCTGGCTAAAATAACTTTTGTCACGTATCAAATAAAAACTTTTAAGTAAAATGGCTTTAAATAACTCAAAATCCACTAGAGTATATTGTTAAGTTTACCATGTCTAGAAAGGACAAAAGGTGGATTATAGTTATATATTAGGATAATATACACGAACCGAAATTTATTTATATACTCGTATTAAATCGGTTTATCTCATGTTTTTTTTTTTTTTAGGATACGGCTGGTACAATCAAAAAATGCTCGCGTGTTTCTTGCCGATATCGCTGACGACGATAATGTGCACGGCTTCGCCGTCGTTTATAGTGCCCGCCACTAGATGTTACTTTCAGTTGACGCCACTCAAGGAAGGAATGATGTTTGGCGCTTTTTATGTAGGTCAGTTTTCGGATGGATTTTATTAATTTATCCGGCACAATAATGGCGCAACATGTCAGATTTTCAAGCAACTGTAACTTTTAAAAAGTTTAAAAAAAAAAAAAAAAAAATATAGAAACGCTACATGGTGTTACATGTTGTGAATAATCGTATAATAATCAATATGATGTTTTTATCGATAAATATTTATTGTTCTGTACGCAGGTATGATGTTGAGTTCGTTTTTATGGGGTTTCCTCATTGACACTTTGGGCAGACAGAAACTATTTTTTTATGGATTACTTTTTACGGCGATTTTGGAGTTTTGTTCAGGACTCGCCCAACAGTTTTGGTCGTTCATATTTCTCAAGATTTTGTGTGGATTCATGTAAGTAAAAATATATTAATGAAGATTATTATTTTATACAAAATTATTATTACATACGTTTAGCAACTCGTATTTATATTATACCTGTGCTGTGTAATTTTATTAATCTAATAATACACGAAATTATTAAACCACAATTTTCTGACATTTTTTTGTCGTAAAAAACTTAAAACGTAATACATATTAAAAAATTCGTAAAAGTTGTAGGACTTGATTTATCATATGGAATAAAACAGTTCAGGCTTCGTAAAATAGTTCACATTTATACCTCGAACATTTCGTGTCAACTAAATCGGATTTATACAATATCATCTCGTATTCTATTGCAGATCGTGTTGCCCAAATTCACTGGGGTTCACGTTTTTATCAGAGTTCTACGACAAGCAACATCGAGACACGATCGTGTTGTGCGCCGGAGGATTCGCGGCAATCTCATTCGTGGTTCAGCCAAGTAAGTTTACTCTGTGTCATGTCTGGTACCCAGTGCCAGGAAAATGTATGTATTGATGAGGGAAAAAAAGCAAAACCTGTCCTTTGGACGTTTACTTATACGTTCAGTTACAGAACTTTTAAAATTTTTATTGGTGCCCCTGTGGGTACGCCCGGTGCGTGGGTACCTATGACATCCCCCTAGATACGGTCCTGAATATACAGGATAATCTTTTAAGGATGCGCATCTTACTATTATGATTAAATTATATCAAAATTAAATTTCACAATTTTTGAATTTTTGAGTGCAGCGAAAGAAGATCGTTTCGCATTTTTCCTGCGTATCCTGTGGCGATACCAACTTTAGTTCTTCAAAAGAGAACCTATTCGTTTTAAAGTAAATTATCTGAAAACGTTAATGTATTATAATCGAAATTCGAACGAAAAGTGTCGGAGTTATTCTGCTTTAAATACTATAAGGATAATATAGCATTATAATATGGAGATTGGATACCGACTGTATCATAGAATTTGTGTGTACGCGATTTCTTGTTATAATTCGTGCAGTTATCAAATCCGGTTTATGCTGTTATCTTTTAGTATTTAAAATAGAATAAGTCAGAAACTTTTCGTTCAAATTTCGATTACAATACGTCAGAATTTTGAGAAAAATTGGAAATTCGAACTAAAAATGTAGATTCTCATTTTGAAAAATCAATGTTGATATTACCCAGTATACTCCTTAAAAGTTGTGTAAATTCTAAGTGTTCAAAAATATTTTCTTACACAAAGTGTTCGGACGAGTATCTACACTTAAAAATCCACAAGTCGGAATTTAGATTTATGTATAACTTAACCATGGATATGGTGTAAGCACCATTAAAAAGTCGTCCTATATACGGGTAGCTAATTTTATAAACGGTTTTTAAAACGATTCAATATACTATTTATTTTTATTTTTTTTTTACAGTTTTAGCGTACGTATTGATTCCCTTGGACATAGATTTTGAATTTTTTTATGGATTTATAGCGATCAGCAATTGGAGAATATTTATAATCGCCGGTTCAGGGATTATGTTCCTATCAACGTACTTGACTTATTTTATGGACGAAAGTCCGAAATTCTTAATGGCCGTCGGCCGACATAAGGAAGCGTTGCACGTGTTCCGAAAAATGTACTCTCAAAACACAGGCAACCCGCCACAGTCTTATCCCGTAAATATGCTTTACCTATATAATATGTTAAACGAATATAATAACTAATTTGGATTCTTAAATATTATTTAAGTTAACCTCTTTAGCGTCGGAAGTAATGTCGGAAGATCGATGCATAAAATCGATGCCGTCGGAATTATTCGCTTGGGATTTCGTGAAGGAAGGGTGGTCACAAATAAAACCATTGTTTATGAAACCGTATCTAACCCTAACCATTTTGGGATCCATATTGCAATTTATGACAATGTTGATGTAAGTTGAATACTATAAAATAATTTTGAAGTTATTATACAGGATGCGATGTAATGGGGACTTCTATATTTCTGAGGTGAGTTCTTAAATAACGGTACAAGACATGAAAAAAAAAACTTAACTGGAAGTTTATATAATAAGGTTTCTTTTTTCAACTTAAGGTTTAAAAATTATATTTTTAAAATGTTTGCCTTGACGGTTGACACACATCTGGTTCCGCTCCTGGAAATTTTTCTTTACTATTCTCTTTAAAATGTGCTACTCAATCTCCCGTGACACACTCCTTTTTGTAATTTACCTCAAGCATATGGAAGTTCGTTAAGCCACACCTTGTACTTAGTTCGTCCGTTTAGATCGCCACCGTCGATTAAAATAACTTTTGATTTTTCTGTAATGGGCTGATTCCGTTTTATGCATAGTACTATTATAGTAGACATTTATTATAGATCCAGATAGTTTTTCAAGAGGGTTATTTGAGAATCAGAAGTTGATATTACAAGCCGTATTTACGGAGTACCGCATAAGGGTAAAGTTCTGAACAATCTGAACTTCTTTTAAATATGAAACAATTAAACGATTCCATCATAGTCACCGGAAAAACCAAAATCAGGTTTATTCGTCATTTTCATATAGATAATCGCTAAATCGTGAATAAAATATTCTGTATGCGTGCCTATACAGTAGTTTTGTAATCGGGCGAGTTTTCAAAGATACCTGACCGAATAATATTAAACTAATATGACCGATTTTTAAGGTTCACCACTTTTCGTTTCAAACTACCGAAAATGTACGCGACCATTCTAGCTGCCGAAGGCTTGCTGATGAGCAATGCTGAAACGAACGTCATTTCGGACTGCTCAGAAAACGTACCTATATTCACTATCGTTATACCTATCTAACATTATAATTTTAAATTAATAATTTTTTTTGTTTTACGAGACCGATATTATAACTATATTTCAGGTTTCCGTTTTAGTTAATCCAGATGTCTACGTGAAAAATATTTACATCGGAGCGGGATCGTTAATTTTATTTTGGCTCGCTGTATACAGTTCGCAATACGTCGATAAACATTACATGTTCCGTAAGTGTACATATATGTAATCAATATTCGTCTTATTGAGTTACTCATTTTCAATAAATTATACAATTATTGAATATAGTACAATACAGTGAAAAAGTAAAGCAGCCGATTGATGGCGTTTAACCAAAAAAAACCAAATACAATAGTGACGAATGGCCTAACTGCAAGGTTGCGAAAAATTAATGGTTGCAATTAATTTTTCTTTCGATACTCTAGCGGCGTTCTGTTGTCGGCTATGAATTTTAATTAAATTACGAGTATACTATATAAAGTTCTAACCAATTTTTTTATCAATGATTATTATTTCCTTTCACGATACAATTTTTTTGAAACGCGAAGAAAAAATGTTTTCGTCGATGATGTGCGTTTTGTTTGAAAACAACACATCGACTCAAAAATGCTTCACTGACGATATACCAACCGCCATTTTATAGTCTTAAATTATTTAATTTGTAGTAAATTAATTTTGTTTTTAGTGATTTTGAACATAATATGTGGATTTGGTATCGGAGTATTCCCTTGGACCGACGGGATCATAAAATTAATTATAGCGACTGCTTACGTAGGCATAACATTCGTAAACGTGAGTCTTGTGATCAGCATGTCGATTTCGGCCGTTCCTACTACATTAAGGTAACTTGGTACATTCAGCGTTGTGAAAATTGATACAAGTATCTTAAATACATATTACAGATATAATAATTGTATTTATTATCAAGTATCTTGTATTGCGATACTTTAATCAATGTAAGTATCTAGATACTCATTTTAAAATATATTGTCTATACGAGCACCTGAAGATGGCAAGTTGGCCCACTCCCCCTGGCTTTTCGAAAAAAAAAAAAAAAAAAAAAAATTGAAAATGGGGAAATTATTGGGAATTTCGAAAATGTTTCAAATAAATAATTACCGTATTTTTTAAGATACGTTTTTATACATTTAGAGAAGCTAGTGGATGCAATATCAGCACTATTTAATTTCACATCTTATAAAAAAAAAGAGCCGATAAATATGCTACTGTTATAAGTGGAAAGTAGGAAAAGTAGGATCTTCGTCATTAGTTTTTATAAGCCATTAAGGTCTATCATTGTTTTACACAACCACCTCCAATTCTCAATATCATTTGACAATTCCTTCTGGTTATCAACCCCAGGTATACGGAAGTTCTGGTTGGATTTGTCTATTTACTTTTTTTTCGACCAGCTCAGTGATCTCTTTCCTTCTGGTTTCCAGTTCAGTGCATCTTTCATTATGGTATACGTGTTTCAGTCAGCTCATTTTTCTTCCTTTAAGTTAATTGTAATTAAATACATTATTCGTAATACTCAAAATCTAAATATAATAATATTTATAAACGATTCATTATTTTACAGAAACGTAGCGTTTAGCGTCATTATAATGTTCGGTATAATCGGAACGATTTTAGGAAATTTAGTCATGCCAGTGTTGGCTGAAGAAAACGGTGAATTGTCACTTATGGTTAATGTAGTTTTTCATTCGGGTGAGTGTATAACGATTATTTTAATATTATGTTACATTGGTAAATTCATTTTTTTTGGGGGGAAATTTTCAGCTTGTCTGATTGTAGTTGCGGTGTTGATCAAAATCAAAAAGAAAATTCTAGACAGTCATTAGTTATTCAATATTAATACAGAAAGAAAAAAAAGAAAATGTTTTACTATTACATAAAACAAAAATGTACCTATATATTAAAATAAAAGTAAATTATTGTTTGGGGGTGGTTTTTTTATCCAAGCACATCGAAAGGTCAAGGAGTTGAAACTGATTGTTTCTTTTTCATCATTTTACTTGAACATAAGGATCCTGACAAGAACATTTATGAATTAATTCGTTTTCTAGAAAATGCTTATATTAGTAATACCCGGTGAAAATATCTATAATTTGTTTGTTTCTCATCGAATTATACAATAAAATCAATTTGAATAAAAACCAAATTTTCGTATAAAAATACCCTCCGATAATTTTAAAAAAAATATAAGAAGTTTTGAAAAATGATCTATTATATATCATAATATAATGTTTTTTATCAATTAAATCACTTTTTATGTATTTTACCTAACCAAAGTCCCACTATCAATAGTGCGATACCTATGTTGTGAAGTATACATTTTTTTTTTTAACTATTTGAATTATTTTTCTCATATATTAAACGTATACCTATATCCTATAGATTTACAGTATATCATGTATACCCATATTTTACAATAATTATTATAATTAAATAATATTTATAGTCGAGTAAAGCGATAAGTAATTATATGATTTGTACACAAAAAGTTCTTAATAAAAAAGAGGAATATCAAATAACTTGTCTAAAACAAACAAAATAAAAATACTATGGCACACGACTGTTGCATTTTTTATTTTTTTTTCGTGGTTGAAAATACGATAATATTTCGTCCAGGGATCTTCCTTTGGTCTCCGGTAAAATTAATTGGGTGCACAGTGCGGTTAACAAACAGGAAATTGCGAATACGGTCCAAACATTTTCTGTCCCAAATCTCCACACCAACGACGGATAAATTTTGACCATTACGAACCACAAAACGTATCCCCAAGTGTTCATGACTCCACTCATTGTTCCTGAAAATTGATTTTCAAAACATTTAAATTCAATCGTTTTGAGGAATATGACGTAATCGTAGTACCTAATATAGTTTTGTGGTGTTATATATTTCGTTTACGTTTTTCAGTATTTTGTCCAAAAATGTTGCCCAAGTATATTAGAAAATATCTTTATTCAACAGAATACTCTGTTACAAAATCTAGGTATCTATAATTATTTTTTTGAAAGTTTGATGTAATTAATCATTAATCATCTATATTCTATATCACAATTCGAAAAAAAAAATACTGCAGATAAAACTATCTTGTTTATCAAAGAAGGACATTTTGAAAATAGCGTCCATGAAATAAACGACATAATGTTCGTAAATCTCGTGTCACAGTGAAAAAAATGTAAATGCACTATAGTTTCCTAACTGTATCATTTTCAGTTTCTGAGTGGAGTGGAGTTTATGATGGTTTTACAAAGATTTATTTATTTGTTTATTTTTTCTCTCGATAACTTTTCTACAAGAAATTTTTCTTTGATTTTTAAGTGTAGCACTTTTTCTGAAAGTAAATCGGACCGGGGATGTATTTTAAAGAAGTAATCTTTTGAATTACCCAGGTGTTTCCTCAACAAATAGGAAAAATCCAGGGAAAAACGGGAAACTGTACGAAATGTAGGTATATTAGTTGAAAAATATCTAGGCCTTTTGTTTCTTGTGAACAACTCTTCTACAAGAAATTTTGCTTCGTTTTACAATAAAATCACTTTTTATGAAAGGAAATCTAGAAAGGTACTTTAACGAAGTCATTTTTCGATTTTTCCGAGTTTTCCCAGAAAATGTGTAAACAGGGAAAAACCTGGGAAATCGGTACATTAAACAAATATTATTAAAAAAAAATACATATATAGGTAGGTAATGCCTATTAAATTATTTTACCCTGTGACACATATATTAAATATAGTAAGAAATATATAAATAAAAAAGACGTCCTAGGATAATGGGGTCGGGTGCAGCCACTGTTATAGATAATTTAATGTATACCTGTAAGCAACGATAAACCATTGCTTACGAAAGAGTGGAGTTCAGTTAATAGTAATGTTTTTCAAAAATATATATGTAATTTTATAATAAAGTAATTAAATAGGCTTTATATATTTTCTTTAATAATATTTGTTTAATGTTGTATCAATTTTCCAAGTTTTCCTACGTTTTTCTCGGTTTTCCCGTGTTTTATCTCGGGTTTTGTTCACGTTTGTTGTGAAAACTCCTGAGATAATCAAAAAATGACCTTTCTAATATAACTCCCTAGTGAAATTTCCTTTTAGAAACATTACTATTAATATAAGGTTCAGCAAAATTGTTGGTAGAAAATGTTAAGATTAAGAAAACTACAAGGAATATCAAAAAGTGAGTCTTTCAATGTAATAACTAAAAATTGAAAATGATATGGAAATGTTTTTAAAAAGTTTTTGATCGGAGCGAAATTTCTGGTAGAAAATTACTTTACATTCTCAGTAAAAAAAACACGTAGTGTTCAAACCAATACCAATAACCAATTTCTTGGTTCGCTCGGAACCTAAACAACTCTAGCAAAGTCCACCTTTAGAATACGATAATTAGTTGTTATTATTGTGGCATACCTCTGACGGCTATTGGAAATAGTTCACCGCAGATTATCCACGGTACGGACATCATTCCCAACAGCGCGAAATACATGTAAGAGAAGAACCCGACGACCGGAATCGCGGAGTATTGGTCGGGGTTTACGGTAGCCCATCCGACCGTTTTCAGATAGACGACGACTATGCCAATGGATACCGCCATTCCGGTACCCGAAACGATCAGCAACACCCGGTATTTGACGCGGTGCATGGCCATTAACGTCAGGCTGCCCAGTAGTCGGGAGATGGCCAGGTACTTGTTGACGGTGATCTTGTCCCACGGCATCTTGTAGTCGCGGAGTATTTCGCTAGCGTAAAACAACAACACGTACACGCCGCCGATCTGTTGAGTGGTGAATATCAAGCCGAGCAACAAAGTCGGCATCCACACGGTCCGGTCCATGTATAATGACCAATACGACGGCGACTCGACACGAACGTTTTGGCCGTACCGGTCAACGTCTTTTCCGCAGTCTCCGGTGTTTTTGCGGTCGTCTTCGTCGTCGAGGTCACTCTGAAGATGGCGGTCGTCGTCGTGTATCTTCGACCCCACCGCCGAAGTCTTCTTCTCGGCATCGGAAATCCGCCGCACGTCAAACCATCCGGCCGCTTCGCGAGCCTGGTCCGTCCGGCCGCGAGACTCGAGCCATACGGGCGGCTCCCTAACCAGACACAATGGCACGAAACCGGCGACGCTGGCCACAAACAACACCACGGCCATCGTCGACCACGGGTAATATGAAGACAACACACATTCGATCAACATGCCCAAGCCCACGAACAGCACGACGGCCGACCCGTAAATCGGCCGCAGGTAGGTTGGACACACTTCGGCCATGTAGACCATAAAGCAAGACGACGAACCTATAGGGTATTAAAATGTTTTTCAAACATTTTTTTTTTGTCAATCTATTGGATTAATGTATAATAAAATAAATGTCACGGAATAATATTTGATTTTAGTTTGTACTAAAAATTTAAAACTTTTATTTGTGAATTCGTGATTAGTTTTGATTAGTGACAATATTCATAACACAATTAAATTCAAGATATATTGTCAGTATTTTGTAATTTGTTCAAAAATAGCTTTTTCGTTTTTAATTAAGAATTTAGTATGCCGTTTACCAGTCGTCTTTTAAGTAAGTAGAGAATATATCTACTACTTAGGAACCAACATAATATATATCACAAAATACGGCTCTGAATTCAATGCAGTGAAAAAACTTAAGAATGCTAAAAACATGTCAAAATATGCAATATAAAATAATTTTTAATTAAATGTTTTATTTATTTATTGCTATATACGATATATAGGCATTACTTACCAGCCCGTTCTCGTGTATACAAATTTATTTATTTAATAAAAAAAATTTCTTCAGAAAAAAATTTGAATTTGAATGTTGAATAAATTGATTTCTGTAATATTGACTTATTTTACTGAATCTTTATCTTTACCTAACCCGTATACAGCTTTTGTAACATATAACTTTATAAAATATAAATTTGACGTGTATACAGCCTGTATAAAACAAAAATTATGTGTGTAAAGATGTTAATTGACGGAATTTAATTAAAAATACCGGTAAATGAATTAAAAAGAAAAAAATATGATTTGAAAAGTCCGAGAAATCACCTTAAAAATTAAAACGTTAAAAAATACAAACATATGCAAAATAAACGTTTCATAAATGAATTTGTTGTAATATAATTCAAATTATGTACTTAGAAAACTAAGAATCGTTTGACAATCAGCTAAGAAAAATGCACTTTCCTACAAATTCACAGCCCTAGTAATCATCTGTACTAAACTTACTCAAAATAAAACGTGTGACTAACCGCGAGCATTTGACCATTATCAGTGTCAGTAAGATATTGCTATTTTGTTGTTTATCGCACCGAAACTTTTTTTTAACTGACATTCAGTATTGAGTAAGAAACGATTTAAAAGGATTGATATAGAAGTAGCATTAATTGAGGAGATATGACAAAAGTTCAAAAACGGTGGACATCATATTGGTATAGTAGGGCTGATAAGAATATGAAGGGCATGTCAATCAAAATCAAATATTAAAAAAAGCCAAACATACTTGTATCAAGAGTTACTCACTGTTGTAGATCGGACGTGTGGAAGGTATAGGCTATAGAGTAATTTAGTTTATACCGAAAGACAACGATAGTTAATTAATGCAATCAAAAGACCATTTTGAGTGGAGCTTGGTGAACTAGTTAAGTTACCATAATAGTAGTCGTGTTTTTTCTTTCCAACAAAGGTAATCCACAAATCAACGAAAAAAAATCCTAATATATTGTTTCAAGTTTCGTAAGTTTTAGAAATTTCTAAAAAAAACTATAAAAATATGTAAATTAAGTTACCGGCCGAAATTTGCGCATATTTTAAGTTACGACGAAAGAAATTTGGAGCATTTTCCCTAACCTAATAAGTATATTTTCCGATAGAAAAATAAACACCACATCTTAGTAAATGTAAGAGGTTCTATCGCTACATTTGGAATGCAAAATCAAAAATATCCCGTTTCAAGAACATAATTATTATATTATCGTCAGCTATTGTAAAGGTATTTAAGTAGTTATATAAAAAAAAGTCTTACAGTATGTAATTCCTAAAATCATTCTTGCAAACATGAACGATTCATAAGAATGGACATACGCGAATATCGCCCAACTCGCAATCATCGGCATGTAAATGATTTGGAGGGCTAGTCGTCTGCCAAAGTTGTCCATTATTATTCCGACTATGGGCAAACTGAGAGGACACACGAGCACCGGGATACTGGCTAAAATAACATTATAATATTATAATATGCAATATAATTTCATTCGCGTCAAAATGCAGCGTCATAGTGCCAATTTAATATTGTTTAAATGTTTGTAGGTATGTTATAAGTACGTAAATTGCGGATGAAAATTTAGGATTAGTGTGATAAATTTTTGGCGTTGATAAATAGATCATTTTTAATTATCTAGGTATGGGATTTATTTATGGGTAGCTATAACTAATTTTTTGAATAATTACGTCTTCTGGTGTAGTGTTCAGCATTATACAGATAAATATACAGATAAATAAATAATTCATCATCTGTTATTTTTTTTAAATAATTTAAAAAATTCGCTATGTTATCTTTATCTATAAGATTTAATTATTTAAACTAATTTATCTAGATACATTTTCAACTTTTTTACCAGTAAAACAATTTGTATTCAGTTTGAAATCAAATTTAAAACACGAGCTATACGAATAAATACCAGAAAATATAATATAGGTAATAATTATTTATTTTTAAAATATAAATTACTTGATGAAAACAATTTATAAATTATTAAAATTTGAAATATTTACCTTTTTTTTTTCAAATCTAAATAAATTGTATTAAATTATCTTTTATCATTATCTAGATACATTATATTAGTCACGAGTTATTTAAATGTGGGTAATTAATTTTTATTTACATAAAACTTTCGTACATAATCGAATAGTAATATTATATGTACTTGATTGTAAAATATTTGGAATGTAATAGTTTACAGTATTATATTATTATAGGATTCGGTTATTTATTTTTTTGAAAAGGAAATTTCAATTATACAAAGTAATAGTTGTGGACAAATTCGACTTGATAATGACGGAGCTATGTTGCTAATTTTTTTATGTTTTTTACAGCTCAACCATTTAATTCGGATTATCGTCGTGTTTTTAGCTATAGGAGACGCGCACACGTTGCATTTCAATTAAACGAATAAGCTACACATACTTATCCAAGATTCCTGTTCAGTGTCGAATTTGAAATTCGAGGACGGCAGTCGGAGTTCCGCCAAAAAGTTGCTAGTGAACGAATATGTACAACCGATCAAAAGTTGAACGTAAGACGTTGCCATTATACAAAATGCCTACAAAAAAAAAAAAAAAAAAGAACAATCATTAAAACCATTGGCTTTCGCAAGATGAGTTAAATGAGACACTACCTCATGTATAATTTCATTAACATTACATTAAGTTTCAAAATCCTATAATTAATTCCGTTCGAAATTTAGTTGTAGGTAGGTATAGTATAGTAGAGTTACCGTATTATTATAAGTATATGGTTTTAAATGTTCAAAATAATTACAAATTACTGAAGTCTATAAAATCAAACAAATAACACTTTTATTAGTCAGTGATATAATAACTGATTTGTCTCTCCACAACGCATGCTAACACGTCTCCTCTTGTTGTAACATTTAAAAACTATCCTCGTCTACACTTATTATTTATACAAAAGTCACGAACAGCTGCTGAAGATTAAAACTATGAGTAAGTATTATTAATGTACGTTTGTTACCTATCCAGTGGCGGTGTGAGATATTTACTTCATGACCTAACCTAATCCAACCTATAGTTTGAAAACCTATTTACTCATTTATATTCCATCACTAAGTATTCCGTAATATTATACCAATACCCACACACCCACCCACTGACTTGAGTCCCGGCACTCATAAAACTGCTTTCGCGCCGCCACTGTACGTATCTGTTATATTTTTTTGGTCCCGGGGAAGAAGGACTAAAGACAATTTCGTATAGTTTTTAATACTAACAAAATCAATTTTGAAATCTGCTAAATGAAATGATAGTGATGGCACGATTTCTAAATGACTAAATGGTTTAAGACGTTATACTCGCATCAACTGTCTCAGTCCAACTACCAGGTAACATGCAAAAACAATGTTTACGCAGAATAAATAAAATTAGCTTAATTTTGATTTTAGAATAAAAGTACCTATTATGAAATTTAATAATAAGATAAAATTATTTTAGAGGAAATGTCATAGAGTTTTTGTAGTAGTGTTCAAAATATACAGCTCGATATAACAGATACAAAACCCTTTTTTTTTGTTTTTAAATAACTGTTATTATTTTAACAGTTCACAATTCAAAAAAACATCTATGACGTCCTCTCCAAAATATTGTTTCCTTTAAATTGTATAACGTGTACTCAAAAGCTGGTTTTACTTATTCTGCGTAAGCATTGTTTTTACATGTTACCCGGTTGTTGGACTGAGGTCTGAGACAGTAGACGCGGGTATAACGTCCTCTTAACCTAAATGGCGAATAAAAACTATGTCATAATGACTATAGTGTTATTTTAATATCTAGAGTAACTGAATAACACATGCGTTAGAAATGTAAAATACATATTGTGCGCTCATGCCGTTTATACCAACAAATTAAAGAAAATAAATTGCAAATAAGATGAAATGATTAAAAAATATCTTAAAAAAAAAAAAAATAATAATAAAAAATTCCGAAAATTGACTTTGAAAAAAAGTCCTTCATCTCTGAGAGCCAACGATTTAACTATTGATACCAGTATTTGATACGTACGAGTTTTAGATGACAAATTAATTTTTTGCGATCCATGTTTTTGACGCGGACGATGAAACTCACTAATTTTTCGATATCTGCCACATGCGTGGCTACATGCGTTTCGATTCCAATGCGATCATTTGTCCAAGATAATATTATGTTTGTCGAATCGTCGCATATTAATCGAATTATGCCCGAAAAAAATACACTATATTTTCGGCGTGACCGGGAGTATGTACCTATCGGATAGTAAATAAGTACGATTAATATAATATTATAACGACGCGATAAAATAAGTCTATGAAGAGGGTATTACAATAGATAACGCGAATATTTACTGTACCGGAGACGACAATCACGAGCCGAGTACCTGTAAAAAAAAAAAAAAAAAAAAAAAAAAAAAAATAATAATAATAATGAAAATCAAGAATAATAATATTGAACTATATTTATAATACGCCGAGTATGGGTATGCGCGCGACGTAAGACGCGTAAGGCAAAGCGCGAAGTGGAATCGTTCGAGTAAAAAGAAAAAAAAAAAAACAAAACAAAATATAAAAAATTAATTATTCAATATATTATTATGATGTACTCGTATATTTTGTTGATTTACTTAGATTTATCTTGCGCGTAGATGCGAGCATCATAATCAATAGTGACAGCTATTATATTATCTATTGTATACAGGGTGATTCTCATTCCCGCACAGAACGATTATTATCTATGTAAGACGATTTCGAGTAAATAACCTATTTTTTTTTAAAAACCGTTGTATTTACATTATTATATATAATTCATTATATCGTTTAACGGTATCTTGCAATTATTCTAAAACCTTTAGCCTATATTTAGCGAGAAGGGACTTGTTTAAGGGGAATTAGGCGGCTAAGTCCCAAGATATAGATTTCAGTTCCCCTCGCAAGAGTTGAACGTTAAACGTATAGATATCATAATAAAAAATTACGAATTACAAAATTGATCTTATCTGTTAGATATATATTATGCTAAATAATAAGTATACGGGCATATGACATTTTTTTTCCTGATAACCGACAGCAGTGGAAAACATATGAATATTATAACATCACTAGCTGTCCCGCGCCCGGCGTTGCCCGTGCCAATACATGCCTCGTAAATTATTTAGTTATGATTTCGCATGAAAAATAAATCTTAGTATTATATGACTCGGGAATTGAGCACTACTTCTACCTCTAAATACGTCTTTAGTAGCGTGTACACAATAACTTGATTTTCATGCAGCAATACTAAACTCGAATTTGAAAAAATAATGCGCAATATTTTTTTCATTATTGTTTTGACGGTAATAATGAAATATCGATTACACGTCTTAAACATTGCGAACTATGTATTCACTGTAAAATGTCTGGAAAAGAATTATAAAACGTATCCTCGAAATCATCGTATACAGACACGATATTAATGTATATAAACAATCGTTCTGTATGCCTACCTCTGACGGATATTCGTGTAAAACAGCCATTTCTAACCCATAGGCCGTGGCCCACTTGTGGGTCGCGGGCTTCGCAGTACTGGGCTACGGACGCTTGGACGAGGGTCTAAGCCAAGGATCGGTAAATTGTGATGTACTAATTGCCATCAAAATCGAGATCTTTATATTATATTATATCAATATTTCTGATTAGATAGGATTATAATCATAGCAATAATTAAAACAACAACATTGGTCCTGTTCTGGATAAGTGTTCGACAAGATTATCCAGCAACTGCCAAAATTACACAGAGTCACTTGATGGGACTTTTTGATGACCAATTAATGCGAACCTTCTGAACCAATAATAGTTATAATCACTAATAAATTGATGATTGAGAGTGATTTGACGCTAAGACTATTCAGTTTTAATCCTGAAATTGACTCTCTTGTGGGAGTAAAAAAAGACGGTCATACTTCGCACGTGGGTGCAGCCAGGGTCGTATTGAGGTTTGGTGGTGCCCCCGGCGAATCACTGCATTTGCGCTCCCCCCCCCTACATATTGGACATTTGCATTAGTTTGAAAAAACTATTTGAGATATATAAAACTTATGCTAAGTAATGAATAAATACGGGACGTATGGTATTTTTACGCATTTATGCATAAAAGACATACGCAAAAATATGCAGTTATCAAAAATATATGCATTTATATATTGTATGAAAGTATTTTTGTTCATCAATGTTTTTCATTGTAAAATCAAGTGGAAAATTCGTAAATTTCTTACGCATTAAATGCTCTTTGATTTAGTTTAAACTAATTAATCAAACTGTTCTTCTTATACATTATAGTTCGCACGAGTGCTTAAAAGCCGCACAAATAAATCACCATAATGTTGTACTCACGTAGATTTGACGTCTACGACGTCTGATGCATAGTTAATTTGAAAATAGACGAATCGGTGACTAGTGTTATTGTATACACCCCGCGGAATAAGAACGTACATCGTCGCGCCGACGGCAGACCGGTCCCCCGCCCCGGTATGTATGTATAAATACACGCATGCCCAATCTAGTTTACGAGAATATTATTCGCATATCAATATTAAATTATACGTGTAACATATGGATATATTCCGTCAATGAGTTGACAGTATTTCAAATTTTTTACTCCAACGGCATTAGCATAAATAATTTTTACGTAATAAAAATAGTGCGAGGCTCTACATTGTAAGTGGGTAAAATTAATACACATTTATCAAAAATTACGTGAAAAATATTACATAAGTAGTATTGAAATTTGCGCCCCTGGCCCATGCCCTCTTGTTCTGCTCTGAATACGGCTCTAGGTGCACATCCACTGTTGTAGGCGAGAATTTGGGAAGGTAGAATACAAACGAAAATTCAATGTATATCGGTAATCAACGATAAACCATTGCTAACGAAAAAAAAAAATAGATTCTGAGCGGAATTCGATTGATAGTGATGCCAACAATATATATGTCATATTATGGTAAAACGATTACAACAATGTGCGTTTCCGTGACAACAGTGATTGTTTAAAAAGGATTAAAATAAAAATAAAAACTTAATAGTAACAAAAAATAAATTAAAAAAGGTTACCAATGATAACCGTATTTCTAATCTTTCAATCTTTTTTAATCTAAAGAGCCAGGTTTTTCTCATTATCTCGAATATCAATGACTATTTATAAAACCGTAGTATTTTTTCACTTCTAACGAAAAACACGAAAATCGCGAAGAAGAACCTTCTAATCGGGTGACCCAATCCCGACGGCCGTGACCACCACAGTTTAACCTACAAAATAATTTATATTGTCAAGTATACAAATAACTATTGTTATAATAGATACTATTATTATGATGTAGAGAAAATCTCATTAGCCCCCCCCACCTAAGTTTCCCGTTTTATTGCTTACGCCAGTACACCTGTAAGCATCCTTTTTAGTTGTGGGGACCATTCAATTTTGTGAAAAAAAAAAAACTTTAAGGCTCACTAATTTAATATACAGGTAAAAATATAACCATACAATATACAAACACAAAGACGTATTATACCGGGTGATTCTTTTATCGTTAAACACTTATTATTTCAAAAAGTATTGACATTTTTAATTTTTTTTTTTTTTTTGTAAACTTAAAAAACAAATAGTTCTAAAATGCTACATTGTACCATTTTAGGAGAAGAGCAGTGAAACATTATCAAAACGCCGTGCATCACGTTGTCACATAAATGATGTTCCACTACTCTCCCCCGACCCAAACTTAAAAGTGGAATATCTCGTCAACGGACTGATGGAAATTTAAAATGTCAACACCAAATTTATTTTCACTTACACTCCATATATTTATGGGATTTTTAGTTTAGGTTGTTATTTGAAAATTAAAAGTTTGTAGCCGTTTCGCTCCCAAAAATAAGTATAACATTTAAGAACTATTTATTTCTCAAGTTTTCAAAAAAAAAAAAATAAAGATTTCAATACTTTTCGATATAATAAGTGTTCAACGATAAAAGAATCACCGGTATAATATGTCTTTTTGTTTGTAGTTTGTATGTTCATATTTTTTACCTGTATATTAAGATAGTGGGCCTTAGGGTTTTTTTTTTTTTTTTTACAAAATTCGGTGGTCCGTGCTACTAAAGAGGTTGGGAATCGCTGGCGTAAACAATAAAATCGGGAATCTTAAGGGAGCTAACGGGATTTTCGCTACATCATAATAATAGTATTTATAATAACAATAATTATTTGTTTACTTGACAGTATGAATTATTTTGCAGGCTGGACCGCAGTGCTCGGGGACTGGGTCATCCGATCACAAGGTTCTTCTTCGCGAATTTCGTGTTGTAACGGGACAGTTCTGCCGTTATCGTGCAACATGACTCATAATACACAGCACGCGCCCGCCGACACCGACGCGACTAAACCAACCGTTCCCAGAGCGCGGTTTTCCCATACGTTACACATAGAGAGCGCTGCCAGCCAACACGTCTGTATCATTCTAATCACCACGGTACCAACGAGTACGCTACTACGGTCGGCTACGGCAATTCATACGCATATAGGGGCTGGATTACCAATAATGCCCCCCCCCACTAGCGACCCGGGTCGGGTTATGTCCGACATTCTAACCGGGTACGACGAACCGACGTAGCAGACGGGTGAAATTGTAGACTATATCCGGCATCAAGTAGCACGTATTCGTCTAGTTACGTGGTATGAAACCAAATCGACAGCGGACGAGTCGACGGCTCGGAGCTTAGCCGGCGGGTACAGTCTTTCATCTTCGACGCTGCCACCGGGCTACAGAAATCCATCTGTAGCATACTTGTGGCAGCAAGTCGGCCGCCACCATCACGCACATTGTACGGGCTACGGCACACCATCGTGTAGCATATTTCACTCGTGCGTCACTTTGACTGGAAGAGTACTTACAAAATATGTGGAATGAATATACAAATAAAAATACCGATGGTTTAACTTATATAAAAAAAAATAGATACAAATTGTATCACACAAATTAAATTTAATTAAAAAAATAGAAAATAAATCTGAATAGATAATCATATAAAATAAGAATTACGACGTAAAGTTTGAACTACTTAAATTAAACACACACACACACACGCACACACAAACACATTTTTAATTATGCTTCAAGCAGACAGTCCTAGGCCTGTTAAAGTGAGAAGGAAAATCATCATACCTAACATCACTTAACATCTGTGTGCATAATCGAGTTGTGTGTTTTCGCGCAAAAGGTAAATGTGCGCGAACGAGTGGCCCTGGGAGTCACCTGATTGCGGCCGGTGAAAAGTATGTAAGAAATACCGTTTTCAATGGATATTAAAACTAAATAAATATCTCGATTGCGTTCAAAATATTTTCATGTAAATATAATATAGTGCATTTACACGAGCTATCTATTCGTCGTCGTATAATAGTGCTTTACATTATATATCAGAGATGAGAAAAAAAAGATGGTTGATAATAATTCTGGTCATTTTTACCCCTCCCCCCCCACCAAAAAACAAAAAAAAAGAAGAAGATACGAAGCCGTTTTTAGTAACTGTTACTATATTAATAACACTTTCGGGTTAATAAAGCAATACATTTTGGTACGAGGCACGGGTGTAGCCAGCTACTATTATATCGTATCATGTCCTGGTAATTTTATGTTCGGTCTGAAATGCCCTGTGATAATACATGGTTCGGTCGAAAAGAATTCTGTACGATTTTGACGCGAATAAATAAAAATAAAATCGCTTTCGATGTCTGTGCTAATTCGATTTTCGTTTTTTAAAAAAAAAACCCGCTTTGTGATAATATTATAACGTTTATAATACGTTGAGTCTTACCTGTTGCAGTAGTGTCATTTGCGTGCGCCGGTAAAATCGGGTCGATTAAAACGATACAGATCCGAGACTGCGGTAGTTGCCGGAACGAGCACAAACGGATCGAAGAATATAATATTACACTTGACGTGTACGACTTCGTTTTGTTATCAAACGACTACAGTGTATAACAAACAATATTTATACGATTTATATTGACTGAACTTGCGAAGGTCAAGTTGCCGTTATATTGTTAATATTTTTGATTATCACGTTGCATTGGTAGGGACGCCGCGAAACAAAAAGATAACAACAAGTGACTATAATATTATATTATACAGTTTTAACATACGTGATAATATTATTGTTTTTCCGGTAAAAAATTTTCATAAATACTGGTTTTTACTGTTCATAAATAGGCCTTCGCTGTTTTTGGTGGGTATAGTTGAGAAGGGTTTAATATGCAAAGAAATATATATTTTTTATACTGTAAATGACAAAATTTGTTACGAGCGAAAGAACAATTCTGAGTGCAGTATATAGTTCATGTAAGGACTTGGAACCGAAATTAAAAATACCGGTAATTAACCGGAACCTTTTGAAAATATTGGAACCGGAAACTCACCGAAATCCTTTTTTGATTTTCTTAGAAAACTAAATAGGAACCGGAACCGATATTTGTTGGAAAATGATTTTTCGGTTTTTCTCGGTTCTCGGTAGGTAAATAACTATTTTGTATATTTAAGTATTACATAAAAATTATTGATTCATTACATTTTGGTTGATGTAAATGTATAAGTGTATTTATATTTTATAATTCTATAATCTATTTCCAGATAACTATAAAACAATACGATCAAAATAGTTACCAAAATAAACAAAAAAAAAAAACACATACTAGTAAAATTAATATTACTTGTAGATCCGTGGCATACACGCAGAACCTAAAGTAAATATTAAGAGAGCTGATACTGGGACGGGTGCAGCCACTGTTGTAGGTGAGACGTTGGGAAGGTAGGATACATAAGATTATTTCATTTATATCTGTAAGTAACGATAAACCATTGCTAACGAAAGACAATTCCGAGCGCAGTTCGGTAATATATAATTTAAAGCGCCGTAATTTTTTTTATTTTTGCGATTTTCGTTTAAATTTGATTTCAAAACGCTTAATTTTACCACTTCTAGGTAAGTTCAATATAAGTTATTATATTATATTAATATTACCAAGTTTCAAGTCTCTACGTGTATTTATAACCAAATTACAGCAAAAAAACTGCGAAAAATTAAAATTCCTTAGAAACTCAAAGGTTTTGGCGATGACACCGTAAGAAAGTAAATCAAAAAGGCAACATAAAAGGTGTTAAGTGATTTTTCGATTAAATTAATTTTTCTGGTAGAATACGTCGTCTGTGTTTTTATAAAATAATGAAATCGTGAAATCGTACGTTTCCCTATGTTTTTTTCCCACTTAAGTGCTTTTATTTAAAAAATAGCGTCGAAAATCAAGAAATAACCTTTTGGTACCATCCAGACAATACTTGAGCTTTCAGTAAAGTTGCTACACGTAAAAATCGGAGCAAGTTTACTACGAAAAAAACGTGTCCACACACTAGAACAAAAAACAAAATAAACAGCATTGGAAGACCAATAGCTCCCTTGCTACGCTCAGAATCTAATATATAAATAATATATATTGTTACTCGTCGGTTTGTAAAACCCGTGGTCGTGATTATATTTATAATTATGAAATATTTTTGGATGATGTTTGGTGATGATGAACAGTGATGTACAATAAAATTATTATTTAAATTTAAAATTCAAAATATAATAATATAATTCTAAGTGAAGTTCAATTACACAGATTTTAAAATTTCGTAATTTTTGTCAAAATTTGATATTTAAATTACAGAAAAAAAAAGAATACTAAAATTTTTTTTTTTTTTGTGACCATTAAATTACCTCCTGTTAAATTTTCAAGCATTTCTGTTTTGTTTAACAATTTTATCTATTTTTAATTTTTCTCTACATCTGTCTTAAATATATCAAATAAATTATTATATTACGTCTATCTGTTTGTCTTACAAAAACTATAATCGGTGAACATCTACACCAGTAAGTATATTATAATATTGTGTTAATTACCTAACTATAGTCTGTGTCGACAGCCGAGCTCATAGTATAACATTTTTTTTCTCAGTTTTTATCTCATGATGTAATATACCTAATGTGTGCCATACATATTACACGAGAATATTATGAGGAAACAATTTTTAATTTTTTTAAACCATTTATTACAGGAAATTTAACATATTATATTTTTTAAATAATATAATACCGAGAACACGTCACATTATTTAATTACATAATATTGAAATATAGCTCTTTTACAAAATTAATTTTTCGTCTTAAATCTATTATTCATTATAATGGAACTTATACGTTACAACAGTGTTGCCAATGTTGTAGTAGCCAATATTGGGGGAAAGGCTTTCAAAAAACCGTACTACCAATAAGATTATCGTAAACAATTTTTTTCAGACAATTAAGCCTATTTAATCTCTTTTCTATGATTAAACCCGTGATGAGATCAGGTGATCAAATAATATTATCTATGAACCTTAAATTAAGCCTACTATCAAGGTGTATTTCTTTAAGGTGATAAATACACCTTGCCTACAACTGCGATACCTGTCTATAAAATATGATTAAATTATTCACAACTCAAAATACATATAGTATTATCATTTGTAATACTATCGGTTTCATCAAACTGTAATAAGCATAGTAGTAAATTATATACAGTACCTACTGGCTAATATACTTATTATAATAATAATCTTTGATAATATTATTTAATAATTGCATGGTTATGCAAGGATAAATAATATCTAATAATATCCTTGGTCCTGCTGTTATTATATTATTACATATTATATAAAAATACGATGATAAACACAATAAACCGAATGATAAATACGATAATAAGCCCAATAAACGCGATTAAGTTAAATTATAACCCTTGGAGGGTCCTCCCAATCTATGAGGGTATTACTAATGTCGGTGGTCGGTACACTGCTCTACACAGCCCCGACGGGAGCAGAGCACGTGACCAAGATCGCCAAATGCCGTAATTCACAGCCCTTAGGGTCTCCCGCGCGTACCGCACAGTATCAGCTGATGCCACCTCGCACACTTCCAGGAAACCTATTTGCCCTAGGGAGAAAAAGGATTGAATACCTGGACAGGAGCGCAGGGTTCTCGCGGACCTGAAGAGATGGGTCTTTAGACGCACTAAAGGTCTCTCATTTTTCATGTCACGCGGCTTAGGTACGAATGGGACGAACCCCAAACGCGGAGTGCCTATACTGCTGACACCCGGAAAATACCGTCGAGCATACGCTCTTTGTATTCTCACACTGAGAACTTTACCGGCAAGACGTCAGAGCGCATGTTGGCGGAAGAAATATAGCTCCCAGCGACGTTTAAAACCTACTCTGCGGCTCGGAAGACATCCCATTCTGGGATTCTGATCGGGCTTTACACGATCAGATCGAAGCAGCCTCCTTTCGCGGCTCACAGTCCTTTTATTGGATAATAGAAGACATACTGAGCTGCAAGAAGCAAGACGAGAGGATAAAGGAGGCTGAGGCAAGGGCAGACCAGTTGCCATTGGGGCAGCCGACTTAACAGTTCTGTGCACCAATGTCAATAGAGAAAAGTTGTCAATATAACATTTAAAAAAACGGAAATATTTCGCACGTGGGTGGGTCACTGTTATTGGTGAGAAGTAGGGAAGGTAATAGAGAAGAAACAGAATGTATATCTGCACGCAACGATTAACCATTTGTCACGAAAAAGCAATTCTGAGATAATTTCGGTTGAAAGTGTTATTTTGTTAATATATATATGTCATAATATGGTAAAATAATTACATATTATTTAATAATATTTGTTTAATATTGCACCTATTTTCTCGTTTTTTCTACGTTTTTCCTCCGATTTTCCTATGTTATTCCCTGGATTTTTTGAAGAAAAATAAAAACATTTATTTTTGAAAAAAGTCTGTACTTTGCAAAATAATGAGGGTTCAATGATAAAAGAATCACTCTGTATACTACCAATATAAAGTAAACAACGAAAAATAAACAAGAAGGCAGGTGTGTCAAAACCAATTTTAGTGCATATTACTTTGTTATGAAATTACTTATTTTATACCTAAATTTTTAGTGCTGTCCCCATAAATAATTTTTGTAAATATACGAATAAACTCAGTTCAATATACCCATGCGAATTTTTCAACTTTGAAAAAACTGCAGTGTTATTTGATCCCAACCTAATGACGTTTTAAAAATAATTTGTTAATCTTATTGCCTACTTAGTTTTGTTATGTTTTCGATGAAGTTTTAAACTTTAATAATAAAATCATTATTTTCTTAAATTCGCCCGTTTTTCCAGCAATTAAGGAACATAGAAGGAAAATAAAAAAATTACTTTCTCAATGAATCAACTAGATCCAAAATGCTATAAAGAAGGTTTCTGGTCTTTTTTTGATTCGAGCAATATTTTTTGTAGAAAAGATAAGTACAGATACAAAAACAAATCAAAATAATTGTAAAATACGTTCAGTTTTCCAATTATTTGTGGTTTTTTTTTTTTTTTGTTACTTGTAGTAAACAAGCTTTTGTTTGTTTCAGTTTCGAAAGCCTCACAGACGCTCTTATTTTGGATCAATATAATGGAGAATTGGAAAGGTAATTTTAGATTCTGAGTTCAGCAAAGAAGCTTAAAATTATTTATCAATTACAGATTGATATTTCAGAATTATTATAATAAAAAGTTATTATTATTATAAAAATTATTAATCAAATTGCCCTAATATAAATTCGACCAGCTCTCCATAGGGCATGCAATTTTATTTTAAATATTATTTAGTTATTACGAATTATTAGCCATTAGATTGTTTTTTTTTTTATCTGCAAGTTGACAAACTTGATAACTCACGTTTAATTATACTGGTCTTTGATTAATTTTTGTTGCCTGTACGTTAATTTTATGCTGTATATTTGTTTTACTTTTAGCAAAGAAAAATTCGAATTTCAATCGATAAAGTAATTTAACGGCGTTTTGTATAGATAACTTAACTACATACGTATAAAATAGTAGGTATTTTATTATTATTCTAAGACTTAAATAAACCAAGTTATTAGTTTTCAGTTTTACTACGATATGTGCATTTTTTCTACATGTCTACACGTTTTGACTAGAAGAATCGCTCCAATCATCCAAAAATCCGAAATTTAGATTTTCGGATTTCGGATCTCTAATTCTGAAAATTGTCTAGTTTTACATTAAGAAAACCATTTATTTGATTTTCCAGTTAGGTTTTTATGATTATTATTAAAGTCATTTTTTGATATCCAAAATACCTATGATTAATTTATCATTATTATAATTGCTTTTAACTTATTATAATTATTAAACTTATTAGTTTTGCACATTAAAATACAATTATCATAAAAAAAATATGTAAAAAAAAATATTACTTATTATAATTAGTATTATTACAAACAATAATTATCTATCGATAGTTTATATTTCATAATATTATAATGTTGATATTTTTGAATTTCGGATTCCGAAAATCTGAATTTCCCACCACTAATAATAACAAAAAAAAAAAAAAAATAATAATTGTAATAATCAAAGAATGTCTTAATGATTGACTTAAACAATTTTTTTCTAGGCCCAAAAATATAATTTCGGTAATTAACTATCGATTTTAATGAAATTTTACATCCGGTGTCTGTAAAACTGCCATACAACTGTGGCTCAACCAATTTTAAAAAATTATTCAGGTGCAGTTTTCTACACATAAAATTGAGAAATACATATTTTATTTTCTGCGTACTCCATTACGTATGAGGTATTATTGAAATTTCTATAAATAATACAATAATACTAGTTCTTGTGTGAAATTATATTAAATTTTATACAAAATAATATTTCTTGACAAATAATATGATTTCCTGTGAGTGATAGTAATAATACTCTTCCATCCGTCTAACTTCATAACCATAGTAACCATGTGATTAAACATTCTAAACTAAATAATATGCAAACTTTAGTTATGTCTACAATTAGAACAAAACTGTATAAAATACTTTATATGGTATATAATTGCATGTATATTTTATCATACAGAGTGTCCTATGAAGATACACACATTAAAATAGCTCCGGAGAGAATAAAGATAATCAAATATTAGTTTTTTTATATTACTCACAGGGATAAGGACTAAAAATATTTAAATTGCAATTAATTGTCTATGCTTTGGTAAAAAAAACTTAAAAAAATAACCTTTATTTTATTATTTTTAAACAATTTTATAAAGTTTATTTTTATTAAAGTTTATTCAAACTTTGATGTATCAACTATTTATTTTCATTAAACTCGTGATTTTTAGTAATTTTTTTAAAGTTCAGAGAAAAGTACCAATAATTATGCAGCAAGCTGAAGTCGGATTCTTTAATAATGATTATTATTATTACGATTAAATAACTGTACACTTCTTTTCTTTAAACTTTAAAAAAATATTAAAAATCATGAATTTAGTGAAAATAAAAAAATGATACGTCAAAATGTTTAGAAAAATAAACTCTTTAAAATGACCATCTTCGCATTTTTCAAAAATAATAAATAAAAAACTATTTTTTAAAAATTTTACAAAAACATAACAAATTAATTGTAATATAAATATGTTTGGTCCTTGTCTCAGTGGGAAGACAATTTAAAAAACTAAGAATTTGATTCTATTTATTATCTCCAGGGATATGACAATGGATAAATATTCGTGGGACACGAATATATATGTAATATGTACTACACGGTTTGGAACCATAAATTGATGCACGTTTGACACTCACTAGGTCGGTTTTTTCTTTCCTCAGAATCATTTTGTTTGGTACGGTTAGGTACATTGTGATCGGTATTTATAAGTCTATGACATTGACGATAGACAATAGCGCGGTAATTGAAGCACCACTATTAAGTCCGATTATTGCGTTTAGACGAAGGATGCGATCTAGACATGTGCTAATAAATTACGTACAAACTAAAACAAGACCGGACCGTGCAGTAGTGATTATTGCGCTCGAACTAATAATTATGCTTGTATTAACGTATGACACGTGCATCATAATTAGTTTGACAATATTGTTGTTGTGTAGACGTGAAAACGCTCAATGCGTACAGGTTAATATGTACAAACAAAACTATCAGACTCGTTACCGTAGAAAAAACAAGACTAAGATTAAAGGGTTAGGGGATTTAGATTCACTCCAAATTCATCAAAAACCGCCTACAATTATTTAATACTCTCCTCATAGGTACCCTTTCGTATAATAACAAGCCTAATTTATGAGTAAAGATTATTGTAGCCCTCTAAAAAAAAAAAAATAACAAATCTCCACTTATGGATAAAAATATAATAATAATCTTCTTGCGCTTTTACAGATCTTGAAGGACTTTCACTGCCTCTACTACATACTTTATCATGGAGGTATGTGGTAGAGGTGTCACTATCTTAACGCTATTTTCTATTGTTATTCTTCAAATTAATTTTTTTAAATCGTCTATAATTCTGTCTTCCAATGGTCGTCCGAGACGACCCTGCAGGTCTTTTCCTTTTTATCTTCCATATACCAATGTTTTCTTTAAAATTCCCATTGATCTCCAGTCATCATGGCTATAGAGACGTCCAATCATAAGATTTATTATTAACACCAAATAATATTCATAACAAAGACTCAGAAGTTGTAGCAGCTAAAAAAGGCAAAATATGTATGCAAATATGCGTAAACAAATTTTAAATGTGCAAAAAATTATTCAGTTTATTATTCAAAAACATATAATGTCATTATTGTATGCGAAACTAAGATAAAGATTAAATAAGAATTGCACCGTTGTCGTTAAATTAATAATAGGCTGAGACAGTAAGAAATAATAATAATAATTAATTAATTAACAAAGAAAAAGAAATTTTTCCTTTTTGGGAGGTTAAAGGAACACGCAAATATATACATTGAGAGAATTTCTATAATGTTAACCCATTTGTACGCGCAAATTTGAATTATTTTTAACGGCAACACCTATCTTTAGTCCTAAATTCGAATACCAGCTAGTTCTACTTGTTTTACCCAGGATACATGGATGAATTACAAATAGGGTTTGAATTTTGAAAATTGGCTCAAAACTCGCACAAAAAGACTCAACGTATCACGAGTATATTAGTATATTAATTAGTGCGATGCTTTTTTTTTTTTTTTTTTTTTTTTTTTTTTTGTATTTATTTTGACGAGTTTAGAATTTTAAAATCGCACCGCCGTTAGATTTACATAAATTACACGAACGGCATATAATTTACTAGAAACAATAAAAAAAAAAACCAGCAGGACCATAACGATATTATATGCTTTGTATTATTTTTGTTTCTAGTGCAAAAACCACAAATATATAATAGAGATGTCCGACTGATCGCAGTTACTATCGATCGTTAACATTTGGGGCTACGCAGCATGGCCAGTTCACCATCATGGACAAGACATCCGATAAACCAAGGTATCCGCTGCATACGCTGTTAATTGTGAAAAATTGTTTGTACAACGATAATAATTTTTTTTTTTAGCGAATGGCAACCATCATTTTGGAAACAGCGCCGAAACCAAGTGGCGTTCCTCGCGTTTTTTGGATTTTTCAACGTGTTCTTGCTCCGAGTAAATCTAAGCGTCTCGATCGTAGCCATGTCTACGGCCCTGGACTTGGGAACGGTAAGTCATGTAATCGCAATAAAAAAACAAAAATTGGAATAAGATATATTGTTATTGAATAATATCTGTATGCAAAGATAAATCATTGCCATCGAAATATGATTCTGAGCAAAGCTCGGTTAAATATGTTTGGAAATGATCTTTATGATTTTTATCAAAATTTGAAAATAAAGAATATTATAAAAAAAAAAAATTATATTTGATACGTTCAACTTTTTTTTATCGACCCCAAGGTACAACTTCTGATAAAACTCGTATAAAATGATCAAGCATTTATATACGATCAAAATAATTATATCTTCATAATATCAAATAAAAAATAAAAAACTCGGAAATAACAAATACCTGTAAATACCTCAAAAATCGACAGAATATTTAGAACATTTTTTCTAAGAAAATCAGATTTTTACGATTATTTTTAACCAAATTCCAAAAAAAAAAAAAAAAAAAACCAAATTGAAAATAATAAACTGGACATTTACTCGTTTTTGCTATAATTTTCTTAGTAATTAAGGAAACTAAAAGAACAAAGAATGACGTTCTCAAAACCTCAACTAAACCAATTTTGTTTTCAGAAAAGACGCTTCACTTGATAATCGGGTTACGATTTCTGATTGAAAAGTTGCTCACATACACAGAAACACCGTGCTCAGATTCAGTATTACTTATACGATTGACGAAAGTACAATCTATAAATAAACACACACAAACCATAACCATAAGAGTTATAGGCTTCCACTCCCCTACCCTTCAAAAGAAATGCGTGTATAATTTTAGCCGTACAAGGGTTTATCGATGAGTTTTCCTATTTGATCGAAATAAAGATAAATATTCAAAATGTTGATAATACACGATTACGACGGGAACAATCATTGGTTCGATTAATGATTGGCTACTTTATATGGGCACTGTGCCATAATATATTATGACGGCACATAATAATTATTATTTGTTGTATATCAACAGACGAACGAATTCGACTGGAGCATGGAACTCCGTGGCGCAATCTTGAGTTCGTTTTTTTACGGATATTTCTTTACGCAAATTATTGGCGGCGTGTTGGGCGCCAAATTTGGAGGCGTTCGGCTCATCGGCATCAGTATTTTCATCACCGGATTTTTGACGGTCCTTACTCCTGTGGCCGCCAGATTTTCTGTCTTTCTGGTCATCGGACTTAGAGCGATTGAAGGGATTTTCGAGGTACATACAGAAAATATATATATAATAAAATAATAATATATAAAGGATTTGCTCATATATTATAAATGATAAACAAAATAAAATTGATTTCTAGGGAATGACGTACCCGGCCATATACGCCGTCTGGTCGAGATGGGCACCGCCCGACGAATGCACGCGATTGGGATCGTTTGCCCTCTCTGGCAGTTATCTGGGCACCGTTGTCGGTTATCCGATGTGTGGCTGGTTGGCAGAAAATTTCGGATGGCCGTCTACGTTTTACGTGCCAGGTATGGAGTTTTCACAAACATTCGTGTTTTCAGCAAATCCTTTATTATAAGTACGTATGCATCTCGCAAAGTGTGCCGTTGTCACAAATGCATTTTACCACAGAGATTTTTTTTCTTAGGGGAAAGGGTGGTTAATTTCGCGAAGAAAAATTTTGCCAACGGTAAAATTCGAATTTAACCCTCTCTTAATTTCTACCTCGAGAGGGGTAAAATTGTACGATGTAAAACTAGGCGTAACTAGATCACTAACTTTGAGGGCCTTAAAATTATAAACACATTAAAAGATCCGTGAAGCGAGAACTTAAAAGGCACTTATTCCCGCTATACCACCAAATTTTAGTACTCAACAAAGCCGGGGCAAGTTAGTTATTTTTTCAACTAGTTAAAGTTAATTTAGTTTAATATATAATCTAACTAAGTTAGAATATAAGTTAGTTAGGTGAAAATAGTAACTTAAGTTATAGAATAGAAGTTAGAAGTTAGTTTTTTTTTTTTAAATATAAATTGAAAAACCAGCTCAAATGTAAAGTATTGTGTAAATTAATTATTAAGTAGGTAATTAGTTTAAATTATTGGTGAAGATTGAAAAATTAAACCGAACTGATCAAAAGTTTCAAGTAGGTAGGCAATAACTTTAATTTCTTGAAAATTAATTGGTTGATAATATCAGTTATTAGAACATAGAAATTTTAACAAAATAAGAAATATACTAACAGTGTTATACTATATTTGTCTTTATTGATAAAATCATAATAATATAAATATAAGCAAATAAACAATCATGATAGGATGAAGTATAAATGTATGATACATGATATTAATATAATTATATTATAGCATAATATTACCTATATTTCATGTATTAGTTATATTAAATAGTTTTATTATAAAAATAGGCGTCGAACATAATATTAGTCTATAGGCTATAGGCTATATGTCTATAATGCGTTGTGGTTACCGTGTATTACCAATTACCGTAGACCACTGAGATATGAAAACTAAGGTTTATAGAATACAGAGGTTGTCTCATAATCATATAAACAAAGCAAGTCCTCCGCAACGCCTATAACGTTCGTGACGTCACCGGCTGTACACATTTTTATGGCGGCAACGGGCCTACTATACGTAATACATCTATAGTGTTGCAGCATGCCACTCTATAGATATTATTCCACTGCAATAAAATATAAGTTTTCATCATAATAAAAAAAATAAAAAACTATGTATCTATTTAGTATAAATAGCAGGTACAAATAAATGATTTTCTGAATATAATAGGGATTTGAGATTTAAAACAAATACTACACACAGATAAACATATGAAGATATTCATATCTACATTCAGAGATGGAGCCCTCCCCAAACATTATTTTTATATACTTTTTACTCTTCTATGTTAATTAAATATTAATAAACTTTACTTAATAAACGATTTACAAAACATTAAAATAATTAAATTTGGTAGATAAATTAGTATTTTCAAATTGTTGACTAACGTCCTGCAGTATTCAAAAACTACAATTTGTACTGTATTACTTTAAATTCCTGTGTTTTTAATTTGATGTTACAGTTTATTAAAGATCACTTTTAACAAATAATAATTGTATGGATGTTAATACACCTTAAGATTTTTTAATTTCCATACTAAAAAATAAGTTAGTAGATTCTGTGTGTATGTAAATGTATACTAAATATTTTATCACCAATTTAAAAATTCATGAAAATAGGTACAAGTTTGCTCTTACCATTATGGTTTATATATCTACAACAGCTATGTGTATGCAGTATACAGTAATACATATTTATTATAAAAATATAAAAATACAAATACATAAAATGTATATAAATTTATATTTAAATTACATAAAATACAATAAAACAGGTACATTTATAATAAACATATTAAATCAAATTTTAAATCATAACTTTTTTAATTTTGAAAAATTTTGTAATTGTATTTTAGCCTTAATTTTAATTTTAAATAACAACGTATTTCGGATAAAATTTGTCATACGGATTAGTATTCGCTGTTTACTATATGTTTGTATTAAAGGTTTCCATTTCTCTTCAGAGTCCATTCTACACACAATTTTATTTGTTAACAGCTTCACAATGTTTGGCCCTTTAGGAAATGTCTTCTTAGTAAATTTGTTAAACAACCGCTCAACTCGAAAAATTATCTTTTTAAATTCAGAGGCATTATTAACCCAACATATGAAACATGGTTGATCCATGATTCCATAATCATGGCCGAGCGTATTTAAAATATTATTATTATTCACTTAAGCTGTAGTACTGCCAATTTCTGGTATATTCGATAATATAACTCGATAATAAGAATAACTCAAACTAATTTTACAGAAGCGTGTATGTTGTATCATACAAACAAAAGTAAGTATAGGACGGGTGACGTCACGATCTATTTTGCCCCCACTACTGAAATTTCACATTATCGAGTTGAGACAATCTTTATATTCTTTAAACCTCGTATAAAAACAACTAAAATATAGCCGACTATAATTTTTTATCATAAAATTGAAAATACTCAATATTTTACAGAAAAAATTTGGATTTTTGAAATGGAAAAAAAAAACAAAAATAAGTAGTTTATTTTTGTTTTTAACGAGTTAGATTAGAATATTTTCCACATTCAATTAGTTAAGTTAAAAAGTTATTATGAATAAAAATTAACTAGTCAGTGCACAGCTTTGGTACTCAATTAGTGCTTTCAGAATATACAGACCCATGGGAGCTATGATATTATTCCTTTTACACGACTCTTACAATAGTCAACTTTACCTTTTATTTACAATTTTGTATATTATACAAATGTATAATCATTATTTTACCATTATTATTCAAACGGTTATTAATATTATATGATTGTTTATACAATTCACCTGTTGCACTTGTTAAAATATATTAATTATATGAATAAGTAAAAAAAAGTTCACGTTTTCAGATTATACATTAATTATCTACCCATATATACCCAGGTGCTTGTACAAGGGGGGTAGGAGTTTAATCCCATCTCCGAAATTTTATAAAAAGTATGATGAAAGTAGATTTTAAATAGAGCCTCAAAAGTGGTGTCTGTCAATGAAGAATATTAATACAATTTTGGTTTTATTTTAATATTATTAGTAGATAGTAGGTATTTTTATTGTTGTCGTGTTTATTTTTTTGTGGTTTTCCTGCTTTTAGAAAATTATAATTGATATGGCGATATTGCATAGTTCCCATTATATATAATAATATGAATTACGTTATCATTTAGGCTGTATTCACTAAAAAAATATTAAATGTAAAATGTAGTAATAAATACCTAAAAGGCTAAAAATGTATGTTATAAAATATTGACATTTTCAATGTAAAATAAATAATTCTATAATTGAAAGTATGTAAACTTTTTTTTATAAGAGTATGAAATCGTACAACCTTAAGCTATAACCTTACAACCTTATTATTTTGTTACTCACCTATATGTACCTATACTTACCGCGTAGGTTGTATATCCATCATGTGGTGTGTCATTTGGCTGACGTGCGTGGCCGAATCGCCAATCAACGACAAATTCATCACCAAACAAGAGCTCAAGTATATCGTCGATTCGATTGGTCCCACTAGTGATAAAAAAAGTAAATATTACTTTATAACTAATATAACTTTGAATGTTTACGGTTAATTACTTGATGCATTAAAATTTGGTGATTTTTATGCGGTTTAAAGTATCTTTAGCCTTTGGTTATATAATTTAATAATGATAATAATAATAATCGTATTATTAAAATGTTGTTTTATTTTCAAATACAATTTGTATATAATATTTTTTATATTCTATTTTAGACTGCATTTCGAAGTATCCATGGAAAGATATATTCACATCGATGCCGGTGTGGGCCATAGCGTGCGCCCATTTTTGTGAAAACTGGGGATTTTATACGTTACTTACGCAATTACCGAGTTACATGAGCGGTATTATATTACCGCCAAAGCTTAAAATCTGAAATTACTGTGAAAATACAATTATTTTTCTTTTTTTTCTGCTTTAAGAGGTATTGAAGTTTAACATCGAAAAAGGAAGTCTATTGTCTGCAACACCGTACTTGGTCATGACCATCATATTACAAACCACCGGATTTTTTGCCGATTGGCTTAGAAAAAAAAACGTCTTGACAAACACACAAGTATACTGCACGATCACACACATTTAATATATATTAATATTTGGCCCTTCAAATTGTTTACATAGATTAGAAAGTTTTTCAATTGTAGCGCTTTCCTGAGCCAAGCCGTTTTCATGTTTTTGGTGGGAAATTCCAAAAACAGTGTTGAATCGATAATTTGCCTGACCCTTGGAGTCGGCCTAGGCGCCTTTGCTATTCCCGGTTTTATGTAATTTGTTAATTTTTGCATTGTTATTACTAATACGATTATGGCAGTAATCGAGTATTTGATTGGTCAGCAATTTGTTTATATAGGGTAAACCCTTTGGATATAGCGCCGCAGTACGCCAGCATCGTGCTGGGTATTTCCAACACGATCGCAACGATACCCGGTATAATAAGTCCTATGCTGACCGGATTTATTGTCAAGAATAAAGTAGATATTCCGATTATAATTTTTGTTTTATAAATTATTTTCACCCGTTCTCATAATTGACATGTATTGACACGTTTTCAGACCGCAGAGGAATGGAAATTGGTGTTTTTGATTTCTAGTGGTTTGTACCTATTCGGGGCGATATTTTACGCGATATTCGCGTCCGGCGAACGACAAACGTGGGCAATTATAGTAAAAGCTGATGAAAACAACGGCGTCGACGGTAGTCACGACAACAAGACGTTTGCCATGAAAACATCATAATTCACAAATATTACATTAAACGATATCGCCGTAATCACAACGTGTGTTGTGTATACCATTGAAGTTTAAAAAAAAAATATATACAAAAATAGGTGTAAATATATTTTGTTTAAGAATAAGAGACTATTAGCAACGTTCTTTATTACAGACCAATTGGGTGTTTACACAAATCGGATTGAACGATCTCGAAATCATATTTTCTATACTACGCGTATAACATTCTGTACATCTCGTTTTATTATTAATTTATAATGTATTAATAATAATATATTCTGTGAAATATAAACACAATTTTGTAAATGTAATTTGGTAAAATCATGCTGGTATTTAAGATACTAATTTAATATTATACTGGTGCTAAGCAGTATCGTATTTTGTAAATCAACATTTTTCCGTATCCAATAACTGCTGAAAAACTAAATTTCTACGTAGATAATCAATAAAAAAATGTTATACATTTGAATTTAGACTCCGTTCAGAATCATTTTGTTGTTTGAGTTGATTTATCGGAACATAGATCTAAAAACTAAATTACGGTTTATATTGGTTTATACGCTAATTTTCGTAGATACGTACATTATTTTGCTAATTTCATTATTTTGAAACTGCGTCATCACTGTACAAAATATAACATATTATTCAAGTAGTTATATTTTTTTTTGAATTTATGAAAATATCACTTACATTTAATTCAGTGACTACTAAATCAATGTAGTAATTAAAAAGTAGATGAATTTATGACAAAATAAAACCTATGTATTAATTTATGAATAAATAAAAATAAATATTTTTAAACAATTTTGAATAATTTTCTTTTTCAATATTTTAAAGAAATATGCACTTTACAATAAAAAATTAAGTTTTGATAATTAAAATTATACATGGTATGTAATGCAGATAAATCCTTGTAAGAGGTGGCATGCAATTCGGATATATATATATATATATATAATTTGTTTTGCGTTCAATTCGGATGCAACCAACATACTATACTATTTTAAGATTCTTAATAACGTGAGGATTGCATTGGTTTTAACGTGGTTGTACTTTTTCCACTGTTAATAATTTTTCGACCAAACACCTTGTTATCCACCCAATTATCAATATGAGGAGTGAATCCACTAGTTCTCGTAAAAAGTTTATCTACGAGCTGATTAATTGGGAAGGTCATATTACAATTTTTCTCAGATATATTAAGAAAAATGAATTATTTAATAAAATAATAAAGTAAAAACAAAATTATTAAAATGGTTAATACTCGTAAATAGACATAATAAATAGATATATAAATAAAAAATGTATACATAAAAATAAAATAAATGAATCAATGCGTCGCCTGGAGTATTATAAGTCAAAATGTAAAACTCGAATTTTTTATTTATATGTCTATATCTATGTATATATTTATATTTAATATATTTATTTATTTTATTTATTTACGAATATTAACCATTTTAATAATTTTTTTTAACTTTATTATTTTATTAAATAATTTATATTTCTTAACATATCTATATCTAATAATAACTAATCTTAAATAATCTTTCCTATTAAAATAAATTATTTCTATATACTATGTAAAACGACCAATTTGTATAATTTTTTTTTTCTATGTATTCTTTTATTTAATTTTTTATNACTGTTGTACTGCGAGCTGCGCGGAGTTGCTGTTGAAGCTCTACAGCATTTGAAAATCGATTGCGCAAAGACGTCGAGACAATAAAACGATCATCTCTGTCCATTGTGCAGCGTTATCGGCCTGATCCATGCCCCCGGATAAAGCCACCAGTCTCTTGATAACGTTGGAAAACTCGTCGAACGGCAAAACGGCTCAAGTTTAGTTGCCGTGCAACATCACATTGACGCATCCCTGATTCCATTAATGCTACCACTTGAGCGGCTTCGTTAGCAGTTGTATCCATTTAATACGTTATTTTTTGAAATAATATTGTTTAAAGAGTATTCATGTACGTCCTTTTCAATGTTTCGGAAGTGAATGACCTGCATTTGACACTTTAAACTGATTTTTCTATAGCCAAAGAATATAAGATAAGATAGGAGTATATTTATACATTTTCCTAATGCACCGTATACTCGGAATATGATTATTGTTTATGAAATGAAACTACTATCGGATAAGAGGTCATTAACTGTACTTTCAATTTATATCTTTATTGTTTGGATTAAATGTTTTGGTTCGGGGAAATGCCCGTTTGAAACTTAATTTTAAAGATGTGCGATTTTTGTGACGCCAAGTGTACTATGTAAAACGACCAATTTGTATAATTTTTTTTTTCTATGTATTCTTTTATTTAATTTTTTATATTCAGTCGCGTTTTACATTATGACTGTGATATACGTGATGATGAGTTTTTAATTCGAAACACTTATCATAATACTCCAGGTAACGCATTGATTTATTTATTTATTTAATTTTTATATATGCATTTTTTATTGGTTTATCTATTTACTATATTTATTTACTCTATAAATTATTTGGTTATTATTTATTATTTAAAATGTATTGATATAAGATATTATTTTTTAAATCGGTTTGAGCATTTAAAATATTATTAAAATGATTTTCCTTTATTTCATTGTGTATGTGTAATTTTTCTAATACTGGATTAATGTAAATGTTATTTTGGATATTTAATATTTCTAAGTCTGTATTAATATCAATACTTATATTATGGTTATTTTCTAAAATATGTTTAGCGAAATTTGAATTAGGGGCATTTTTTTAAATTTTATTTCAGAAATGTTTTACTTTATTTATTTACGAGTATTAACTATTTTAATAATTTTGTTATTACTTTATTATTGTTACGCTGTATCATTATGTTATGTGTACTTTTTAAAACCACTTTTCCATCATTTGTTTAAGGCCTTAATTGTTCAGTATACTCATTTTACCATAACTACTACTATCAGTTACCAATGCAGGGAAAGTTCCTTTTTAAAAGAAATTCTTTTCAATTCCTCATTCATTATAAAAGAAAGTCTTTTCTTTAAACAATTTTTTTTTTTTAATTATTTATACTAATGTATTCCAAAATAATATTTTGCTGGGTTGCATAAATGACCAATAATTAGTTATTGAACCGATAACATTGTAATTGGTAATCGAACTTTAATCTTTTATCAATTCAACAAATTATGTTTTGTCGAATCGATAAGTTAGAAGCCTGATTTTGATTCGATAAGTATTAAAAACAGTGTCCTAGCTATTTATTGAACTGATAATACGCTTACATTTTTATTCCCACCATCCGGTAGACGCCACTTTCTTACTTGTTAGTTATTGACATAATTTATCCTGTGGTTATAGATTTTATTGGTCTTTTTTTACTTTTTATTTATTTAAAAATGTAACTAAAAACATTATTTCTAAAGGATGATAACATAATAAATAACGACCGATTTATCATTTATTGAATATACCACACTACTACGACCAGAGAGAGTTATCAAATAATTATATTTACGTTGAATATTTTATGCAATAGTACTGAATAGAACCAATAAATATATGGAAAATGGTTATAAACCCAATAATAAATCTTATCGATCATTTATGCGACCCGGCATAAATAATTAAACGTTTCCAAATTAAAAGATATGAGTTCATTATCGCGTAAAAATGTTGAGCCGGGTATGCTGGGATAATGCCATTTCCGCTTACACGTACATCTACTTATCTTCCACGTATATAATTGGATTGCGTTCTAGCATGTCGATATCCTTTTCCAAGGTCGCCAACTCTTTATCCAACATATGTTTTCTTTTTACTTTTCGTTCCGTATCGGTAAGCACCGGTAACAACAAAAACTCTTTATGCAATTCAGCCCAGTTGGTTTTCAGTCCCTAAACAGATGACAAAAACGCACATGTGTGGTCGAAAATAAACACTTTACATTAAAAATGAATAATTAGCCGCGAGCTTACGGTTAACAATCCTTCACGCTCTTCTTGCGGTAATAGCCTCAGCAACGGCTTTATTGCGCGTACCCGGTCTTCTTCCTTTTGCCGGGCTGTCTCTTTTTCTTTGTACATTTTAATGATGTACTTAGGCGTTGTTCCGTAATTCTTAAACACACATTAAATAACAAGTATGAAAAAAAAAAAAAAAATAATAAAATACATTTCAATAATTTTCACAGTAAACATAATAATGTTAATATTTTAGTGTACTTATGTGAAATGTATTATGACAAAGAAAAATGATTACGAAAAAACGTCGTGAGTAATCTGCATATTATAAGGACCCAACGTATCAATTATTTAAATATAGTTTCTAGTGGAATGAATCAATAATTTCTAATTTCGAGAGGTTAAATTATTTTAATATTCTAATAAAAAAAAAAAAATATTTGTGCTTTCATCGCAATTTCGCAATTTTTCTGTGGAAATACTAATGGAAAAATATATGTTTCTAAAAATAACCATATCGGTTACTTTTATGATATAAAATCCACAAATATCGTTGTGATCCAGAAATTCGTTAAAATCATATACCTTTTTGCACACGTAAGTTGGTTCCAAGCCGGCCTCGTTCAGAACGATAACGTGACCGTTTCTTGAGTCTTGGACCCGGTGCTTGGGCAAAGGCGGTACTCTCCTCCTGGCATCAATAATGTTCTGGGCTATTATGTTTTTTTTCGGTTTTTCTTCACACGGTAGGGATTGCTTCGGAAGTCTTGGTGACTTTTTGTCACACTTATATTTCTCTGGAAATCACTATTACTAAATGTTTTACGTGTATCTATACGTCATCATGTGTTTTTGTTTGATGTACAAGTTAAAGGGAAGTGATTTTATTTTTGACATTATTCAATGACAATTATACCTAATTACAAATAGCAACAAGGTTCCTATTTAGTACCAATATTTTTTCGAACGCGCTACGCTCCGAATCTAAAATTAAGCGCCGATAATAAAATAATATTAGTAAATATTATTAGTTATTAGCCCTAATAGGTTACTAGTAATAAATACTACCTACAATCTGTTAATGTTTTCCCATATCTATGTCTGGGTAGATTTCAAGTTTGAACCGATTCATTTTGCCTCAACTGTAGTCGTATGGACTAACAATATTTTATAGGTGCTATTTTGAATATCTATATAATTACAAATTTGGTATAAAACAACTATGTATTAATTATATAATTTTTGAGGACTGAATGAAAACAAGATAAGACATATTTAAATTTAAATTTAATTATTTTAACAATAATATGTAATAATATTTCTTATTATTAATTTATCATTTTCCCGAACGTCGTTTAAGTGAAATGATACTTTATTTTCATATTAAATATGTTTTTCTGGAAAAAAAAATTATTAAAAACAAATTAATCTTATTTCGGTCTTGGCCTTATGTCAAGGTCTTATGTCGTTTTGGTCTTACTATTCTCGCTGCAAAACCAAGAAAATGTTGCTACCTCTAGTTTATATCAAATTAAAATTTGATTTTTACAAAATACCTAGTAGTTGAAGTTCTTGAAAAATTGAAAAATTCATGTACGCGTCTCGTATTTAGTCCCGTATTTAGTATATTAATATTTAATTTGCGTTTATTCAAAGCTAAATTTATCAATACAATCTACAAGTAATAAATAATCCAGAATAAATTTGTGGCAGATATAGTATACCTATTCGTGAATCCGTGATGAAGCTATGACGATATGCGTTACTAACGCTGAAATACGTGAACACTACAGTAATAAATTCATGTGCATCGGGTACGCATTTTTTATTGATTCACGTTATCAACGACCTTAAAAAAAAAAATCGGATTTTCTGGAAATCTCCATTTAAATTAAATAATTGATTTGCGATAAAAAGAATCTTACATACCAAACCGTTTTGTGTATCCTAAGTTTTATCGAAAGTAATATTGATTAACGCCCGAAATTCGAATATTTACTGAGTACGGCCAGTCGATAAATCCTAGGTTTCACCGGTATTCTTACTTTTTACAGTGCTTAATATATATATATTAAAATTATCTTACCGACAAACGGTCTAATCACTTGTCTGGTGTTCTTTTTTAAAAATTGCGTCGGTGGGTCGAGTTGAACTTCGGCGTAACCCATCGTCCGGTGGCAGTCTTTGTTCGAGTTGTACACTCTCTTTACCGATTCCGTGAAAACGGAACGGTACATCGGTGGTTTGATAACGGGTGTTATCGGTTTCGGAATCAAGTTCTTGATATTTTCCCGGCACTTGTTCATTCTGTTATATGAACTACAAACCGAACGAGTCTAAGGCTGTCGTGATACGCGATGCGCGGGTTTGGTCGATTTTAATTAAATTATCAGTGATATTTTCACCAGTGGAGTTGCACACGAGGTCAACTATTTATATTACGATCTTTTTTTTCGTATTCCTATAAAACAAAACTATTCTTAATCGCCGTGTGGTTATTGAACACGGAACAGTCGTCATCAAAGTATAGTATACCGGTATTAAATTTGTTATATCAATGAAAACCGATGAAGTACAACTTTACTTAGCAACGTACCGTGTTGACGACGCGACGACGGATAGATTCGGCGTCGTTCGAACAAATTATTGTATACTGATTTTTAAGATTTAAACAATTTAAAATGAAAATAGTCTAATGAGCGTTTCGTGCATGAATCTTGGGCTGGTCGCACACCAGAGAAATTATAAACACGAAACTTGTACCATGAAACACGAAACTATAACTGCATGAAACCGACCGATATATTTGTATAGGAAAACACACACCGAGTTTCATACAACTATTTTCATTTATAGCTTACGAAATTGATAACATGAAATTTGTCATTCTGGTTTCATTGTTTCAGTTTCATTAACATTTTCTCACAGTCATGCACGTTTTTAGTTTTTACTGAGTATATTCTATCGTATAATTCGATTTATAATTTATTAACTTATTATTATTCAATTAAAATACATTATTATTAGTACTAGTTTTACTTATAATATTTTTTTCGTATTTTTCAATACCCATGCGGCAAAATGTCTTAAATTTATCTGGATCACTATGTAATTCATTTGCAATAATACTAGTACTAAAACATACATTAGATACATTTATCGGATGTACCCAATAACGACGTTTTTTTGAAAAAATTTTTTTACGTGCCCACCACTAAAGCAAAATCACGTGATTCTCGTCAGACATTTTGAAAACTGATCATATTCTATAATTTCATTGTTTAAGTTTCTTCAATATACAGATCAAAGCGAAACTAGTTTCTGAAACCGATTGCATACAAAAAGTTTCATATTACACAATTCTCTGATGTGCGGGCCTCCTTAGAAATAATTTATTGTATGCAGTGACGTCCAAACTATACTTCAAGCAGTAGCGTACTGAAAATTCTTCATACTTGAGGCAAAACAAAGTTAATTATTAAGACCTACCCACTTAAAAAATAGATTTTTATATGTCTTACAAATAATTACAGCAAAAACTTTATTTAGCTATATATTGACTTGGCAGATAATAATATATGTTATTATATTCGTAAGTGAGTGTACGTGTATCCCACCGTATTGACGGATTTCTCTTGTGCTGTTAATATTCAATTTTTTTCGATTATTTTTTTTTTCATACGGTTTTTCTTCAAAGGAGACATCGATTTGGAAAAATATATGATTTTTATTTTCATCCACTAAACACGAAAAAAAAAATTTTATTTGTTTATTTTAGAAAATTTTCAAAATAGCCATTTTGTAAAAAAATATTATTCAAAAAATTCTAATGTACAACACATTCACATCCGATGAATAGTTTCTTAGTTATAGCTGTTTTAATTAGGCGTGTAATAGAATAACACGTTATGCGATTAGGAATTTCAATCAGTACGGTAATTCTTTACCTTCTATTGAATATTAATTGTTTTACACCTATTTTTTAAAACGGCTATAATTAATTAATAAATAATATTTGCCATGTTCGTTAACCAAACTTAAACTATGTTATGTACTTTTCATTAGAAATATTAATATTTGGTTGACATAGTAAAAATAAAAATGTTTTTCAATAAAAAATATGAAATAAAAGAAACAAAATATTTAGCAAATAGTGTATTAAAAGATTGCTCCGAGCTACAACGATAGCATTTTTTCTGAAAGGAAATTTGAATGGGGAGGTACTCTAAGAAGGTCATGTTTTGATTTTCCCAATAAATGGGAAAAACGCAAAAATGTATGAATGTATAGTAAAATATTATTATTATTACATTATATTACATATTATAATAATTCAATTATTTATACTAATATAAAATTATTAACTCGATAATCTATATTATCTGTATTATCTAGATATGCGCTTACTTAAGTTATGCAACGAACAGCGATTCATTTATTTCTATATATGTACATGGACACATGGTTCTTTGGATTAGAAAAGATTGAAAGGTTAAAAATAAGATAGTCATTGACAACCGTTTTTATTTATTTTGTGTTATTATTAAGTTTTTATTATTTAAATCTTTTTTAAACAATCATTGTTGTTATGGAAACGCACATTGTTGTTATCATTTTACCATAATATGATTTATATTTTATTATTTTTTATTAAAAATTACACTTCCTTTAGGGGTGTAATTTTGAAACACAAATAATATAGTTTTCCGCGATAAATGGACTATCCAAAACCAGAATAATTTTTCAATTCAAATCAGTAGTTCCTGAGATTAATGCATTCAATCAAACCAATAAACTTTTCAGGTTTATAATATTAGTATGGATTTAATTTTAAATTTAATATTTTTAAAATTATTCATTCTATATATACCTTTCAAATAAATAACGGTTAGCCCACTAAATCCAAAATGAATTGACAGGTGCAGCGAAAGCAGCATTCGCTGCACCCGTGTGTTCTTATTGCCCTGTTACTTATTTCAACGGTAATATAAAACAAAATCCTACGGCTTCCAGGTCTTGATCGTAGGTTAGCGAACTCACCTATGCCGTCATATGACCTTTGTCCCACTAATAATGCGATTTGTCCAAGACAGATTTTTTGAACCACATGATTTTTCGACTAAATAATCGTTTGGATAGTCAGTTTTATTTATTTTCTCGGTATAAAAACTTCTGGCTATTATATTTCCTTTATAATCTTGTAGTTTATAGGAAGGAGCTAATGTATTATTTATTTATTATTTATACATAGGTAATATCTAGAATTTCTAATCTGATTTTGAAAATTATTTTAATAATAGAACTGGTAGAAAGTTACACTATTCCTGGGTGTCATAGGCTATGTCCACGAATCAAAACCCTACATAGGGCTGACACGGGGTTTTTGTTACGAAAATCGAATTATTTTGTTAATTTATGGGTTACCTTAGTTACACAAAGAAAAACAACTATTATTGTTTAATTTGATTAATACTGAGCGACAATGAAGAATTTTAATAATTTAATTTAGTTGACACATAATAATGGTATGGGCATTTATTTTGTTATGGACAAGGCCGTACTAGACGACTAGTATACTTTATACCCACCTATTGGTATATTAGTTGTATTTTTGAAACCTATTGACTGACAAAACAATTAAATGTGTACAAAATATAATTATAAATTCAGATTTGTAGTTTTTCTTCTTAAAACTGTTTGATAAATGCGTTATAGGATCTACGCGCGTTATAATTGTCTACTTACAATATTATGAAGTGTGTCAATTTTTAAGCGACTCGCATAAGTGCACTAAATATTATCACTAATATCAGGTATAATAAAGTTTACTAACAATACATGTTTTCCCAATACAAATATGCACACTGTCATAAAACACTTATAAAATTCCTTCATTGCCTCGCCCGGAAGCATACTAGCATTCTAGGATCCATTTCGGCACCAGTTTGATTCAAATTAACCGCTAAATTAATATTACTATTGCGTACCATTAACTTATTAGTTAAATTGTGAATCTATTGTGAATTTTACCGCAATATACATTCGATTTAAATAATACCTAACAAAGTTACGTTACACATAAATCCAGAACATCGTGTTTTTGGTATTTTTGTCGTTTAACGCTTATAAAATATATATAATATAGATGGTAAATTAGTATATTTATCATTCATTAATTGCTTTTAATTGAAATGGTTAAATTAAGTTAGTGTGAAAATTATACTTGCGTTTAAATATGTTCTCTGGAAAAGAAATTTCAAACTAGATGTTAAAGAATTAACAATAAAATAAATGCCATTGGCGTAATGCATATGAACAATTCAAATACAAAATAATTATTTAGCAAATATTCATGGTATTTATTGGGTGAGTTAATTATCATAATTACCTAGATCAAATATCCAAATCGTTTACAAACGATTAAAGTTATTACCTTTGTTATAATAATACGAGTTATAATAATGGTAAATTCGAATTGACCAATCAGAATCCATCTGGTGCCGAAACAGATCCCACAATGCTAATAAGCATCCCGGAATCAACAGCGTAATAATATTTGGCAGAGGTTTATAAATACAGAGTTCATATCCATGGCTGTGTTTACCTTCATTCATCCACTTCTAATTGATTTCACCATCGACCATGACGCATATAGTATCGCTTTCGTCAGAAGTTTTGTATAATTAGTTAAAAAAAAAAAAATTGTATTATCATAATTTTAATAATATCATCAACGCTCACGTGCTGCTCTTGTCACGACGAACTTAATGAAATATATTTACCACGACACCCGAGTATTTGTGACGCCCAACTATAATATAGAGAAGAGTTTATGAAATATTCGTTCATTGCGTTAAATTTTGTTTTTGATCGTTTAATTTAAACCCGAAAAGGCACCTACAATTTTGTCATGGAGCCATCAGATAACAAAAGGTCGTGCCGAGAAAATATAATTAATAGTTTGAAAAATAATATTAATGTATCGTGTATATTATTATTTCGTTAGCGATGGGCAAAAACCTTTTTGGAAAAAGCGCAGAAACCTGATCACATTCATGGTGTTTCTGGGTTTTGTCAACGTCTTCATGCTGAGAGTAAATTTAAGCGTAGGCATCGTGACCATGACGACGCCCAAGGACAGTAAAGTAAGAATACACTCGAGTCATTATATATTGGTTAATTAATATTACACCGTAGTAAAATTTATGTCTGAAAAACATATGGACAATATAATTAATTTGAAACGCATATAACACTTTTAAAACAGAAAACCGTGATATGGTTGGTCCCTTGGAGTTCTGTTTTGGATATTTTTCACTACGTGTTTGCAATATTACAATATCATAAATAATCCCCGTAGAGTAAATGGCAAATTGTTCATACTGTACATCATTAGTACAAATATGGGGCCTTTCCCCTTCCCTCCCAAAATATTTTGGTTAATTTTGTACAAAATAAATTTGTATAATGAATTATACTAAAAAAAGTAGATAATCTGGAAATTTTATGGAAATAACGATTTCATTATTTTCGATTTTAGTTTTTCGTTGTAATTTGATAAAAAAAATAATCATAGAGACCTGAAAATTTTCTCAAAAAACTCATATTAGCCTTTTGTAGACGTAGTTAAATTTTAAAAACATAATGCCAAGTTTTGGTTCTTAAAAAAAAAAAGCTAATACTTGGACGGTTGTAGGTGGGTAGTAGGAAAGGTGGTATACAAAAAATTATTTAATTTATATCTGTGACCAACGATAAACCATTGATAACAAAAAACGATTTAGAGCAAAGTTCAGTTATACATGTTTTGAAAGGTCATATTATTTACGATTTTCATCCAACAATTGATGTAAAAAAAAAATAAATACTATATATACTACTAAATACTATTACACTCAATTTTATTTTTTGAAGCAAAGTTCATGTGTTACCTACCTGACGTGATGCGACCTCTTGGATGACATCAGGTACATACCACCATTAAACTACGGCATACATGTTATGAAATCGGCAATATCGAGTTATTTAATATAACACATATAATATCCACAAAAAATCCATCCCTAAGGAATTATTTTCGTACATTTTCTTGTATTTTCTGAATTTTTGTCGGTTTTGTTCGATTATTCATAAAATTACAAGGAAAATCAAAAGCGATTTTCTTGCCATCTATTTTTCATAAATTGTATTAATATTAAATTTTTAACTTATTCTTGTTAGATTTGTTTCTTTTTTTCTTAATTTTTATTTTAATTTATTGCATTACTAATTATCATAGTCTGCATTGTACCATGCTCTTAAGTGTTAAAATATAAATAAATTAATAAATAAATATAATAAAATCGTATCGCCGTAAATTTGTCAGTTTTCATTTTACGTTTTATTTCGATTTTTTTAATTATTAATAAAACTACTAAACAAATTAAAAGCGAAAAACTTACTTATGATTTAGATTGAGAATTCAACACAAGAGATCTCTTTTCGTTTATCTATTGGAGCAATATTTATGGTAGAAGACACAAGCGGTACAAATATAAAATAATGAACTCATGCCGTAATTTGGAAAAAATAGCATATTTCGTTTTGTTTTTGTTTTTCCCTATTATCATGAAAAATACTTTAGACACCAAAAAATGACTTTCTTCGTCTATGGCTATAAGTTAAAAAAAAAACGAAATCAATCAATTGTCATTTTTGGGTTGGAGTAATATTTCTGGTAGAAAACATGGTGTAAACATAATAAAAACATTGAAAACTGTAACGCCGTACGGAAGCCGTAAATATTTGCCGTTTTATCCATAATTTCCATGTATAAAAATATATGTATCATAGTATACTATGCGTACCAACTACATTCTCGTCCTGACTCGTGTGAGTTGTACACAATCAATTAAAATTACTGACTAGACGAATGAAATTTTAATTAAATTTGTAGAGTTTTATCAGGTGGAAGAAATCTTATGGCATCTCTTCTTCTTAGGTTATTGAATTTTTTTTTGTGTGGGATACATTATAATGGTAAATTATAACAGCTTTAAGCACACATTTTATTATTATACGGAATGCTATTTTTCGATGCTACAGACTATTGCAGAATTCGATTGGGATTCGAAAGTACGTGGTGCAATATTGAGCGCGTTCTTTTACGGATACGTGTGCACACAACTCATCGGAGGTACACTGGCTGCCAAGTTTGGTGGCGTGAAGCTGATGGGATACGGAGTACTGGGGACTGCAATTTTCACGGTGCTCACCCCCATGGTCACCAGACATTCCGTCTATCTTATCATCATCTTCAGAGTCGTCGAAGGCGTGTTCGAGGTTAACAATATTAAAATAATATGATAGTATTACATATAACTATTGCATATAACCAAAGTATAGTTCTGGATTTTAAGCTAATGGGGGATACTAGCTAACGGGGTTTCAATTCTTCGTACCATTGACCATGTTTAAATAAAAACTAAAATAAACTAAATAAAATAATTTAAATTAAATGTTTTGGGCGGTAATCTATTTATTTAACCCAGTTCTGCGATTTACAGGGGATATCGTATCCCGCTGTTCACGCTATTTGGTCGAATTGGATACCACCGGCCGAGCGTGTCAAATTGACGTCGTTAGCGTTTTCCGGTTGTTTCACAGCTATGTTCATTGGATATCCGGTCTGCGGATGGTTGGCTGACAATTACGGCTGGTCTTCCATATTCTACGTGCCGGGTAAAAATTACATTTACTTACATTGCGCGACCAATGAGTATTTCCTAATACAGAGTTTGGTTACCAATATAACCCGTATTTCTTAATTTCACAATTTTAAATGTAAAAAACCAGCCGAGATTGCGATCACGTTATCCTCACGAAGGTTACGACGACGGGTATCGAATCGGGAACACTTGCTATCCTAACCTAACACATAACCGACCTGCAGATATAATTTTACGAGTAGGTATATGATACCTATTCGTTATATTTTCGATTCTATTAATACGCGTAAAAGGCCGAAAAAGTCGTATCACATGACGGCGAAATAAAATAAGCGCTATTGAGCGTTTAACCAACGAAGTTACGTTCGGCAACGAACGATAACGACGTCACGACTTGTAAAGCTATGATTTCCTAGGAGAGCGGTGCTGTTATCTAGCGGCCGTAATTTAGCGGTGGAGACGTCACTAAAACGTTGTTTATACAAATCAGACGGCGTTGATTTCCTAAAGAGCGTTTATCGTCTACGTAACGTCATAACACGTTAACGCTATTTGTATGACGGCCATCATTACGTTGTCAGTTTCCGAACGTTAACAACACCGCTCTCCTAAGAAACTATATGACGATAAAAGCGCCGTCCGTACGCGTTATAAGGTAACGGCGATGTTATAGAGTCCTCGAGAAAAACGAAAGAGCGAAAAACCGAGAGGGTGAAAAATCGCGGAGCGGACTTGTAATTGTTTTGAAAATCCTTAGGAAATTATTGTGTAAAGAACGGACATGAAAAACGTGCGAATAAAAATCACCTTGTAGATCCGGGGAAACACTCGCTAAAATAACTATATAAGTTGGTACTCACTTTTTTTGCCATTTTTGACGTTCACTATGAACCTTTTCTTGATATGTATTAAAGTATTTATAAGCGAATTCGGTTTTATTGCAGATTTTCTTCCGTTCATTTTATATGTTATACAAACAATTTGATTGTTATCCAGTCAAAAAATGACAAACGCCTTTTTTGTCACATTTTGGATCTAGTTGGTGACTAACAAAGTTATTTTTCTATTTTCTAAGTGGATTTTATATTATTTGAAAGAATTGGAAAAAATCGTAGGAAAAACGGGAAATTTACAGCAACGATAAATTGTAACTAACTTAAAATATGGCTTAATATGGCCTACACAGCCCCTCCCATAAAGTTTTTTCTATTTTACGCGCGAACCGTTGTCACGCAAATTCACACTAATTATACGCGCTAAATTTTAATAAAACTAAAATGCGTAAAAAGAAAAATTGAGGAAATACACGTTACTTAACCAATTGGGACATCAATGTTTTTTACGTAGGTTTTGTCGCTATAACATGGTGTATCGTCTGGTTGATGTTTGTCGGAGAATCTCCGAAGGAAGACAAATATATCTGCGAAGAAGAACGCAAGTACATTGTCGATTCAATAGGTCCTACCGACAATAAAATAAGTACCTATTTATATACTTTCTTATGAATTCATTATACTATCCACATTAGCTTTTTTTCTAATTTGTGCAGAACATATTTAATTTTATATGCTTTTCATAGATCTACGCCATAATTTTAGATTCTAAACGGAGTTGGTTTTAAAACGATGTTTACTTTTTTTTTTTATTATCTGTGAACAACTTTTCAGAAACTTTGGTCTGATTTTCAAATTTAGTACCCTTTCTGAAAGGAAATATAACTAGGGTGGTACCTTAAGGAGGTGATTTTTTGATTTATGTATTTTTATAATAAATAAAAAAAACCGGGAAAAAACGTAGGAAAAACGGACAATTTTACGAAATGTATTATTTTCGAATCGTGAATATTATGGCCTTTCAAACCATGTATAACAGAACTCCGCTCAGAATCGTGTTTCTTTAGTAATGATTATTCGTTGCGACATCAAATTTCCCTTCTACCAAGCCAACTTCTCACCTACAACAGTGGGCCACCCATCCGTTTGTTTTTAAGAGTAATAATAATATTATGTTACCTACGTTTTTATGTATATTATATTTTCAGTCAGTTTTTCAAAGTATCCGTGGAAGGATATATTTACATCAATACCAGTATGGGCTATTAACATTGCCCATTTCTGTTCCAATTGGGGAGTTTACACACTATTGACGCAGTTACCTAGTTATATGAACGGTAAAAAATATTCAAGAAACGTAATATAGTGTTTACACATAAGTACAGATGTACTATGACTGGACTTTTCTCGTGCATTATTGTGAAGTGTTTGATTCTATATATTCTTTACTCTATAGTGTTATTTTTTACTTTTCTGAGTTTGTTTTTCAGATAAACACCGGAGTTTAAATTTGAAATGTATGAAAATACAAACTGCATTACAGTTAAGAGTATAATATTCTATTTTCAGATGTATTGAAGTTGAACATCGGACAAGGAAGTTTAGTATCAGGTCTCCCATACATAGCCATAACCTTTACGATTCAAATAAATGGTTTCTTTGTGCACTGGTTACGGAAAAAAGAAATACTGACCGCCACACAGGTGCGTGAAGTAATTTTACAAAGTAAACGATTAAAACCCAATATTTAATACCTGTCTTTACCATTATTGCCGAATTGTAATTTTTTGATACAGTATTTATCACTCTTGTAAAATATTTGAGTAAAAGTATTTAATACATGTATTTAAATACTTTAAAAATATTTAGAAAACTTTTAAAATACTTTTTGAAATAATTATTTTAAATACTATCTTAAACGTATTTATATTTGAATTTTAAATATTTTTCTTAAATTAAGAATTTAAAATTCCTTATTACTATTTGACATTTAAAGTAATAATATAATACATTATAATTTATATTCCATGATTTTGATTTTTTGATGTCATCTTCGTTATAAACCGAGGAGAATGAAATCAGACAAACACAAATTGACAGTGAAGTCACGAATCAAACAGAAATTAAACTCATGAGAGACTTATAACTATGGTTCGGATGTTGATGAAGTAGCATATTTTTTTCTGTTTATCCAATTCAGTGATCAGGATACAAATTTGATTCTTGTTCTACTGAATCAAATAGTACTATTTCTATTCTGTATATTTTTGTATACTTCATGGTATTTCATGCATATTTCAGTACATTTTTTAACTTTTTTAAAACTATTTAAATTAATAACGAAATACAAAGCAAAAAAGCAGACGATTTGAACAAATTAAAAATACTATTGTATCACACTCTAATGTTTTGATTGTAAATTAATATGTAATATAAAAAGAATAAAAAATAAAAATAACTACTAATAAAAATTATATACTTAAAGTAAAATTTTTTTTTTTATTTTTTTTTTTTTGCATATTTTGGTATTTTTGTTAACTAAAAATGTATATTTTATAATTTTTAGTGTATATTTTGATTACATATTTGATAATTTTTTAGAACGTAAATGCATACATTTTACAGTTATTTTAAGTGCATAAACATCCTAACCTTACTTATAATAAATATTTTCATATTCAAACTTTGAAAAAACCATGCTGCTTAAGTGCAATACACTATTTGCGGAATGGTTATGATGATAAATATATAATTTCTGTTTCTTTAAAACTGTTTTAATTCATCCAATCTATTTAATTATTTCAAAATTAGTTTACAGTAAATTTTATTTATTTTCATTTTTCAATGTAAAATGAAGTAGGCAGTACAAAGTTCTAATAATAGATACTTAAATAGTTGAATATTGAATTAAATATTCTAAATTTCAAAATTAGTTTTGTGAACTTAGTTGGATTAATTATTCAGTCAAATTAAAAAATATTAAAATACATATCGATAGTATTTATACTTGTATTTAAAGACAATTTGATAAGTATATTTACAATATTGATATTTATTATTTAGACTATTATAAAACGTTGAAAGTTATTAATTATTTTGATATTCAGTAATTTTTTAAAAAGGACGCCCCCCCACTCACAATAAAATGTTAGCTATGTAACTTTTCATCACCAAACCTAAATAGTAATAAAATTATTTAAAATATTGCAGTGATATTAATAATTACTATCTGTCAATAATATGTTGTGTAGTATCGCAAAATTATAGATAAATAATACAATTATTATTATTGGCATGTATAATTGAAACATAAGTCCCGAATTTAAAAAGTCGTTTCTTCCGTTTGTAGATGCGAAAGATCTTCAATACTATTGCTTTCGTGAGCCAGGCCGTCTTCTTGTACGTGACCGCGAACAGCACGACGAAAATCGGTTCTGTAATTTATTTGACGTTATCGGAATGCTTCGGCGGTCTCATTTGGGCCGGATACATGTAACGTGCCCATCGCAGCATCAGATCACGGCAATCCAACACAGTTTTTACTCTACATTGGGTTTTTTATTTTTGTTTTTTTGGCATGTTCTCCAGGACTAATCATTTAGAAGTGGCACCGCAATACGCCAGTCTTTTGCTGGGTATCTCCAACACGTTCGGTACACTACCCGGCATCATCAGTCCCATGTTGACCGGCATAATCGTACGACACCAAGTAAGCGTTTCGATTCGTTTAAACATAGGTATAGGTAACTTCGGAAATGCAATGCGTTGACAACGTTTGTCCATCGGAGCAGCGGAAATCTCAGTCGAAATAAAGCCAGATTGTTTGATGAAAATTGCACTTGGTGTTAATGTTAGGAGAAAAAAATGGAAAACAGTCGTTATCAGTGTTATCACATACATTCCGTTCGTTAAAGAGAGGATTTGGAAATAAAACGAAATATTTCTCTGTAACTATTAGTTATTAATTATTAGTCATTACACATAATACATAATACATTAACCTTAATCTAATAATTCTGTTGATATTCATTATTTGTTTCAATTTAGTTTTGTGCGAGGGGACACATATGTAAAAAAAAATTAAATATTTATTTTCATTCCTTAATCACTGAAAAAAATAACATTATATTTGTCCACTTTTCAAAATTTTCAAAATAGTAAAAGTAATAGTAAATTTTGTAAAAGATATTATTCTAAAAACTTTAATGTAGCACGCATTTTAGTAAATTGGTATGAAAACAATTAATATTTAATAGAATAACGCGTTACACGACAAGAAATAATCACAATCAGCACGGTAATTCCTTATCTTTTATTGAAAATCAATTTTTTTCATGTCTATTTTTCGAAAATTAAAACAGCTATAACTAATAAATTATTGATCGGATATAAATGTGTGTTACAATGTTGCATTCAAGTTTTTAGAATAATATCTTTTACATAATTACTGTTTTGAAAATTTTGAAAAGTGGACAAATATAATGTTATTTTTTTCAGTGATTAAGGAATGAAAATAAATATTTAATTTTTCTCGACATATGTGTCCCCCCTCACACGAAACCCGATTGAAAAAAAAATGGATACCGACAGAGCATAAGGATAACAAGAGTATAACAATTAGTCATATTTTCTCTCTTTATTGCCTAAAAATTATACAAATAATTTCCAGTTTTTCTCAATTATTAATAGAAATACAAGGAAAATCAAAAAATTATCTCCTATGTGCACTAGTTAGATCAAACACGTTTCAAGAAAGTTTCTGTAAACTTTTGATTAGAGCAAGGTTTCTGGTCGGCAAAAGTTGTTTACAGACACCCAAACACAATACACATCATAGTATATAACCAAGGGATTTTTCGCTTTTACTCGTAAACTCAAAAAATGTATAGTACCTAATAATATTATTGTGTTCCGATTGTAGAGTGCGGACGAATGGCGGTTGGTGTTTTTGATTACCAGCGGCATATACTTAACCGGAGCGATCGTCTACGCCGTATTCTCGTCTGGGGAACTACAACCGTGGGCGAAAGTCGAAGTTGACAAACGCGATGACGCCGACAAACGCTGTGATACCGGGCCGTTATAATGCATTTGTACCTACATTATTATAACAATTGAACTCTGTAATAGGATGAGTCGTTTGTACAATCAACCCGTTCTATTTTAATATTTATTATTATTATTATTTTTTTTTAATATAATTCCAAATGTAATATGATTTGGAAAACTACAATTAACACAATATTATTTTTAATGTTTTAATATTTTAATGTTGTCGTTTAAATTTGTTTTTTGTTTAGGCACACAAGTTCAAAAAACATGAGCGTGACATCCCACCTCGTTTCCACTCCTATTATTTATCGTACTATATATAGGAGTGTGTATAGTACCGTAGTCAGAGTTAAATGGATCCCGGTGCAAATTTAATTTTTATTATTTTCCAATAATATTTTAATCTAAACATATACTATAAAAAAATACGGACATACTTCGTACGATGAGTGGGCCTCTGTTGTGTATAAGAAGTTGGAAAAGTGGATGGGAATTTCAACGATTAATCATTGCTAACGAAAAATGATTCTGAGCGAATTTCGTTATACATGCTTTGAAAGGCCGTATATTTACGATTTTAAAATAATACATTTCGTAAATTTCTACATTTTCCTCCGTTTTTTATCGGTCTTTTCCAATAATTAGAAAAACTTTTTGGAAAACCAAATGACCCAAGTCAGATTTCCTTTTAGAAAAAGTGCTACACTTGAAAAATGGATCAAAATTGTTTGTAGAAAAGTTGTCCATAGGAAAAAAAATCGTAATATTTATAAATAATATATTTCGTACATTTTCCCGTTTTTTTTTTCTTTTTGATTTTTCGCATTTCATGAGAAAATCCTAAGAAAATCGAAAAATGATCTCTTTAATGTACCTCGCTAGTAAAATTTCCTTTTAGAAACATTACCATCATTAAAAATTGAAGTCAAATTTCTGGTATAAAAGTAGTCCATAAATATTAAACCACAAATATATTTAAACCTATATTAAAAATTGGGTATATAGCTGATTGATATTTTAAATACATTTTGATTTCTATCAACCTGGTCACAATATATTCTACTTTTAAGTTTGGGTAAAAGGAAGAATAAGTGGGAGCAGCATTTATGTGGTAACACGGTACGTAGCGCTTGAATAGTTCTCCACTACTTTGTCTACCCGACTTAAATTTAGTGGAATATCACGTTAACGGGTTAGGAGAAATCAAAAATTTAATACCAAAATGTATCTAGTTATGGAATTTTTAATACAGGTTGACATTAGCAAATCAAAAGCAAGTAGTCGTTTCGGGAGACGTTTAAAATCACAACAGTCAAAATCGTAACAGTTATAATCTCGACACCAAAATTCCGACAGTTACAATATTGACAGAGTCAAAATCCCGACAAAGTTAAAATTCCAACAGAAAATATCACACAGAATTTCGCAAACATCGCAGATTGTGTAAGTGATCGCCTAATTATGTCCCTTAAAATTATACTGATTATCAACTTGATTAAAAAAAATTAAGTTATACTTTTTTTTAAATTTATGATTTATTAATACAATAAAATCAATACATTTAAAAACTCGCAATAATTTATTGTTAATCCATTACTTCCTTGGTTTACTGATATATTAATTAATTTAACTGTTTTGTATAAATATTTAATAATATGTATAATGTTCTAAATTATCTTATTGGTTTACAAAATATCCTGAGTTATAATATTGCATATTATATAATTTTTAGAATGCTTTTATTTACAATTGAACTTATTTTAAAAAAAAATTGGTTCTAAAATGATTAGACAAAAGTCTGATCGCTCGACTATTCCACCACGTAAATTCTTCGCTATTTTCATCAATTAATTTTACTACAAACATTTTTATTTAAATAAATGTATATAAATTTTAGTCTAAACAGCGTGGTCGTGTTTTACAAATAATAATAATTTATAATCATGTGAAAATATGGTCAAATGGTTATCACTTATTTAGTTGCATCTACCAGGTGATCCATTTAAATGAGTACATTTATTATCTCAGAAAGTATTAACTTTTTTTGGAATAAGGTTTTTAGAACATATAAGAAACAAGCAACTCTACATTTTTATATTTATGTTATTTTTTGACGCTCTTATTTTTGTGGGTAAAACCACTACTTAATTATGATTTTCAAATGGCAATCTATATTAAAAAGTCCATACATAGATGGAGTATTAGTTAATGAGTGTACCGACTTAAATAGATTACCTGATATTATCATTTTATTAGCTTATGATCGTTTTCTGATTTACTTCGGTGAGATAAGCGTAACCCAGTGATGATCAAATACGGCCCAAATCATTTATTAACCGGCTCAACAAAGTATTGAAATTAAATCAAAATTAAAAAAAAAATAAATTCAGATTTATCAAAAATTCTTACGTTTATAACATTTATTATAAATCAATATTTCCTATTTCTTCATTTCTTATCGTCAAAAACGTTGTTGATAAAACACAATTTCAACATTATTCAAGCTCTGAAAATCTTATTAAGTTTTATTCAAATCTATCTTAAGATTTTTCCAAAAGTTCGGCAGTTTACAGCCAAGATATCTTGTATATTCGGTTCAACTTATATTTCTGAGCAAGTATTTTTAACTATGAAAACAATAAAAGCAAAACTCGGGCTCACATAACAAATGAACTACTTCATGTCATTTTGCGGGTAAATTCAAGCAAATCAGGACCTAATTGATGTTCTCTGTAAAAAACAAACTCAACAATCACATTCAAAAAAAAAAAATATGTTTAAACTTTTTTTTATTTATATTATTTATAACAATCAATTATAATAAATAATTAAGATAATCAATGTACCACTATTATTTATATTAAGATTTACCTAAAATATAATACAATATTTAATAAAAAGAAAAAGTACAATCAAACATCAAACGTATAGCCCGGTGACGCCAATAAGCACTTAAAAGTTTTTATGCGAATTACACGCACTCATAATCTGCATAATACATAGATAATAAAAGGTTAAAAGTTAGCCGATAGGTTATCAGTAATATGAATGATAAATTCAATACTGTATTATTACAGTTAAACAGAAATAATGCTTAATGTTATATTTCATCATTGTACTACAACAGTTTAGTGCTCTAGAGGTTAGTTAATAATTCGTTCGAGACGAGTATACAAACATTTCGATTCGAAATAAATAATTTATTGTGACACATAAAATAAGAGACGCAGGCATTATAATTTTCTTATTTTGATTCTCGGTGAATACCACTTAGTACCTCGTATCACTGAAGCTTTAAAATCCTCCCCCTTCTTTCTATAAAATTAAAAAAAACGTATTGCTATATACTGTTTAGTATTGCTATATTGTTTATATGGTAATAATTAATGTATTTTCATTTATTTAACATACACGTGGTTTTNTATCCTAAAATACACATACAAGTATAAGTAGAAACTTCAATATTATGTTTTCAAATTAACTCGATGGCCTTCAAACTGTTTTGGAACTCATAATATTATCGTATCGGAATTTGGTCAGTCAGTTTGTTATGGACCAAGCAACGTCACCACTCCAAAACCATAAGTACGTGTAACATCAGACTGCTCGTTAAAAATTAAACACTTTGAAAATATTTTTTTGAGTCTAGGAATGGACAAATGCCGTTTTGGAAAAAGCGAAGGAACCTGGTCACGCTCATGGTATCTTTGGGATATTTCAACTTCTACACACTCCGAGTGAATTTGGCTGTAGCAATCGTAGCCATGACATCGTCAGTAGATAACACAAAGGTGAGTTTGCATTATAATTTGTCTCCTAGTCTAACTCCTCGGAAACAAGACGGTAAAGGCGAAAATCCAGTGACGTCACGTGTACTATCGTGTCCATCAGATAAATATTATACTCATAAAAACTGTAACTAATCAACCAGTGGCGTGCCGTGATATTTTATTTTGGGTAAGCGTTTACATAAAACTTCAAGCTAAATCTTAAAAACAGATATTTTATCGACGAAAATCACAATTCAAAATTCACTTAAAATATTTTTATTTAGTTAATAGTTCTATATAAAATTAAACTTTAAGTTAAATCTTAAAAATAAAAATATGAATAAATTATTGATAATTGTATAATTTAAAATGTATGTGTAGACAAAATCCACTACTTTCTTATTTCAAAAATATACTATATTTCATAAATATTAAAATATTTTTACAAAATAATATTAATACTTTAACAGCAAATGTACCCGTGCATTATAATAACAAGTATATCGATAACGATCATAGACGTGTGTAGTCCTCTTTTTCAGGGTATGTATAAGACTGCCACTAGCACCTCTGAATTTTATTTTAAACTCGTATAATTCTGATAAAAATATATACAAAAATATTGAAATATCTTACCAACTGTTTAATTGAAAATGTAGATGGGAAGTTGGGAATGTAGGAAACGGAAGGAAAATTAATTTATATCTAAAAACAACGATAAACCATTGTTAACGAAAAAACGATTCTGAGTGGAGTTCAGATGATAGTGATGCTTTATCAACAATATTCAGTGTTTGAATAGCACTGTTAATATTCAATTTTTTTCGATTTATTTTTTTTCATCGGTTCGTCTTCGAGGGAGACATCAATTTGGGGAAAAATTGAATTTTTATTTTCATCCCTTAAACACAAAAAAAGTTATAACTTTATTTATTATTTTTATGCAATTTTCAAAATAGCCATTTTGTAAAAAATATTATTTTAAACATTTTAATGTGCAATTTTAATTCGTATCCTAATCGGATAGGATAGTTTCCTATTTAGAGTTTTTTTAATTTTTAAAAAAATAGGTGTGAAGACAACTGATATTCAAAAGAAGATAAAAAAATTACCGTACTGATTGTAATTCCATCGTATAACAACTTGTTATTAATTTATTGCTTATTAATTGTTTTCCGCCTAATTAAAACGGGTATTGCTAAAAAATGATTTATCGAATATGAATGTGTGATATATTAATATTGCTTTCGAAGAAACCTGATAAATTGTTTTAAATTATATACTCATATGAGAATTAATAAAAAGTAGTAATTTTAATATGTAAGTCGAATTTTCATTTAACATAATAAATGTTAAACCATTTATTACTTCGTTGTTGGTCGGGTATGCGCCGCTTACTATCTTGCTCCGACAACCCACCACTGAAATCAACTGAACATTAAACATTTGTAACCCAAACAAAAGAAAAAGACGAAATTTATCCAATGCTGGACATTTTTCGGTAGGTCTTGGTTCTGAATGTTATCAAAATTACAACGGTCAATCAGAATCTGACAAAAGTCGACAAAGGTACGACGATGTCGTGAAAAGGCTTCTAGATTGTATACAAACTTCAGCTGCATTATCGGCTTAACACTGTGTATTATCTCCGGGTACCTCTCTCAGCGGTCTTACCGGACTGAAATTCATCTATCCGTTTTTTTCTTTCTCTAATCGTTCACTTGAAATTAATCAATCATTCCTACATGACGATTCGTGAATCTCCGACGATATCATATTGAATTCATTACCTTTATGTAAATGTTATCGTACAATTGTCGTATTCATGTAGCCATTGTTTGATATAGACGGCCGAGTTCGACTGGGATTCAAAACTTCGCGGAATCTTTTTGAGCGCGTTCTCGTATGGATACATAACCACGCAAATGGTTGGCGGTTTATTGAGCACCAAATTTGGCGGTGTCAAGCCGATGGGCTACGGCGTATTATTAAATGCGTGTTTCACGGTCCTAACTCCATTTGCTGCTAGATTTTCAGTTTATCTGGCAATCGCGTTCACTGTCGCCGGAGGAATGTTTCAAGTTCGTGAAAATATATAGTTAAATATACCACCCAGTATACTCTATTTTTAACATAGTTTTCCTGGTTTTCAATAGTTTTTATAATTGACTGGATCCCCGATTGTTGGTTGAATTTGCACCAAAAAAAAAAAAAAAATTATAATTTAATAGTAATTATAAATCATAATTGTATAAAATAGTAAAATCCTTACTCGACAATGCCCAGTGTTCTGAAATCTAAAAAACCTGGCAAAAAATTCTAGAATCTATTCTGAAGCCAATTCAATATTGTTTTTTCTTCAGTTTCTAAACTGGTAATTTTCAAAAATAAAATTATATCACCTATCCAAATTAAACGGTTCACTACAACAACTAGATAACTTTATTTGTGTGGTAAAATTTAATGAAAAAATAATTGGATGCAAAAATAAAAATTTTTTTTTTAGTGTTTTTTGAACTATTTCAAATCTGGTTGTTGTTAAATTGTTATTTGTTGCAGTGGACACTTCAATATTTCAAATACAACCGTTGCAATAGCATATTATAATTTTAATGTGTATCCTAATCGAACTTAATAACCTACATAATATAGGGGATCTCGTATCCGAGTACAAACGCCGTGTGGCTGAGATGGATACCACCCACTGAGCGCGCGCAAATGTCGTCGTTTGGTATTTCCGGTAGCATCGTGGGTATTATCGTCGGATATCCGGTCTGCGGTTGGTTAGCCAAAAAATATGGCTGGACGTATGTGTTTTACGTACCAGGTGAGACAAAGTCTAACTTTTAGACCTGAGGGTCCGGTAATGTAATTGATAATCATTATCGTCTACAACATTATCGGATAATAGCATTTCGTTATTACATTATTATCATAGGTTTCGTGGCCGCACTGTGGAGTATTATTTGGTTGACGCACATAGCCGAATCTCCGAAAGAAGACGTTCATATTTCCGAAGAAGAACGCGAGTACATCGTCAGTTCAATAGGTTCGACCACTGCTGTCAAAACAAGTACGCCAATATTTTGCAATGCATACTGATTCGGTAATTACAGATGTAGGTACTCGTGCTTTATTTTTATTTTTATTTTTTATGTATACAAATTAGGTTTCTTTAGTTACCCGTGGAAATGTATATTCACGTCGATGCCGATATGGGCGATAAGTTGTGCTCATTTTTGCAGTAATTGGGGAGCTCTCACACTGTTGTTGCAATTACCGAGCTATATAAACGGTAAATTTATTTGTATATATTATAATATAATATTTAATGTATCCATTTTAAACAAACTAGTACTTTAGATATCTATTAAATTGTAGATCTTATCCAAGTTTCGTCATGAAATTATCATATAGTTATGAGTGCTGTGTATTATTACTCGAATAAATTCGATTTTCGATATTTTATACTTAAAATGCGATGACTTCGATAATTTTTTATTAGTTATGAGGAAAAAATTGCGTGAACCTAAATAAAAGCACGTCTCTCAACGTACTTTATTTTATCCTCTGAACATAGTAAAGGATGTATGGTTTTATGATTAGTGATCATATGATATGTGCAGTATGATATTTTTTATTTTACTGATTGTGATACAAGTTTTCTACCGGAAATATTGATTTGATCATTTACTGCAAGGGACGTTTTTTGTAGACAATTTTATCTAATTAGTGTATTAAGTAGGTCATTTACTAATTCTTCTTGTAGTTTTTTTAATAGTTAGAAATAATAAGAAAATGTATTCAGTTAATGACGGTTTTCATTAAAGGCGATTTTGTATTATTTATTTTTCCCGTGAAAAATAATCGTAAAGATTTGACAATTCCGTTACGTGACCAAAACAGCGATGATAAACTTTTAACTAACTGTCAATTTGGTTCACAGATGTATTTAAATTTGATATCGGCCAAGGGGGTTTTTTATCATCGCTGCCGTACATCGCTTTGACCATTGTCCTCCAAATTACTGGATTGCTTGATTATTGGATTAAACGAAAAAATCTACTGACTACTACACAAGTATGAAAATTATTTACGTACGAAACTATTTATAATTTTTTTTTTTTTTTTTTTTTCTGTAGTCAAGGAAACTCTTCAGTAGCCTCTCTGCCCTGAATAGAGCCATTTTTATGTACTTGACGGCGTATTCTACAACGGCAGTCGAATCTATAGTATATTTAATATTAGCGATGGGACTCGGGGGATTTTATTCCGCCGGATTTATGTAACTATTCCGCCCCGTCGGTAAGAGAATTACGATGATTCTAATTTTTCTTTCAGCGTTAATCACTTAGACGTAGCGCCGCAGTACTCCAGTCTTTTAATGGGAATTTCCAACACGTTTGGAAACGTACCCGGTTTTGTTACGCCCATGGTAGCCGGTTTACTTGTGCAACACAAAGTAACTATTTCAATTGGTACTGCTATTAAAATCATATTAATAAGATATTATTTATATTGTGATTTTAGAGTGCAGAAGAATGGAAATGGGTGTTTATAATCGCAAGTATTGTACAGCTGTTCGGCGGAATTTTTTACGTAATATTTGCAACAGGAGAACGACTACATTGGGCTGAAATCAAACCCAAAGATAATGAAATCCAGAACCCATTGTTCAAAAATGTGTAATATTTTATGCTTTATATATATATATATATATATGAAGTTTACTTAAAATATTAACAGTAAAACAGTAAACATTGATTTTATGTTAAAATTATGTTTTATGTTTTATCTGAACAGACAAAAAAAAACGTAAAAAAATCCGACCCGATCGAGTGGCCTTGTTTTCTATCACCGGGAATTGAACCTACCTAGCGCCTACCTACTTAACGACTACACATCACAAATGTGCCAACAATGTATCCAGCACTTTTTTTTACACTGAATTTTTACTAAATCCTTTTTAATTGTTCTGTCTACAATAATTTACATTTAATGATAATTTGAAGACAAATTATATTTGTATTGTATTTTCCTTTAACATAGGATTTCCCAAATATTAGTGATTTTTGATTATTATTTGTATATTAGTTCGGATCGTATATAAGGTCGCCACACACGGTCTAGTTGGCCTGTCAGTTATGCCTGCACAGGTCGCCGGAGACCGGCCGGCCGAAATGACGTCAGCACCCCCGAATCTGTCCGGGCGTCACTTCAGTCACAAGTTTTGATAGACATGGCTACCAAAGAAGACGCGCTTGCTGTTTTAGGCTTGTTGATAGCCATGGAAAATAATAAAATTAAAAAACGTAAACGTCGACTGTGTATAAAAATTGGTTACAAAAAAGAAACGAATATTCTCACATTAATCTGTTGACCGAATTCAAGTTGTTTCCAAAAGACTGGTATAATTACTTGCAAATGGACGAAGAAACGTACTTCCAACTTCTTTCATTAGTGACACCATTTATTCAAAAAAAAGATACAGTTATGAGGAAATCAAATGAAAGGTTGACAGCAATGCTCAGATTTCAGACACCGTTTGCTCCTGATCCTGTCCTAGTTGATTCCTTTATTTTTTTTTAACTCTTTCCGGTAGCTGCTTCTCAAGTTATTTATTTTTTTTTTAATACCATTGACTTCGTCGCAGAAGAGTCAATTTCTTTTAGCTTTTCAACCAAAAATTTGTAGGCAACGTTCCTTTTGCAACTATCGTGGTATTCTTTAGATTTTATTTTCCACAAACAATGTTCGCTTCGATATATATCAATAAAATCTTCAATACACTGAGATTCGTTCTCTCGAGACATTTTTTTTTTTTTTAAATAACAAAACCTCACGAAAGTGTAGTGCAGTGCAGTGTAGCTTGCAGTGTAGTCGACTTTGAAATAAAATTAAACCGTTTGGTAATTTGGCCGGACGGTCGGAGCCGACCGGTCGCCGGAATCCACACATATTCGATACGCCTGCGCAGTTCCGCAGTTCGCCGGATGGACGAACGAGTCCGGTTTTGTCTGGCCACCTGTACAGGTATAATTGTTCAGGCGACCAAAACCAACAAACGCAACGGCCGGCCGGTCTCGGGTGGCCTGTGCAGGCATAACTGACAGGCCGATCAGACCGTGTGTGGCGACCTTTAAGTTAGTCATAAATATTATATTTCTACGACAAAATTACATGAAAACAATGAAAGTGTCCCATGTTACCCGGTTTTAGATTTCTTAGTGGTAAATAAAAAATAAAAAAAAAAATAAAATAAATATTCAAGTAACTCACCTTATTTGTAATATTAAATAGTAATATATGTTTATTATTTATATAATACTGTATACCGTATACTTTTATAAGACCATTCGAACTCCAAAACTGCAATGATGTACTGTTCATAATAAAATCATAAGCTTAAATTATTGACTATAAAAATTATGAGTAATTTAAAAAACATTAATAACAATATCGCGGAGTTCACTAGAGATTATAAGACAATGTGTTTTCCCATACTCCTTTATATATTTTAGCTTACAATAACCGACGGAAAATGTTTACTTATCATTTAGATACTTCTACTATCTTCGTATAACCTTATTTAATACCAATTAGTTTAAATAGAGTACCTATTTTGTTTCATTTTTGAGTGATTTTATTTTTGACGGTATTACGCCACTACGGTTCGCGGTAGCGTGAAGTTCGCGCGACATTTAAAACAAAAAATCGAAGATCCAACAAACACAAAGACCTATCCAACAATATCTAACAAATTGAATACTACATTTTTTAACCATTACCCAACGTTATTGATGATGATGCACTGTTGACGTGAAGTTAGCGGCGCAAAATTTTAAATGTTAATAAAACCCAAAATATGGTCCAACAAATTTTCTTTTGCAGTTTAGTTTTTTATGGCATGCGTATCAATCTTTTTTTTTTTTTTTTTTAAACTGCCTGAAAGCTTTTATGACAACGATCAAAGATCTTTAATAATACATTTCAAAGGTGTACATAAATACTTGTGGTGTATCAATATACAAGAAAGAAAAAAAAAACAAATATGCGAGTGGTCTCTTTCCCAGTGGAGTGGCCCGGGACTTAGTCTAAGAATCTTATACTAAATCATATGGTCTTCGTCGCGTATCAGTAATTGAAAGCAAGTTTCTGATATCGCTTGATTATTTATATCATCATTGTACACTTAAACATTATTCACATATTATGTTCATATCAAAAATTATAACCGCACGTAAAAACATTTTAATATTATTATCGTTGTGCTTATCCAAATATATTATAAAAACCGGTAAACTTGAAAATTGAATTAATATAATTATTTTTATATCTATAAACGAAATAATTAACATACCAATGTGCTGAACCAAATTGTAGCTTTATCTTAAAACAAAAATACTGATTTAATTCTATTCACAGTATAGTAATTTCTTCTATAATGTACGAGTATAGAGTATACAGGTTATTCACTAAGTGTGCTTACCTCAATTTTTTGGTTAAATTTTGCATATATTCGAATTCTGATTCTTCGAATTTTGAAGTGTAGTTAAGGCCGATATTTTTGAATACTTAAAATTTTCACAGCATTTAAGGAGTATCTTGTGGTGATATCAACTTCGGTTGACTATATAGAATACAAAAAAAAAATATTTTTCCCTGTGTAATATGTTTGGCAGACGGCCGAGTTCGACTGGTATTCAAAACTTCACGATATTGTTTTGAGCACGTTCTCGTGCGGAAGTGTAATGGGCCCAACGTAAGAATAGGACTTGGAGGACAAATATTTGAAACAAAACAAACCTTAACTTGAATTTAAAAATTAATATTATTTTTCACACAAAAAACTACAAGTCTAATAAATAAATTCACAAAAATAATACAAGTCCAAATAATTCAATTCACAACCATCGGAAAATATTCTAAGTCCAATTTAATTTCACACACAAAAATATTACAAGTCCAAAAATATTTTATAAAACATTTTGATGCGAAGTTCCTCGCATTTGATTGTGGTAGACTCGTCTGATTCGACGATGTACCGGGCTGCATTATATATGCTCTGAGGGACCCCCCGCAACCCGTCGTTCATTGTGCTGCTATCTATATTATTTCGTTATTGGCAATTTGTTTACTTTCTGTAATTTAAGTATTGCTCATGTACATTTATTATAAATATTATAAATTCATTTTACGATCGTGTCCCCTCGCGCGTTGTTACTGTCACCGTCGCGTCGCGGCTATATATATTGTTTTGTTTATGGTAAATTTTTGTATTATTTAATATTTTCATATTATCGGACTATATGTTGTCTTTACGGCCGTTGTTTTATGCCTATCCGCGCCCTTGGTATAAAAGAGTCTTAGCTCCCGGTTTTGGTTGTGCTCCCCCTTTTGAATAATAATTATTACGGGTTCACGCACGTATACTTATAGTAGCGTGTGGACACGTTACAGATGAATGGATACATAACCACTCAAATGGTCAGTGGTACAATGAGTGCGAAGTTGGGTAGTGTAAAGTTAACGAGATATTTCACTTTAAAGTTTAGGTAAGGAGAATGTAGTAGAGCACTCATAAAACGCCGCGCATCATACCACCACACAAAAGATACGCCACTACTCTCCTCCTACCAAAACTTAAAAGTAAAATATCTCGTTAATGGGTTAACAGGAATCAAAAATGTTGGCACTGAAATTTATTTAAAGTAATACTTAATCTATTTATGAAATCAAACGTTAAGCTACCATGGGCTTCAACACAATTAAAGCGGAAATCAATTGTAGCTCCAGTCAAATTATGTATCAATAGGTCGATTTTTATTTATACAATTGTAGATAATAAGCGATTGAATCGATGATTACAAAATACGGCCATGATTTCTTATTATTTTAACTGAATGACAATAAAATAAAATTCAGAATTGTATTTACCGTAATGACGAAAATCACAAGGGGGGAGAGGTGATTGGTGGACCACCCACCCCCCTACGATATACGCCACTGTACAGTGTACTCCCGATTATCCGTGGAATAGGATGGCACGATATCCACGGATAAACGAATTCCGCGGATAATCCGCAAAATTAAATTTTATAATAAAAACTAAATTGGACATTGAAATTAAAAATTATTTTTACATATGTATAATTAAAAAATTACACTTTATAATAATACAACTTAATAAAAATTATAAATTATTTATGTGCAAAAAAATCAGTCACAAGTTGTTGTTTCTTTGAAAACTCTTCTTTTTAACTTGTGATTGAAGTTTTTTTAATAATATTTTGTCACACAGAGTTGTATCGTCTTGGTCTTCTATATATTTAATGATCCCGTCTATATGTTTAGAGCTGCTTCATGGCTAACTTGCTTTACTTCATTTACTTCATCATTTTCTTCTTCTTCACCTTCACTTTCCGAAACTGTACCTAATGCTCCACTTACTATTTGTTCATCACTAAGACACTCAAATCCTGGATTATTGGCATCACAATTTATCCACTCATTAATATTTTCTTCGTCAACATTCTCTCCTCCAGTAAGAGATTTAGAAAAATTAGCCAAATCAAAAGCAGAGACTTCTTTTTCTTCCTCCCCTATCAAAGTATTTTCCATACTCGGTAAAATTTTTCTCTAAGACTTGACTAACGTAGTTTGCTTAACTAACCCCCAAGCAGTATTTATGTCATAAATGCTATCAAGAATTGTGTAATCTTTCCAAAAACTTTTAAAATCACTTCCCTCTTCAATTCTTTTTTTAAGCAAACTTGTTCTATAATTTTTCTTCGTAGAAGCAATTACCCCCTGGTCCATGGGTTGGATGAGAGCTGTGACATTAGGAGGCAAAAATTTGACAAAAATATTTCCATCTTCCGATTTCAAGTCAACTTGGTGGGATGGGGCATTATCAATAAGCAATACAGCTTTCTGAGGTAAGTTTTGAGACTTGAGATGTTCTCTTACTTGGGGAATAATTTTTTTTTCGAACCACTCTTTAAATATTTCTTGATTCATCCAGGCTTTTTTTTGGTTAAAGTAGTGTACTGGGAGGTTTTCTGCTCTGGTCCCATTAAAAGATCTTGGTTTTTTNGCAAGTGTTCGTGTTGGCAAACATTTCCAAAACAGCCCCGACTTATCAGCGCTATACAATTGTTCATATGATATTTTCTCTTTTTGAAGAAACTGTTCAAATTTAATTTTGAAGTCTTCCGCTGCCTGTTCATCGCAACTTAATTTATCGCCGTGAATTCCAATTTCTCTTATTCCGTGGCGTTTTTTAAATCTTGTCAACCACCCTGATGACGCGTCTAACCACCCTTCTAAACCTAACATTTCAAAAAACTGTTTTGCTTTTGCAGAAACACTAGGTCCTGAAACAGGAGTTCCCTCAGTTCTAACTTGACTTATCCACTGTAAAAGAGCCGCATCTAATTCTTCATAAGTGCTAGTTTTCATGGTTTTTCTTTTTTTCATTGATGAGCAGTTTTCTGATGCGGACGCGAATTTCATTAATTTATCTTTCTGTTTAAAAATGTCTCTAACGGTGCTTTCTCCTATTCCATACTTCAAGCTGATTTGTTTTTTCGACGTACCCTTTTCAATATTGTTAATCAATTCAAGAGAAACTTGAATTGACAATACCACTTTTTTTCTTTTTTCACTCATTTCGTTATGGACTTGCAATAAAAAATATTAAAACTAAAATGACGCAAAACACTTTAAACACCAATGCGAAGTTCTAGTCGATAGTAGACAGAAGACTAAATAGGTATACGCGTTATAAGTGATCAAATGCAATATGTAATGTACGTTATCGCATAATCGACTATCGCAGCCCAATTTAACCGATAATGATGTACAATGTACATTCGAGGGTCTAGTATTAAAGGAACATAACATAATGTGTATTAATAAAGCGTATTTTACGTCGTTATCGAGTTATCGACTATGACAAATTCACAACCCAATTAAACCTATAATGATTTATAATGGAAAGATACAATACGTATATATTTTGTTGTATACATATAGGTATGTAGACGATTCCGTGGAAGACAGCGGATAACCGGGAGTACACTGTATTTAATATAGGTTGATGTTTTCGCAAACTAAAATATTGTAGGTGTTAAAGGAAATAATTAACTTAGAAAAACCACAAAATTTAAAGTTTTCATAAATTGTTTTTAACTACCACGATTTTGGATTACAATAAAAATAGCTGTTGATGGTTAGGTGAGATATTGAGAAGGTATAGTACACATGGAGTAACCAAATTTATAGCTGTATAAAATAAAATCTCTAGGATTTTCATAAATTTCAAGCGCTTTTATCTATCTATCAAAAGATTTTTCCAAACGTTCGGCAGTTTGCAGCCAAGAAATCTTGTATGTTCGGTTCAATTTATATTTCTGAGCAAGTATTTTCTACTATAAAAACAATAAGCAAAACTCGGGCTCACATAACAAATGAACTACTTCATGTCGTTTTACGGGTAAATTCAAGCAAATTAGAACCTAATTGATGTTCTCTGTGAAACACAAACTCAACAATCACATTAAAAAAAAAAAAAGATATGTTTAAACTTTATATTTTATTTTTTTTATTTATATTATTTATAACAATCAATTATAATAAATAATTAAGATAATCCATGTACCACTATTNAAGAAAAAGTACAATCAAACATCAAACGTATAGCCCGGTGACGCCAATAAGCACTTAAAAGTGTTTATACGAATTACACGCACTCATAGTCTGCATAATACATAGATACTAAAAGGTTAAAAGTTAGCCAATAGATTATCAGTTATATTAATGATGTTTAATGTTGTACTTCACCATTGTACTACAACAGTTTAGTGATCTAGAGGTTAGTTAATTTTTCGTCCGGGGCGAATATACGAACATTTCGGTTCGAAATAAATAATTTACCACGACACTTAAAATAAGAGACGCAGGCATTATTGTTTTCTTATTTTGATTCTCGGTGAATACCACTTAATACCTCGTATCACTGAAGCATTAAAATCCTCCCCCCTTCTTTCTATAAAATTAAAAAAAACGTAATGCTATATACTGTTTAGTATTGCTATATTGTTTATATGGTAATAATTAATGTATTTTCATTTATTTAACATACACGTGGTTTTTAAAATTTATTATCCTAAAATACACATACAAGTATAAGTAGAAACTTCAATATTATGTTTTCAAATTAACTTGATGGCCTTTTTTGGTCTAAACTGTTTTGGAACTCATAATATTAGCGTATCGGAATTTGGTCAGTCAGTTTGTTGTTTGGACCAACCGGTCTAATATAAAGATGTAATAAAACGTAGTCATTAGTATTCAATTGATATTGTATTCTGATGACCTCGATTGTATTTTGTTAAATTATAATTTTGTGTTGTAAGGAATTTATTAATATTATGTAGCGTAATACGGAAAAGTATCACAGATATGTACTTAGAATAGTAACTGTCTAAATGAAATGTTCTTAAGGTATATAGAGAGAACGCGAGGGGCACTAGTCAACATGTATGTGTCATATCTGTGTAAATAATAAACTGAGTTTAGAACAATTTTTGTTTATATTTTCTTAAGTTTAAAATCTAAATCCTTATAAACTCGTTCTGAGTCTAATTGGCTCACAACATTGTCATGGACCAATCTACGTCACAACTCCAAAACCATAAGTACGTGTAACATCAGACTGCTCGTTAAAAATTAAACACTTTGAAAATATTTTTTGTTACAGATGAATGGATACATAACTACTCAAATGGTCGGTGGTACGCTGAGTACGAAGTTGGGTGGTGTAAAGTTGTTAGGCTACAGGATATTAATGCTACACTTGAATGTCGGAGCAAAGTTTCTGATAGAAAATTGTTCCACAAATAAAAAAAAACAATAAACATCATTGCTCCGCTCAGAATCTAAAAACGATATTACGCTCAAATTTGTTATATCACTAAGTACATCTTATAATGATAATGAATCCTTTAAATTTGCAAATACTTCTGTGTGGTCGAAAAATTGCATCCACATAGTACTTACCAAATTAAAATTAAACATAATAAATAGTTTGAAAAACGCCAGAATAATTTGAAAATTGACCACATCTAAAAGAAGCTAATGTAAGTATTCTGTGTACATTTCGTTTCTTTACGATAATTATTGTTCACCGATTTACAAAAAAAAAAAAAAACCAAAATCAAAAAAAAAAACGAAATTAATTAATGATCCGTATTTCTTACGTTTTTCCAGTTTTCTCCAATCACTATGAAAACTGTTTGGAAAATCAAAACACGGCTTTCATATTAACCAACTTAATCCAAAATGCATAAAAAAAAAATTCTTTTGTCATTTTTGATTGGAACGAAAATGCTGACAGAAAAGTTATTCACAGCACAGTCAAACTAATATATGCATCGCTCTGCTCAGAATCTAAAGAAGTAAAGTATATAAAATAAAATCGCGTATTCAGAATTTATCATTTATTATTTCTCATCACTAAAGCTGCTTAACTCGAAAACCGACCACTTTCGAAACCTAAACCGAAACTACCGAATTTAAAAAAACCGTTCGTGAATAATGATTACAATTAATTATTGGTATTATAATTATTTCCATACCAAAACATTATATTTTAATTTCTTAATAAAGTTTCCAAAAACAAGTCTATTGTATTAATATTACATTGGATTGTCGATTATCCGCACGTCAATTAACCGCAGTACAAAATCTTTGTATATTTTTATTTTTAGTTTAATTTAATATAGTTTTGTCATTCGTTTTCTCATTTTAATACATAGGTGAAATATATGCACATATGAATAATAATATATGAATAAAAATAATATATGAAATGTAAAATTATGTTTTTATCTACTGCGGCTCACTTTAATGTAGATATGTATGTTACGGACGTATTTTTAAACTCAGACTCAAGTCTGAGTTTAAGTCGAATGAGTAGACACAATATTTATAAATCTTTTTATTTAAAGTTGAAAAATATTCAAACACATTTTAATTTATTTGCAAGTCTGTCTGGCGTGAAGGTACTTGCGGATGATAGTGCTCAGACTCATCTGAAAAGGCGTTCTCGGCGGCCAGTATATATACCTCGAACCCCACCGCTAAAATGCGTAGTCCCCGATTTTCGGCAACAACATGTTATTGCTCAGTCGCGTAATGACTTCACACGTCGATCCCCGGCATCCGGGTAATCGTGCGAGAATATGCGTATAAATATATATTGCTAAAATAGTGTGTTCACGGTCTTTCGTATTGCCCCGGAGCCTTAGTAGTTAGTAGCTCTACCAATTCGAAACGCCCGAGATTGGCGTCGGCTGAGGTGGATTTGGACAACCAGTTTCCGTCCGGAGAATGTAGCCTTGATGCATTTGACCTCACAAATAAAGTTGTGGCCCGTGTTATTTATTATCCTATTGCTGAGCTGATTATGATTATAATATTATAATATTTAAAGTGAATAAGCCGACGCCCCGAAACATGTGTGATGTAAAATTAAATTTAGTTGATTCGTAAAATGAACACAATACTTTTAACAATACCATATTATACCTTTACATAGGCAAATAGTGCATGCGTTTTTTTTAAATTTTTGCATTTTAGATTCTGATTAAAGTGAAGAAACTTATGGCTTTATAAAAATGTTTTTTTTTTTTTATCCGCGGACAACTTTTAAAAAGCGAAACGTATTTTGTAGATAAGTAAAATTTTCAATTACTTTCCTCAACAGAGCAGTTTTCATGTACTTGACGACGTATTCCACAATAGCAGTCGAGTTTATAGTTTATTTAAAACTATCCGTGGCTCTCGTAGGATGTATTTCTATTGAATTTATATAACGTCCGTTCGTCGGTAAAGAAATTTAGTTCGATTTCATTCTTTTTTTTTTAGAGTTTAATCATTTAGATTTTAAACGTAGCACCGCTGTACGCCAATATTTTGTTAGGAATATCCAGCACGATTGAAACCGTAGTCGGTTTTGTCTCACCCACGTTAAATGTTTAATAACCTGTAAGGCAACTAAAGCCTAAATACTGTGAGTGCTGAAATTATGTAATTTGTACAGACTCTTGGGTGTGGTACGTCGAGTAAAGGTCAGAAGATGAAGTTAATATTTTTATACTTTCCCCCAACCCAGAATTAGTTAAAACGACATGGTGACCAATTTTTAGAACTCGTCATCTCCTATCGTTTCCTATAAATAGGTTATGGGTTATCAAAAAAAAAAAAAAACCTTTATTTTATTACCATTTATTTCATATTAATTTATTTTATTATTATTATATATATACATGAATAAATCTGTAAATCGTTTTAGAATTCTTAGTATTTATTATTTCTTTTTAGTAATTCTTTATGATGTTATCATAAATACTCATATAGTAAGTATAAGGTTTACTATCAATGTCATAAATTATAAAAGCCTATCAGTTAAGTTAGGTTATCTATGTAAATTCTAACTTCAATAATATAATAATATTACGTTGCCGGAAATATATAACAATAAAATAAATACAATAACTAATGTAATAATTTAGTGTATTATTAATATCTGTGTGCACAAGAATTCGTTATCCGCATGATTGTTGAGCTGCCAAAAAAATGGCGTGGCACGTTATTTAGTGATGCCATCATACCATGGTCAGTCAAACAACGAGCTCATTTCGGAAAGAATATATGAAAACTTTTGTTCAAAATGTAGGATTCTATTAAATTGAATAACCACAAGTGACGTCAAGTTTTATTTTTATTTTTAAAAGATGCGGTGAACATCATTTAGTGGCATATCTAAAAGATGAATTGCATTCTTCCCACAACAAATTTATATTTAAATAAATGCATTTTTTATTCCAAACGAGTTTTCATTTTTTCACTATTGCACATTATTTTAAATTGTCTCGTTTTAAAATCAGCGTTTCGAGAAGTCACACACATTTGAAGAAGATTGTTTAGTACAAAATGAACTCGCGAATAGAAAATTATAGGTATTACATCAACTTAAGAACATTCATTCCATAATAATTAACCGTCTTAATTTTAAAAAAAATGTATTTTTTTTGTTTAGTGATGAAAATAATTCGTTTTGGAAAAAGCGCAGGAATCTAGTTACATTTCTAGCGTCTCTCGGATATTTCAATCTCTACGCCCTTCGAGTGAACTTAACCGTAGGAATCGTAGCCATGACATCGTCCACGAACAACAGGGTAAGTTTACAAACAAACTTTTAAAATACCTATTGTATGATAACGAAAATAATATAAAAGTGTTTGGTTTATAGTAGCAGGTGGACCAAAACAAAAATCATATTTTTTTTTCACAGACGTATTTTTATATTTTATTTAGGCAAGAGTAACAATACTATCAAATTATATTTCATAAAAAAAAAAAAAAAAAAATGCTAGTTTGCGATCAGTGATTTAGGATGGATAACGCATTGTATTTTTTTTTACGGTTTAAATTATCGCTGAACAAAAAATTGCATGAAGGTAAATTTTTAGAATTTAATGAGGAACAAATAAAGGTTTTAAACGAGAAATTAAGTATTAACAAACTTATTAGCCGTGAAATGTAAACATTTACAAAATGTTGATAAATCATAAACTTAAAATTAGTCTTGAAAATTTTGTTTTATGCAATCTTTTACATTTCGTGAATAATAACGTTGTCAATACTGATTTTCTTCTTATCAACTATAATACCTTATTTGTTCCTTATTAGCTATTAGTTATTATATTCTAATGATTTACCTACATACCGTTTTTTTGTTCAACAATAATTTAAACCGTAAAAAAAAAAACATACATATAAATCACGTTATTCGCCTAAAATTACTGCTTGTGAACTGCATTTTTTGTTTATGAAATAATATTCGATGGTATTAATACACATGTAAAAATAAAATACAAAGATATGCCCGCGAAAAAAATTATTTTTTTTTGGTTTACCCTATAATGTATAATGTATATAGATAATAGATTGAGCTTTTGTTTAATAGACGGCCGAGTTTGATTGGGATTCGAAACTCCGCGGTACCCTTTTGAGCGCGTTTTCGTACGGATACATAACCACGCAAATGGTCGGTGGTACACTGAGCACCAGGTTTGGCGGTGTCAAATTGATGGGCTACGGTGTATTGGTACCTGCGTGTTTGACAGTCCTTACCCCATTTGCTGTCAGATATTCGGTTTATCTGGCGATTATTTTCACAGTTGCCGTGGGAGTGTTCCAGGTCTGTGGCAGTATAGATATGTGCACCCTGTTTAATGTATATATATATATATATATACATATTACAAATTATAGCTCCAATCGGGTAGATATTTAATTGTGCGGTGAATGGTAACCCAAACAAACGTTTATTCAAATTTATAAAACGTGTATAAAATAATAAAGTAAAAACAAAATTATTAAAATGGTTAATACTCGTATATAAATAAAGTAAATAAATATATAAACAAAAAAACGTATATATAAAAATAAAATTAATTAATTACTCAATGCGTCGTCTAGAGTATTATAAGTGATATTATATACGGTCGGAAATTTTGTTACCAAACACTTCGTCAAGATTAAATCTAAATTGATATTTAATAACTTCACCTTAGAAGGAATTTAAGATGCTGTGGTTTATCTTATTTACTTTTCCATATTTTTGATTCAAGTATGGAACATATTAAATTTGAAAGGGCATTTAAAATAACCGTATGTGATTCATATAATTTATTGTGTACCGAGAAATATTCGAATTTTAATAAGATCAATTGTTTAAACAATATTCGATTTGATCGCCTGGTATTCCATATAATATTTGGTAACGCGATTGAGTACCTGTGTTACCTATGGTACCTATGTTGGTTGTATAGCAATGAAACCAGTAAAATGTCAAGGTTGCGTATAAAATGATTACACAATTGTTAGAAATATTCGATATATTTTTATGAATTTCAAAAAATATCAATTTAAGTTTTAAATTTGAAAATTAATAAACTAAAAATCACAATTACGTAACAATATATATTATGTTAATTGAAAAATTAAAAAAACATTTTTTGTACAATAATAACTTGTTTCCAAAGTTTAAAAATATAATGTATAATACAGTTAGTTTGGTAAAGACTTCATCAAAATGTTTAAAATTCATAATTTAACTACTAAATTTTACTAATAATAATAATATGTATACAAATATAAGAGTGAAAATTTGCATTACACAATAATCATTTTATATCGTTTCCAGTTGCGTCTATGTCTTATGTAGTACTAGCTTCCCGTTCACGTGAACACTATTATCACTTATCTGGGTAATACATTAGTTTATTTTTTTGTTTCAAGTATGTTATTAAATCCTCAAATGTTTGAATAAAATAAGTATGCAATTTAATTATATTATGTAGGTAAACAGTTAATTAAAAGTGTTTATTTTACAATCTTGGGTATCCTCGGAAATATTTATCAGAGACAAATTTAATTTAAAAATGCACAAACCAAATTATTTTTCATAATTACCTACCTAATTTTCGTTTATAAATTACAAATATTTGGACGGCTTTGTTAATTCGTTTACTGACCAGTACCAATATTTATAACTATTGTTCCTTTATATTATAAGTAATTCATAATATAATGGAATGTTACGAAACCTACTTCTGATACCTTAAAATAAACTGCTGTAAGTAACTGTAAATTAAACAAATAACATATTTTATAGTTATAATTTTTATTAACTATTCATTTTTAATAATTTTAAATTAACATTAATTTGAATTAAGTTAGTTGTATGCAAAATAAAATTCTGAAAAGTGAACCTCAATGGCCATAACCACCATTATATGCTAAATATACTAAATTTTACTTTACAGTTACAGTTTTACTTAAATAAGTATTTATTATAGTTATTTTTAGATGCTGAGTTTAGCGAAGAATGTATTGGTTTTGCAATGATGGTTATTTTTTTTTTTATGTGCACAGTTTTTCTACCAGAAAGTTTACTAAAATTATCAAGTATAGAACCTTTTCTGAACAGAAATGTTCTTTGGTGGTACTTTAAAGAGATCATTTTTTATAATTCTCATTAATATTCAAGATAATGGAAAAAACCTGGTTTTTAGGTCAAAAAATGTTGAAAAATTAAAAATAAGGTTGTTATTGGCAATCGTTTTTATTTATTTTTTGTTATTATCCGTTAAGTTTTTATGATTTTCATATTTTTCAAACAATCATTGTTGTCATGGAAACGCACATTGTTGTAACCATTTTACCATATGATTCATACCGTATATTGTATTGTTGACAAAGCAACACTATCAACTGAACTCCACTCAGAATCGGTTTTTCGTTATCAATGGTTTGTCGTTGCTTACAGATATACATTCAGTTTCCATTAGTATCCTACCTTTCCAACTTCCCCCCTACAATAGTGGCTGCATCCACATGCGAAGTATGTCCGTCTTTTTAATTATGTGAACGTCAATTATACATAATATGAACAAACATTAATATCCTCCTTACTTTCTATAAGTAACTAATATTTGGTTATATGTATATTGTATTGACCAATTATATTGTATGAACTTCTATTGAAGCACAAAGATGATATTTTATTTTAAAATACCAAGTGTACTAAAATATCCAACGTATAAAATAAAAAAAAATTCGTAGAATATACGCATATTAATGTAAAGTTATTAATAGTATTTTTTTTTTTATATATACTTCGCCAAATTACATGGTTATGAAAAAATAAAAAATAAATCCCCCATTATAACAGTTAGTTTCAATGCAACTCATGGTTGCCGTCCACAGACATATTCCAAATCAATGGCTCTGACATATTCTAATTTCTAATATATATTTGTATTATTCGTATAAATAGGGAATCTCGTATCCGAGCATAAACGCCGTGTGGTCGAGGTGGGTACCACCGGCAGAGCGCACAAAACTAGCGTCGTTTGCCTTTTCCGGTAGTATCATGGGCATGATCGTCGGATATGCGGTCTGCGGATGGTTGGCCGAAAACTATGGCTGGGAGTATGTGTTTTACGTACCGGGTGAGTCGAATCTGAGTGGTATGACGTCCGTGGTCATAAAAAAATACTCTGGGACTTTTTGTGGCAACTAATGTGTCCTAGACGATAATAGCATTCTTTTTTTTATTATTATTCATACAGGTGCCGTGGCGCTACTGTGGAGTATCATTTGGTTAGTGTACATCGACGAGTCTCCAATAAAAGATGATCGTATTTCCAAAGAAGAACTCGAATACATTGTCAGTTCAATAGGTCCGACTGACGTTAACAAAACAAGTACAGGCGTTTTTCAAGAGAATTTCTTTTAAATTATTTGTTTCACACATTTATACTTTGAGCAACATCGTTTTTGTAACGTGTATGCATTGTCTGGTTTTAGTCGGTTATTTCAATTACCCGTGGAAAGACCTATTCATGTCGATGCCAGTGTGGGCGATTCATTGCGCTCATTTTTGCAACAGTTGGGGAGGATACACGTTGTTAACCCAGTTGCCGAGCTACATGAACGGTAACTATTATAAAGCATATTACCCTGCTGTTTAAATGTAATAGGAAGAAAGAAAAAATAAATTAATATTCCGAGGTATTTATTTTTCATTTTCTTTATACGTCATTCTAGCATATTATGTGTTAAAAGTCTGAAAATAAAAAACAAAATTACACGTACTGTACGTATATATTTATATATGTATTCGTGCGTATAAATCACGTATATACATCGAAATTTTAAGGAGCCTTAACCGATTACAAGTACCTCCATAATATGATGTCAACAAAATGTGTCATTATATTGAAATAAATCTATTTTAGATTCCGAGCGCTACAATGAATGCATTGGTTTTATTAACTGAGAAAATCCGGAAAACGCGATTTTTCACGGCATTAACAGTTTCAATATTTTCGATTTAGTTTATTTGTTAATCAGGTTTGAAATAATTGTTAAAAACCTGAATGGATGAAATGTTTACAGAATACTAATAGGTAAACCTAATCTTTTCTAAATGTAGCGAAATTTTCAAAACATTCACGCGTTGTTTTTTTTTTCTAGTTCGACATTTTTTAGTTTTACATGGTTTTTGGCAAATAAAATTATTTTGGCTGAGCAGAAATAATTGAAAATTTTTCTCGAAGATCACCATACGTTGAACTTTGTGATTAAAAAAAAAAAAAGTCAAGCGTAATTTAATCATTTTTTTAACAAGTATTTTAAGTTCAAATTTTGACGAAAATCATTACTTTTACTTGTATTATTTCTTAGGTACCTATAAACTGTGCTTGAATAATAATTGGAATCACGGCTTTGACATTTTCTGTTATATTTTAAGAGAGAATCACACTAAACTACATATAGACATGTATTTTTACATTTTAAAAGTATCATTGAAATCTTCTTACGATCTTTATTATAATAAAAATATTAGAATTTAAAAATATACTGACGAATGATTAAATGATTAATGATTATTAATTAATTTTATGATCATATTATGTGTGTAATGTATGTAAATGATTCATAATATTCTATAGTTGAACGTGTTTTGTATTAATCCTATAGCGTTAATTTTTCATCAATATTGTACAAATGTTACCCTACGGGTTTTCCTTTCCTGTAGTACTTCAGAACAAAACCTCTATGAAACCAGATGTAAACAACCGTAATGTAAACCTTTCCTACTGTCCACAGATGTATTGAAATTTGACATCGGCAAAGGAAGTTATCTAACGGCATTGCCGTATATCGGTTTAGCTATTATTATTCAAACGACTGGATTCCTTGATTTTTGGCTTAAACGACGAAAAATACTTACTACAACGCAAGTATGTTAATTTGTAAACAGTTAATTTGATAAAAATTAAAAATATGTGTACATATTAATATTATTATTATAAATTATACATGTTATTTTATATTGTTATAATTATAATTGTTCGAAATTCATTGAATTCATATTTTGTAGGCAAGAAAGCTCTTCAATAGTATTGCTTTCCTAAGTAGAACCGTTTTCTTGTATTTGGCGGCGTACTCCACAACAGAACTCGAATCTATAATTTATTTGACACTATCCGTGGCCCTCGGAGGATTCATTTCCGCCGGATTTATGTAAACGCCCGCCCGTCCAGTGGCAAGGACATTTTGTTTGATTCTATTTCCATTTTTATTTCATTACAGGGTTAATCAGTTAGATATAGCGCCGCAATACGCCAGTCTTTTGTTTGGAATATCCAACACGTTTGGAACCATACCTGGCTTTGTCACGCCGATGCTGACCGGTATTATTGTGCAGAATAAAGTAAAATATATTAATACGATAATTATTGTGTTCTTGAAATTTTAAAAAATGTTTCTATGATATATTTATTTATTATCTGAATATTATATGTTGAAATTTTAGAGCGCAGACGAATGGAAATTGGTGTTTGTAATCGCAAGTATTGTGCATTTATTCGGTGGAATATTCTACTTTATATTTGCAAGTGGTGAACGGCAAACTTGGGCTGAAATTTCGTAAACATTGTTTCGAAAATGATTGTTTGTCTCTTAAAAAAAAACATGTGGTATATATTTTATTATCTATTACTATAGTTACCTAAATAAAACAGTTGTCCGATTAAATGTTCAATTCAATCAAATAAATATTATTATAATAAATCGAGTAGCCGCAATTTTGTTAAAGATTATTTTCAAATGTTTTCAAAATACGTTTTCGAATAATTATGTGCACTGAATTCAAATACTTTTTTTTCAAACGTATTGGTATTTAAATACAAATAAGTACTTGTTAAAAATAATATTTTTTTCAACACATTTGGTATGCCTTAAAATAATCCCTACTTCTACATTCAATAAATTACAAATAAATACTTAAAACTATTTATGAATATTTAATTTAAATAAATTCAAGAATTACAAATTTTAGAATTCGTATTTTGTAAGAACTCGGGGCAAATTAATAGTCTAGAAATTAATTTATAAATAAAAGCTACATCATTACATAAATGTCTAAAAGATAATGGTTCAAGACCATATTCTCGTATATAACAATAAGTAATAATGTCCAAACCCACATTAGTCATTCTTAATTTAAAAGCCATTATTCTCAAAAAAGACGTTGTATTTTATCGAGTTTATCAACTAAATGAATTATTATAAATTCTTCGAACCATTATAGAATATTGTTTTAATAACAAACATTTTAAATCGTAAAATACGTGTTAGTACATGAATACATGTGCTTTAAATTCTGGAACAAAAATACCATCAAAAAGTTTTCAAAACACATAAGCTGTAAAAAATTATTTTTTAGTATTAAATAGTGTTAAGTAGGTACCTACTTAACAAGACGGTAAGTAGTATACTGGGTCACCACGCCGCAATTGCCTGCCACACTCAAAAATATCATTTTTTGTTTCGTATTCTAATAACTATATTATTTTACATTTTGATCAATAATCAATTAAATAATAGTTATAGCGATTAATAATATATGAATTCGTAAACTTAATCGTAAAACCAATATCATTAATTTATAGTTCTCGGTCGTACTTATCGTATGATAACGTAGTAAAAACAAAAATTATAATAATACAAATTTACAATAAACCTAAAAGATTTCCTCTCGGACGTTACTAGTAACGCAAAACTGTAGACAAATTCATACCTATATACCGCACCTAACCCACAAGTGAAAATAAGTTGAAAAAGAGAAATGTCCATACAACTATTTGGACAGCAATAATGCAGAGCATACCTATACCTACCGTTAATTTTTACCACTTTTACTAATGAATTTCCAATAGCAATTTACATTAAAAATTCAATAAACAAATGGAGTTTTAGTTTAAATACATGTCGATGAAGAAAATAATATATTTGTTATCATATTTATAACGTACTTACACTTCTAAGAATCGTTTACATTTTTTTTTTTTTTGGAATTTTGTAATAAATGAATAATGCGATGGTAAAAATCTTTATATTAAACATTTATTTGATTTTTATCATATAAAAACCGTTTAATTTTAACTTTTAATTATTGTTTTATTTGAAATTAATGTAGAATATGAAGGTAATATTAATTTTTATAGTGTAATTTATTATGATTTTTTTACGTATTTTTTGGTGCAATTATATGATTTTAAATTGCAATTTTTGTGTTTTTTTAAATATAATTAAAGACCGGATTTAATTACAATATAAGGCGAAATTATTAATTTTATTTCAGTATATTAACTATTCAAACATTGAACTACCGAAAAATATTGTTTATTGTGAACTTACATTTAATTTAATTTTGTACATATTTTTTGAACCATAGAAAATAAAATATTTTATTTTATAGTACCAATATTCCACTAATTATTTCATTTCTCTTATTCAAAGTACAATGGACCATACCAATTTTCCGTTTACTTATTTAGTGTAGGTAATAATGGACAAATTTCGATTTTCTCATATTTTACCAAAAATATATAAAATAATGTGACGGGTTATTTATTATTTGTATGAATATAATTATAACTTAGTGCATAAATTAAATTCGCGCCGAAAACGTTATGAGTTTTTCCCACTTTGGCGTCATTAGAATAAAATGAAAATATTACTTCGCAATAGTCTCGACAAAATTATTGCGTTATTTCGTAAATTATGACGCCGAAATCTTGTTAATATAATGTGTATAATCATTATATAATTTGAATATATTCGTATTTCCTCGTCGACGGTGTTTACCAATCGAAGGCCATACAAAAAAGGTTACACGAAGATATTTATTTAAACACAGATTCATAGTCTCGCGAATCATATACAGATTAGTATATACAAAGGGAAGTGTATCGCTGTACAGTTATAATAATACTCTCAAAAAGACACTCATTATCCCGGAAAGTATTCACTATTTTTAGAATTTTTCGGGATTATAATTCTAGTATCTGCTAATATTTGCCAAGTAATTATAATCAAACAAGATATTCAATTCAATCGTTCAAGGTTTGATTTTAAGATTTAAATCCAAAAAATCAAATTATTTAAAGAATTTATTCTTACTAAAAATCAGATTAACGATTATATTATTAATGAGTTCCCCTTACAAATAAATACTCGATAAGGTGAGGTTTTAAACATTTATGTGATACTTAGTATGTAGCTAATTCTTAAATTAAAAATGATATATGAAGTGAACAGCAGTAAAAACAAGTAAACAAAAATAAACAGTAAACAAGGCGATGAGAATGACGACGATGGTGTCGTAGAGGTGGTCCGGGACACTACAGAAATGAAAAAGTTGGATGAATTTCAGAAGATAATTTAAAACTAATCGGTAAAATGAACCATATCGTCGATATGGTCGGAAAAAATAAAATCGGAATCAAATTTTTACACACCGGTAAGTCCGAAAAAATGTCTCCGGTTTACACAGGTTTGTTTTTGACATACCGTTTTGGTTTACCCTATTTCTAAGATATGGAATGACACAATCAAGTGGTCGTTCGGTGGAAACGATTGGTGGTGGTTATTTTACCGTTTCTTCCTAGACTGAAGCATATAGGCAATAATAGGGAAAATTCGTACTTTTTCTGAGATACTAGTTTATTTAACCTTGGGTACTAGTGTAACCATGTAAGTAGTAGTGACCTATATATTATATAGGTATATAACCTATATTATATTATATGTGATGCATTATAAATGGTTTTACGCAAATGTTATAATACGTCATATTATTATGTATTCAATTGCACTAAATGACCTAAATTATAGATAATTTATTTTAGATTTTTAAAGTCTTAAATATACTGTTTTCAATAAAACAAAAATAACAAAAATTCGATGGTTTTGTAATAAACCACTTGTTAAATTTTAAACCATTTCTGTTTAGTCAAATAATTTTATCCGCAGAGTAACTACCAAATACAAATTACGTAAAAAACTGGCCAAATTAAAATTTCTATAAATTACTTAAAAATAGCTCAAATGGATTAAAAATTTACCAAGTCTAGAAAAGACAAATAGGCAAATATAAGTTTCCTGTTGACATTTCGAATATCGATGAAATAGTTGAAGTTAAGATAAAAAAACAAAAATATAAAAATAGCTTCAGTTAAAAGTTAATAGTTATCAAAAGATATATTTAATTAGTTAAATTAAAAGTTAAAATGCAAACAAATATTAACTTAGTAGTTAAAAAAAATGAAATTTTTTTTTAGTGTTAAAAATCAACAATTGACATTAAAGTATTCAATATTAAGGACCTAATAGTTTTACTATTAACCTTTTTATACAGTGATATAATATATTTCCTAATAATATAATATTACGTATCATTAATATTATATTGTAATTAATATTTATACAAAATATAAATTTTTAATAACTGTAATTAACGTAATATGCTAAATTAAATTAAAATATGTATTATATTTTAACAATGACGTAATTTCAAAATTGTCTCCTTTCTTTTTACAGTAGCGGTACACATAAGGCTGGGTTCATATAAATGCAGTGAAAAAAACTGTATGTTTCACTGCATGCCCACTGTAATAATCTTGCCACCAATTTCGCTCTACTTCAGTGAGTGTTCGGCCTAATCCGTAATACTAAGAATAGCTAATTAAAATAAAATCGCGAATTTTGAAAAAAAAAAAATCATTTGCCTTAATTCGTTACTGGATGTTTATATAAATTAACTGTAAAAAAATTAAGTTCATCCTATAAAAACGCTGACTATAGTTAAGTTAAACAATTTAAATTTAATATTATCTTTTTAACTTGGTAGTTAACGTCCACATTTGGTTATTACTATAAACAACAATATATCATATAGGTACTTGAAATATAATCGTCGAACAATCGTCAAATTCAAACTATACCTGGCTTGTGACAATAAAACAAATTAATTGATTCTGCATTCGTATAGTCTGAAACGGTTCAAGTGCGAAGGATTAAAAATTAATGATTTAAATCGAGTAACAATGTATGTTTCAAATAAAGTACTATTGGTCGAAAAATCAGCAATTTTAAAGACATGAGAACGTTTTAGCGCATTTAAACTAGACGAAAAGAAAAAAATATTTATCGGTAGGGGCCAGTGGCTAGCAGGCAACCACACTTTAATAAAACGAACGCCCGCGACAATAAGATTTTAAACACATTTATTCAAACATAAATAAATCAAATTATTGATTTATATCGTCCCCGTATACGTATACGAGGGACTAACTTGATCGTTAAAAAATAATTCTCTAAGAAAACGTCCTAAAATACGGCCATTATATCATAAGCCGCTATTAAAACTACCGTCGACGGTAAAAAAAAAAAAAATGTAAAGAAAAAATAGAATAGTTAAAAATAGATACCTACGTCGTTATCAAAATATATCGTTGCGCTGTCATAATATATGCAATGGTATTCGCTAAGAAAATATATGGTATATTCTTGTGCCATTTTTTTGATTTATTTTTATTGCGTACCGTATTTATTTCGTGTAATACACTTTCGATATTACCATAAATAGAAATAAGAATACACGTTTGTCGGGTCAACAGTTAGAAGTAACGTAGGTAATGTAACATTTTAGAGCTGCTTGATTCTTAAATTTTCTAAAAAGCCAATTCCGAGCAAAGTTAAACTTTCTGAGACAATGAGTGTCACATTTAATCATCTTGTACAATATTATATAGTAAAACAAAGGATTTTAGGTATCAGGAAGCAGTATTGTAATCAAAAATAATTTCTGGGAGGGAATTTTTAAAATTACCTATTATTTTTCAGAATGAAAAAATTAGGGCAATAATCTAAATAAAACATAAAACATTTAATATTGTTTTGTGTTTTACATTTTACTCTCTGAATACATCACGTTAATTAATTTTTCACATGTCTCTCACTACACTATAACTGCAATAATTTATTATAATTTGTGCAGTTGTCCTAACTATGCTGCATTGTAGTAGTAAATTACATTTCTAGAAAAAAAAATGAATTATTATTAACTAAATAATTATTATCGTTGCGCTTGTTCGAATATATTATAAAAACGGGAAAACTTGAAAATTGAATTGATATAACTATTTGTGTATCTATAAACCAAATAATTAACATACCAATGTACTGAATCAAATTATAGCTTTATCTTAAAACAAAAATAGTGATTTAATTCTATCCACAGTATAGTCATTTCCTGTATATTATACGAGTATACAGGGTGATTCACTAAGCGTGCTCACATCAATTTTTTTGGTTAATTTTTGCATATATTTAAATTCTGTTTTTCGGAACTGGTAAGTTTAGTTAAAGCCGATATTTTCGAATACTTAGATTTTTCACAACATTGAAGGTGTACCCTGTGGTGATACCGATTTAAATTTTTCAAATGTGAACCTATATTAAAAATTCCATAGATGGAGTATTACTTTAAATAAATTTTGGTGTCAACATATTTGATTTCCGTCAACCCGTTAACGAGATAGAGTAGAGTAGTGGAGTATTATTTGTGTGGCGGCACGAAGCGCGGCGTTTCATTACAATGAACATAAAGCTGTTGATGGGTAGGTGGGATGTTGAGAAGGTATAGTACACATGGAGTATTCAAATTTATAGCTGTACGAAATAAATTCTTTGAGATTTTTATCAATATCAAGCGGTTTTATTATTTTGGTTTTACCATCATTAATCTGTAGTCCTATTTTTATCAACTCATTATCCCATTATTCTGGTTAAATTCGCTGCGTCCTCTAAGGATTCGCCTAGAATATCAAAGTAGTTTACCCGTAATTTAAAGCCGTGTTCAATTTTGATTTTAACTATTTTAACTTGGCCAAAAATTTGATATTATTATTTATTATAATTGAAACAGGTAAAACAATCCGATTACATATTGTACAAGAGAAAAACAATATTATAGTTTAGAGTGATATAAATCACAACAAATTTAAACGACAAACGCCTACATACATTTCTCAAAAATGGTCAGCTATTAGAGTTTTACAAAGATGTGTTTTTTCTTGGAAGCCATTTTTTCAATAAAAATGTTTCGATATTTCCACGCAGTAGTTTCCTTAAAAGAAACGAAATTTCTAGCTGATGGTATTTTATTTGAAACAGTTTATCGACAATTTAAACAGTTCAATCTCAGATTTTTTTTTTGTATTTCTGGATTGCCTTATTGTCAGCAATGGAAACAATACGATTAACACACATAATCTTTTTTGATCCGATGCAATGTAATATTTTATTCAGTATATAAACTTATTATAAACTAAATTACTCTATAATCTATATATCCGAACTACTCACCTACAACAGTGACATACCGTTAGTTTGAATTCATACGTTCAGATTTTGTTATTTGGTACTAACTGTTACATGCTCGGCGTTGTCCGTGTCAATTTTTTATTATTTTTCCTTTATTCCTGTTTTGGTTTGTCTGTATCAGTATATTGAAATAAAAAATAGATGAAAAGTTAATAACCCACCTAAAAGGACTACCTATGGACTTATGATGAATTAAAAGTGTTTAAGTGTGTCATATAGATACCCTCACAGCGCAGGGATCAAACTATAATATATCCACTATAATAACGCTAAATTATCAAGACATAATAGTTTAGTATTTTTGTTACTGTACCGACAAATATAAAGATTCAAAGATGACGTTTACGTTTTTTACTTTTTACCTACCCATCTTGTACAACGCATAGTTTTTGTTTTTTTTTTTCATTCATGTTACCAAATAAGTAGCCAATCCTATTTCAAGCTAATAATAGCCCAGCAGGCTGTTAGAAAGATTATTTATTTTAAGTTGTTCTAGTTATTATGGAATTTTTATTCATGTTCATTATTTATTTTTTTATTTTCATTTCATTTATCACCCATAGTTCAATAAAATTAATTTCATTTTCATACCAAAAATATACAAAAACCTTTTATTCCGTTCAAGTTTTTTTTTCACGACAAAATGTAGCCAATTTTATTTTCCTAATTTCCGTCTATCTCTATACCAGAACTCATCAAAGTTGGTTCTGTGGTTTAGACGTGAAAACATAACAGGCAGACTTTAAAATATTAGTTTATATTGATAATAATTTTTATTTAGTGTTAATATAATGAATAATGCCGTAGCTCCTAGCAACTATAGAATATATACTAAAACGTCATTCAATCACCAGTCAGCCATTATTTTTGTCCGATTCTAAAATAATTAATTTGCATACATTATGTTAACAATTATTATTTAAACATATTCTGTCCACCAATATTATATTATATAATAAAATTTATTAAAATATTCACCATTCATAATCAGTATAATATTTTGATAGCATTATAATTGCACGTTTCTTTTATAAAAATATAGCGTAAACAAAACATTCGCAGACATTCTCGATACTTAACCTATAAACTATGCGCCTATACATTTTATTCCTGCAAAATATTCAAATTGAGAAAATTTGTTTAATTTGATAAAATTATCCTTCAACTTGGCCGAATTTAGCAGCAGAGTTAAATATATTACGACCCAACTATACTATAATAAATACTATACAGTATCAAGCGGTAATACTTAGATTACATTCCTCAGGCTAGTATTATGATCATTGTCTATCAGCTATGGTGCTTCGTAATATTATAGTATACAGAGTGTCTCACTATGATCTGTCACTTGAAATAACTTTTGTTCTATTCAATAATTTTGATATATATATATATTTTTTTAAATAATTAGTATGCCTCTGCACTACAGTTTATATATGAACATTTTTTTTTTTTAGGAGAGGGACTTAAAATAAAAAAATTAAAATTTTACTATAATATTTTGAAATAAAATAACCACTTTGTAAAATAGATTTTTCGAACAGGTTTGGTGGTTGAACCTTTTGTTAAAGTATGGTCTTTTTTTTCTACAATTTTTTAAAAATTTTCTTTTCAATTATAATAATATTGTTTATCAACATAAACAACCATTTACCAACTACCTTATATCTATAATATGATAATATTATTGCATGATATTAACTTGTGAAAAAGAAAATCCTTGTCATGTGTCTTGACTAATAACTGATTAAATATTGTAATAGAATAACCACAATAGGTAATATTCACATTTGCAAAATCTTCAAAAACTCGTAGAAAATAATAAACTATACTTTAACAAAAGTTTCAACTACCAACAAATTTCTAAAAATCCATTCTACAAAATGGCCATTTTGATTTTTTTAAAAAAAATTACAGTCAAATTTTAATGTTTTTATTTTAATTCCTTCTCCCTCTCAAAAAAAAAAATGTTCATATATTATAAACTGTATTGTAAAGGCATAATAAATATTTAAAAAAAATACATATATATCAAAAATATTGAATAGTACAAAAGTTATTTCAAATAGCAGATCATCGTGGCACATCCTGTATATTATACCTACGTTTATAACATAAAATACCTATGTATAATAATTAATTAATCTAAGTATGAAACTCAATAGATAATTCAGCGGTAGAAAACGAAACTCAAATATGAAATATATTTTAAAAAACTACATTATACAATGATGATAAAATTCGATAATCATAATATTAAGAACATGATAAATTATATAACTATAAATAATTTAATCGCGTACGTAGGTAGTAGGTACCTATATAAATTATTATTCATTAGGTACCGTTAATTACTTATACACATATATGCTATGTTAATAACGTCATAATCATCATAACGTTCGCAAGTCCCAGTAAAACGTAGATACTGTATTATTAAACATTTCTCAACAATTTTATTTCATTTTAATATCATCCGGAGAAAATATCGAAGAGAATTCGATAAGAAACTATAATTTCGAATATTTTTGAAAAAAAATAAAGCCGTGTTCCAATTATTTCCATTTTTTTATACAAGTTAACACTATTATGTTTATTACCAACTTACCATAGTAGTATTAGGTAAATACTTTAGTTTCCTAGTCCATATAATCTTAATTTGATTCGTGGTCTTGCGAATCGGAAATAATACTATTTGGTATCAGTTGACAGTTATCACAATTTACAAATTCTATACATCTTTGTCTAATCTAAATGAAATACCAAATTAACTACTATCAATTATCATGTAAACAATTTCGTAGGTATCTACATAATATATGACAGGTATAGACATACTTTTTTACAGTCCGGCACCGGAGTTATCTACTACGGGCGGACAGTCCGCGCGGACGTCTCTAGTTTATTATATGAATTGTATGTATTGTATTTATCGTATGTTTATTGTATGTACTCATATCCGTGACCAGATTTCATTTACAAAAGCAGGATTTTTTTTAAAAAAAAAACCTTCATCAACAAATTTTTAACAGAATTTTTGGTGAGACTAATTTATTTTACTCTTGTAGTGCCTCAGCATAGCATTGTGTAGGTATCATAGTTATGGCATTTATTATTTCATAATTGATTAATTACAAAATAATTAAATGTAAAAATATAAATAATAACACAAATAGTTAATACATATACAAAGAATTCGAGGCTTTGGCTAACTATTTGCTTACCTTACTTCAAAATATAAGTACACTCAATTGACGTCAGGTTATTTTTGAAATAATACTCGAAACCGGTATTTAAACAAAAAATAAACTATCAGTGTGTTCATAACTGCAGGTTTGCTATGAATCCGCCATCTGAAAAGCAAAAGTAAATCAGATAACTTTAAAAAATTAACTGTTCTTAATTATTTTTGTGTGTATTTGTAGGGATGAAGATGGTCAAATGCCGTTTTGGAAAAAACGCAGGAACCTGGTGGCGTTCCTGGCGTTTCTGGGATTTTTCAACCTTTATGCGCTCCGGGTGAACTTGACCGTAGGAATCGTAGCTATGACATCGTCCATAGACACCAGAGTGAGTTCATAAAAAAACAAAAAATCAAATATTCCTGCACCTGGGCACTTGGGCTCATATACTATAAGAAAGATTCAGATTCATTTAAAACATTTAATGCATATTATTCTTTATGTAGGTATTAATAACAAATATGGTATATACTGCATAACGTACCCGTAGTATATACTTTTAAACTCATACCTACGATTTTATGTTGTTTGATTTCTATTAGGCTAAGAAAATTGGAATTTTATTGTTATAATACCATGCAGGGACGTACGCAAATTAAGAGTTTTGGGAGGTGTTTTTTAAAATTAATTATTACAAATTATAATATAATTAACAATAATTAACCATTAAAATAGAATAAGTAAATAACCATACAAAAAAAAAAAAACATTTCGGTGGGGGGAGGGGGTGTTTGAACACCCAAAACACCCTCCTGCGTACGTAACGATACTATGAGTTCTTGATTATTAAATTATTATTATCTTGACAATTATGATAAGTATGTGAGTATTACAAATAAGTAAAATATTTTTATGAGACATTTGAAACAATTGTAAATGTTCTATGTTTCAGTATTTATTCTGTAAAATTATAATTATAATTTAAGCACCAATTTTAAATTTCAATTTAAGTTGTTAATTAAATATTTAAATAGGTAAAATTACTTCTATGGTCTACATTTACAATATAAATATAAATAATTATTGGTGATATAATAGTATAACCCACCGGAACACTTAAAGGTTTTTCAGTTATGGCTATGTTCAGTGGCGGATTTAGGGTAATATGATAAGGACGATCACCTCCGCCCTATCCACTCTTCAATATACTCTTAGCCCAATTTTATTCTTAGCTTGATTCGTCATTGAGTTGTCCTAAAATAAGTGCTTTCTATGATTTTTTAAATCGACATCCCCTGTTATCTTGTCCTAAATCCATCCCTGGCTAGGTTAAAGATAAATAGGTTAGATTCTTCTTTATGGAACTAGCATGTTGTATTATATAAAACTAAAATATTTTTTCTTGTACAATATTTTTTCTAGCCAGGAGAGTTCGACTGGGATTCAAAACTCCGCGGTATCGTTTTGAGCGCGTTCTCGTACGGGTACATAACCACGCAAATGGTCGGTGGCACACTCAGCACTAAGTTTGGCGGTGTTAAGCTGATGGGCTGTGGCATGTTAATGACCGCGTGTTTCACGGTCCTCACCCCGTTCGCTGCCAGATATTCTGTTTATCTAGTGATCGTGTTTACAGTCGCCGTTGGGGTGTTTCAGGTTCGTCACAGTTAAGCCAGAGCCATAGTAAATAAAATTTCGATGGAGTAATCATTTTTAATATTATTTAACTTTTTTTTATATGATAAATAAAAACATCAAAATTATTTAAATAACAAATAAATAAAAATATTTCGGGGGGCACTTGCTCCCAGTGCTCTCATTTCCCACTGAAATTTACCTACAGCACTGGCCAATGCAGTGTAATATGAACATATTTCGCGTTTTTAAACTAATAGTACATTTTAATAATAATGTGAATGAACTATACAACAATAAAATTGAGTAAATATTTATTTAGATTTTGAGAAAAATAAATTGGTTTCCCTATACAGGGTAAACCATAAAGATATACCAATTGTCATATCTCCGGAAATAATAAAGTTCAACAAATTCTATTTATTTTTATATATATATATATGTATACATATATATTACACACAGGGATAAAGACTACAAATATTTATATTTCAATTAATTTTTTATGTTTTGGTAAAAAACTAAAAAAGATTTGAAGATCGTCATTTTATAGCTTTTATGCTTTAAAAATTTTGACCTATGAACTTTTTATTTTCATTAAATTCGTGATTTTTAATATTTTTTTAAAATTTAGTAAAAAGTACTTATAATTATACAACAGGCTGTAATCGAGTTCGTTAATTCATTGTTATTATTATGGCTAATTGACTGTAAACTTCTTCTTCAAACTTTAAATAATTATTAAAAATCACGAATTTAATGAAAATATAAAGTTCATACGTCGACGTTTTCAGAAGAATAAACTATAAAATAGCTATCTTCTAAATTATTTTTATGTTTTTTAGGAAATCATAAAAAATTAATTGACATATAATTATTTATAGTCTTTATTCCTGTGAGTAATATATATATATATATATATATATATATATGTATAAAGAATTTGACTATCTTTATTATCTCCGGAAATATTACAATGAGTATAATATTTTAGTGGAACATCCTGTTAAATGTGTTCTTGATCTTGGACTGAAATTCAAAAATAATAAAAGCTACGAAATTAATTCTAAGTACCATAAACAAATAATATTATATAGTATTTTCACAATGATTTTCACGACTTAGAATCATATATTTTGACACTATTATGATTATAATTGCATGTAGACAATTTTGTTTAGTTATGGTTACTAAGAAAGTAATACAAATTGCAAACATAACGCTCAACAATGAACAGATTCAACAAGTGAACGAATTCTGCTATTTAGGAAGCCTGATTACAATAAAACTACAAGAAATAACAAGACGAATTAAACATTAACAAAACAAGTTTACGTGAAAAAACGGACGCTTATTCTCACAAAATATCTACATCTGAGTATCATTTCAAAAAAAAAATTCATGAAAACTTACATTTGAAGTACAGTACTTTACTATATGGTTGTGAAACGTTGGATAGGTTTTACCTCTTACCAACTACTTAAAAGAACAGCTGCATGTAACAGACATGAATGGTGACAATGACAAGGCTTAGCCTTTAGAAGCTAATGAGTTAAATGTGTATTGAAGGTGTATTTTTTTTCCTTGTAGTAATTGGATAAACGAGAAAATGTACACAATAACGATTTCTATTATTTTAGATTTTGTGTTTTTGTTATAATTCTTGTAGTGATTAGGTAATTTAATAAGGTGAAAAAACTCGACAGCAAAAATTCCAATTCAATTGCTTTGATATATTATTAATTTATAGAATAAAATAGAATATTTACATAAATAGGGAATCGTGTATCCGAGCATTCACGCCGTTTGGTCGAGATGGGTACCACCCGCAGAACGCACAAAGTTAACGTCGATCGCTTTTTCCGGTAAATACGCAAGCATGATCGTTGGATATCCGGTTTGTGGATGGTTGGCAGAAAAATTCGGATGGACATACGTTTTTTATGTTCCTGGTGAGACGGTTTCTCGAGTGACTTGTATCCGATTGTAGTTGTTATTATAATAGCGTTCTGTCTATACAGGTTCTGCGGCCATAATTTGGAGTATCGTTTGGTTGACGTACGTCGGTGAGTCTCCTGCAGAAGACGCTTATATTTCCGAAGAAGAACGCGAACACATTGCCAGTTCAATAGGTCCAACGGGTACAGTAAAAAAAAGTACGGCCATATTTGATTACATGTGTTGATAAGTAGTTACATCTTAAGCGTCTCATACACTATATAATTAGTACGATAGATTGTGCAACTTTGTCTGAACGATTATTGTAATGTGTACGGTATATATTTTTAAATTGTTTTACAACTTGTAGTGCGACGATATTGAGATCGAGCGTGCATAATGTCGATCGTTTAACGGGAGTTTAGAAAATCAAAAAATCACCTGTCTAATGCACCAACTAGATAAAATTTCCTTTTAGAATATGTGCTACATTTGAGATCAGAGCAAGTTTTCTTTTCGAAAAATTGTTTATAGACCAAAAGAAATAACTTCGCTCCGAATCTAAAAAAGGACATATCATAGTAAAACCTATAGATCCCAGCACCACTCAGAATCTAAAGAAGTGTTTGCGTTCGCGGTTATCACAACACCCCAACACCACTCACTGTCACAGCGAACGTGATCAGTCATGCGCAAATACAAACTCGTTTTTTTAAAATTTTGGAATTTTCAATTAGACTACTATAATATAAGTTTAAACGTAAAAATACTTTCAAGTACTCACCTGTTATAGATGATAATGGCACTATACCGAGTGATTCATTTAAGTGAATACACTGTTTACACACTCATTATCTCAGAAAGTATTAACTGTTATTGAAATTTGTTTTCTAGAAAATTTAAGAAATAACCAGCTCTACAATTTTATATTTATGTTATTTTTTGTCACACTTATTTTTGGGGGTAAAACTATTACTTATTTTTGAAAATCAAAAGTAAGTAGTAGTATTGAAATTGTAGAGAAACTTGTTTCTTAATTTTTCTAGAAAACAAATTCCGGAAAAAGTTAAAACTTTCCGAGATAATGAGTGTACCCACTTAAATGAATCACCTAGTATATTTTGATGCAAAAACACCGTTGACTTTTGATTCGAATCTTGACGAACATTACACTATAATATTTGTGACAGCACTTTTTATTTTAATGTATAGGTAATATTGACTCTAGAGAAAAAAGAAAAAAGAGCAGAGACAAAAGAAAAAGAACTCTGACACCATATGAAAAAGAAATCGTGGCAATTCTACACTGCCTTAGCCAAGAGCACTGAGTTCACGGTCCATCACTGAAATATTTTAGTTTCTTAAGGCAACGAAAAATGTATTGGTTTGACTATAGTGTATTTTTGTTTGTTTTCGTTCTTGGAAATGACTTTTCTACCAGAAATTTTGCTCTAATCAAAAATGACGAGACCTTTCTTGATATATTTTTGATCCTGTTGGTGAATAAGTAAGTCGTGTTTTGATTTTTAACCGGTTTTCTTAATAATTGGGCAAAACCGGGAAAAATGTAGAAAAAACGGGAAAGTTTAATGGCTTACAACTATCACATAATACAATTCGTTCATCTTGTCGTACGATTGATTTTATTATGTATGTGACGCTTTTTGGTTATTGCAGTAAGCACCTTCGTTTTTATTTTTATTTTTTATTTTCAGTCGGTTTTTTAAATTATCCATGGAAATGTATTTTTACGTCGGCACCGGTTTGGGCGATAAATTGTGCTCATTTTTGTGACAATTGGGCAGCCTACACGTTGTTAACGCAATTACCGATCTACATGAACGGTAATTACCGATGCCTTATGTCATCCAGTTTCAAAGTATCTAAACCCAGGAGAAAATTAAAGTCCGATGAAAATATAAAACATCACAGCATCAAATTGTATTAGTTATAATAATCTAATTTGCATTATTCTGTGTTTGTTTTGTGTTCTTGCATTCACGAATAGATGATTTAAATTATAGATTTTCCATTATACATGAAACGGGATAGCGTTTAATGACCCATTTATTTTTATGAGAGAATCGTGAATAAGTAAAGCAAAACTTTTCAAGAGTAATTCCATAAACAAATTCCCAAACTATTTACTTATTTACTGATTTTTCAGTATATTAATTTCGACGCTTCAAAAGTATATTCAAACTGCTATAAAATATTTAAATATTAAGAGGACGTCACAGTACCTAAAATTTTCTTATTTATTTAACGGGTAATTTATGCAAAAATGTATTTCCATACTTCTAATAGTACTCAGGATTGAATAAACCTAAAACAAAAATTAATTTACTAAATTAAATACTGCAACATTTAAAATGTTTTTAAATGGTGACTTTTTGATATTTATTTCCCAAAAAATCATACTACAAACTTAGAAAGAAAAAAAAATCGTTTTTATCTTAATAGAAAATCGTTGAAAAAATAGATATATCAAAAAATTCCTCTGTGAAACATATTAAATCTTTTCTTCTTTAATTTAGTGAAATAATTTTTATTTTATGTCTATTACATCCTAGATATATATCCGATATATATGTACCCTATATCTAATAGACTCTCAGAGTATGTACTGTTGGAATTTTGAACATTTTTGATATATTTCCCGTTAGATATACAGAAATGACAAAACATGTTGCTGTGACACACTCTTAATAATAATAGATACTTTAAAATGAGACATGCGTTCGTTCCACAGATATCCTGCACTTTGATATAGGGAAAGGAAGTTACCTTTTAGCGCTGCCGTATACCACTTTGACTATTATCATGCAAGCCACTGGATTCCTTGACTTTTGGATTAAACAAAGACAAATGTTGACTACAACGCAAGTATGCTTAATAAAATATTTTTTGTGTAGGTATGAGTATAGTTCACAGTACATTAATTTCATATTTTTTAGATAAGGAAGCTTTTCAATAGTATTGCTTTCCTGAGTAGAGCTGTTTTCTTGTACTTGGCTGCGTATTCTACAACAAAATTAGAGTCTATAATTTATTTGACACTTGCATTAGGTCTTGGAGGATTCATTTCAGCTGGATTTATGTAAACGCTAGTCCGATGGTAAGGATATTTTTGTAATTCTACTTTCATTTTTATTTTTTTTACAGCGTTAACCATTTAGACATAGCACCGCAGTACGCCAGTCTTTTATTAGGACTCTCAAACACGTTTGGAACAGTACCCGGATTTGTCTCGCCTACGTTGACTGGTATGATTGTTCAACACAAAGTAAATATTTCGATCGCTCTCTATTTATCGAAATCATATTTAAAATATTATAATTCTAGAGCACTGAAGAATGGAAAAAGGTGTTTTTGATCGCGAGTGTTGTACAGATATTCGGTGCGATTTTCTATGTCACGTTTGCAAGTGGTGAACAGCAATTTTGGGCTAATATCGGAACCGAATTCAATAAAAGCCTTGAAAACCAAACCGAAAAAAATAAAAGCTACCACGACAGCAATATTAAAGAAGGAAAAAGCTATGAAAACAAAATATTCGAACAATAAATAAAAAATACAAAAAAAGTTCACTATCATTTCATGACTACGAATTACATATTTTTTTGATTCTAAGCATAATGTTGACTCAATTGGTTTTACTATGTTTTATTTTTCTATTTGTGAACAATTTTTGAACGAGAAATTTTTCTCTGTTTACATTAACTGTAAGGGTCAATTCTGTGGAATAATTTTACCAGTAGATACATTGTGGTTTTATTTTATTTGTCTTGTGTACTCTGCTTAATAATGGAGGAAAATGAGAAAATATACACAATAAGGGTTTCTGCAATATATTTTGTTTTTTTGTTTTATTATATTAAAAATAATTGTATAGAACACTTATATAAACTATAATTTTCTAGTCGTAGTAAAATTCGTAAAGTGTTCTTGCGTTTTTAAAGCTATTTATAGCCATTTGAAATGTTATTTATGTGGGTAAAATTAAATTGGTCCACCAAAAATGATCGAAAATGTAATACAAGTTTTATTAAAAGCTATAGAGGTTAAGAATTATTTAAATATTTAATATGGGAATGTTTTAACAAATATGGTTTATAGACATTTGAAAAATGAAGCTTAAATAAATTAACAATATCACCACCAGTATTAATTTCTTTTTCGAGGTATGACATAAATGCAGGTAGATATGATAAAAATTGTTGAAGTTTATAAATAAGGCCAGAAGTTGTAGGAACCAAAAAATGGCAAAATATGCAAGAAAAAATGTTAAATATGCAAAAAAGATACAGATTAAATTCGAATCGCACAGTTTTCGAAAAATTTGTTTTGGAAGAAGGCTTGGAAAAAAGCCCCATTGTAAATTAATATAATGCATTTAAAAAAATAAAGAATTGCAAAAATAATTAGATAGCTATTCAAAAACCTGATTTACGTATATGATTGCTTATTGCCTACTTTTACTGGAAATCTATTAATCTATAAATATTTATCTTATTTTTCTAATTTATTGTTTGAAAAACCCTATATAAAATAGTATAAAATAATGTGCTGTAGGTATATGTACCAAAATTTATGTTATACTGTATTCATGAATTCAGTGTTGTTACATAATAATTTTAGTATATTTGTAGTCAATTTATCCACATAGATTATTGTAAAAATATCTGACTGTAGTTTTTGGAGTAGGTAAATATTAAATAAATATTTGATTACTTCGTCGGGGCGTTTTGTTCTTATGTGGTTTTAAGTTACATTTTGCTCGTTTCTTGCTTGTCCTAAACCAATTCTTTATACAGCGCATAGATGGATAAGACCTTTTGTAAGTAGCTTATAGCTTATAGCTTATAGGAATAGTTAATCCTACTTGAATAAGGATAAACAACTTTGGAAAATCATCTTCATTCACCACTTTATTTATTCCAAGTATCACCTAACTGATGGTGCGGATCTGTGTTTTCGCAGAAAAACTGCAATCGAAGTGGTCTCGTCGGATCGACAATTTATTACGCTCGTTCTATTTTTAGACGGTGTTTTCTATTACCCATTACGCGAAAAAAACTGATAAGTTGTAACGGGCTACGGGCACGCTCTGTATAATGCATCATTTATATCGTCGCTTAATGTGCAACAAAGCATAATATCTCAGTTTTTGTAGTTTTTCTAGAGAGGCATTACAATGTTATGTTGGCAAATATAAGAATAATACATGTATGTTAATGTTTAATAGCTAATAGCACAGAAAATTCCCCTAATGAATAAATGCTCAAAATCACTTGTTTTATTAATATTGATTAATCTCGTTTTGTCAAATTTTGAAATATACACTATTGCACTTAGCGATGATACGGCCTAAAAATCGATAAGCTTTCTACCGCGAGAAAAAATTTGGGGGTGCGTAGCACTCCCAAGCTCCTCCCGAATTTCGCCAATAGTGAGAATGACGAGGAAAAAATCGTTTTAATTGAAATATGTTTATCTATCAAATTTATACTATAACTACATAAATTTATTCATGGTGTGTTGCCATCAAGTTAGGGTAGTGTTACCACTGGGTGACTCCTCTCATCAATTCATTCATGTTTTTATTTTTTTTCATTTACCACGTATTCTTATTGTTCCTCAAGGAACAGATTGTATATTTCGTATATAAAATAAAAAAAAAAAAAATGGTGTGTTGCCAGATGTCATTCAATGTTTACCTATATTATCATTATACATTTATACATAATTATTCATTTTATAAACATTTACATTTTTTTTTTTTTTATTTTTTTGTTTTATTACATTCAACCTGTCTCAACATTGCTCGTTTGTTGTCGCATAATATTACGTAGGTAATTAAAAAAAAAATCCGAAAAGTGTCTGTTCCATTGTTAATTGGCAACATCTCAAAGGTTTTATTTTGTCATTTATTTTTTCGTTCATATACCGGTCAACGATTATGACGTAGGTAAACATTTCACAGGCGTATTGAAGTTCGACGACAAGAAAGGAAGTTTTCTGTCGGCTCTGCCGTACGTTGAATTGACCGTTATTCTCCAATTTAACGGATTTATCGTGTACTGGAAAAGACAAAAAAATTTGCTCACTAATACACATGTAAGGACACATGAACTATGATTTACATTTTATTTATTAATGTTTTCTTTTCACTCGTGCATAGGTCAGAAAAATGTTTAACAGTGCTGCATTTTTTAGTCAAACCGTTTTCATGTTTTTCACGGCGCATAATACGACAAAACACGGAGCTATAATTTGTCTGATATTAGCGGTCAGTCTAGAAGGATTCGTTTGGGATGGATTTCAGTAACTATATTATTAATTGTATTCTGGCCTACGATAACCGGTATATAATAGGGGAACATTAGGTAGAACGAGGAAGCTAAGGTATAAATAGGTAGCTATAATTCACTCAAAAATTGTGATTTTGATTTAAAATATGTACTGTGTAGTTAACAAGATTTGCAGGTCATTAACACGTTAACAGGTTTTAAAAATTGAATAAAGTCTCATAAAGTTAAATATTAAAATATGTTTGAGTGTCATTTGCCCCATACCTGGGATAAAATATGAGGCCCCATCAATACTATTTTATTTTATTTATTATGTATTTCTTTTAAAGTGATAGACGAAGTGTAATTATAGAATGGTAATCAAGATAGATGAATAAAAATAAAAAAAAAAAAAACAATTATTTTTTGAAAATTGTTATTTTTTGTTTAAAAATAATGTAATGAAACTAGTTAGGAAAGCCCACCACTCCATTCTGCGAGTTAAATTTTCGATTCGCTTTTTTAAATGGATCAAATTTTGGATTGGCGTCTTGTAAACTCGATCTTTGATAACTCCCCACATGCTGAAATCACAAGGTGTGAGATCGGGTGATCTTGGGGGCCATTCCGACGTTCCACGGCGACCAATTCAGTCGTTGAAGTTTTTATTCAAAAAAATCACGAACGATAACGAACATGAAACTGCGTCTAATAGGTTATGTTGTTTTTTATAAACCTTCCTGTTGTTGTACGTAAACAAGATAACGAGACCAAAGTTGCAATATGACGTAACGGAAACGACGTGGAGGGAGAAACTGCGCCGTAATGCGCGTCCCATACAAGACGGTAGGCGTTTCGCGACTTTTGGCCACCTCTGTATAATGTCAAAGTGGTCCATATCTTTCTTCATCATTAATATTTTGATTTTATAATTTTACAATAAATAAATAGCTTTTGTAATCAAAAATTATTTTGCATATTTTGTGCATTTTAAGTGCATATTTGAAACTTTTTAAATGTATATTTTTAAATTTTTAATACATATAAATCCGGTCTTTACCAATAACCACACTATTATTATCGATCAAATGTTCACTGTTAGTAGTGTTTTGACTTTTTTTGCGTTACGTTCGGATTTTCTATAATATGTGAATTATTATTTTCTGAAACATATAAGGGTAAATCACGTCTCATGTATAATCATTATTAGTAATATATAATTCGTAAAGAAACAGAAAGTACAAGTTGGCGTTGTCTTAATGACAAAACTTTCAGGATTTATTTTTACGAAGGATGTACAATTTTAGAACTCATATGATTACAAAAAGTGTTTAGACAAAGCATTTTTTGAACAAATAAGTACTTTATGGAAAATTATATTATTACATGAAATTTAATAAGTTCTATATTATGCAAGTTATTATATAATATACAGTGTCCTAAAATGTTTTTTAAATGTTAAAGAATCAGTGAATATTTATTATTTTTTTTTTCAATCGGGTTTTGTGTTAAAGGGACAGATATATAGAGAGAAAAATCGAACTATCTGTGTTTTATAACCACAGAAAAAAATAACTATTTTTTAAAATTGTCATAATAGCCGTAATAGAATTTATTCTACAATTTGTATTGTAGGTCTCTACCTACCAAACATAATATACGCATTCATATTGGATCAACAATTTTTTAGTAATAGCCATTTTAATTTATAATATTTTCAATGTCTGACAGAATACATAATTTGTAATAGGTACAGAGGAAAATAAAATAAAAACCCGTTTATTATGATAAGTAGATAATAGTTATCAGTTGACAGTTTTATTATCTGGATTACGATAGTAAATTTTGCATTCTTTGCGTTTTTTCCATTGATTTTCCTAAATTATTAAAAAGAAAGGTCGGGCATACTTCGCAGGTGTTTGCAGCCACTGTTATAGGTGGGAAGTTGAGAAGGTAAGCTACAGACGAAAATTTAATGTATATCTGTAAACAAAGATAAACCATTGCTAACGAAAAAACGATTCTGAGCAGAGTTCAGTCGATAATGTTGCTTTCTCAACAATACAATATGTGGTATTATGGTAAAATTATTACAACAATATGCGTTTCCGTGACAAAATGATCGATTGAAAAAAATTAAAATAATAAAATCTTAATAATAACAAAAAATAAAGAAAAACGGTTGCTAACCTTATTTTTAATCTTTCAATATTTTTTAACCTAAAGACCGAGGTTTTCATCATTATCTCGAATATTAATAAGAATTTCAAAAAATGACCTCTCTAAATTACTATCCACAGAAAATGTCCTTTCAGAAGAGATGCTATAGAGATGCTTACTTGATAATCGGAGTATGCTGTCTAGTAGAAAAAGTGTTCATATAAAAAAAAAAAATAAACATTATTGTAAAACCAAGACATTCCTCGTTCCACTCAGAATCTAAAATACAGGAAAAATCAAAAAACTACTTCTTACTCGCCAACTAGGTTGAAAACGCAATTGTTGTTTTTCTATTGGAACAATATGTGTGATAGTAAACGTAAGCCGTAAACACAGATTAAGTTATCTTAATTCGTGGCCGTAAAAAGGTTAATATAAAGGAATCGTGACGCTGCAAATTTATCAGTTTTTCATTTTTTGTCTTTCCGGTTTAAGATTTCTTTTCGAAAAGTTCGAATACACATCAGAGTGAAACCATTGACATATTTTACATTATATAATATTACGTCAATGAATAAAACCATACATTAGATCCCTCGTAACACTCCGAATTTAAAAGATAACGATTATATAACGCCATCTAGCGACCAGACACATTACGGACAATACAATAATATTGTGCGACGCTTCACGGTATTTATCGAGCATCATTGCCACCGCAATGTTAGCGACACTGGGCCGGCTTTCGTAAACCGTAATTCGTAAATAGTGATATCAACCAGAATTAGGAATCGTAAACAAAATATAAACAAGAAGCAACACCGATTGAAATTAATTCACTGTCCACTAATCAGTAATGACTACGTACTATTGAGTGTACCGTTCAAGTCGTTCAGTTTATCATATCAAGTATCGTTGCAACTGAATCGTTTTTGAAAGGACAAGTCTTTTGGTAGTTCACGACCAGTGTTCTACGTGGAAAATGGCTCTCCGGACTTATGGCGACAAGCCAATTAGTTTCCAGGTGGAAGAAAATGGCGAATACTACTGTATCGGGTCTGAGGTAAGCGAATTATTTGTTTAAATTATATTTGAATTTTCATTGATACGTTTTTGTTTGTGTATCATTTTAGGTGGGCAATTACTTGCGACTGTTTCGGGGGTCTTTGTATAAACGGTACCCTGGAATGTTTCGCAGGACCATCACGAATGACGAGAGAAAACGTTTAATCGATCTTGGTAATTTTTTTTTTGGTTTTTTTCCCTCCACATAGAAAATTACTCACACACACACTCAAAGAAATAAAATTCAAAACTTTCCCTAACAAATAATTGGATGATTAATACTTTCATTAGAGTTGAAAATGATTGAAAAAAATAATTTATTAAGTCAAACACGTTTGATTTTAATACTTACTAGGAATTTTTAAATAAGTGTTTACATACCTACAATTTGGTTTGAGTGCCAATTAGAAAATTGTAATGATTTTCATTTTATTGTGAATATTCAGTGAACCTTCATTTTCAGTAACATCGCAATATACTTTTTATTATTATTATTACTTTATACCTATTCCAATCAATATTTTTTTTAATTTTTGTTTTTTTTTTTTTTTAAAAAAAACAACCATTAGTATAAAAACTTGAAAACAAAACAAATAAATTTATTTTTATAGTAAATAATTTGCTTTTGATAACTTAAAATATTAAATTCTTTTTTTTTAAATATACCATACTTGATCATTAGCATTTAAATAAACATTTAAACTCAGAAAAAGTATTATAAAATATTTACAATTAACACAATGGTTCATTTAAATTGTAATGTCATTATTTGTGCAGGATTAAGTGCCCATTGCTTAGCGTCTAGTGTATCGTTGTTAAGAGCGTCTGAAGTTGAGGATGTTATTGATGGCAATGATGAACGGTACAAAGCAGTTTCTGTTACTTCTACTGAACCATTAATTACCAGGTAATAAAAAGTACTACTTACTGATAGGAAATTTAAATTTAATTTTTATCAATGAAATCATAATTTTTTATTTTAATACTAGATTGTAATAAAGTTTAAAGCTTTAAATACCTACCTTAATAAAACCTCAGCTTATTAGATATACTAACTTAATTTAGGAACTAAAAATCGGTGAGTTTTAATACAATACATTTTTGGCTTATAATATTTATAAATCAATATAGTAATATCTTAGTGGTGTGATATATTGACATCAGAATGTAAACACAAAATAGTACCTAATAATATTTTCTGTGTTACCATAAATTGTTAAAATTTTCTTTTATGCAATATATACTACAGATTTTATAACTTATAAACTTCTATAATTTGAATTTATTTCATAATATAATGAAATTACATTATTTTCATAATCTCAGGGAATCTAAAGGGAAAAAATCAGTGCCATGGGTTCCATCATTACCAAATAGCTCACATTTAGATGCTGTACCCCAGGCTACACCTATTAACCGTAACAGGATTATTCAAAAAAAAGTCCGAACTTTTCCATTGTGGTGAGTATTTAAGTAGATTTTGATTATTAAATACATTTCTATGATCAATATTGATATTAAATACATCTATTTTTAGCTATGATGATACTGATCCCGCAAACATTCACGAGAATGCCAATTTTTCGGAACTATTAGTTCCGATTAGACTTGATATGGAAATTGAAGGTCAAAAGTTGAGAGATACATTTACATGGAACAAAAATGGTATAGAATAAAAATCACCATTTTTAATTTATCAAATCATTTTAATATATAATCTCAATCTTCTATTTAAATAACTTTTAAATTATGTGTTCTATGTACAATTGTAATTTGGCTTTTGTCTGTTTAAATTATTATTATTAAATAAAAAATATTATTAATGCACATACTTAATAATTTACCTATTATATTTTAGAAAGTTTAATAACACCAGAACAATTTGCTGAGGTGCTCTGTGATGATTTAGATTTAAATCCATTGCCATTTGTACCGGCAATTGCACAATCTATACGCCAACAAATTGAAGCGTTTCATAATGATAATATTCTAGATGAACAACATGATCAAAGGGTTATTATTAAAGTAAGTATAATTTAGTAAATGTGTATTTATTTATTTTGTATTATGTTGACTCTATTTTCCTATATGTTATAGTTAAATATTCATGTGGGTAATACTTCGTTAGTAGACCAAGTCGAGTGGGACATGGGAGAAAAAGATAATTCACCCGAACAATTTGCTATGAAATTGTGTGCAGAACTCGGTCTGGGTGGAGAGTTTGTGACAGCCATCGCGTACTCAATCAGAGGACAATTAAGTTGGCATCAACGTACTTATGCTTTTAGGTAAGTTTATTTATTGAACTTACAATTTAATCTATGTTATGTTTTATTTAAATATTATTTTTAATTAGCGAGGCGCCATTGTCTGTTGTTGAGACCCCATTTAGACCACCTTCAGATGCTGACCAGTGGAGTCCATTCCTAGAAACACTAACTGATGCAGAAATGGAGAAGAAAATAAGAGACCAAGACAGGAACACTAGGCAAGAACTGAATAACTATTTAATTTGAATTTTTTTTTTTTAACCATTCTGTGATTTTGTTGTTTGTCGCTAATACCAATATTCTTATGTATTCTAGGCGTATGCGACGGTTGGCTAACACCACACCAGGATGGTAATAAGAATCATTATTAAGTATTTTAAATAGTAAGTAATAAGAAACCCCCCTCCCCCCAAACATGACACTAACCTAAGTGGCGTATGACAATCATGTCGAGGTTCCTAAATGATTTTTTAAACTATGTCCTGAATAATACGTGCATTTGTGTTAAAATAGGTTTATTGAAACAGTAAATTTCACAACAACTGTTACTATTTGATTTTGAAAATTTATACATTAGTGCTTTATAAATATGTCATGTTTTATTTTGCATTACTTAAAGTAATGTTTTATTCAAAGCTAGAAACTTTTGATCTTAAATTATTGTGATTCAAGTTTTTATTATTCAAGACACGATTTGATAGAAGATAACACAAAAAATGGCACCAGTTGATTAATAAAATTATTTCATATTTTTAACTAACAAAATCCTATAAAATATATCAGATTCTTGTAAGTATGAACTTCTAGATTTTATTTATTATTTGTTTTGTTACTTTTGGTAGACCAATATTTTAGTATATTTGACCATATTTTATTGAAATTATGTTAACAGTTGAAATATATGAAATTATTTATTTAAGTTTGTTCTTTATTGTAGGTAGGCAGCTTTTAAACAAATTTTGAATTTGTTATATCACTTAAAACTTAAATTTTTTTTTCCTGTAATTTACAAATGTATATAATATATAAGCTTATATATATAGTATTTTATTAGTATAGAAAAAATGTGAAATTTTAATCCAATTATAATGAATAGATAATTCAGTAGCTAATTTAAAAATTAAATTCTTTTTTTTTTTATGATTATACATAGAATAAATTTGATTTTCTGTTTGGAAACTAACTGATATTAAATTAATTGAATCAAACTATAGAACTTCTCAATCACATTTATCATCTACAAGTTTTACTATTTAAAACAATTTATCTTCTTTACTTATGCAGTAGTCAAAACTCGCAAATTTTTTCTCACCAATCCATTATACTACAGACAAAATAATTTTGCATACGCCACTCTTTATTTTCTTCTTTTTTTAACAGTAGCATTGAAATGTATTTAGAACAATAACTAACAATTGCCATTTATATAAATAATATATATTTTGTTTTAAAATGTTAACTAACATATTTCATTGTATTCAGGAAAATAAAACATCATACAAATAATAAAAATGTATACTTAAATGAGTAATTAATCTATATATACAGTAATTATAAATATTATCACACTTATTTATTTACACTTATTTATTAACAAAACAAATTATAGTAATAAAACTGTTTTCTTCTTGCAGCTATTTAAAATTAGAAAATAATTAACTTAACACTTATTTATATTAACTATTTTGTTTTTTTTTTTCAATTTTTATTTGTTTGGCAGTAAGTTAACTCGCCTTCCGTGAGCCTATATAAATAATCAGAAGTGTTCGAGTGATTGGCCAACTTCAATCATAATTCCATTCCATCATCTTCAAAAGCAATGTTACTGCAAATTTTGTATTCAAAATTATAATTAAACAATATTTTATACTATATTAAAGAAAACACTAGAATAAAAAATAGTTTATATACATAATTAATAACATAAAATTATTTTGTATTATATTTGTTAAGGAATCTCTAAAAATACCAACCATTCATTTATTGGTATGTTTTATGTATATTTAATGGTTTAGTAATAATTATCAAATATAAAAACTTGTATTACAAATAAAATAGTCCGATAAGATATAACTGAAATTAACACTAACATTCTTTAGTTATTAAATAAAACGCTATAACATGCAAAATATTTTAAAACCCAAATCAAACAAGGAAATCACTTATATAATATAAATGCTACTGGTAATATTTAAAATCCGGTATTATTTATAGTACCTACCTAGGCATTATAAATAATGTCCAAAGTAAATTAGACAATATAATATATATTGAGGTATCAGATATCTAATATAGTGATCCATTTAAATGGGTACACTCATTATCTTGGACTAACTTCTTTTTGGCATTTGTTTTATTAAAAATTTAAGAAAATCAGCTCTACAATTTTTGATTTTTACATTATTATTTTCACCGTTATTTTTCAAGGTAACCATTAACTATTATTGATTTTCAAATATCAACCTATATAAAAACAATTCATAAATCGATGGAGTATTAGTCAAAGTGTTTAAAAAAGGTTTGATTTCCCATTCAGAGGATACTCTATTTTTAAGTTTGGATAGAAGGAAAGAAGTAATACATTATTAACACGCACCAAGCCTGTGAAGACAGAAATTGTAGACGTGTAGACAGAAATTAAAAATTTCAATAATTTAATACTCCATCTATTTATGGAATTTTAAATTTAAGTTAACATTTAGAAATCAAAAATATGTACTGGTTTTCAAAAAAAAGGTGACCAAAAAATAACAAATTTAAAATTATAGAGCTACTTGTTTTTTAAATTTTTAATAAAACAAATTCTGAAATAAGTTAATACTTTCTAAGAGTGTACTTACTGAAATCAATCTATAACTGTATAAAATATTTTAAGTAAAATCAGAAAACCCATCAAAATTTAAATTGAATAGCCTAATAAATAAGTGTTGATTTCTTAAATAAATATTTGTTAACATAATTTTATTATAGAATATAGCAAGGTAAAGTAATTATTTAAGGATCCACACTGCGAAAACTAAGGTTATTAATTTCATATTTTCCCACAGGATATCAAACTAGGTGTATCATGTTTGAACATTAAAAATTTAAATTCAAGAAGCACCTCTTTATCAGCAGCAAGATTATGGAAAGAGTCAAATGTTTAAGAAAATTACTTGCAAGGTTAGGTTACATATCAAATATTCTTTTGGCATAAACAATATTTGACTTACCTTTCATTTTCTTCAATAAGCATTTTGTCTTGATTAAGAATTTCATTTTCTTCTTCCTCAGTTATTTCAGTAATAATAACAGTAGATTCTGGATCCTTGAAGTTTGAATATGAACGTACCAATTCCACTACAGGCTGTGGTTTCCATATTGCAACTGTATTGTTTGGTCTTTCTCTTAACAGTTAAAGTATACATAAATTAATACAATATTAGATACACATTATTATTCAACATACACATTAAGTAGTGGTTGAGGTATGATTGAATTAAAATTGTTCAGCTTGCGTAATTCTTCACACATAACTATTGTATTTTGAGGCTCAGTTTTAATAATTTCTTTAGTATTTGAGAAGTTCAGACTTGGAGTCTCTTCTAAGGTCTATGGAATAAAAATAAAAAAAAACAATAAATAATTAATATAAGTATTACAATCCATGATCATAATTTTTTTTATTTACATCCATTTCACTAGTATCCATGGTGAGACAATAATTGTGTGGCTTGTATACATTGCTGATGTGCATGTCCCGTAAACTGGCAGAGACCTTCTCTTCAGTGATGCGCATTTTAGGCGGTTGCGGAAGCCTATAGACATGAATTATACGAGTTAATTTATTAAATTTAATAGGTACCTAGGTGAATGTAACAACACTTACTCGGCATCCAAGTCAATTTTTCGCTTTGGTACGGAACCAAAATTACTGGCATGGTAGGTAGTTGTGTCCAATGGTACCGGATTACTGGATCCCGTGAACCTAAAATCGTGAGAACAACGTCAATTAAACAGCTGGCAGCAATAATAACGGCGACGAAGCCGCTCACTTCATGATGTTGGTGCTGTTGGTGTTGGCCCAGCTGTACGTGGGAGGCGTGGACGACGAGAACGTGTACGGGAACTGCTGGTAGTAGTCGGGAGTGAACGCCGAGAAGCCGACGGGCTGACCGTTGAACTGCAGATGGAAGGCCGGCGGCTGAACGGGCGAGGCCGCCGTCGTCGATTCGTCAACAGATGGATATCCTTGTTTGAACATGACCGTGGAAGCGCAATACTCGGGGTAAGGAGCGAAACGCAGGGATCGTCTGCACTCCAAACGTCTTCTCTTGCAACCGGTGTAGAGCGGCAACGGTTGGTGTGCACGATTGGCGATGGATTGTTCCTTGCCTTTGGGAACGAAGCTATGGTTCCGACAGCCGCCGCAGCAGCAACTGTTGCTAGCCGTCGGGATATTTGTCGTTTCCCGGTATTTGTCCGTGGCCGTGTATGCCTCCGTTTCTGCCGTTTGTTTGCCGGCAGCAATACCAATAATAACGTAGAACTCTCGTCGTACGGGAAGTTTCGTTTCGGTGTGCGCGAGTGGCGAGTAACAAAATACAAAATTATAAAAGAAAACGACGACGCCGATATTAACGCAGTAAACCGCGGTCTCAGATTATCGCATTATACGCAGTCGAACAATATTATTGTTTATTTGGTTATTACGATTGGGAACTGTGCGTGTTATCACCGATTACCGAGACACGGTGTTATCATACCACGGTCACGGTGTGATCGGACGCCCGGTAAACGGTTCTCCTCGTTTCTTCTAGAAGTTTCTAGTCTTTTCTCTCCACTCTCCATTCCAAGGGCGTTCGAATAAGGGTGATATATCACGTCTTCCATGACCGATTTCCCTTCAATATTTATAATAATATCTGCGTATTGTATTACTTCTATTTCTATGAAAAAAAAAAAAATGTGAACAGTAGTTAGGTAATATTTGTTAAAAAATCAGTCGGGAGAGGCTGAATTTTTACATGACAGAATCATTTAGACACCACTGCTCCACTCTCCTGTTATAATCTTAGATAATATTTGTATATGATCCAAGGTTATAATTGTAATTTTTAACTTTTTGAATTGTAAGCGGGTAGTTGTACCTTACCTGTGCGTCATAATATCAAAATCACAATAAATTCACAATGACACGTCTATTAATTTGCATCTACCGCCTACGATTATTAAAATTGTTGCTAACGACCGCGAAAAATGCCAATTTAGAAGATATCTATGCCCACAATAATATAAAATGTCAATTTCCCAATATTTCCCAGTTTGAGTTAGGTTGGACTATTCAATAAACTCAAATAGGGGGAGGCTTGGTATTAATTAGTTCGGTCACCGAAATGTCTGATAGATTTCCTTTATCTACGGATTTAGGTACGCGCCAATTTTCATTATAACGGAGAACGTTGATTATTTGGAATATTAATTTTCGCTCTTTGCAGTTGATAGACCGCACCTGTAGGTACCTACCTAATTGTTTTGTGTACAATATTATTGTGTATAATTATAGTCGCGTAAAATAGATTGGAGGTTGTAGATGGCATATTTTCTCATTTTATTTTGTTGATATTATGGGAAGGGACTAACGCCCACCTCCCCCAACAAAAAAGTTAGGCTATTTGTGTCTATGGACTAATCATAAGTGTTAATATGAATGTAATTATACCTACTTTATAAGTATACTGTATACAGAATATAGGTAGAGTTTTAAAAATATTGTACTTAAACAAAATCGTTAAACGACGAGTCTATAATGACCCGGTTGTTAAATGGTCAATTGTCCGCGGTCAATTATTGCCGATAATTCCAACACAGTTTATGAAACTAATAACGTGAGTATTGGTAGGTACTGAACAATTCACCGAAAGTTCTTTATTGTACTTAGAAATTGGGGTTTATTCAAAATACAGTATACCTAATAGAGCTGGCTCTCCACTGATCAGTGATGAACTTAATGAACTAATTATATAGGCAGAGGGTGGGTACCTACTAGATAAATTTATTTTCCCGAAAATCACTTGCCACGCCACTAATAATGATTGTAAAATCAATTTTACAGCGCTACGATTTTACCAAGTAGGTATCTATAGCTATCTATCAACTCAGTAAGTACATAATACTTGTAGGATTTTTCCTGATATGTGATAGTAGTCGATTTCACCAGAAGATATTAACTTTTTATTTTGAAAATGATTTTACCCATGCTAAAACATTTTTAAATCATGTACCTTTAAACAGTTTAAATATTTTGTATTTTATTTTAAACGCATTTGATATTATTGATTTTTCCGTAAAAAATTACAAATTTGTTTTAAAATTCAAATAACAACCACTTACCCATATTAAATTTCTTCACACGTCCACGTTCCTATTTTTGACTTATTACGGTTGCATTCTGACTTCTCTCACTGTGCTACGTTTTTAAAAATATTTTAGCCCCATTTAATTTTTTCCGATTCAAGCACTGTCTGTACTTTACCTGTCTATATTGATAAAACAAATGAAGTTGCTAAGAGACTTTTTTTTTCTAATATAATCAAAATGTACGGTGTATGCATGTATGATTATACTTAAAATGTAATGACTCTGTAGTAGTATAAGGTAAAAGTGTTTAAAACGATACTCGAGAACTGTTTGAATTTTGGCTGAAAACAAAACGAATACTTATTTAAAATGCAAGATCCCAAAGTTCGGCCAAAAAGAATGATCAACATCAGAGCCGACTGCGTCAAGGCGGTCGACACGTACATGCAAGTGAAAGCGGAATCCGACGATTTTATCCGGTATTATTTTTAACAATAATACATGTGTATTTTTGTATTTTGAATAAGTATGAATTTTTTTTAACTACCTAAGAAATCGTTCAATATGCGCATTTAAGTATACTGCGTATTAAAACGTTTTAAACTACTCGGTACTCATAGTGCACGCCAATAGAAAAATAAAATGTACCAACGATTTTAGGAAATTCCCAGAAGGGGGAAAATTGCCGAAAGTACTAGATAACGAACTGATTATAGCGATCCGAGAAAGAGATGCCGCGAAAAACCGTTTGGAAATCAAATGCAAGGAAAAAAAGGCGTTTGACCGAGAAATGAAGGAAAAGTGGAAAGATCTGGAGCAGAAATTGAATGAGTTGCGTGTAGATGAGTCGGAACACGAACAATTTTCTCTGGTGAGTACCTGCAAATATTAAAACTGTAATAAAATATGTTGATGAACTAAAATAGTAAACACCAAAAATAACAACCAAAAACTATATAAGAAATGCTTTAAAAGTATAAAAATGTCCTTTTATATCTAAAACGTATAAAAATGGTTATTATTAAAAATATAATATTTTGTTTGTTAATTAAATCAAGCCATTGATAGGTACATCATTATAAATTATTGTTGATTTTTATACTTAAAATGTACATACCTACCACTATAATATATAGGAAAACGAATTGAAATGCGAAATGCTCGAGAGAAGGACGAACGAAGATGTCGAAGTGAGGAAACGCTACGAAGAACAAATAGTGCCAATGCAACAGTCAATTTTACAGCTCGAAGAAGCATCTGAAAAAATGCAACACAGCGTGGAGGAGTTGAAACCGTTCGAAGTAAATACTATACGAATTTATATTATAGTATGTCGAACATATTTTTCAGCCAAAAGACGTACAAATAGTTCAAATTTTGAGATTAATGTTAATTATATAAATAATATATAATACTTTTTGTTTCGTCGTTTTTAGGATTTTCTTGAAAAAGTCGTCAATGAATCGAAAGAGTTCAAAAATATCGACGACATTATTAAACGCTACGAAAACTTGACAAACGTCAGAAAGGAATTGACGCAAAAGCACGAGAAAAAAACCGCCGACTTGAAACGTCTAACGACCGACGTGTTCAGACGTTCGAAAGTAGAATTGATAATACTTAAGTTTTTTCGCGAACATAAATAAAATCTTACTGAACATAATATATTACAAATGAAATTCATATATATATTATAATATAGGAAAAGAGCGAAGAAGCCGAGCACATTTCTGTTGAAATGGCGGAAGTCATCGAATCGTTGAGGAAGTTGGAGGACGAGATAATCAAAACCGACTTGGCGTATCGTAAGATCGAGAATATGGCCAAAGAAAAGAAAATCGAAGGCGACTTGGTAACGTGTCGATTTCTTCGTGTTTTATTAGAACTTGTGAATAATAATGTAACAGCATCTGTACGTTTATTATAAGCATAGGTGGCTGCCTCCGTGTGGAATGTGTACAAACAAATGTGTCGACGGGTAAAAATGCCGGTGCCCAGTAAAAAACCGAACCTCGAAACCCAACTGGCTTTTATTGTCGAGGAATACAAACAGTTGACCAAAGTGTTACGCATGGCCGAGAAAATCCAAGAGAAAACAAAAAAAAAACCGTTGCCAATAAACTAAAATTGTGTTTATTGAAATAAATCGATACAACAATTATCATTACCAATTTCAATACCTATGTATTGTCGGCTATAGTAAATTGTACAAATTTAAAATACACACAAATAGTTGATAAAAATTTCCAATTGACATCATACTTTTTTTTTTCTACTACTATTTAAGTTATGTAAGGTTTGTTCGTATCGTTTTTAGTTTTACACAATTTTAATGTTAGTTATTAAGATTGGAAGATCCCGGAATAATAGTTTTAACCGCACACCTGATTCGACTTTTTTTTAAACTAAATTTAAAGAAAACATTTTTCTATATTTAGACGCAACAATAACATGAACGCGATATTAAAAAAGCGTATAATTTTCAATAGTAATTGACGTTATGTTTTTATTTTAGAATTACGTTGCATAAAACTTCAACATTTTTGGTGTTATATTCAATTAAACCAAATTATTTTTCACGATTGCTTTTGAAAAGTGGAGTTATCATGGTTTTTATATCGCATGGTCTTCAATTTATATTTTATACGTTTTACATTACCATTGAATTATATTTCTGTAAGGCTTATATAAATACAATTATAAAACTATAAAAACAATTATATATTAACCTAAATAATTACAAAAAAAACTATAATCTTGGCGGTATTTCAGTAAATATAATATTATTTTAAAATATCATTTATGAATCTTTGGTCTCAGGGAAGAAGGGTTTAAGACAATTAACAGTTAACAGTTTTTAGAGTCTGAATGTATCGGGTTTACTTTGATGTGTGCTTTTTATATTTGTGATTTTTTTTTTTTGTGTCGTCTGTTAACAATTTTTCTAATTGGTAATTTTTTTATTTTCCAAGTAGTTTTCATTATAATTGGAAAAAAATCGTGAAGGATAAACTAACAAATTTACGGAAATAACGGTTTCATTATTTTCAATTTTGTAATTTTGTAATTTTTTTTTTTTTTTTTGCAAATTCAGTTCAAAATAATTGTAAAAACCTAAAGTTTTCACAAAACACTTATATTAACATTTTATAGAGGTGATAAAATATTCAAAACATTTTGGCAATTTGAGCTGTTTAAAGACATTTGACATTTTCGAGTTTTTATTTGATTCTTTGTGGATAGAATTATTTTGGCTGATCAGAAATGCATGAAAATTTTACCTGTGGTTCATCATAAGGTTTACTTATTGGTCAAAAATAGTTTTTTGCAAAGTAATAGTTGTGTTTACAATATCTATATATATGTTTAATGTTCAAATATTTGAATGCAAATCGTGAAAATCACGGCATTGTAAAACATGTTTAAGTTTAACTGAACTTCGCTCAAAATCATATTTTGTCAGTAGAGATTTTTCTTTACGTTTAGATATAAATTAAATAATTTATATCTTCAAACTTTCCCCTTTTACAACGGTGACACATCCATCAGTAGTACCCATCAGTTATTTTTTTCCTTTAATTTTTGGTCTAAATTGCATGTAGAGTATTAGTGTATATGTAAATTGTACAAGTGTAGGTATTTTCAAAATTGAATTTGCTTGTATTGAAAACTATACAAAATTGACCTTTCTTCCTTAAGACCAATGATATTACTTAGTGTACCTAGGTACCTCTAATAATTTCCAATATCTATTAATAAAATACACTATTCATATTAGTTCGGAATACAGCGGCAATAATTGTCTTATAATAAAATTAACTTTTTTCGTTAAAATAATAATACATGTATACATATAAAATTGAACTATAGTGTAATGCACCCCTGCAAGAATATTGACAAATCTAAACAATTTCGACTTTCACGTTATTTTTGTCAAAACATGCAGAATTTCATCAAATTTATTTATTATAGTTGAAATAAAATGTATAGTTTCCAACTTGAATATTGATATTTCTGAGATATGACTTTTTTCTGTCAATATTGTTACACGTTATTTTTTTAGATAAAATAAAGTCATATCCCAAATTTAACAGTTCATGGGAATAATTTTAAAACATGAAAAATTAAAACTGGATTTCTCAAAATTGTCATATTTTGATTTGTGTCGTTCTTTCAGGGGTGCGAATTATTATCAAAATTGAAAATACATGTGATAATTTTTAGCGATGATATTATCAATTATAATATGGAATCCATCGTTTTTAAGTTTTTCACAACGCCCAACACCTTCGCTTCAATGAGATCAATGTAGAAAGTCATATTGTATACGTTCACTCGGATTTCGTCTCCTGCAATATTTTGTATTTATAAATTTAATTTGTAAAACAAAAATCCTATTTTAATGGAGTTATTTATCAGCATATTTTATTGTTAATTTTGATTATACGTCGCGTAGGTTATATTATCATTAAACTAAGAAATTAGTTTTAATCTCAAGTTAAGAGTTTTATATAGTTTATATTTTCATTAAAAATCAAAAAAACAAATGTTTTTTTGTTTTATGTTAATTGCCTATTGTGACCTAAATCCGAAGAGTCTGATATTATAAGAGGCCTACCTACTGGTTGTTCTCATATCATCGTATCGTTATTATTATTAAATTTAATTGATCATTAGATTGATAACATTGATGGAAACACTGGGATAATTCTTATCGACATAACTTTGTACTTTTTGTATTTAACGGGTTATATTAACATAAATGACATTCTGGATGATAAATGTATTAATAAACTCCGACAAGGCAACAACCACTATCGTAAAACGATACTTTTTTCAATTTTGTAGGCATTACCTCACGGACCACCGGTAGTCCATAAGTTGGGAACCACTGGTGGAGTATTTAATGGGTACCTACATTTTCTACTATAGGTTTTTATTTTTTTGAGTTATCTTTAGTAGGCACATTATGATATTTATTTAGATAAAAACCACGAGTATTTCTCTTGTCAGGGGATTTATTTTTCGTAAATATTTGGTATTATTGCGGATGTTATGACCCGTTTACACATATTACACAGTACAATTCAAATTTCCAACTGCAATCGTGGAACGAACTAAATCAGTGTAATCTACGTAGGTATTTACTGGAAGTCCAGTTTTATTTTCCGTCTTCGCGTTATTACAAAACGGTTCCTTCGTGTCTGATATTATTGCCAAACGTATCGTCACTGACAACTACTTTCAAAATGTCGATCAATTAAATATGACCTTCGTAGTAGTATTATATAAGTACGTTAGTATAGGTATACGAAACCTGCGATTTTATTGTATATTGTATGTTGTATCAGCGGTGACCAACATATTTTTACAGAGGGCCGTAAACAAAAATAAAAATAATTCTTGGAGGACAAAGAATTTAAACTTTTATTTTTAAGTTAATATCGTATAGGTATATTATATTTTATTGTATGCACGTCTTAATATAGGTAGGTACGGTGATATATTAATTATTTATTATTTATTAATAACTGTAGTAAATGAGAAGAAAAATGTAAAGTATAAACCATATCTTATTTTAATGCGAGTGTTAATATTTGAAATTTAAAGTTATTTTATTTATTTCAATTTTTATTTAATACTTTGGTGGGCCGATTAATAAATAATCGCGGGCCGTAGTTGGTCACCAATGTGTTATATGATAGCGGTAAACGTGTATTTGAAGTATTCGTACAATATACACTCTATAGAAGTATAGACTATAAAGTTAGTACAATAAATTGTGCGCAATACGTTAATATTGTAAAATGCAGGTAATGGGAACGATAAATTTCGTTGCGGATGTAAAGGCACTTTATGATAATATTAATAATTTATTGCTGCGACGGTTTAATGAACGAAAGTTGGCCTATTACCTATGTACTACATAGTAATCAAATATTCACGTGTGTATAATTAGCAATGTGTAAGTAAGTAAGATGTTATAAATTATTGCAGGTCGTGTACACAATTCTGTTTTCAGGTTATGGTCCGTCGACGTTGTAGCGTTCTGTATATGCCTATGCCGCGGTCAAAGTGTGTTCAGCTGACTTATGACGGGTTAGTCCGTTTTTAATAGCCGAACGCGTGCGACTGAAAACTGCTGTTACCTATTTTTCGTCGATCGTATATCATATTTTATTACAATATTGTTACTGTCTTCGTGAAATCGAATTTGGAATAATGAACTCGGCGACCAGTGAGTACATTTTTATTAATACCCCCCTCCCCTCCCTTAATTACTAACGGGTACCTGTAGCTTGGCAGGTGTGTAGTGGGAAACGAATACACAACGATAATATTATATTCGAAGACCGTGAAAGGTATTATTATTATCAACGATATTAATTATCATCGATTGTAAGACGTTTCTATTAGGTTATTACCATGGCTGTAGACATGTATACATATATGCTACAACCGTGGTTATTGCTAAAAACCATTACTAGACATTATTACTACTTATAATCAATGATAATGTTATTTAATTGGGTTTGGGACGCTCGCATTTCGAACGAATTTGTTATTATGTAATATAATAGCATATTATACTCGCGGTAGTCGCCCCCCCCCCCCAACAAATTCCATCATAACGGATTCTGTAGTATCTTTGATATACTAATGTATTTTCTGTGATTTTTGGAAATCTACTATCTAGTGCTGATTCGTCTACGAGTTCTACGAGATTAACGAAAGGGAAAACAATGTCAGTGTACATCGCTCGAGTAAAACACGATCGATTGAACCATACTAAATATTAAAATATAAAATGCTCGTTTCGATTAATATAATATAATAATATAGAATGTGTGATGTGTACGACAAAGTAATGGTTGCATTTTTTTTTCATTTTTCGATAAGTACCTATGCAATTTAATTAATTAATTAATTAATTAAAATAAGGGTAACATAGTAATATGAAAAACCTTTAATTTTTTATTTTCAAACATTTGAAACGTATTAAGCACAAAACGTAACATATATTAACACGGTCAAACATTTTAACAAATATTTGACTGGTTATGTCAAACTTCAAAAGTTTAAAGTTTCAAAATTTTAAATTCGGCAAATATTTGACAAAACGTCTGACCGTATGAACCATCGTCGTTTTAAATGTGGTTATCTTGGATTTTGGATTGTCGAAATCGGTTATCAGACAATCAGCCCGTTAAAATTGTTCAGGTTTTTTGTTTTATTCGAAATAATATATTATGTATTTCGACGTTTTATAACAACTTGCGGTGACGCACATCACGAAATGTAATTTGGAAAATTATTAGTTTCCAATGTTTTCATTATATGCAGTTATCACTTATCAACGATCAAAGTTCAGCAATATATTTAAGTAGATATTTAGAATATACATTTCTATCTAAATACTTTTCCTCCGATGAACACTTTTAACTGCAGCTATATGAATATAACCAAGTTAATCGACAAAATACATCTATGTTTCTTAAATGTATGATTCTTTATTTTTATAGAAATTTTTTATTCCCTTTGGACCTTTTTTTTCAAGTTTTCAGTGATTTGTGGGAGAAAATCGTTTTTTTAGAATATTTTGAGCACTACATTTGAATAATAATACAGTTTTCGAAAATTTTGTAAACAAAAAATCATTAAATTGAACGATTCCACTCGTACTAATATATATATGTACGCGTATATACTATACGCGTACATATACAACCGGAAAAAAATAAAAAATAAATTTGCAAAGATATTAGAAAGAAAAAAAAAAACCACTGTATTTATTAAATATACTTACCGAGTATCTTGTACATCGGAGACCGATCGCAGTCGACGGACAGGAAGAGTTTCTCGACCGATTTCAAGAGTTCGGCCAGTTCCTCGTGTACGGTGTTTATCCGGTCGTTTTCTCGCTCCACGCCGTTTACCAGCTGCTGTAGATTATCCCTCAGCCCGTTCATATTCTCCTCTTGTTTCGAAGCTCTCGACTCGTTGATGGATCGTTGCTCTTGCACTCGGCCCTCAAGTGCTAACATTTCCTTCTGTAGGTCGTCCACCTAAACACATACAAACATAACGGTAATAATGGTTTCCACAGCCATAATATATATTATGCAGACCATTGGGAGGCAAACCCACTTCGCTGTTTAGTTCGTTGATATACGTGAATAACGCAAAGTTCTCTTCCTCCTGTCTTATAAACAGATCCACAATCCGATCGATGTTGGTTTCACCCACGTACAGTTGTAACCATCCCATCAGGTCGGCCCATTTCTCCGCTTGTTCCTTTCGGTTGCCCAGCTCGCTTAGCTTCTTTTCCTCTTCCTTCCGTTCGAAATCCGTTAGCACGCGGTGTTGTCCTATCAGTGTTTTAAAAAAAAAAGAAATCACTTTGTTTAATAGTTACGGAGTATATATATAATAACCATTAACCACACGTAAGATCTGTAGTATTAGATGTTTTTTTTTTTTTAAATATTTTTTTATTGTTCGTATCGATTGACATACTAGAGTAAATTAAACCCACCTTTAACAGACAGGAAATCTTGAAGTTTTAAATCTCGATCGTACTGCCTTTGCAACTCCTTGACTTCAGCCTTGTGCAGAGCGACTTGTTGTTTGTCTTCCTCGCTCATGTTCATCAACCTGTTTTGCGCTTCCTCTCTATAGTTTATAATGTAAAATACAATATTATAATATTATACACTTGTCTATTGTACGATTTTCTATACACCTCTGTTCGTACGCCATGGTGGCCTGTTCTATCAGATTCATCGTGGTCTGTTTGCTTTCGTCCAAACGGGCCATTAGAGCCTTGTACGATTCGTTGAACTGCGATCGCTGTACGAGCAAATTATCGATTTCATTTCTCAAACGAGCATTTTCCGTCAAAACCTTATTAAATTTGACTGTTTTCTAAAATTATTTGTTGGCATTATAATATAATAATCAGGTATACAATTAACTCTAAAACTATAATAATTATAACTTATAAAATACTATTATAACATCAAGTTTTTTTTTTGTATTATAAAAAATATACCACGTGTAATTTGTTTTCCAGTAATTCTTCATGTTTTTGTAAATCATAATCGACTTTAGTTTTCGATTTTCCGGCCGAAGGTTCTCTCTGTCTGAATATCACATCAAGTTCGTTTTGTATTTTCAATATTTCCTTTTCGATGCCGTCCAAACATTTTTTCCGGTCCACTAAATCGTCATTCATACTTAAGTATTCGTTCCACTTTTCGATTAAAGTTTCTTTCAAATGTGCATCGTTGTTTTCTTTGCGTTTATTATTGGCTACGTTTGTATGTTCTATCAAGTTCGTTTTTTCCTGTTCCAAACTTTTCAGAATTTTTCTAAAACACGGTTTATCGTTATAAATATAGTAATGCCATTATAAATTATAATACTTACTTTTGTTTGGTCAAAAAACTACCCATCTCTTCGGTATACGCTTTTTTATTACTTTCCATGAGCATGTATTGCCGTTGGAGTCTGGCCAATTCTTCAGCAAGAATGTCGCTTCCATTTTCTTCAACGTCGGTTGCATTTGAATTATTATCCATATGAAATTATATAATAATAAAAAAAAAGAAGATCAGATATAATACAAAGTTATACATTTAATGGTTTGTGTGCATATTATGTTAGCAGGTATACTAACAAACGACTTGTTGGGAACGCAGTTTATCGAAAAAACCTAGTTTTAAGGTAACTAGGTAACACGTAACCACACACTATACGCAGCAATTGTAAATAGGTACTAATTTGTAATGTTATATATACGGCTATATTATACAGGCAATTGGAATACACGTCACTATAAAGTGCATATAACATAATCCTATGCACACGTTATATTACTATGTAAATCGAATTTTAGTAAGAAAAATCGAAAACTGGTAATACTTAAACTCTTAGTATCATTTGTCCTGTTTTGCTCTATACTTGGGTCAAAATCGGGACGTTCCAAAAAATAATATTCAATTAAAATAAATAGTAACACCTTAAATAAAGTTTTAATTAATTTTATAATGTACGGCTCATTTTAAGTTTTGACTCATTTTATGTGCAGGTATACAAAATACTTAAGAATATTGTATATTTCCCATTTTACGACGACCTCGTCTACATCATTAAAATACACTGAAGTGATGTACATTTCCTTACAGCCGTTGTTGATAAATATCACAAATAGTTTGACAATTTTTAATATGTATAAAATAAAGAACAATTGCTATTCAGCAAAAAAAAATTAGTTACATTAAATAAATAACACACTTATTTAAAGATAAAATAACAGTTTTCATACATGAAACAACAAATAAAAGGCGCTTGTTATGATTTTAATTTATTATTGATAAGATAATTGAAATTCAAAGATTATATTTGTATTGCGTAATATCAAAGGACCGAGAATTCTAGATATCCGGGCTTTAAATTAGTGTTACCAGTTTTAGACATAAATATTTAAAATGTCCCTGTTTCGTCCCATTACACCTATATATTTGTATTTCCATAACTGCACCATTATTATATCGATACTCACGTTTTGAAACAGTAAATATTCATGGGATAGCCGTGATATAGATTAGATAAAAATATATAATGTTATTAATTTAATATAATTTATCAATTTAGGTATTTTGATGTAATATATTTATTTCTACGTGACTATCGAGTAACTTTTTTCGGTTTTTACTTTTACTAGGAATAGGTAACAGAGTATGCTTTAATACCGTAATACTCGACCGATTTTCGAATACCCTGCGAGGAAAGGGAATAGCATCATTAGCTTCATTGTCGGAAACACATCAATTATTGTACAAAACGTGCAGAGATTTCGCTGAAGGAGAACTTAAACCTATAGCGGCCAAAACCGACCGTGAAAAACTGTTCCCAAAAAAACAGGTATTTATTGAAATAAATAATTATAATTATAAAAATATTATACTTGGGCGTGAATTTTAATGAAAAATATATTTGTATCAACTATGGATGTATTGGTAGTAATATATTATAGATGGATACGTTCATGATTCATTTTTTATATTACCAAGAATATAAAAAACAGTTTTTTTTTCCAAGGTTGTAAAGTGCATTTTTCGTATGTTTTACCAATATTTTTAGAGATACATTAAACATATTATTTTTGAATTTTTGAGTGAATAATATAAGCATCGTATTTTAGCTATTATAAGAGAATATAAATCCGTACTCTAAATTAATTACACTAACGAGACGAGATGAATGTTTTTTCTTCTCTGGATTTACATCTTACTCTATAAGATTTATTGACATTAAAACGGCTTCCTTCAATTTCTCCCAATCCTAAATATTGGACAACATTTTTGGCATGGCTAAATTAGCCAAATCCTTTTAAACCACTGCACTTAACGATCTTCTCCTGGATTTCCCAGAATTCCTGGGATCTTATGTAGGCTCCATAATTTATACTAATTACAATACGGTGATCATTTTCGTATACACACGCACATTTTTTTATTAATTTGTTGACTAAAATCAACTTTACTGCAGTGGTAGAGTTTACTAAGTAATGTTTTGAATGTTTCTCTGCAGCGTTGCACCTTCGGTAAAACTAAATTAATTAGTTTTTACAAATTACTGATAGCCATAATTGAAATAGATAAGCACGTATAAACGAAAAAGTGAAAAGAAAATTAATTCAGTACGGTAATTATAATCTAAAAAAACATTATATTTATGTTATTTGTATATAGATTGAAGAAATGGGAGCATTAGGTTTAATGGCCATTTGTGCTCCGGAAAATGTCGGTGGTACTGGTCTTGATTATATGTCTTATGCTATAGCCGCAGAAGAGATTTCCAGGTTTAAAATAATATAATATTTACAAATGGAAAAAAAGTATAATATAACAAATCAAATATTATAATAAAACGATGCATTTAATTTCCACTTTTTAGGTGTTGTGCTTCGGCTGGTACGATAATGTGTGTACACAACATATACATTAACGCAATACACAATTTCGGCAACGATAAACAGAAAGAAGAATTTTTACGACCGTATACAGATGGAAAAAACATCGCTTCGTTTTCCTTGAGCGAGCCAGGTAACTGATACCTAATAATATTATTATGGAAGGAGATAAAAGGTGGAAACAAAATAAGAATGTATATTAATTAAATATACACCTATACTCTGTCCAACTTAAGAATATACCATTTGCGCATACCTCACTGAGCGCTGAACGTTGCCGAACCCCCCACTTGATAGATAAGAAACAATCGTTACCAATCGTACGCCGTTGTCGTCACTACTGCCATCGTGTATACAGCGAGTTATAATATCTATAATACCTATCGCCAAATAAATTGTAATACATACGCATACCTATATACTGCTTTAGTCAAATTAATGGGCAACATAGATAATTTGCAAAACTTAAAACGTAAATTGTAGCGTTTATTTAAATTAAAACAAAACATTTGTACGAGAAAATACGTGTACGCACTAAGGCCGTTAAAACAAAATTCATTGATATTTTGTTCTCTATGTATATCGTATACCATGAGTATCGGCGGTGGCGAGATTGATAGGTGGGTGAGTGAGATATATAAAAGAATCTTTATAAATATAAATCAATAGAAGTATTTATACCTACAATGTATTATATATATACACATACGATTTGTGTGGGGTTTTACTTCCAGCGAAGCAGCCCCATTCTTAATCTAATAATTATACTAAGTTAAATGGCTTCAGTCGTTTGATGTCTTGATATTTTTATATTTTTAACTGAATTACAATAACTTCGTCTTCTTCTGGTTTTTCCAAATCATTATGAAATCAAAAAACGATTTGTGCCATAAGAAACAAGATGTACAATGAAACAAAAAAAGGTTTTTTGTCATTTCTCAATTAAAGCACTTTTCCTAATAATAAATATTTTCCGTATTAATGTAAAATAATAATATCGTGAAATATTATACGTTTTTTTCCCGATTATTATGAAATCTAATACGAAAATCAAAAAAATGAACTGCATCATTAAAAAAAAGATTAATAATTCAACAAAAAAGGTCTCTTGTCGTTTTTAAATTGGAGCCATATTTATGCTAGAAAACGTGGTAGGTACTTATTTAAAATAATGAAACCGTGAAAATATTGTATTTTGTTCCCTGGTTAATTGTTTTTATTTTAAATACGGTTTCGAAAATCAAACAATGACCTATGTAATTACAAATTAGATAAAATTTACTTTTAGAAAAGGTCGGAAAGGCCTTAAACATCGGAGCAAGTTTACTAGGAAAAAACGTGTTTACAGACTAGAACAAAGAAGATGAGGAAGGAAAAATAAACAGTAAACAAAACCAATAGCTCCCTCACTACGCTATTATAGTTTTAGTTTTTACTTAATTAATAAATATTAATTAGAATATATTACTAAAATTATTTTGTCGAGTTTTTTTATTTTTTTAAATATGGTCATCTTACTTTAATACTTAATATACTGATGATGCTTATAAATTAGGACTGGGAAGTGACGCCAGTGCGGTAACGACAAAAGCTACAAAAAACGGATCGGTTTATACGATTAATGGCACAAAGTCGTGGACTACGAACGGCGTGGAGTCAAAAGCATTAATTGTGTTCGCGACCACTGATAAATCAAAAAAACATAAAGGGATCAGTTCGTTTTTATTAAAAAAAAATATCCCCGGTAAGTCTGCACTGTATATAGTATCTACCAATGGTTGCCAAACTTTTTTTGATTACGTCACTTTAAAAATAAAAATAAAATAATTACGCTCCTATGAATAAATTAACTACAATTTTGTATTGTTTAAATACTCAAATATTTTTATTTTTATGATAATACAAATCAACCAAAAATATCATTTAATTTCAATTTAAGTAGAACAAAAAAAAAAAGAATGGCTAGTATTTAACTTTAATGTGAATAATGAGCTTGTTTTTTGTGTAATAATTCTTCAAAATTAGGCAACAATTTTGTGACAGCTTCACTCATTTTTTTATTAACATTAAATTTTGACTGATATTTTGATTTGAATACTTACAGCAACTGCAGAAAATCCTGCTTCACATAAATATGATGTCGTAAATGGTAGGAATATATATACAGCTTTTTGGTGATTTCAAGATATTCAACTTTAATGTTATTCCAAAATCCTAAAAGTGAATAATATGAAGAAAATTGTATTCCTAACGAAGAATCAGATGAAATATCGTTTAATTGTTCTTCTTCTGTAGTTGTGAACTGCAATAATAGGTTTTCAGTAAATGGGTCTTTAATTCAATTGTATTGTTTATTTCTTCTGGGAAATATTTCAGGAAATTAATTTTAAGAGTCATCAGATGATCAGAAATTATTTGTGTTGAAGTCATTCAAGTCAGTTAAAGATCATTCTAGATCTTCTAGATCGTTTTTTAAAAGTGGAAAATAAGTGGTTTTACTGTTTTCTTCAGTTTCCTTTGTCGACTTTTTCTAATTAAAGCAATCACTTTATCATATGATTGCAGAACATGAGTTTCTTCATCTTTTAAAGATATTTTGAGCACATTAAGTTTTTTTAAAAATGTCACATAAAGACGCTAATTTGATTATAAAATTATTATCAATAAACGTTTTGGAATAATTATGATTTTCTTCACTCGAACAAGTGTAAATTGCTGGTCAAAGTTCTAAAATTCGTACTAATAGGTACATAATCTTTTAATAGTCATGTATAATGAATAAATTAAAATTAAATAAAACACATATATAACATTCTTTAATGTCTATATTAATGTAAGTAAAATAAAAGTCTAAATAACTATCATTTTATTTTCTAAACTTATGTTTATTTTCTTCTTTACTGATATCTTCATTTGGACGTAATGTATGAGTACGTCTTGATGTAATATTGAGAAATGTTTCCATTTTAAACAAGAGTAAATATAAAACATTAATGATGATTATTTTATTTTATTTTTTAATTCGTCAAATTGTCAATTTTAACACCCCTTCTAAAATATGTCTTCAGTACGAAATATGTCTAAAACAATGGGTATTTTTACAGGCTTGTCTCTGGGGAAAAAAGAAAACAAATTGGGCATACGAGGAACGTCAACATGTAATCTAATATTTGAGAACTGTAATGTGCCTGAGGAAAACGTTTTGGGAGAGCTGGGGAAGGGTTTCAACTATGCGATGATTACATTAGGTGAGCGATATTAGAAAAAAAACACATTTTGGTAAATGTAAACACATATTTTTTATTATATGTGTAGATTTTATTTTATTCACCATTAGGAGAATAAAAATTGAGATACTCATGTATCAAAATATGATTAGTATGACAAATATTGTACTTGGACTATATTATAATACGTGGCCGACCCCAAATAGTTGGGATGAAGGCAAAGGAGAAGAAGAAGTAAATGTTATGTGTGGTATTTTAGGATAGTAAGGTTACAATACACCTGTAGCCCCGAAGGAATTTTTTTGTTAAAATTTAACACTTTTGCGTGTAAGCGAGGTCCTAATAAAAATATTGAGCAACCGTTGAAATCAGTAGCCTGGCTGGTTTCATCGAAATCGTTTGTCAAGATGAATCTATCAATTCCCGATTCTGACAAATCAAAAATCATGTTGACTATTTTGGAAGATACGAATATCTGATATTATTATTATGATATTATTATGATGATTAGTGATATTATTTGTTAACTTTTTAACTTCAGTTGAAACTATTAAATGTTAACAGATACTAAGAGACACAGAATAGGTAGCGTTGAATTTGAATCAATCAAAACAATAGGCGAAGATGATTGACGAAGAAAGAGTGCTTGTTGCTGGATAACGCTCGTACCATACCACATGCAAACTAATATGTCTCCTCATATATTTTGGTTGGAATGTTTTGAACCATCCCTCACATAGTCTAGCTTCACACCAAGTGACTTCTTTCTTTTTCCTTAACAAAAAAATTGGGCGGAATTTTCTAACGATAAAAAAATCAATGAGGAAGATGCCTTTTCAATCCCAAAAATATATTGCCATGATTTTTGACTCTGTGGAATTGTGAATTGGCGGAATCATCTAAAAAAACAATTCTGATGAAATTAGCCAGACTATAGTATACAGATTCTGACGACCATTCTTTGTTGGAACCACCTCTAAACGCAATAGTGTTAACTTTGAATAAAAAAAAAATTACAGGATTACAGGAACATTTTACGCTTACTTTCTGAATATACTTGGTAGTATATGACATTTTGTATGCTCCCATTGGAATAAAAAATGTATTGAACACTTTTTTTAAAATAAGAGTAATAATTTTTAAGAAGAATCTCATCAAGATTATCGGTTTTAGACGCCGGCCGCATTGGAATCGCCGCCCAGGCTTGCGGTATCGCTCAGGCAGCCCTGGAACTAGCCGTCGATTACGCATCCAAGAGGGTTGCGTTCGGGGCTCCGATTACTCGGTTACAGACGATACAAGTAAGACGAATGAGTTTGATAATACCGGGCGTCGTTTTTACTTCTATTTATTTCTATTCGTTTTCATTTAGAACAAAATTTCTAAGATGGCGGTTAATGTAGAGACTGCCAGGCTGTTAACTTGGCGCGCGGCTTCGCTAAAAGATGCGAAAACACCTCACACAAAAGTAAATATCTATGATTTGAAAAGATAATAATATAGTATTCCAAAATAAAGAATACATTTTACACTATAATTTTGTACGATTCTTGATGAACGGGTTTACTTATTTTTCTTTTTCATCTCGAAGAAGCAAACGTGAGCTAGTAGTTTTATTCTTGCCTTTTACGTCTACCCCAACTTATCTGCACAATCGACCGTATAGCTAGCCCTAGATACCATCGAAATCTTTTCTCACTCGTTATCTTCGTTATACTTACTTCGATAAAGATTTACCTCGTCTGAATCTTCGATTATCCAGATATTATAATAAACGCATTTTTCTCTCCAGGAAGCCGCTATGGCCAAGCTCGTCGCGTCTGAGGCTGCCACGTTCAATGCACATCAGTGCATACAGGTGTTGGGAGGCATGGGTTACACGTCGGACATGCCGGCTGAGAGGTATTACCGCGACGCCAGGATCACGGAGATCTATGAGGGCACGTCCGAAATCCAGAATATAGTCATCGCTGCTAACATCTTTAAAGAGCGCGGTCTGTGAATTTCAATACTATCGTCTGCAGTTCAAGGAGATTTTTTTTCTTATTCATGATTATTTCAAAAATATATTATTAAACCTATATTAAATGGTGACTAGGAAAAATATTATTTATGATAATGTTTTAAAAATGAAAAATGATTTCCCATCGTTCACTACGTGTTTGGTTTTATAAAAACATCTAACCGTCCTAGCCTATAACATCATTTAAACACTGCTTGAATTGTGAGGAACAGAATAATGGAATACCTCTTTTGTTTTAAAAAAATATTTTAACTTTCCCTTTCTTATTTTTCATATCAGGATGCCAAGAATGCTAAACTCAGAAGGCCTCTTTACAATTTATTGATTTAATGAAAACTAAAAATTAAATAGCAAATATTAATCATTTTTTTATAAGTCTTAAAACAACATACGCGTTCTAGACAATTCGTAACTTAAGCAATGAATGTACAAAACAAAAAGACTGACATACTACGCACAATGGGTGGACCACTGTTGTAGATGAGAATTTGGGAAAGTAGAATATAGAAAGGAATTTAATGTACATCTGTAACCAAAGATTAATCATTGCTAACGAAAAGCGCTTCTAAGTGGAGCTCGATTAATAATATTGATTATTTAACAATATATAAATAATACATATTTATTATATCATAGTAAAAAAAATATACATATATATTGAATACAACAAAATTACACAGTTAACACTTATATTTTCGTGTAGGTAGCAAAAATATTTTTGAAATTACGACCTATAATGAACTTCTTATTCAATTTTCAATTATTTCAGTTTAGTCTAACAATTGTACCTACATAGTACCTACCGAATAATAATTACGTACAAAATTCTCAAAATTAAAATGTCTATACATAAGTCAAAAATGACTAATTTTTTTTTTAAAAATTGCATCACGCATAGAAAAAGCAAACATAAGTTTTCTGTTCAAATTTCAATTCTATGAATATTTTAATTGAATAGCAACAAAAACAATATTAAAAAGAGCTGATACTGGAGATGGGAGCTGCCACTGTTATAGGTAAGAAGTTGGGAAGGTTCCTACCTTACATAGGTTATTTCATTTATATCTGTAAGCAATAAAAAATCATTACTTGACGAAAGATGACTCCGAGCGTAGTTTGGTAATACATAATTTGAGTGCCGTAATTTTTTTTTACGATATTTGTTTAAATTTAATTGCAAACACTTATTAAAAAAAAAATTCGTCCGATGATATTGGAAATTTACCACGTCTCGGTAAATCCAATATAAGTATTATTACCAAGTTTCAAGTCTCTACGTATATTTATAACCGAATAACAGAAAAAAACTCCCAAAAGTTAAAATTTCTTAAAAGCTCAAAAGTTTTGGCGATGATATCGTAAGAAAGTAAATCAAAAATATATCTTGTGATTTTTCGATTAATCATTTTTCTGGTAAAAAACTCCGTCCGCGGTTTTATAAAATAATGAAATCGTGAAATTGTACGTTTTCTACGTTTTTTTTCCTACTTAAGTGCTTTTATTTAAAAAATGGCGTCAAAAATCAAATAATGTCCTGTTTAAAGTACCATCTAAACAACATTTTCTTTCAGAAAAGATGCTATACTTACATATCAAAGGAAGATTTCTGGTAAAAATTTTTGTCATGGTATAAAAAATAAATTTAAAAAAAACATCGTCGGAAAATGAATACATTCTTCGCTACACTTAGAATCTAAAAAATGAATTTTCAAGATACATTTAATAAAAACCTAATAGAATTAAATTTATTAGGTAATAACTAGTCGTATAATATTTAGATACAATATGGTGGTTATAGTGTTTGAAGATTTGTAGAAAAGTTTTGGTTAGATGAACATCTACAATTCGTGGCTTCTGGAAATTAAAAGACACTAAAGTACACAAGATACTGTAAAAAAACTGTAGGAACAGCTAGGGAAATATTCCGGTAAAGGAGCCTCTTGAGGTTTATAAGGGGCCCCACCACCATCTGGGTTATTCAGTATTTTTTTTTCACAAATCAGATACAGAATTTTTTCACCATAAAATTAAAAAAAAACTCTATGTTTAAAATTCAGACATCCTCAATATCAACCAATATAAACCACAGAAACATTAAGAAATGGACTGCGCATTGAGAGAGAAAATCAGTTTGATAGTTGAGTAAGAAAGATAGACTTTAACTTACCTTGAATATGGAGAAAACATTAGCAATCAATAATAATGTCTCTGGCAGAATTACTATATGATATACGTAGGACGTAGGTATTATTATTACAATTCACAAAAGTGTACAATAATTTTTAAATTTTAAGTTTATTACATATTACGCTCTGAATTTAAAAATTAAAACAATTCATGTTTTCAAATTAAACAAAAAGTTAGTTAACAATAACCATACAAGAATTAAAATGAATTTACATATAGATAGTTTAATATTGATCTAATTAGTGTTATTATAATACAATAATAAATCGAATTAGTTATATCTATAGCACTGCTATTAAATTATAATTATAATATACAGATTTAAACAGATTTTGTTCTATGTCATTGAGGCGTTGATATATACATAAATAAATAAAATTAAAGAAATAATATTAATAGATTTAAAATAAATATATTGTTAAATAGGTTGAGCATTTCCAATAATTAATTTTTACAAATTTATTGATTTCGGAAGTGTTTTTGTAAAATACGACATAATTTTTTTCTTTTTGCTAACTTAAGTTTTGTAGTTTTATACTTAAGATACTACCAAATAAAATGCATACTTAAAAATGAAAATATCAAATACAGTGAAACCTTCACTAACGGACACCTCCCAATAGCGGACGTTTTTTAATCTTTATTTGAAAATAATACGTATTCACATTCGTATGTACTCTCGTAATAATGTAATTACGATAACAAACTCGTTCTTATCGTGACAATAAAATTAGACAAATTCGGTTATCGGTGAAACGGTGATGTGTTATGACAATAGTATTTCATTTAGTAACGGTAAGGTACGCGATGACTACGTTAAAACCAACGGTTTTTTTTAAACAAAAATAATTTAAAAATGCTTGTAAATAATTTTGATTTCGATTGTACAAATATACTTTAATTAATAATAATTAATAATAATTTGTAAAAATATAAAAATGTAATAATTTACAATAAATAATAAGCAATAACATTATACATACATACACACATACCTACATACATAGTACATTATTATACAAATTCATTTCAAAAATGTATCCCCTCTGAATAACGGACACCTCCGAGTAACGGACAAAATGTTGGTGACCAAGAGTATCCGTTAGTCAGAGGTTTCACTGTACCTATAAATTACCTGAAAATAGGTATACTATTTAGAGAATAAGAATGCACCGAGCGGCGGGCTAAAATCGGTCCGTGTGCGCGCATTTCTCTACTAACAAATTATTAATAACCAATCACAGAACGTCTGGCGCTGTCTAGATGTGCGGCGCGGTGTATTCTTATTCTGTAAATAGTACAAATAATGTTTTGAACATTTTATCACGTCAACAAAAGACCAATAGAAGTATTTTGTAAAAACTATATGTCTCTACAATTATCTTTAACTGAATAACGAAAAAAAAATTAAATATCGTACACTTTGTCACATTTTTTTTTTTTTTTGTATTTTTCCTGGTTTTTTGAAATTATTAGAAAACTATACGGAACATCAAATAACGACTTTCTTAATTACAAACTATCAAATATTTTCAGAAAATGCGGTATTCTTGAAATTCGAACAAAGATTTTTGGTAAGAAAAATATAATTTTAAAAATTTTAAATAATAAAATCATTGCGCCATTATTTGAAAAAATCGTATTTTTTGTCTTTTGTGGTTTTTCCCAATTATTAAGAAAACTACTAGGATATCAAAAATAGCTAGATAATGGCAAGATGTCAAATGAAATCAAATCGATTTCTCGTCATTTTTCGATTAAAGAAATAGATATGTAAGAACAAAGTTTGCAAAAATTAAACAAAAAAATCGGTAACGCGCGGCATGCCGTAAATAATTGCCCTATACATTGGCGTCGTATTTTAAACAAAGATAGATATTCCTAATGTATTCGCCATCTTTTTTTTTAATATGTTCTCTCGGGCAATACTATGTGGTGAGCGATCCAGTTAATTTAATAATGAATAATAAAATAATAAAGTAAAGACAAAATTATTAAAATGGTTAACACTCGTAAATAAATATATAAATAAAAATAAAATTAATTAATTAAAAATCATAATACTCCAGGCGACACATTCTTGCATTTGTTCATTTTATTTTTACTTTTATACATACATTTTTTATTTATATAATTTAATGATCACTTATCAGTTAAAATATTTCTTGGAAGAGTAAATTATTTTTTCCATATTCAGGGTAAATTACTATAGTCTTTTATAGCCTCACTCCATGTTCAGACCGACAAACAATAGGCAGGATAGGGTATTAGCCATTTCCAAATAGCCAATTAGCTATTAGTTTTTTACATAATACGCCAATGATATAAACGAGATGAACAATATAATTTATATATGCATTTAAGGTCATATTTTAATATATTAGTTGAATAATGTTTTATTATATTATGTCTCATAATATACTACTTAAAAATAAATGATTATTTATTATTTCATAGTGTTAAGTATTCAGGTAGTTGTTGGTAGGAGGATTATGGTAGACGAATTTCTTACGAGTATTTAATACATTTTAATCTTCAAGTATGTACAATTGTTTAATACTTTTGCACCCCTCTTATTATTGTTTTCGATATCCTTTATCTATATCCATATCATTGCCCTCACATTATATTATTATTAATTTTGCAGGCATAAACATTTGATTCCTGGAAAATTTAGGTACACGTTTTAAATTTGACCTTAAAATCGATTACCTCGATGGAATTCTATGCAAATTGAAGGAATTAGTGTGTCGTAACCACAGTAATTTTAATAATAGTCATGGGAGAGGGGTGTGTTTGTCGAAAGGTCGGTTTTCCTAACAACCGTCGGGTCGAGGTTCAATGGTTTCCGGATCCAACACATTCACTATTCTTGCTGAAGTATATATCTATCCAGTATCAACTTTCTATAAAATTAATAACGACGATGTTATTATTATTGCAAACGGCGGTTTTTTTTTTTTCTGTGTTTTGAATCTACATATTTATTTGTGTAGGGATAATTGAAAATGTTTTATGTACTATATAGGTACAATGTATACAGAGTGTCCCACGATGATTTACTACTTGAAATAACTTTTTTTCAGTTTAATATTTTTGAAATTTATTATTTTTAAATAATTAGTGCAAAAGTTTATATTTGAACTTTTTTTCTACGGGGAGGGGAACATAAAACAAAATATTTAAAATTTCCATTTTTTAAAATAGATTTTTAGAACATTTTTGGTGGTTGAAACTTTTGTTCAAGTATGATCTTTTATTTTCTATGATTTTTTGAAAATTTGAATAATTTTCGTTCTATCAAAACAATATTGTTTATTAACATAAATGACCAGTTACCAACTACCAAATATCTATAATATGATAATATTTTTGCATGATATTAACTCATGGGAAAGAAAATTCTTATAATGTGTCCTGACTAATAGAATGATTAAATATTATAATCGAATAACCACAATAGGTAATATTTACATTTGCAAAAACTTCGAAAAATCTTAAAAAAAAAAGACCATACTTTAAAAAAAGTTTCAGCTATCAAAAATGTTTCATTAAATTTTTATAATTGTAATTTTTAGAAAAATATATTTTACAAAATTACTATTTTGATTTTTTTTTTTTAATTATAGTAAAATTAAAAATATTTAATTTTAAGTCCTCCTCCCCCCACAAAAAAAAATGTTCATATATAAACTGTAGTTAAATATCAAAAATATTGCATTGAATAAAAATTATTTAATGTAGCAGATCATAGTGGGACACTGTGTATATATACAATAAAAACAGTTTAAAAGAGTGTGTGTTATTGTTGCAGTGAAATAATTTATATTTAGTATTTCTCTAAAAATAAATGTTATTACATTTCATATGTGAATAAAGGCGATCATATAATTGAAAAACTTTTAAGAAAAAAAGCCCATACATACGAACGTATTATGAAATATAAATAATATTATTTGTTAAAATGAAAAAGGGCTCATGGATTTTTAGAATCTGAGTGTATTGAAGAATGTATTGGTTTTACAAAGATGTTTATTTTTATTTATGTTTATTATGTTTATATTATGATTTTTTTTTTCTGTGGAAAACTTTTCTACCAGTAATTTGGCTCCGATTTACAATGTTAGCACTTTTCTAAAAAAATATCTGATGGGGAGGTACTTCAAAAAGGTCGTTTTTCCATTCTGACATTGATTCAGCCGGTAAATTTGTAGCCAAAATATCTTTGTGTCATTTACGGTCACCCTCTTCACAGGTATCGAATACCGGATCACTAAAATATACTTTGAGATAAAATATAACATTATCAGGGGGTATACTAGATTATATATACTTTATAATTAGTAGATTGCTATGAGTATTGTAGACAATATAATATAATTTTTGCAATTTTATAAAATTAATATACATATTTGAAGTATATCAAACGACATAAATATTATGATTTATTGCCAAATAAAACACAAATCACTTACATTAGATTTTTTCACTTATAATTATAAAATATCATATTATGAATTTTAATCCTTGTAATATTTTAATAGATTTCAAAGCCGTAGCTATTCCTGCAGTCACATTAATATTCTTTATTTGGTGCTTACATAAGTGGCTGTAATCATAATGTTAACTAAGATTTATGGAAAAAATCACAAAGCGTAGGGCTGAATGAATATAAACAAAATGAGATTGCATTTTTCTCTGTATTAAGGTGTATTCTACCTTAACATACATTCCGCTTACATATGTTGATGGCTGGATAATAATTAAAAAAAACTCTTAAAATTTATTAAATAAAACCAAATTCATTAATTTTTTCAATTTATCATTCTAAATTCTAATATAAAATATTATATTCATAACTTAAATATATATATAAATGGTAAGATACATCCATCACCCGGGGTACCAGGCAAATCTAACTCCAAAAAAATGTGACCACAAGGAGTAAGCTTCGCTTGTTACACCAGATTGTTTTGTATTTTGTATGTATTTAAGAGATCGTTTTTTCTACAATATTATCCGTTAGAAAAACATTGGAGGCTGCAAATTCGACGGACTCTTAGTCCGTTATATCTAGGTATGTTTTTTGTATTCATATAATATTGTACGTAATATGATATAATATAATTATAGTGTTATTTTATTTTTGTTTGAAAAATTCGACAGAGTGATTATATATTTGGTTTCAGGGGAAAAGTGCTTAAATCGATTTTTTTTATCTCATGTCTCATTTTGTCTACTTTATTTGTTGATGTAAATGATACTAATGTATGATGTATCTTCAAAAATAGTGTGTTTGTGTATGTTTGTTCAAAATTTAATTAGCTTGTATAGAAAATTATACACAATTGACTTATATCCCCTAGAATTAAAGATATACATTCGAAAAATGGCGTAACTCCATTAATATTAATACCTCTATTATTTTTAGGGCTTTAAAACCACGGACTTTCTCGCTCACTCTCTCGTCGGGTCAAAACCGCACATACATCCTGTCAAATAATCTGTCATTGATATAATAATAAAAAACTGTTGAGGCGAGCGGTTGTGACCTTTAGGTACGGGCCGACTCGAGCCGAAATCAATAAAGGTATCCCGTGTCGCCCTGGGCGTAGCTGACGCGGTCGGTTACCCACGGGGTGCGTTGGTGTCGTAATAATCCTGTAAGATTCCTTGCACCGCATCATCAGTCGCAACTGTCCGTTCGGTGTCGGGTGACGTAGTTTGTTTGGAAACTTAACGAGACACCTTGAACGGAGGTAGTAGTTTAAATTATTTCATTACTTTTGTTATTAAGGATTACAATATATTGTAACGCACGCTATAATATTATAATGGGTAACATTTTGACAACTGACGCTCTTCCGCCAAGGGTCTTTTGGAAACAACAGGTACCTAAAATATACATAAATAATAAATATACACCTATCAATTAATCATAATATTTTACCACTGAGCTACCCACTTTATACCAGTGGGGTATTTAAGATTTTTTCAAAGAGGTAGATATTGGATTTAAAAACTGTCATGTTATATACACGTGTACTTCTACCTAGACTAAAAAAAAACCCAGATACAGTCTTGGAAATCACCTATATCTACCTGAAATTCTCCCTAAATACGTCACTGATATGTCTACATTAAACCAAATCTTAAATTATATTAAATTATTAAAAACATTATTATTGTGTTCCGCGTTTAATTTATATTATTATTTTACAGTCTAGAATAAAACAGATAAACGACTTGATTCATATAGGTGAAGTCGAATGTGATTGGGAACATTTCAGTTCGGCTATTTTGTTTTTCAAAAAAGCGTTATCAATGTGTTTTAATTCCGATTCCAAGGAATATTCATCATTGAAATCAATAATTTATTATAACAGGGCTATTGCGTATTTTCGTCAGGTAAGCAATAACAAATATAATTGAATACAGATTATACAAATAATAATTTGTATACTGCAAGAATTACCATTTGTTTTAAAATTGCACATTATAATGCATGATTTTTAGAGCAACTATGAAGATTGCTTAAAAGACTGTGAGAAGGCTTTGGAATTGGAACCCAATCATACACGATCGTTTTTCCCGTCAACGGAAATGTTGAATAATAGGCAGAAATATTTGTCAGGTATAGCGCGTATGGCGTTGATAAGAGCTGATGGTAGATGTAAAGACCATAGTCTCAAGTTGTTGAAGTCACAAGTCGTTATTCAATCGTGTAAGATTAAATCTATATTTTAAATTGATGTTAAATAATATTAATGAATGTAAATAATTATAACTAAAACCAATACAAATACAGTTTTAATTTAGAAGAATTACATTTTGGATGTACCCAGCAAATTTATTTTTATTTAAATTGATTCTAAACCTCACCAATTAATTTGTATACGAGTAAAACATTTTAAAAACTTTATATAATATAGCCAAATTTGTTATTTTATTAAATAATAATCAGTATTTTTATTATAAACGTCTGTGGAAATCAAATAATCCAAAATTCTAACGTTACGGGTATTATGTAGCTATATAAAAATCCGTAGATTATAAATACATTCATCTTTTTTCTCACTTATAAATTATAATCGTAGGTTAGTTTCACATATAGTTTTTTCACTTTTATAGTCGGTGTATATTGTAATAATTTATTTTTAGCTGGCCCATACCTTGAAATGTATGACAATATAAACCTGAAGTTACCTTCAAAATCGATGAGCGAGTCATTTATGAACTCTTTTGCTGATAGCCCATTCAACGATGAATTTGCACAATCGTTGCTGTACTCAAATGAAAAGTGAGTTTATTTTTATAATCTATTGCGTATCTTATATTATTTTATGATTTAGTAGGTATAACTACATATTAAGTACAGTTTATGAATTATAATAGTAAAACCATTGTTTTTAATATTTTATTGATTGGTATAAAATAAATACGCTCTGATTTTTACCTAAGCTTTTACCATACCTTTCTAAACATTTATATCGTGAATACTATACGGTTATCAAAATTGTTTAGAATGATTATATATCAAAATATTAATTTCATATAGTCATATACTATTATAAGTTATTTACTTATAGATATTATATATTACAAAACTAAAACATGTATTTATAAAAGCTGGGCATACTTATTCACCCCGTGGGCTACAATGTTGTAGGTAAGAAGTTTGAAATGTAATATAAACATAATAATCAATCCTTGATAAGATACTCATCATTATCTCTTAAAGTATTAATTTTTTTTGGAAAATTTATGAAATAAACAGCTCTAAAATCTTACATTACCGTTATTTTTTTTTCACGCTAATTTTCGGGGGTAAAACCACTATACACTTTTGATTTTCAAAAAGCTTCCTACATTACAAATTCCATAAATGGATAAAATACATTTTTGATTTTGACATTTTCAATTTTCATCAACGACGATTGACCACTCTGTGTAGGGTAATTTAGTTTAATAATAAACCATATGCAAACGAAAACTGAACAATTTCTTGTGAGCTAATTCAGTGGATCAATAAAGTAATAGGTTTAAAAGATTTAAAAAAAAGATTTTTTGAAGTTCTGATTTAATACGGATATTATATGTTATGTTAAATAACTCTATATTGTCCAACGTAATATATGTTTATCGCAGTCTATTGGTAATACATTCCCGTTGAGATCTTACTGACCTGAAGATATTATTAATAACGAGTGTTAATGATAAGTGTGGACTGATTTCTATTGCGAATGCGTATTATTACTCATCGCATATTTATCTTATAATCATTATACCCCCAGTCAGTGACGGTAGATACGTTACACGTGATTACATGAATTCGACCAATTGTGCGTGATATAAATTTTGTGCATGCGCATTTGTCCCAACTCCCCTTAGTTATGTTTGCTTCAAATATTTAGTCAACAGCTCTATCTATAGTATATGATCTAAGGGCTAACATGACTTTATAGATATGCGGTTTTATCAAAGAGAGTATAATTTTAATCACACTGATACTCCATGATAAACAAGGTTTATAGATAATATTCTGTGCCTATTTTATTCAATTAACATTGTGTGATACGTACCCATTATCTATGTATGTACTAATAAATCTTAAATGGGGAAAGTGATACTACAAAATAGATTAATGGTGATGCCACGTGGTCGCAAAAATTATTGTTATGCTATCAAGTATCAATGATCATGTAGTCTATGAGAATAATTTTACTCTAATAAATTTACATCAAATATCAATGTATTTTAATACAATGTTGACTAATTATTTATAGAATGAAACTTACTTAGAATATAATCATGATCAAAAAAATTGTATTTAAGAACCACAATTAAATTAAAAGTAGCAAATAAAATTACGAGCGATTTTGCAGAAAGTTGGTAACTTTTCTGATTTGTTTTGTACCTCTAGATTTTAGCGAAATTACGCTTATGTACACAATTACACACGACTACAGTAGAATTACTACAGTAGAATTAGGCACTACCATAAACACTTGTGACGGACACTATACAAATCACAACTGAATAAAATGATCTAATCTTATTTTTATCTACTTCACCAACGACTGAGCTAATAAATATTATACCTAGCTGGGGTGCATTTATCTTATCTTATTATTTGATATTCAGTTTATTTTCAATCTAACGGTCGAAAATGGTGATATAGAATATTTATTAGTATCTACGCTCTAATCGCTTACATTCCAAGCATATTATTTACCATTGCATTTCGGCACTCAATTTAGTTGTACCATTTCTAGTTCGTAGCTAAAATCATGTCGGCTCATAGATTTTTAAACTCTTTGGATTCGGCTAAAAAGATGGCCCTTTTGATGTGGCACATTGTCCGCCATTCATTTGGAACATAATATTATTATTTATTTTTTTATATAGTTAAAAAAAAAAGCGTTATTAAAGCGAAATTAAATTTTAATAGTAATTTCATTACAAAAACGTTACTATTAAAAATGATTAATTAAATTACTAATATTTAATCTGCGTTATGTTACTCTCCAGCAGAAAGTCACAAAATTAAGTAATTTTGAAACTTTAAAGTTTCTTTTTTCTCTATTTATACAACTTATACCGTAACGTGTTGGTTTATTAGAGATCTTAGGAGTCAGTAGGAGTTTTGACCAAATTTCAAAAGGGGGTGATATTGGTGGATTTATGGTTGTCTTGGAGGCATAGCCTCCCAATTGCCTGCCAAATCGTCCAACTTTTTTCAGATCACCCTATAAAGCTTCCCCGTATATTTGTTAGGTTAACCACGAATAAGGGGTGAATTCAAATGTCAATCCCCACAAGTGTATACCCCAAATTACAGTACAAAGCACTACCAACCTAATTTTATTTTCGAAAACGAACATTATACATTTTTAATATGTAATTAAAAAAGTCTTATTATTAAAATACAGAATCGATACTTCTTTTTTTAAGAACATCTTTTTGTACATTCATGTATTCAAATTCAATTAACAATTAAATTTTATTTGTGGCTAAATCTTTTAAATAAATTGTTATGAGAGCCATTAAATCCAATAGCGACTTATTTTTTGATTTAATGAATCGTTTCTTTATGGCTTTCACAATATTATTAAGTAATGGAATGTATAATAACCTAAGATAGTAATCTTCTGTAAAGTTACGTGAAGGGTTAGGTCTATGATTTTGTCTACAGAAAAAAAAATCATAATATTTTTCTAATATATTTCGTACATTTTCCCGTTTTTTCTCACTTTTCCCTTTTTTCGGTAAACTGCCCGGAAAATCAATAAATTACCTCCCTAGACTACCACCCCAAGAAAATTTCTTAAATTGCCCTTTCAGAAAAGGGTCTACATAATATATATCTGAATAAGCTTTCTGAAAGAATGTATTCACATAAAAAAAAATAGTAATAGGAAATATATTTGTTAAACCAATGCATTCTTCGTTACACTTAGAATCTAAAATTAATAAAATAAAAAATAATCAAGCAATAAATCAATCAATAAATATTATTTTTATATGTACCTATTTACGTAATGTGTAATAAAACAATAAGACAAAGGGAGCGATCTCTGCCTCCCCAAAAACTGCTACTGACTTAAGTTACTCGATTCAATCCATTTTTATTATCTATTTGTTTTTAGTACCGGCTTAGAGGCTGCAATGAAATGTGTAGCAAATGGAGATTATCAAGAAGCTTTATATAAATGCCTCGACGAAATAAATAAAACAAACTCAAACAATGTTCGTCAAATGATGGCCCACAATATTTACGGTACTATATGTATCATGGGTGAGTTGTATGATATCGGGCTTTTGGAATTCAGTAAGATTTTAACTCTGACGTCGGATAAAAAGGTAAATTATACATATTAACAAATAAATATTATATTGTCGAATAATAGTATATACAGGGCAATCACTAAACCTGCTCACCCCATTTTTTTTTTGGTTAAATTTTGCATTTATTCAAATCCTGATTTTCGGCATTTTTATGTATATTTAAAGCCATTATTTTCGAATATTTAGATTTTTCAGAACATTTAAAATGTGATGATAACGACTTTGGTTTTTAAAATAATAACCTATATTTAAAAGTCCATAAATAGAGAGAGTATTACTTTAAATAAATTTTGGTGATAAAATTGTTGACTTCTGTCAATCCGTTGACGAGACATTTCATTTTTAAGTTTAGGTAGGGGGAGAGTAGTGTGTCACTAATAAAACGCCTCTTGCCGTACCGCTACACAAAATATGTTACAAAACGTGTTCATAGACTAGAAGAAACAAAAACTAAACAGCATTGTAAAATGGGATGAGCACGCTTAGTAAATCATCTTATATAATATTTAATGTTTTTTTTCTTATTCTCTTTCATCCCAACTATTTGGGATCAGCCAATATATAACATTTAATGTACTTATCTTGTATAATATAATATATAGTTAATACAATTTAGATTTAACTTTTAAAACTTTTAAAATATAATTTCACACCATTTAGCTTTTGATGAATATAATATAATATTTCAAAAACTACGAAAACTCATATAAACGGGTATAAAGATAGGATAAAAAAAAACATTATTTAATTGAATGTTAAGTGTGTAATATTTTATTACTTTATTAGTATTATAGGATGCATTTCTTCGGTATTTAAAAAATCATTATTAATTAAAACTGAAACGTGTGATGTTAATATAGATGAAAGTGGATTCTTTAATAAAACGTGCGTTAATTCATATGAAACTAAAACATATTGCTAATGCTTTTCGTGACCTACAAACCGCAAAAACAGAAGATCCGTTGAACGGGGATAATCATGTAGTTAGAGCAAATGTACTATAATATTATAAAATTATATTATCAATTTATTATAAGTAGATAAAATACAATAAGAAGACATTTTTTTTTTAGCTTTTTATCAGACTTCAAAATTTTGAGAAAGCAGCTAGAGAAATGAAAAAAGCGCTTAAAAAGAAACCCAAATTCCTTTTGTTTGAAATAAAATATTTATATGCGGAATATCTCTATGTAAAAAACAGTTTCAACCAGTTGGAAGCCAAAAATTACATAAATGAGTTAAAAAAACTAGCTATATTATATGTAAATGTTGCCGAAGTCCAGGAATACTACGGAAGAGTAAGTATAATATATTATACATATTTTTTTTAAACGTTCTGTACTTTAGGTTTTATGTAGTATTTTTCAAACATAAATAAGTAAATAGTTATAAATTGCAGGCTTAACAATTATAAATAACTGTCAAAAAAAAAAAATATTCCACGAAACTCGTTTGGGGTAGTTAAACTTCAAAACTGATCCTAAAACTTACATAGGTACATCGGTTTCAATATATTTTTATAGATTTAAATTGTTTATAAAAGGTAAAATTGTATGAAATTGTCAACATTCGTAAATATGTAAAACGCTTGAAATACAGAACCTATAAATTATATAAAAAAAAAGTTATAGTTTTTAGAATTACACACGTCACTGGCATTTTTTTTATTACAGGCCCTAATAGATAATGGTGAACATAAGAATGCAATGGCAAAGTTTGAAAATGCGATCAAGAATCACCCTAAGAATACCAATTTGCTCGTACTTTTGGGTAAAATAATAATATCTCATTTTACTATTCAATCTGGTGAAGAAAATATAAATACTTTGAAATATTTTTCAGCAAAGACACAACTGACACTTCACAAATTTGGTGCCATATCGTACGAAAACGCCGAAATCATAATGTGGGATACTTTTGACAAGATTCTAAAAGTCGATTCAAATTGCGATTCCATCTACGAAACTATGTCGGATTTTTATTCACATAAGTTAGTTTTTTTAGTGTTTTTTGTCCGACCGTTTTCTAGTGCGATGTATCAGTATATTATAACAATACGTTGTGCATTATAATTTAAAATATTTAGCACGAATATCTGATAGTGTATCTCCAGTATCATCACTAGAATTTCTAATGCCCGTGGCTAAATATTGTATTAAAATCCTAAAGGCCAAAATTGTCTTCCAAAAATACCTTTACCTGTTCAATAATGCCTTGGACCTTAGTATAGGCCACTGCTAAGAGCCCTCATCAGTTGTGGGCTCGTGGCGTTTGCCTACCTTGCCTACCCAGTATTTACGTCATTGGGTATATCATACCTATACATATAATATGTAGTCATGTAGATAAAAGAAAATATATATATATTTATATATGTATACACTTAATAAATATAGTGGTTTTCCTATAGGATATTATAATACATATACGTCGTATACATTCAACATTTTGTTGAAAAATCATTGGTATACTGCTTATACTCTCGAATAGCCAAAAAAATGTTTAAAATAAATTGGTCATGATATAATCTTATTATTATGACCCTTTCATGCCATATCGCTAAAACCGAATTATTAATAAAAATTGAATTTATTTCAGTTATTATTTTAACTGAAAATTTCACAATTTTCTTACGATAAAAAGATAAAAAATTAGTTGTTACAGTATATATTTTCAAAAAAATTAATGGAAACATCACTCCATACATATGCATGTGATTATATATAATTACTACATTACATAATAAAAACGAATTTCACTAGAGTTTTTAAAAATTGTATTACTTCTATAATATAGATACTCACTAGTTAAATTATAATTAGAGAGTGGTCAACTGCCTTATGCTTTCCTATTGGTCAATGTGTTGTTACTATGTCAGCTCTATATCTATAGGCATAGAAACCCTTTTCGCACCGTACCATAATGTTGGCTCTCCACCGTTCTTGCTAATTTTGGATAACACACGGTGGCTCTCTATAATAGTGAGAATGGCGGATCTAGGGTTGGATTTTAGGGGGACCTCCTAAAAAAATTACTTCTAAGCTAAATTATGAAATATTAAAATTAGGGCTGTGAATTTGTAGGAAGTGCATTTTTTTTAGTTGATTGTGAAACGTAGCTTTCTAAGTACATAATTTGAATTATGTAACAACAAATTAATTTATGAAACTTATATTTTGCATTTTTTGACGTTTTTAATTTTTAAGGTCATTTTTAAATTTTTTAAGTCATATTTTACTTTTTAGTTCATTTTCTGGTATTTTTGATTAAATTCCGTTAACTAACATCTTTACATGCTTCCTTTTTTGCTTTACACAGGCTGTATATACGTCAAATTTATATTTTATAAAATAATATTTTACACAAGCTGTATTATAAATATTTTTAAAGAAATTAGTTTTATTAAATAAATACAGTTTTATATATATAATATTTATGTTAATATCAGTAAAATACCAAAATAAATATTTATGTAGATTTAAAGGAAAAAGTCTTAAAAGTTTTATTTTATACTTCTTAGATTTTTATGTTATTTTAAAGTCTGTTTTTTTTTTTTTTTTTAATTTTATTCATTGTATTATGTTTTTCAGTAATAAGCACAATGAAGCGGCTAATATTCTGAAACATTCGGTCAATTATAACCTCAGACAAGAACAGGGCGAAGCACGGGTGTTCAACGATGTGTTTTAAAGTCGATTGAACATGTGAAGTGTAGTACATCCAAGGACATATGCAAAGGTTACATCAAGCCGGAGTAATCGTAGATTTTTTTGACATCTGTATAATATTTCTTTGACCATCGTCTTGGATTAGATTTAAAATTAAATAATATTTACAATGTTTAGTAGATAGATAATGTCCATCATATTAACAATATGTACTTAGTACCTATAGATACAATGTGATTTTTCAAGCATGCCTACATAATACACAAGCATAATATACGTACTCATTGAAATTGAAATTGAATACCTATAAACCTTAAAAATTAAATTTCAACGGAGAAGTATTTTAGACAAGTCATTTTTCGATTTTCTTAGGAGTTTTCTCAACAAATGTGAAAACCCGAAAAAAACGGAATAAAAACAGGAAAATTTACGAAATATGTTAGTAAAATATTATGATTTCTCTTTTTTGTAGACAACTCTTTTATAAGCAATTTTGCTTCAACTTATTTTGATATTTTTCGGTTCTTCACATTTATTGAGGAAACTCCTGAGAAAATCGAAAAATGAACTCTCTAAAGTACCGTCCCACATCGATTCAGAAAAGAAGCTACACACAAAAATCGGAGCAAGATCTCCGGTAGAAAAATTGTCTACAGAAAAAAAAAATAAACATCTTTGTAAAACCTTAAGCTTCTTTGCTCCACTCAGAATCTAAAAAAAATGTTGATACTGAGGATGGGTGCAGCCACTATTGTAGGTGGAAAGCTAAGAAAGAAGAATAAATAAAGCTATTCAATTTATATCTGTACGCAACGATAACTGCTTACGAAAACAATTTGGAGCAAAGTTCGGTAAGACATATTTTGAAATACAGAGATTTTTATGATTTTCATCAAAATTCGATCTTAAGACGCTTATAAAAAAAAAAAACTAATACATTAAACTCAAATTTGTATTTTAGACCACTACATGCAACTTATAACGTACCTTCCGTTAAATTTTCAAGCATTTATCTTAAGCCATATAATTCTAATAACAAATACCTACTAAATAAAAATACGAAAATATCAAATACCTATAATGAATAGCCTGAAAATAGCTAGCATATTTTCAAAATGTTACCACATTTACAAAAGGCCAGTATAAGTGTTTTGTGTAAGCACAGGTCTCTACAATAATTTTAAACCTAATAACAACAAAAAACCCAAATGATGTATACTTTGACATATTCCCTAAGTTTTTTTTTCTGATTTTTTGTAATTATTAGAAAAACTATATAGAAAATCAAAAAACATCTTTCTTACCAATAAATTAGACAATATTTGATTTCAAAAAGTATGCTATTCTTGAAAATTGAACAAAGATTTTTGGTAGAAAAATATAATCTTTAACATTTTAAATAATGAAACCGTTGCATCGTAATCGTATTTCTTTTCTTTTCGATTTTTCCCAATTATTTAAAAAAAATCCCCTGAAAAATCAAAAAATAGCTTCTTTAATGCACCAACTAGAGACAATTACCTTTCAGAAAAGGTAATACATTCTATGTATCGGATTAATATTTCTCTTCGAAAAGTTATATACAGATAAAAAAAATTAAAAATAAAAAACACAAAAATACACATATAGTAAAACGAATAGATCCCTCGTTACGCTCGTCAAATCTAAAACTTTATTATTATGTTATTAATATTTTCGACTTAGAAATCTGTAGTCATTTCGAAAAAATTAACCGAAATTATTTTGTAGTTTTACTTTAACGAATATTGAAAAATAAATCAATAGCCCACATATTTACGTCGATAATAATATTATGTATTATCTAGTATCTACCAAGGCACGGTCATTTTTCGCGTGTCTCTGTTACGAACGAGTTTAGGGTAAAAAAAGCATATGGAAAAAAAGTAAATGAAAATAAAGCATGTGGTAAAAAAAGCAATATAGTTATTTACATATTATAATATAAAAAGTAATATTATTGGTTAGTACTAGTGTACTACATATCTATTGTCTACATATTATATAATACCATATAATAGGAACTTAAACAATATTTTAATATCATTAACTACTTATATTATATATTCATATAAATTTTATAAAAATGTTTTAAATGGTCTTCGCCGAAACCATTTCGCCGATGGACCGATTCGCTACAACTAATTCGCCTCCAATTGTTCTGTCGATAACCTTTTCGCCGACGGATTTATTTGTTGTTAACCTTTTCGCAAACGGAGTTATATTTTTAAAAGAAATAAACTCATTTTTTTAAAAAAAAAAAAGTTGATACTGGGGACGGATTCAGCCACCGTTGTAGGTGGGAAGTTGGGATTTCGGGAAGGTATAACATATAAAGTTATTCAATTTAAATTTGTACGCAACGATAAACCATTTCTAACGAAACACGATTCAAAGCACTAATACGTATTTCGAAAAACTGTAATTTGAAAAATTGTATTTTTTCGGTTTTTTCTAAAAGTTAACACAAACTAGAAGAAAAATGAAACCATATGGAGTGTATACGCGTGTTTATGTACAACAAAAAAAAAAACATTATTTTAGATAAATGGGTATCGACCGCAGTTTCTACGACTCACGCAATTAGCCACGGTCAAACGCGAGACATGTTGGAAAAACAAATAGGTATTTAAGGCAATATCAGCATAACGACAAACTTGAAACTTTCAATTTATTCAAATGTGCCAGTGTTCCTCCGAAGACTATTAGATCTAGTTCATTGATGAGGGGGGTAGGTGATTTTATGATATTCCTTGTACTTATAATTGAGATAAAAACCTTTCCTATTCTTAAACAAAATTGGTGGTCTAAAAAATAAATTACGACATTTAAAAACCTAATATTCCTCCGGATCGTTTTTCGTTAGCAATGGTTTATTGTTGCGTACAAATTAAATGACTTTATGTTTCATATACCTTCCCAAAATCCCAACTTCTCACCAATAAAAATGGCTGCATCCTTCCCCAATATCAGCTCCTTTTTTTTTAAATTTGTTAATTTCTTTTAAGAAAATAAGTCCGTCGGTGAAACAATTGGCGGCGAATTAGTTGTGGCGAATTGGTCCATCGGTGAAACGGTCAGACGGAGAAATTGTTTCGGCGAAAAGGATGGTTTCGTATTTTAAACGTTTTTACAAAAATAATTATTGGAGCAAGTTATCGATATTTTTTTTTTATTTAATAAAAAATATGATAAAATTAATCTTTTGATTTTTAAAAATAATTATAAATTATAAATTATATTTTTATAAATCCTAATTTATTTTTTCCACTATATGCTATAGCCATATTTTTATTTTAAGTTAATTTTTATAAATTTTTTACTTACACTGAAATAGTTATCATTTTTGTTACATTCGATTTTAAACTGTAGATTTCAATGACTTGCTCCGATAATTATTTTTGTGAAAACGTTTAAAATATAATCATTGAGTATATAATGTAGTCAATGGTATTAAAATATGGTGTGGATAACTATTATATAGTATTAACCAATAATATTACGTTTATATTATAATATCTTAAATAAATATATTGCTTTTTTTTCACTTTATTTTTTCCCTGACCCCGTTACGAATACCATCATTAGTTGCTATTAGTATTATCGCGAAAAAAAATCCACGCTAAACGATAAAAGACACAAACGTAATTAAAACGTACTTTTATATAGCGTAAACATGTACGTATATAGGTACCTACCTATATAATACTTAATATAAATTATACCTAACAAATAGTTATTATTTAAGACAATTTTTAATGTATATGTAATTATTTTACCAAGATATGACATATAATATTATATTCTTGAAAAAGCAATGCTATTAGTCGAACTCCGCTCAGAATCATTTTTTCGTTAGCAATGGTTAATTTTTTTATTATCAATTGCAAACAATTCATATATATAAGTTCAAGTAAACCGAAATCTAACTTAAAATACTAATATTATGAAATATTAAATAGTCTATTAGTAGGCGATATGACGTGTTATTCCATGTTTGATTTCAGATTCAAATACATACCTAAATAAAAAAAAAACATACAGATTTTTGTAAAATCGTTGACCGGTGAAATGATAGTGCTGGAAGTAGAACCGTCCAAGTGTCTTACACCAATGAAAACGTTAGCAGGATGTTATACCCGCATCTACTCTATCAATCCAACTACCGGGTAACATACAAAAATAATACTTACGCAGAATAAGTAAAACTAACTTAATTTTAATTTTAAAGTAAAAGTACCTATTATGAAATTTATTTAGAACAACATTTTGAAAGGAATATCAAAAGGTTTTTGTATTATTCAGAATATACAGCTCTATATAAAAGATACAAAAACCTTTATATATATATATATACTTTTTTTTTAAAATAATTGTAACTTTTTGAATAGTTCATAATTTGAAAAATACTTATAACATTCCCTCCAAATTATTGTCCTCCGTAAATTTCATAATAGTTACTTTTATTCTAAAATCAAAACTAAGTAAGTTTTACTTATTCTGCGTAAACATTGTTTTTGTATGTTACCCGGTAGTGTGACTGAGACAGTAGATATGGGCGTAACGTCCTTTTGAGGCCAAAATCCAGGGCAAGAAATTATAACTCAGTGCCACGAGAGAAGTAACCCGTGTCCTGAACAAATTGCGTTCGAATTCACGCATATCCCCCACTTATTTGGCATACCGTCGTTGCACGATCACAATCATTAACGGTCGGAACGATGTATAGTATGTACCATTAGTCATTACGTACACTTGATACAGTTTATCAATGCGTCTGTTCCACTACTTTTGTGAACCGCGCGATTACTTTCACTCCGTTGACTGATTAATGATTCGTACTGCACGTGATATACGATATTATAAAAACCATTATAATATAACCACTCTGTATATCACTTATTTTACGCTGTAAGCGCGCCACATCGCGAACTGTAGGGGACAAAGTGGGGGAAACGGAGCCTAGTAACGTCAGTCTGCGTGCGCGCAACGGGTTTTGTATCTCGTGGCGCGGAGTATAGAAAGACATCCCGTCGGAACAGCAACGTTTGATTTTCGCTGGAAATCGATTGGAAGACAGCCGTTCGTTGTCCGGCTACAGTATCCAGAATCCACGCTTCATCGACTCCGGGGCCGTGCGGACTGTTATTTAACATCAAAATATTATGCAGAAAGCTATACGTATTATAGTAATGTACCTCGGCAGAATACTGACACCAAATTGTTTAAATGATTTATAATGCTGCAAATTAAATTTTAAAAACCCAATGTCATGATGCCAAAAAAAAAAAAAATAGTTGATACTGCTAATAAGTATATCATTGTTGTAGGTAGAAAATTAGGAAGGTGACTATAGGATACATAAAGTTATTGAATTTATATCTGTAAGCAACAATAAACCATTGATTACGAAATACGATTTTAGGAGAAGTTCACTTGAAAATGCTGTAATTTTTACGATTTTTGTCAACATTTGATCATAAAACTTTTATAATCAAAAATTACTACATTATACTCAACTATTTTTATTGCCACTAAGTACAACTCATGATACACCTCGTATAAAATGTTCAACCATAAATGTATGGTCAAACAATTTTTTCTACATAGTACCTATATAATAAAAACTAAAACAATGCCTATAAATAGCTCAATAGTCGCCAACAATTGATCACGTTTGGAAAATGCAAATATAAGTACCTATTCTGTGAAAATATCATATTTCAATGAAATCGGTAATACCTCGGCACGCCATAAATATTTGTTTGTTTTTCCTATAATTTTATTATTACGAATGAAAAACATCTCGGAAAATCCATAAATGACCACTCTAGACTCTAATGCACCTATATAACTGGATCTAAAATGTAACAAAAAGATCTATTGTTATCACATTTTGGTAATACTAATTGCCACACTCATAATCTATAGGTACAGTGTGGAAAATTATGTCGAAAATAAAACATTTGCGATCCACGGCTACTATGATAATATATCTAATGTGAAATGTTCGATATTGCGTATAAATGTTCAATTCAAACGAGTGAACAAAATGGCAGGGTGTTTCGAACTTCGGCCATATAAATTATGTTAGTCATTTTATATGGTCGAAGGACGTTTGGAAAGTGAATCGTGTTTAATCCATAGAATTATAGGTACTCTGTATTAATTTACGGTTTAATCACAGCGGCAACACGCACTCTCCGTGAAAAACGAACGTGTCCAATAGGTCTTTGGAATTTTTAGTTTTTCCGCCACCTTATCAATTTATACCACCATGGCACCGCTAACGGCTGATATTTTTGATAACAAACAGCACGTCGGTATCGTATCGTGTTTGTACGTGCGGCTATTAAGTTATCGGGGCCTAACATAATTTTCCTATTACACAGTGTAATGCGTATGTAATTACTTTATTACTGTTATCCGTGGACGATTCGAGCAGTCATCGCTCCGTTTGTTTTTTAATCATTAACTTTTGTTTCGTTTTTCGTTTTTTATTATAGATTATATTATTATTTATTATTTTGTTTTACAATACCTACCTAACATTGCGCAAGAGTAATCAAATCGTCTGCCGGTGTGCGTTTGGACTCGTCAAACATGTGGTCGACGACGAAATAGAATCCCTGTGATCACGCTAATCTTTCTTAACACCGGTCTTCCGTGTTATATACGCAATGTCCGATTCTAGCGGATCGTCGTTCAGTTTCCTGAGTAACTGGAAATTTGGTTTGGCTGTCTCTGTCCCGTGTTTCGCGTTGGGCTTGGGCGTAACTTATTACTATTATTTCAAAACGCCCGGTTACACTGGACTTGTCGACAAACCTGCCGCGAACGCAAGTGTTGCTAAAGAAGATAACGTTCAAAAACCGCCAGAAACTAACGGAATCGACCAGAAAGTCGTCAAAAAAAAGGTTGGTACCCATCAATTTTTTTTTATTTTAGAGAATCTAGATTAATTAAACATAGGCAAATACGATTTCAATGTAATAACATATTTTAAAAAATATATTATAAATACCTATATCGTGTTTTATTGGAGATTTTTTTTACAGACACTAGTAGAAGAGGTCGAAGATTTAAAGAAACTCGGGAATACAGAATTTTCAAAAGGAAATTATGATGCGGCCATCACATATTATACACAAGCCATATCAATGTGCCCAGAAACAGAGAAAGTAGTTTTGTCTGTTGTGTTTCAAAATCGAGCTGCCGCTTACAGTAAATTGGTGGGCAACGATAAATAAAATTATTACTTTACGTCAGTTTGGTCTTAGCAAAACTGGGTTTTTTTTTTTCAAATATTAGGTGTAAAAATAGTACTTATTGTTTATATTATACTTTCAGAATAATAATGAAAATTGCTTGGCTGATTGTAACAAAGCTCTGGCATTAGTACCAACATACCAAAAAGCGTTATCTCGAAGAGCCAGAGTATTTTCAGAATTAGGAAATTTCAAACTTGCTTTAGAAGATATTACAGCTGTGGTTATGTTGGACGAGTTTAAAAATCAAGCTGATATAATATTTGCGGATAGTGTGATCAAAAATTTGGGTGAGATTTTTTTATTTTTTCATTTATATAGAATTAAAAAAATGTTTTTACATTAAGACTAGCACTAAAAAAATAATTGCAAGAATAAGTGTTAATTTCTTCAAATATTTAAAATTGTATTTATACCATAAGTTAAAATTAATTTTCAGGCAAACAGAATTTGATAGAATACACAAAGCACAATACTTTTAATTTACCAACAAAAACATTTATTGATAATTATATGAAATCATTCTGTGACGATCCGTTTTCTGACGAATTTACACTGACATTATTAAAATCAGACGTAAAGTAAGTAGTATTTAATATTAATTCTAATATGCTTTTATTATCATTAAGAAATAAATAGATAGTTATTACTACAAATATTAAATATATAATATAATTTATGTATTAATTAATTTAGTACAGGTTTGGAGTATGCATTAAAATGTATTCAGGATCTAAAATACGATGAAATTGAAAATGCTTGTCAAGAAGAATTAAATAAAACTGATAATAGTTTGATTCGTAGAAGTTTGGCATTAAACTTATTAGCTACTTTTTGTATATTGCGCGGAAATTATGCTGTTGGTATTAAACATCTTACTGCTGTCATTGAAACGCCAAATATTCCAAACAAGGTATAATAATAAAGTTTATAATTTTATTGGTGATTAAGATAATTGAAAGACATATTATTATCTATACAAATTATGGCTGGGCAATTACAACAACATAATAACTTGGGTAGATAAAGTGTAAAATTGATAAAATACTTATACTAACTTATTCAGGTGTTTGATACCCAATTTTAACATTAGAATCCATGGTATATTTACAGATAAATAAAGTTCTATAAATAATTAATATGCTATTACTTGGTTTTCTTATTCTAATCAGTTGATTCAATATACAAATGTTCAGACTGAGCAATTTGTACGAGAAAATAAATACAAAGAAAAGTGGTATTTTAAAAAAAATAATAATTTAAAATCTGCATCATTACTTAAGTATGATTTTTGTGAATAATTAGGTAGGTACCTATATATTTTTATTGTTTTTTATGTTTTCTTGTTTAGATTTCGAGTGTAACGAGGGAGCTATTGGTTTTACTAAGATATTTATTTTTTTCTTTCTTTGTTCTAGTCTGCAGACATGTTTTTCCTAGTAAATTTGATCTGATCTATAAGTATAGCGAATTTTTTGATTTTCGAAATACTTTTCATAATAAACGGAAAATAAACTTATGGAAAATGTACAATTTCACAATATCATTATTTTTCATTAATATAGAAAACATTTATTATTAAGAAAAGTGCTTAAATAAAAAAATGACAAGAAACCTTTTTTATTGCATTGTATTTTTTTTTAATAAGCGTTTTGAATTTTAAAAAAAAAAACATTATGGCGCTTCAAATTATGTATTAACGAATTTAACTTGGAATCGTTTTTCATCAGCACTTTTTTTAGTTTTGTATCCTTAAATAGCGATTGGGACATTATTTAAATTTTTTTTTTCAAGATGTAAACATTTTAGGGGGAAAAACTCATAAAATAATCAAATCTTTCTAAGTCATAACAAGTTTTAAACATAGTCCAATTAATTTTAAAGTTTGATTACACTTGGTTGAACATTGTTAACTTTACTGTTTTATTTTTGAAAATTTAATTGATATAGTTAAATTGTTGATAGTTGATCATAAATTCCTTAATAAAACGAGCGTCAGTTTATCACCAACAAGAAGAAGTTGAAAAATCTTTTGAGGATTTCAAACACGCTGAAGCTATTGATCCTAACAGTTCTGTAGTATATCACCACAGAGCTCAAGTAATATATATATATATATATATATAGTATAAGTAAACATTTTTAGAAAATAGTGACAAAAATCATTGATTTTTTTTAGATTTGTTTACTAGAAATGAACACTGAGAAAGCTGTTGAAGAATTCAAAAAAGCTGTAGAATTGAACCCTAAATTTGTTTTGTCTAATATTCAATGTTGTTATGCTCAATATCTTCATGCCAAACAAGTATCAAATGAATTAGATGTTGAAAAGTTCTTGAGAAAATTGAAAGAATTTGTGATTAAATACCCAGATAATGCTGAAAGTTATACACTATATGCCCAGGTAGAAAAATATATTATAAAATTATATAGTTTTTAAAATTAAATATGTGTATATTTATGTTTATGAAGGCTCTGTCAGAAAAAGGAGCTTTTGAAGAAGCAGATTTATTATTCAAAAAAGTGCATGAAATTTATCCAGACAATGCCACTTTTCTAGTACATAGAGGTAATCTTTTGTTTTTTGAATGTAACTTTCAGGGTTGCTACCATACTAATAAAATGGAATTTTAAATTTGCCATGGAGATTAATTAAATAAATGAAAAACATGCTTATATTGGGGATGGGTGTACCACTGTTGTATTTAAGAAGTTGGGAAGTAAGGATACACAAAGTTATTTTATTTATATCAGTAAGTAATGTTAAACCATTGCTAATGGAAAACAATATAGAGCTAAATTTGGTTATACATGTTTTAATAAAACAATATTAAATCTTAATATTTACGATTTTTGTCAAAATTTGACATTAAAACTACAGAATACTCAATTTTTTTTTTTTGATGATTAATGAACTTCCTATAAAATTTTCAAGTATTTCTATTTAGTCAAACAATTTTTTCCATAAAGTATTTATCAAATAAAAATTTTACATAAAAACTGTTTAAAATTAAAATGTCTATATAAAGCTCAATATTTGGAATGTTTTACATCGCTAAAAAAAATAAACGTGAGTTTTGTCTAAATTTCAAGTGTCCTCGAATATTTTTCACTAAGTTAATATTGAAAATAATTAAACCGTAATTTGTAATAATAATTTTCATAGAATTGTCAGTTCTTTATATGATTTTTTCGGTTTTCTCTATTATTAAAAAACTACAGGGAAAATCAAATAAAGATTTCAGTACTCACCAACTGAATTCAAAATGCAACAAAAAAGTTTGTCTTTTCTATTGGAGTAATATTTCTGGTAGAAAACATGTACCATAAAAGTTTATTAAAATAAAAGAATCGTGTAATGCCGTAAATTTATTAGTTTTCAATTCTAGTCTTTTCTGGATTTCCTTAATTATTTTGAAAACCTCTTGGAAAATCAAAAAATGACCTCTCTGATGCACCAACTGGATAAAATTTCCTTTCAGAAAGGTGCTACACTTCATACATTAAAGTTTCTTTTCAAAAAGTTGTTTACAGACCAAAAAAACATAATTAAACAAATAGATTTTGCCACGCTCTAAATCTATAATACTGAAAAAAATATTTATAGCACTAAGTTACAATTGTAGATATGTATAATTTTCTTAATTGAAATAAAAAACTGTTCTTCTATTGTTAATGATAAGAAAAATGTTCATATTAAGGACTCTGATTTATCGTTTTACACCATAGACAAGTGTGACTAAAGTTTACAGGGATAGATCTAGTAGAGTTAGTATGTCAATGCTAAATAATCAATATTTTATTAAGTACTCTAACTAGTAAGTTTTTAACCTAATAGTTATGTTGTTTACTTTTATGTGCTTGAATATATAATTGTTTTGCTATTCATATTTAAAATTATATGAAGTGAATATAACATTAACAAATTTATATTTACTACTAAAACAAATATAGACACCTATATATTTTAAGTACGGTAACAAATCCAAAAAAAAAATGTTTTTATAATATGGATATAAATTATGTAGTGTTTTATGATAATATCCTAAAAAATTGAAGAATTTTGAATTCGAATATCTACAGTAACCTTGATTGCACATTTATGTAAAAAATTAGCTTACTAGAAATTAATAGTTTTTTTTTTTTTTTTCAGCATTGATTGCATTATCGTGGAAAAATAGTATATCCGATGCATTTAGTTTCCTTGAACAAGCATTAAAAATTGATCCAAAGTGTGATTATGCGTACGAAACACTTGGAACACTTTACATTCAAACGTAAGATATTAAAAACAAATGTATATAATATTTTGAAATGATTATTTTATTTCAATACCATCCTGTTAAGATATTTTTTTAATTTTGAATTAAAAATATTTTATAATGTTGCTATGATTAAAAAAAAAAAAGCATTGCAACTAAATTATTTTATTTATTTTTATTAATGAGATTTTGATAAGACTATTCAAAATTACCGTCATAACTCAATTTATTTAGAATTGTTTTTATCAATTTACATTCAAAATATGATTAACTATTAATACTTACATAGACTAGAAATTTGATAGACCAAACCAGTGTGTAAAACCAAACTGAAAAAACTTTTTAAGGAAACAAACATGTAGAGATATTTGAGAGATTATACACCAAATTTCTTGTTAAACCAGTACCATAACATGTGAATCTATATCATACGCTGGTGTGAACAGATCGGAATCATCATTATGTTGATCTTTATTATACGTACTGGTTTTTACTGTACCAATCTGCTTTGGCATACCGGTATGTATAAATTGGAATTTACGTAGCACACTGGTTTGGTTTACCGAATTTTTAGAGACATATTAACTTAATAAACTGCGCCTTGGACGAAATTAACTTGGACTACATCTGATAAGCAGAAAAAGGTATTGTGAAAATAAATATGATTGACTGTTCGTTTATTCAATGATTTTTATGGACAATTATCCATGAAATAAATAAATACATACAAACTAGTTTTTTTTTAATACATGATTAAAACTGCATAGAAAAAAAGAGTAAACGTATTAGTTTCTTCCATAGTGTTTTTTGTTTTTTTTTTTTTTGCTTTTCAAGGCTGCGTGAGGAAAGTGTTATTCATTTAATTAATATATATGAATAATTGTACATTAGGCTATTTTTATATTTTATTTGTGCTTGTGTGTTTCAGTGGAAAATTAAATGATGCTGTTGATTGTTTGGAAAAAGCCATACCTTTGTCTAAATCGGAAAAAGAACTGTTGCACATATTTTCGTTGAGGGATTCAGCGCGGGCCCAATTAGCAGTAGTTGAACGTTTGGTACTAACCTCTGCCAAAGTAAATTGAATTTCCAAAAAATAAAAAACATTTATTTCTATTATGGACAACATTATATTAGTTTTATCTTCTTTTAATTTGTTAAAAAGTACTGTAATTTTTTACACATATAGTAATATATTGTTTGATAATTATTTTATCTACTATAAATATTCAATTCTATTCTATTGGGGATCTTTATTTAATAAATGTGATTGCTAATTAGTGACACAGGTGCATAAAAACTATTACAACCGCTTTGAACACTGTTAAAAATATTTGTATTATTTATTTAATATTTTATTAATACCAAACAGACATTTTGTTAGTAGACAACCATAATATCTGCTATAAAGTATTAAATGTAAAGTACAATTAAAATAAAATATAACTTTTAAGCTAGAAGGTGCAATAATAATATTTGAAGGTTCTTAACAAAACAATATTTTAATGTATATTGATAATTTTTTTAGTAAAAAAATTCAATGAGTTTCTTATTGTCCACAAAAAATGTTGATTGTTTAAAGTTCTGAAAAATAGAAAAATATAAGTTGTTTTTTTGACAATTCCTCTGCACGTGGTTGATAATAGAGTTGAGAGTTATTCGATAGTCACCTATTGTTAAAATAATTATTTATTACTTTACACTGAATTATTCAAATAATCTTTATTACCATGACTAAATATATTTAGCCATGTTTATTATTTTATTCAAATAATGCTACTATCCACAAAAAGATTTTTGAATAATTTATGAAAATAAACAAATATGTTATTTGATTAATTAATTATTCAATATTTAGTATGATTAATTATTGATGGTACAGCTTATTCATTACCGTCCATTACTAGTTGATAATGTTGATTTGTTAACTCACAAAAAATGACTCAATTGAAGTACAGTGTTTTGAAGGACATTTTACGAATTTCGAAGTCTGAAAAGTTTAGATACAGATTTCAGATGATCACTTCTATCCCTTCTTGAACGGTCTCTCTGGCTGGCTCTTATATCTTCTTCACCTAGTTAATATTAAAAATAACTTAATCAAAAAATCTTTTGCTATATACTGTTGGTGGGCATATTAATATATTTGTATTATATTAAATATATTTCGTTTCTTTTTGGAGTATCATATGCCTTATTAATTTCAAACTCTATAGATATAATGTTTAAACACAGGAAATAACCAAATCAAGTTTTAAAAATGTATAAAACCCATTGTTTTTATGAATTTGGATTGATAATATTATCTGGCAGAATTTAAGTGGTTTTCAGGAAAAGTATAAGTACAATATATTGAAATATTATAATAATATATTTGAGCTGTACACATTTTTGCAAGTAGTTTTGTCAAAACAGGCGGTTTTTAGTAATATGATAATTCAACATATCCCGAATACATATTATAATTAAACTAATCTTTATGAAATATTTCCATGTCATTACTTGTTGTTGATGATAATAGATAATTTCAATTTCATATGGCTGGGCAAAATAAATAATTAACTCTGTTCAATTAAGTTAATAAAATAAATTTAATCATTTTATTAATGAACTACGTTAAGTTTTAAGTTAATTTGAAAATTGAATTAAGTCAATTCAATTAGATTTTTATTGTAAAATTGTAATTGTCGCGATGAAAATGTTTAAACTTGTAGGGTTTGTGAATTTTTGAAAATAGGGATGATCAATATTAAACACAGGGATTATTCCTGGAATATAAAATTATACTTAATCATTATAATAATAAAAGCTTGAAAATCCATGCACATATTATTGAGTTAAATATATATATATTATCTATATGATGTATTCTAATAATGTGTAGATTATGAATTTAATATTGTGTTAAAATTAAGGAAATAAATTAACATAAAATATGTAACTAAAATTCAAAATGAATCATGAACTTTTTTTAACTCATTACTACTAGTCATTCTAGAAATTTTGTTTAAATCACATTATGACAAAATAGTAACTTACTAATTTCCAATTTAAATTGTGGTAGATCTAAAAAAAAAAATATACAATATTCAAGCTTGATTTTCATTGTTGAATGTTGGGGTATTTTTATTATTATTATTATTTTTTTTTAAGTCGTAGCCATAAGAACTTAAGCCGCCTAAGTACGCCTATTACAAAGTATTGTACATTGTAAGATTAATAATAAATTAAGTTTGAACAAATAGAGTGTGATATAAAATAATTGTGAGTAAATAAGTGGGATTTAAAATTAGGTATAAATTATAGCTATAACAATGTAAATATTGAGTTGGTTTATTGCAAGATTCAAAAATGCATATTTAGTAATTGATTAAAATAAAAAAGAGAAGTGTATCATAAATCATATTACATTGCTAATGTCTCCTACATTATCTACCTTCTCTATAAATGATACAATTTCCAAAAAACATTTTTTTAATTAATAATATTAATTAGGTTCCCTAAGTAAACAATTATTAATATAGTCGGTTGATAGCTATATAATAAACATAACATTAATAAACAGGTACTAATAATAAAATAAATAACCTAATGTGTCCATTCGCTGGTTAAACGCTATTTTGGTTTCATTTTCCGCTGTATAAGCTGCAAAAAAAAAACTTATTACTGTGGAATTTAAATTGTGTTTCAATAGATTTGAATATTGGCTTTTTTCCGGCAGTGTATAACAAATATTTCTATTATATAAATTTCATTAATTTAATATTTCACTACAATAAAATGCAGATTTCTATTAGAAAAAGTAAAAAGATTGCATTGCGAGACAAAATAAAAAGCACAGATAACATTTATTTAGTTGTGATGATATATTTTAATGCAAACAATATTATTTTTAAAAAAAGATACCTACTTATAATAATATATTACTTACCACTGTGCAATATGTCGTTGAATAATTCGTATGGCAGTGCTGATGAATTATCTAATAATAAATTGTGATTGTAATTAGTACCTACCATACACTACTTACAAGATATATATCTTTATAAGACTACAGACTACAGCTAGGTTAGTACCTATACCTAGTAATAATACCGTAAAATACTTGGGTCAATTTTAGAAGTTTTCTTGACTATAACTATAGTTTAAAAAAATAAAATTAAAGTACCTATCGATACCTAGTTTATGTGATGTTAATTGTATCTATTTGTATCATTTAAATTTGTTTAATCATTCTAAATTTTTTAAAATTGTTTAAGTTGTGACTACATTTGCCTCATTTATAGCGTGAATAAAATACAATAGTTATTTATATCAAAGTAAAATCCATTTAAACTCTTCTAGTCTTCTTATAGGTAATCAGGGTCAGAAAGTATATATATAAGTGTTTAAAAAGACAACTTTTATAAAACATTTGTGTGTAATATTTAATATAGGTACCTACCTAGGTGTTCATCATACGTTGTATTTATAATACATGATTAAAAAAAAAAACCTTTATAGGTACTTAAACGTATCCTGGCAGATTAATTTTAAAATTGTATCTTAGTTCCTTCTTTATCCAAACGGTATTTAAACCGTCCTGAATTTGATATTAGTTTAGTAGTCTTCTCAATTAGAATTGAGGAATAGGTACCTATTCAAATATGTTCGACTTATAAACATAGGTAAGACGAAGAGTGAACAAACTTCTATTTTTTTTCGGTACGAAACTTAGGTTTCGTTGGCAATTTGTATTATATCTTTGGTAGACGCTGAACATAATCGATTTTCCACTTGCAGCTATTGACAACCAATTTCCTCATTCTTTAACACTATGCTGTTGATGCCTAACCCCACGGGGATCCAGAAATTATGTTATGGATTCGTTCTAAAAAAAAAAGGAAAAACTATTTTTTTGTTTTTCATTATTCTTAGGTGCTTACCTAATATTATGTTCAAATGTTTAGTATTCAATTATTCCAATTGCAATATTCGTATTACCTATATCTATTCGAACGGACAGCTGCGGCGCTGCGCGTAAGACGAATAAAATAAACAAATAAAAGATTCTGATCCTAATGGCCAAATTACCCCCAAAAAACATGGATGAAATAATTGTTTGCTATTAACCACTACCATGCTTACAATTTTTAGCATATACCTAAAACCTAATCTTAAAAACGATATTAAACGATAGGTCTTGTCGCTTGAAAAGATAAGTGAAATTTAAAATGTTACTTATATGGATATTTAGGTAGTTGCCGTCTTTTTTCCAAAGGAAGTTAGAGCAGGATAAAAAAAATACGTTTTACCATGATAACGATTTTGATGCTATCTGGTTGATAAGAAAATCGGCATAAGTAACCTATCATACAATATGATCTTTATGATCTATGAGCTAAGAATTAACTACGTTTGATCGATTTAATCAAGCAGATCACATTCTTATTAGATTCAACCACGAATGAAGATGTATTTAATTCGTACATCTTAATTTATAGATTCAACTGGTCTAAACTGGGGGGCTATAAAACCAGCCGAACCGTATTTTAGCCGAAAATATTTCGACCGACCGTGATATCAGAAAATATTTAAGCAGAAAAATATTTCGGCTGAAAATAAAACAACCGAATGAATTTCAAACGAATCGCCCGAAACTCTACTAATTATCAACTTGTTAACTTCTTATCATTGTTTTTAATCAGAAAATGTTGAATTATAAAACTTGGAAGTTTGAATTTCGATATCTTGAATAAAAATTTGAAAGAACGTACACATTTTGAGTAATAATTCCGACACAATTTTGAACAAACAAAAAATTATAAAACGAAAAGATTTTGAATATGTTCTATGATAAAAATATATATTATTTAATTATGTTTAAAATTATTATTTTTAATTTCAACCATTTGTAAGCATTTAAATTATTTAAGTGTAGATAAACATCCACTTACACATGTTGGATTCATTATCAAAATTAAACCAATATATTTTCCAATTAACTTCATTGATTAAAAATTTTAAAAAAACGTAGAAGTGGGTTACTTGGGACATCTGGTTAACTATAGATTGTTTTTCATTTTAAATAATATGTACAGAATTTCTCTCCTTTATATTTATTTCTCATCACGCGTTATCGTTTTTGGAAGATGTGACATTATCTTTTTATTACAGTGGAATGTAATATTTTCGGATTAATACTATCGGCTCAAATATTTTTTGGATTAAATACGGTTCGGCTGATTTATTTTCGGTTGTTTTATACGCTCCCGTTTAAACTGAACCCAAAAATGTCATTATTTACCTGCCTACCTCTAGGTACAGAGACTGATAACGAAAAAAGATAATTTTCGATTCTAATCACCCTAGCGACCCGAGTGACCACGGTTTTCGGTACCTAGGTACTACCAATGATTATAATAATTATAATCAATGGTACTACTTACAAATCACATTTTAGTCGATAACCTAACTTATAATAATCAGACTTGTGAATTTATAGCAAATACAGTCGATGATTGTGAAGAATAATTTGATCATGAAATGTACATATATTTCAGTCTAGTTACAAGGAAACTGTTGATTTAAAAAAAAATTGGCTTTTTTTTAGATGTGACGAACTGTTCGATTTTTGTACCGAACCGAACCGAACTGAAAATTATAAATAATCGATCCGAACCAAATACCTAATGGTTCGATTCGAAAATCATTCGATGCCGATTCTGCGCGTTACCAATATGATGTGGTGGAACAGAGAAGCCTTGTTACGAAAAAGAAAAATTCTATTTTTTCGCATTAGTCTCATAATCGTAAATTTGTAATGGTCGCAAAAGTTGGTTTAACCTAACCTAACTTTTTTACTTTTCTAATGTTCGAGTTCGATAAATTATTTTAAATTTTCGGTTAGGGTTCGAATAAAAATGTGTAAATTCGGTTTGGTTCGGGTTAGTTAATATTAAGGAAAGTTCGGTTTGGTTCAATTTGACGTTAAAAATAAGTTACGTAAAATAAAGTAGCTTACTATTCATTCTTAAATAGTAATCGTGTAGATGTTCGTCTTGTTTTGGATAAACTGATAAAATAAAAATTACATTAAAATACAATAATAATTGAATGAAATATTATTATACGTTATAATGGAATCTTGATATAGCTACGTTTAGATTAATAACTTCAATATATTGATTTCAGAAAATTAATATTAAAGGTATATTATCATTTTTGGTACGAGAGTGGTTAATAAGTCTCTAAGATCATCCCATCTCATAACCAATACAGCCATCTCTATCATACTTCTAAATCATCTCTTTTTGTCCCCCTACCAAAGCTTCCATATTCTTTTTACTAGATATGCCTTTCCACCTCGTCCTCGGCCTTAAAAAAAAGGTTATTCCTTTATTAATGAGTTTTGCATTCCGACCTCGTCACACCAGATCGCTGTTTTTCTGAGTACTAAGCAAATAACAACACATAGGTACATATAATTAAAATGAACACCCGAGAGCAGCAGAGCTCTGTCAATATAGAGCTGAATTTTCTCCCAACCGACTAGTTGCCTCAACAACACTTCATAGTTTCAAATTCTGAACGTAACGAACAATTTTCACAGAGAGTTGAACAGAGTGATTATATTATGATTTTCTAGACATGGTAACATTTTGAGCTACGAGTATTTATAAGCATTTTATATTGGCGAGTTTTTTAAATTAATTTTGTAGGTATTTTGTGAATAAAATAATCTGATTAAACAAATGCATGCAAATTTTATTCGAAATTCATTATAAGTTTAACCTAGCTAGTGGTAAAAAAAAAAGTTGAGCGTAATGTAGGTTTTTTTTTTTTTAAAAATGTTTTAAAATCATATTTTGACGAAAATCGTAAATATTACGGTATTAACACCTAAACAGGTATAAACTGAACTTTGTTCAGAATCAAATTTCGTTAACAATGGTTCATCGTTGCTTGCAAATATAAATTAAAGAATTTTGTGTTTACTACCTTCCTAACTTCCCACTTACAACAGTAGCATACCTATCAGTTCTTTTTTTGTTTTGTTTTATTTTTTTGTATAGTTAGGTATAGTAATTATGGTTACTAGAATTTTATTAAGTTTTAGTCGATAAGGGTATTTAAAATCCGATTTTTCTATGAAATCATGACATTTGAGCATACAATTAGTTGGGGAAGTGTTTAAAAGTTGGATTCCCCTAAAGGTACATCTATGATACTTCCACCATGAATATATATACAAAATTCCATCACACTGATTGCATTTGGGAGGTCTTTAGGGGTGTACAAAGCTATAAAAGCACTCTTCTCCCACAACAGGGTGTATCACTCAATGGTATCACTTCAATTTGTCAACAAAAAACCTCTCATTCCCGAATTTGAGCTCATTTAGTCTAGAAGGATTCGCTAAAAATACTCAAATGCTGCAGGGAAAAATATGTATGACATAGTAAAATAGTCTACTTTTGGAAAAAAAAACAACCAGATGGACAAAATATGATTATTATTCGAGTTATTATTTAAGTGCCATAAGTACTATTGTATTATTCTAGCTTACTATTATTAAACTCCATAAATTCTTCCTCAGTCATAAATTTCACTCCTAAGTATAATACAATACAAAATCATTATTATACGGATATAAGTGAGTATACAAGATACATAACCTAACCGACCCTTAAATATTTTAATATTTATTTTATAAATTAGATATCTGTGTTGATACCTGTCAGTGGCATAATTAAGACCTCTCAACGGGTGGGACGGGAATGAATCAAAATTGCATGTTTGTATTTTAACATTATTTTCTTTAATCAGGTACAGGTAAAAATATGATAATATAAATATATATATATTAACCACTTATTAGTCTTAGTAAAATGACATACAAACATCAAACACGAAAGTATTATGAAAAAAAAATATAAAAAAATACAGACAGTGGTATCGTACTCGTAGTATCTGTGGTCCCCTGACTATTACCATTATGATGTATTATGTATAACTTTGTATAGTCATATGAGTCGTCGGTCCGGAAAATGTTGAGTGGGTGTGATTAAATTAAAGAAATATGGCGTTCCATACTTTTCTATATTACTTTAATATTTATTATTGAAAAAAACATTTTAACTATACAGATATTTAGTGTATTTGGGAGATGACAAGGACCACTGAATTACACACTTTAAGACTTTAAGTACTCGCATGCTCAATATTGAACAAAATATTATATGCATTTTTTCGAATAACAACATCTATTTTGGCATTAGATTCGAAGTTCTATTTTTGTCAAGCAACTTTAATCAATAATATTTTTTTTATGTCATAAGTTACTCGAGATACAGGCAATACAGCCATCTGAGGTTGGTTAAAAAATATAATTTTTTCAATACATTTTTCAAAAAATCATATTTTATAACTATTATATGGCTGTACCTCAGAAAATTGTTGAGATAAATAATAATTGTATTGATCAAAGTTGTTTGAAAAAATTCGAATCTCATGTCAAAAATAGGTGTTGCTATTAAAAAAAAAGTACTAAATTATTTGTGTTGCGCATGTGTACATCGAAAGAGTTACAAATTAAAAAACGAATTGTAAAGTATACGTATTTCAATATTCAGCAACACTATTTACATTTTTTTATTTCCATGCTATTTTAGTTTGTGGATGTTTTTCTATGTTACTTTTCGTATTATGATTATTAAACAAAACGGTGAATTAAATTCACCTATAGGCACTTACATATTTTTATCAATGATCAAATATTGCAAAATACCATGTAGTTTTGCTTGGTTAAAGCGTTTATTTTAAAAAAATATTTGAAGAATACGATGTTTAAAATAATTGTATTTGTAGGTACATATAGGTAGCTACTGTAATCAATATTATAAAATATCCTTCCTCTCCGATTTACACAGAGGTAGGCACGTCATAATATAATATTTACCCAGAGTCTGTGTAAGGCAATTCTGCTCGTCTAAATTACGATCGAAACCTGTATAGGGTAGGTCTATTTATAAAACGTATGTATATAGACACCTATACCGAAAAAGATATAACAGTAAAATAAAATGATTACATACGATCATAAATGTCACGTTTAAGATAATTATTTATATCTTCGGTTCCATTTGGAAAAACTGAAACAAACATAAATAATGAAATATGAATTCAGTTTCTTAGACATAAAATTAGGTACCTATCTATGTATTTGGCGTCGGACGTTTCGCCATGGTCGTTTAACGACTTTTAAACATAGGTACAATAACAATCACGATCAAGTTTCAAACATCAATTTGTTTTCTTTCTAATACGAAAAGCGTTTTGTTCTCAGTGTAATTGCAGGGTTAGGGGTAACTGAGGTGGACCCATTTATTTCACTTGACATTCGTGACTAGAACTTAAACTGATTTTGAAAAAAAATGGGACACGAGTCATATTATGATATAAGAATCACACATTACTTACTGGCCTTTAAAAACTTAAACGCGTCCTCGCTGAATGGCTTTTTATCTAAAATATCATTGCGAACAGTTAGAAATATCGAATACAATATTTTTACCTTTCAACTAGTTAAGATATTAGTGTTGTAAAATCTATAACTACGTTATGTGTTTTGCACGTATATAATATTATTATTATTATACAGACATAAAATTTAAAATGTAGTGTCTAGTATCTACGTTATAGCGTATAGTATGTTTCACACTGCTACAAAACGTTTTTAATTGGGATGCATAAAACGTCGGAAATCCGTTGTTTGAACCAATCATTTTAGATTCTGAGTAGAGCAAAAAAGATAATGGTTTTACGAAGATGTTTATTTTTTTTTTTATTTTTTTTTATGTGAACATTTTTTCTACCAGAATGCTTATTCCGATGTATACGATGTAGATCCTTTTCTGAAAGAAAATTTTAATGGGCTGGGAAGGTATTTTAAAGAGGTCATTATTAGATTTTCCTAGGAGTTTTTCCAATAAATATGAAAAACCGGAAAAACTTAAGAAAAACGGGAAGCTATACAATTTAAAAATGGGAAAACTTTCAATGTTAACGGGTGTAGCAAATAATCAAGAATAAATCGTTAAATCCTCTTCTCTACCTAACTCGACTATGATAATTGTTAATTTAAAAGTCAGATCCTAAAAAAAAGTCTATTTCTAATCAATACATCAAGGTTTTCCTCGTAACTTAGCTGAAATATATGTATGTCGATATTAAATAACTCATATTTTTTTGTATTTTAAAGTCAAACGATTATCCTTACATCAACCTACATCTATTAGTATACTATTTATTATAAAACTATTATAGTATTACTAATCAGGACTCGAGACTTATAGCACTTAAATATTCCCAAGAATCACTGAAATCAATTAAAAAAAAAAAATTAAAAAAGAAAAACGGTAGAGGGGCTTAAATTATTCCTTCCCATGATTATAACTTAATAAATTACATTTTTCTATGTTATAAATACAACATATACTACTTACAAAACAATACAAAGTAATTTTTGTTTGAATAAATAGTACTTAAGTCTTAAAAAAAAAAATCACTTTAAGTTTATCATTTTTGTAGTGTTAGAGAATAGTATTTAAGAAGTAGAGCCATCTAAGGAGAAACTTTTAAACTCTTCTACCAATTGCTCAACAATTGAAATAATTTTAAAGTGCTTTTTTGACGTTTATAAGGGCTTTTTGAGGGTTTTAATTGCTATAAGTCCCAAACTCTGCTAATAATAATTGAGTAGGCTAGAATCAAAATTCACATATTTTAAAAATCACATGTTCAGAAATTGAAAAAAAATGGGACAGGGTTTTCCTGTACAACAAACGCATTTAATAATCTAACAAATTTAAAATTACCATCAAAAGTTAAGATTTATTTTTTATTAAAGTTGGAATAAAATATGTGAGTTTTCATATTATATGATTTTTGACATAAGCTAAATAGGATTCAGTATCAGAAATTTAAATGATAAAATGGAAATTGTTAGTTTTGATACAAAAACAGCATTGTTAAATTTAGATTTGTTCCTGTGTGATTTTTTAACATCATTCGATCTATGTGAATAACTTATGTATAAAAACTTACCATATTTGTTTAGTCTGTTTACGTAATCTAAGTACGTCTCGGATAATTTTGGATATACTGCAAAATTCAAAATTAAAATTTTTATTCCCCTATTTTTATTTAGAAGAGTGTAAGGGTTAAATAAAACTTAAAAACAGCCTTCAAATGTCCCTCCTCTCGTAAATATACATAATAAAATCTAATACAACTTTAATCATTTCAATCCATAAGCAAAAACTTTAATTACCAAGTTTGAGCTTGTCTGATTCAGAGAAAGCTGCTATAGAAGTATCGAAAGTAGTAATGAGAAAAAGCTGAAATATTAGACTGACTATAATAACAAAATCTATTCTCGAAGAAAATTCGACAAAAATTCATACAGGAAAATTTATTTCATTAATTCTAGACATTTTATTTTAAATTCGGCGAGGAATATATTGGTTTTACAGTGATGTTGTTTAGATTCTGAGTGGAGCGAGGAATGTGTTGGTTTACAATTTTATTATGTTTAATTTTTTTTCTGTGGACAACTTTTCTACCAGAAATTTTCCTCCAATTTACAATGATAACATTTTTTCTAAAAGTAAATCTGACTGGGAAGGTACTTTAGGGAGGTCATTTTTGATTTTCTCACGATTTTTCTCAATATATTGGAAAACTGGGAAAAAAAACGGGAAAATCGGTACAATAATAAATAAATATTAGTAAATAAAATAGGTATACACCTAATGCATATTTACTAATATAATTATTTTACCCTAATATAACATATATAGGTATTGCTGCCAAAGTAACACTAACCTAACCTAACCAAACTCCGCTTAGAATCATTTCTTCTTTAGCAATGGTTTATCGTTGTTTAGAGATGTATATTAAATTTCCCCTCTTTTACCTTCCTAACTCCTGACCTATATCAGTGGCTGCACCTGTCCTTATTATCCTAGGACAGCTATTTTCTTTTTATATTGAGTACACAATTTCTACTAGAAATCTTGCTCCGATGTATCAAGTATAGCCCCTTTTCCGAAAGGAAATTTTATCTAGTTAGTACTTTAAGGAAGTCATTTTTTAATTTTCAAAGCAGTTTTCATAATAATTTGAAAAAACCGAGAAAATTGTAGGAATATACGAACAGATATTTAAGCCATCATAATTTTACGATTTTGCATTTTAGATTCTAAGTGGAGAGTAGAAACTTATAGTTTTACAAAGATGTTTATTTTTTTATATCTGTGCACATTTTTTCTACCAGAATACGTGGTCAGATTTTTAAGTGTAGTGCCTTTTCTCAAAGAAAATCGGTATGAGTAGTTACTTTAAACAGATCATTTTTCGATTTTCTCAATACTTTTCTCATCAAATTTGAAAAACCGAAAAAAAACAACGGGAAAATGTACGAAATATATTACTAAAATATTACGATTTTTTTTTCTTGAGCACAACTTTTCTACCAGCAATTTTACTTCAACTTATAATGATAGCAAAATTGTTAAATGAAAATTTCATTAGGGAGGTACTTTAAAGAGGTAATTTTTTAATTTTCTTAAGAGTTTTCCAAACAAATGTAAAAAACCGGGAAAAACATAGGAAAACTGGGAAAATTTACGGCCTTAAGATTCTAAAATTTTTTAATTTTTACGGCTTATGGTGGTTTCAATCAGAAGTATTGCTCTAATCGAAGAACAATAATAAGAGACCTTCCTATATCTTATCTTCTCTGTTTTCCACCTACACGAGTGGCACATCCGTATTCAGTATCAGCACTTTTTTATTTTATTTTTCTCGTTGAACTGGTGCTTTTTTTCTTCGTTGAAGAAATCAAGAAGACAATAATGGTATATTATTTTTTATAAATCGATATTCCGACGATTGAAGACAAAACCAGTTTAACCGATCACAGGTAATAGTCATCTACCATTTATTTAGAATCCAGATGACCGTGGTACTTACGCACTTACGCTATTTAATAATGTATGTATTGTATATATATATTTATTAAACCGAAATACATATTTTAAAATAATTTTTGCAAAATAAAAATGATAACATTTCAAAAAAAAAAATTATAGTTATTATCTGAAAATGGCATATTATATAAAAGCAATATTGTATGTTAAGTTGAATGGTTATGAAGATGCGTACATTAAAAAAAAAAAAACTTACTGCGCCGATAAGATACGAAATCGTTTTCAGTCAAATGATTATTGTTTTGTGGTGCTACACAACATATACATAATAATATTACAACTACTATTATGCTGTAAAGGGTTTTCCGAATTTTACGTTACAGTCAAATTTTCCATGAAATACTTTTGTTTTTCAAAAAATAATTTATGTAAAAACTTATAGAATCATGTATTCTTATATGTTACATTACCTTTATTTTTTACTTCCAACTTTTAACTTACAAATAGCAACCTATGTTAAAAACTCCATAAATAGATGAAGTTTTAGTTTAAATACATTTTGGTGTATTTTAATATCCGTCAACTCAAAAAGTGGTGTAGCATAATTTGTGTGGAGGCACTGAGCGTGGCGTTTGAATAGTTTCCACTACTTTCCCCTACATAAACTAAAAGTGTAACATATCGTCAACGGCCGATTGATGGAAGTTAATACGTATGTTCAACATTAATAATCAATATGTGTTTAAACTTTAACCTTATATATTTATTCAATGTTTTTCTTATAGCTTACTATTTGAATGTCAAAACTGGGTAATGGTTTCACCTCCTCTAAATATAATGGAAATATAGCATTTTAGAATATGTGGTTCCAAAAAAAAATTTTATATAAGTTATTTTTTGAAGAAATAAGTATTTATGAAAAATTTGACTGTAACATAACATTTGAAAGTCTGTATTATTGTATAGTAGGGTAACTATACGTTCTGTTTTACATAGAATTATCTTGTTTTTAAATCTTGTTTTTTTTTTATCTTTTAACAATTTTGTTTTTTCAGCCGAGCAATTTTCAGTCTCAAATATTTATTAAATTATATCGGTTATAAAAATGTATTTTATAAAACTATCTAATAATAGGTACCTGATCAATTTTAACTATTATTTACGTATTGTTTAGTAACACGTTCTCTTAAGAATGCTAGTCATTTTCAGAAGTTCAGGACTTATAGTACTCAATATTGACAAAAAAGTGATAAAAAAAACAGGGCTTTATTATATACCCTGAAATAATAATTTTAAAATGTTTTTAAAAAAGCAAAATAACTTGTAAAAAATATTTGTTTTAAAAAAACTATTGAAATAAGCAAAAAAGCATTTAAAAATTTCGATGCAATAACATGACGAAAATGTGTATAACACTCTGTTAGATTTAATGCCAAGATAGGAATAAATAAGCAAATGGTATAGTTGCAAACTTTGATTATTTTAAAACTTAATACCATCTGATGGTTCATCATTGATAATTTAGATCAGTTGAAATCAGAAGTTTTATTCAGATGATAGTAATATTAAACAAAAAATGCCATCGAAATCATGATTGGATTAATCTACAATCACTGATTTATTTCCAAACCAATTTCTAAACTCTTGCAAATTCTGGTCACACTCTTTGTCTCATATTATGAACCTGAAAGGCCATTTTCTACATTTAAACACATAATAAGTTACTTAAGAAACTCGAAACTTTAGAACCAAAAATAAAATGAACTAACGGTTCTTAATAATCACTGTGAAACCAACGTAATTATGTAACACACAAAGAAATAATACATTGTTTGGTTTTGGTAAATGCAAAACATCATTTGAACATCATTTTTATTGATTGCATGGTTTTATAATTAATAACTATAGAAAACTATATATATTATAAATACCTACATTATTTTTGACACTGGTTATTAAAATTAAAATACGTTTATTATTTATATTTAATATTATTTAATATTTTATAATTATACGCCTTCCTTTATTTTTATATAGAATTAATAAAAAATCCATATTTATTATTTTGAGTTTTTGTTTGACAGGTGTGTAACAGATGATGAGCTTTTTTCGGTGGAAATTTACTAAATATAGTCTTGGTCTTTATATATTTATATAGTGATAGTGTTAATCAATGCAAATCTCTTGAAATATGCTTTGATTCAAAGTTATAATGTATCCTTTTGTTTAAATAATATGGTTATGTTGCTTTTAAAATAGTCATATTGTAAATAACTTACTGATCACTCTTTTCTTATAAATGGAGTAAGATTCATATGGTCTTGGAAAAACTAAAAATAATAAAAAAAAAAAAAAAATGAGCTGAAAAAGCCGGCCATATTTTGCACCATTTCGGGTTTCACTGATACGTAAATGGAAAGTAAGGAAATACAGTGCGATTTAATTTAAATATCGAGTACAACGATAAATCATTGCAAACAAAAAACAACGTCTCATTACATACTTAAAGTATCTCTGTCTATTTTCTCTAATTTCGTCTACTATCTATGCCACGTCTAAGTTGCCTCTTATGCACTCATTCCTTATACTATCTTCTTTGGTCATTTCACTCATCTATCTAAGCTTTCTCATCTTTCCTACACCTATTCTAAGTTCAATTTGTCTGTGTACTGCCCAAAACTTCAAACCATACAACCTAGTCAATCTCACCACGGTTTAGTAGAAGTTAACCTTAAGTTTCATTGGAATTCTCTTGAAACATAAAATATTTGACGCTTCTCTCCACTTTATCCTATCACAATTAAACCAAAGGACGTTTCACATCCTCATCAACGCCACTGTTCTTTTGTGCACAAAATTCTAAACGTCATATATTAAACTACCGCTTACAAAAATTCATTATCATTGATTGTTTTATAATACCTAATATATTAGCACTTTCTAGACGTGATGTTATTTTCAAAATATTTCTACACTTTTTGAAATTTTCATGTTTTTTTTTGTTGATGACAATACATTTTGAAATTATTTTTTTTCAACATTGTATGTTAAAATTTATTAAAAACACAAACAATTGTAATTATTTTTTAATTATAAAATAATATACAAATTTAAATTTATCGAAATGTGCTGAACCGATCTTTATTCAGAGTCGTTTTTTTTTTGCGCTGATTTATCATTGCGTACAAATATTGTTGAAACTATAAACCATACACCCTGTGTTATGTAGATTATAAGTAAACTATTCACACTGTGGTACAGCAGATGCTGAATAGACATGTATTTTTGTTATGGTATATCGTTCGTCGTTGATTTATATTACGCCTCGTAACACCATTGTACGAGTATATCATATCAATATATTTATTATTATATTAATATATTCCTTATTATTATTATATACCTCTAGCTTCTGTATATCTGTATACTTTAACCATTAAATATATGTATATCTTACATTCCCAACTTACAACGGTGGGCCACCCATGCTACAAAATATATCAGCTTTTTAAAAATATTTTGTTTTATTATTACAATTTGTCCCAATAATTGCCCTAAAATTATTTAGCATCCAATGCTGTTTTTTACCAGTCCTCGGTTAGATATGAAAATGGTTTAGTGGACATTTTGTAAACCAATTTAATATAAAATTATGTAATCGTAATAAAGTTGAATTAAATATTCTTTACCATTTAATTTTAAAATATGTATTTGATAGATTATGAAAAAATAAATTGAGACCTGACTTTTAAAACAATAATTGCCCGTACAGCGTACCAACAAAAACTAGTAATAAATGGTAAGGTTTAAAAAAACGCGTTTAGGTGAATATGTTTACTAGGTAAATCGTTTTAAGCCTTTTGATATGATTTAAATTTCTCAAACTATCTATCTAGTGCTAGTGTTTGAATTTAGAAAAATGTTTGATGTTTTTTAACCGTTTAAAATGTTTATTAGGTAAAAACAATATTTAGTTAGAAAACGTAATATACGGGTTTAGTATAAACAATGTTTTAATAATATTTGATATACAACTAAATAAAGGACTCACCGGTGAAAAACATATCGAACTCTTTTTTGTTCATCGCAATAGACTCTAAAATACATAGCTGATTAGGAATTACGATATATTTTTTTTTTTTTTTTATTATATGTTCTAGATTTAAAATTAGAATAATTTATAATTAACTAAACGTGCATTGTGTAAAGATATAGAAATAAAAATAATAGATATCTATATGGAAAATGTTTAAGATTTTTAAACTTCGCAGTAAGTATTTTATTAAATAACTTGTACGAACTGATAGTTATACCCAAACAATGTTATTATTAAAATGTGACAATATATTGGCATCGAAAATATTATTACTTTACACAATTTTATTATTTTACACGTATTCAAAATAACATACTATAATCATTTAGTCGAGTTTCAACGGTATCTAAATAAGTGGTAAATTGATCGCATAACTCAGGGTATACTGAAAACAAAAACTTCATTAAAAATTTCAAAAACAAAAATGGTTAACTAATATATATATATATATATATATATATAACTACTAAAACATAAAAAGCTTTAAAAAAGACAATCCCTTTAACAGTTTAAGATTCGCAGCGTAGTGAGGGATCTATATTGATTTTACAATAATGTGTGTATTTTTTTGTCTGTCAACAACTTTTCGAAAAGAATTCTTGCTCCGATGTATGGAGTGCAGCATCTTTTCTGAAAGGAAATCGACATGGGGAGGTATTTTAAAGAGGTTTCTTTTCAATTTTCCCAGGAGTTTTCTCAACAAATACGAAAACTCACGGAAAAACGGGAAAATCGGTACATTTAATACTACTCAAACATACTCAATACTAACAGTGATACTATTATATGAAATTACTTACGTCCCATGATTTTTGGCAAATACATCTCTATTATACTCTGTACACTCTTGAGTTCATTATACATTTCTAAAATCATACAATAATAATAACTTAGCATAAAAATAAAATTTAAAAAGTTTGATGGACATCACATGAGGATTTAACAGTGTCCATCATCGGCCATTCCGGCAATTGTAATAATAGTCTGTTATCAATAACTTATTTTAACTACATCGGATCAGCCCAAAATAGTAGTCACAATTATAACAACTTAAATAATTTTCCTTTTTCTTTACTTATTAAATTTAAACCGTAATCCATACTAATATTATAAAGCCGAAGAATTTGATTAAACACGCTAATCTCAAGAACTACTGGTTCAAATCGAAAAATTATTTTTGTGTTTAATAGTTCATTTATCAAGGAAAGCTCTAATATTATTTTTATTTCAAAATTACACTTCTGAAGGGAGGTTGACGTTGGATTATTGGTATTGTAGGTTCGAAAATCGAATTACTTTTGTTGATTGGTTACCTTGGTGATACAAATAAAAAAAAAATTAAGAACATATTTATATCATATTATAATAAAATATGATATAATAAAAATTGAATATAATATTATATTAAAATGATTATAACAATGTGCGTTTCCATAACAACAATGATTGTTTAAAAATATTTAAATAATAAAAACTTAATATTAACACAAAATAAATAAAAACGGTTGTCAATGGTTACCTTATTTTTAATCTTTTAATCTTTTCTAACCCAATGAACAAAGTATATATACAAATGAATCGCTGTTCGTTGAATAATTTGATAATAGATAATATAGATAATCAAGTTAAATTATGAGAGAAAGTTATTTAAGCGGTACAGAAAATGAATGATAGTTTTATTGTCACGGACAAGAACCAATACACTGAAGTATATAAAAATAGATTTTAATATGAACGAAAATATAAGTATTTTTTATATGGATTCAAATAATATATTATAAATTATAATTAAAATAAATGGCAAACTTTTTTCTATTTTTCATACCACATAATATAAACTAGATTTATTAAAATACAAAATAAAACGTTACATTGTGCAAATTAGCAAAAAATAGCACCAAAACTTGAAAAATAGCACTATAAACCTAAAATACATCAAAAATGCAAAAATAAAAGCAGTATAAAATTACATATTTGGAATCCCTAGTATATAAAACAAATTTATAGTTCACTTAACCTATTTTTATCCGTATCCTATTATAATTAGCAAATGTTATAAAATCCGAGCCCTAATTATTATTATTATTATTACTTATAATACAACGTATCGTATTAGATTCTGAGATTAGCGAAGTATGAATTAGTTTTACAAAGATGTTTATTTTTTTATGTGTGAACACTTTTTCTACCAGAAAGCTTACTCCAATTATCAAATATAGCACCTGTTTTAAAAGGAAATTTTCTCTGGATAGGCTTTATAGAGATCAATTTTTTGAAATTACCATTGATATTTGAGATAATGAGAAAAATCTGGTTCTTTATGTTAAAAAAGATTTAAAGATTATAAATAAAGTTGTCATGGGCAACCGTTTTTATTAGTTTTTTTGTTATTATTTATTTTTTATGATTTTAATCTTTTTTAAACAATAATTATTGTCAACGTATATTGTTGTAATCATTTTATGTTATAATATGAAATATTATATATTGTTGACAAAGCAATACTATCAACTAAACTCAGTCGATCCTTCAGGTTCAGAAATTTTCCAAACCATCATTGCCGCAGTATGTTCGTACTTATATTATTATTGACTGAAAAATTAATTAAATAATAAAAAAACTGATTATAAGATCTTCAAAACTTGCATATGAACATACCTGATTCTCTTAATATCCACGTATACTCTTGGTATGTTATAAAAAAATTTGGCAGATAAACTGAATACAAAAAAAGATATTTTAGACCATAGTGATTATACAGTCTGTATCCCACTGCAGGGTACAATATTTTAGTAAAAACATACTAATATACCTACATGATTGTATTTCATTGAACATATATTGGGGAATTACAATCCGATTCAATTGGGATTCATCAGTACTCACTTGAAACATGAAATATATACAATTGTTATTAGTTATATTTTAGTTATATTTAGTGAGCTTAGAAACAATAACTTTATTATTTACCTAATGGTCCTAACCTAGTTAAATATTGTTTATGTGTTTCGAAGAATCGCGGCAAATCTAAAAATGATTATTTTTTAAATATTTGTCAAGCGATACAAAATAATCATTGGCCTCAAAGTTCATCCAGTGATTATTTTTTTATTATTATTTTTTTTTTTTATTAGTTTTACATTAAAATCGGCAGCAGCGGCCATTAGTTATTATATCAATTACAAATTAATGCTAATGAATAAAGTTTCTTAAGTTATGTTACGTAACGTTTCGGCGGTTTTGCCTTCGTTAACATATTAAATTAAAAAACATGTATTTGAAAAAGTATACAAAGTACGGTTTTTTCTTGTGTCGTATCTTTTACATTCATATACATTTATTTATAGTTTGAAGTTTTCGGTTTACAATTAGGGATTAGATTGTTGCGGGATTTCCGTGAGGTTAGTTAACAATTACTCAATAATAGTTTACAATTGAGCACTAACGTAATAGGCAATTTATTACCCTTAAAAATATTCTCTATTCAAATCTGTGTTCAAAAGGGGGGTTCCGATTTGAGAATCAAAAGTATGCACTTATTCAAGATATATGTAGTAGGGGTAAAAATTAAAAATGGTTTTAAAATAAAGCTTAAAAAAAAAACAGAAATCAAATTCACTTAAAATCCTCTAAGAAAATTGCTGATTCATGATAAACAAATCATCTTGTGCAAATATGTATATATATTAAAATAACACTTACTATGGTAAAAACTAGAGAACTGGAGTTTGTTTAGTATATGAGTCCCTAAAAATAATGATTTATTATACAAAATACTTTATATGTACAAACATTTTTTTTTAAAAAAAACTAACAGATAATTTGTTAAGAGGATTTAGATAAACTATCTAGTTTCCCTAGTTTTAGTATTTGAATTTTTGAGCATCAAGTATATTATTTAACAACAAAATAATTACTGAAAAAATTAAAAGTTAATGCGTAAATGCGTATTAATAACGTTTAACAATATTGGTGAACATAATATTTACACAGAAATTTATTCGGACGTTCGAAGATGTGAATAATATAAGTAAAGGTAATATTATATGTATTATGTATTACACATTTACACGCAGTTGCACTGAAATCTTAAAAATGTAGTCTGGTGTATCTAATGCATTTTAAAAGGCCCCAATATCTAAATATATACGTTATATTGTATATTGTATATTTATGTGTACGTTTTTATTTTTGTAATGAAGTTTGACAACCAACCATATTCGGTTTGATAACCAAACTTTGGCCAAAAATTAAGCGATCCTATGTTTAATTTTTAAAAGAAGTTGGGTAAGACCTGGTCTTAACATAGGATTCGACACCACTGTTTACACGGAATTGGTAACTTTTTACATACTTAATTCATTCAAAGTGTTAATATCCACTGCTTTACTGAGTTGATCATTTACTAGAAATCGATTATATTATTATTAAATATAATGTAACAAATTATTTAGTAATTACGACGAGCATTTATGACGTAATACCCACCAAATGTATCTATTCTTGTTATATAAATGTCGTAAGTTGTTTCTAATAATCTTGGATAAACTAGAAAGATTAAAAACGTATTATTATCTTAATTTATTTTAAATATAATATGTAATATAATTCAATATTTTTAGTAATTTAATTGCATTGTGTTCTTGTCAACGCAGAGTTAAGTTTCCACATATTTAGCATATATGAATATGCCTAGAAATATATACATAATAATTACTTCTACAAAAAAAAACACCAAATTCTTACTTCTTTTAAAAAAATTAAACACAGCCTTGTGCATAAATGGTATTCCTAAAAATAATAACAATTATGTAAAATTATTCGTTAAACTTAGTCGCCTCCCCCCCACCCCCCATAAGCCGTGTGTTGTTCTCTTTTGTTGTACGAAATAACCATAATTTTTAAGTACAAATAAGTGTAAACGAAACTGATTCTAAATGCCATAAAGATGATTCCGGATTCCGGATCTTGGAAATACTTTAATTGAAACAAGAATGAAACACTTCTCATTTATAAATTTCAATAAATATTCTCTCAAGGGTGAGATAGAGTTATGGAAATATGGAGATATAATAACTAAGTGAAAACAAACAATTTGCAAAGATATAATAAAATAATATATTTTTAAATTAAAAATCGGAAATGATTAAATTAATTTAAATTTTAGATTCTGAGTATAGCAAAGAATGTATCTATTGGATTTACAATGATGTTCTTATACTGTGACAAAAATGTCCACCAAAAATCTTGCATCAATATGTAAGTGTAGCACTAATTTTAAAAGAAAATATTATCTTATTGACTAGATGGTAGTTTAAGAAAGTAATGTTTTGATTTTCAAAGCAATTTTCATAACATCAGAAAAACCCAGGATAAAACGTAAGAAAAACCGGATAATTTATGAAAATTATGTTTTTATTTCAATTTGGTTTTTTGTTGAAATTCAGTTAAAAATATTCGTAGAAACTTGAAATTTGAACTGGAAACTTATATTTGCCTATTCACTATATTCATCGAAATGAAAACATTAATATAGAAAATATTGTTGACCAAACCGCCTGCAAAACGCTGCTTAAAATAAAAGTATTTTGGACTTGGTCATCTAATTTTTATTAATTATTATTATAATAATGCTTGTTATTTTTATTATCATTAATTTAATGTGAAAAAAATTAATTTTAATTTAAATTGTACTGTTTTACTGCATTTGTAGAATATATTTGTAGTCTCCTAAGCTAATTTAAGTTGAAATAATATCTAATATAAAGGTTTTAAGTTTTTGTTAACCAAAGCGGTGGTATTCAAGAGTAAAAAGGTGAGATGCCCCTGAGTAAGTCTACTATTTAGAATATGATTGTGCCCCTTATGTATTATAAATATATAATTTTATAAAGGTATCTAAATTACTTATTAAATTTCGAGTCATTTTTAGGTTCTGAGCGGAACGAGGAATGTTTTTGTTTTACGATGATAATTATTTTTTTTTTTTTTTATACTTTGTCCACAAATTCTACCACCAATTTTGCTTCGATTTATCACTATAGCAATTTTTCTAAAAGGAAATCTGACTGGAAGGATGAATTTTTTCATTACTCATTTTTTTGATTTTTCCAGCCGTTTTCATAATAAATGGGAAAAACGTTAAATAAGTCTATGTATCTTCCTTACTACCCTCCTACAACAGTGGCTGCGCCCGTTCTCAGTATCAGCTTTTTTTTTTTTAAACATATATCTAATAATATGAAAAAGCATTCACTTCGTTAACAGCCACCCATGGAGATTTTTAAATTTATCGTATTTAATTTTCGTAGAGAATATAATAAATATTTGAATACGAATATATTTATGTGTAAAATAACCTAATAGAAATTACAGCCGAAATAAAAAAAAATACCAAATAAAAATAATTGTTTTTAAAGCGTAAGTATACGAGTATGTACTTATATTATTTTTAAATATTTATGAACAATAGATACCTGACGACTCCATTCGTAGTTCATATGAAAATCTAGATTCATTGAACCTTGGAAAATATCCTGAAAAATGTCATAAAAAAAAAAAAATTAAAAGTGAATTTTATTGATTGAGCCCAAAATGTTACATTCGGTCTCGGTTAAATTTATTCAAATGCTTTTACTGGGCAGAATCTACCCGTTTACGTGGGGTGGTACTTTAGAGAGGTCATTTTTTGATTTTCTCAGGGATTTTTTGAACAAATAGAAAAAACATGGTAAAAAGAAACGGGGAAATAGATAGAATATTAAACAAATACTAAATATTATTAAAGAATGCATATGTAATTATTTATTATTAATTATTTTACTAAAATATGACATATTTATTGTTGACAAAGCATCACTATCAATGAAAATTTGTCTGTGCCTTATTTTGTTAGTAAAAACTGTTATCTTTAAAAAAATATTTGTTAACAATGAACATACAAATTAATGATAAACTGTGATCACATTGAAGTTGGTACCATTTTTAATAATACATCAACCTGATCAATTATATATTTTAACATAATTCAAAACTATTCAGGGGGTCTTAAAATATAATAAAATAGCCACGAGTGTCATAAACTGGTGTTATTACTCTATAAATACTTAAATATAGTAAATAAATATATAAATAAAAATAAAATAATTAATGAATACGTCGCCTGGAGTATTATGATAAGTGTATTATGCGCATATTATGTATAAGATATTATTTTTAAAATCGGTTTGTACATTTCAAATATTATTAAAATTATTTTCTTTATTTCATTGTATATATTATGTAATTCTTTTAAAACTGAAGTAATGTAATTGTTATTTTGAGTACTTAATATCCCTAAGTCTGTATTAATATAAAAGTTTATATTATGGTTATTTTCTAAAATATGTTTAGCGAAATTTAAATTCGGAGCAGTCTTTTTTAAATTTTATTTCAGAAATGTGTTCTTTATATCTTATTTTAAATTTTCTATTCGTCTTACCTATATACAATTTATTACAGTTACATTTAAGTTTATATATACCAGCATTTTCAAAAGAAAGGAAATCTTTTTGCGAAGTTTTTAGTTCTATTGTTTATATGTTTGATGAAATTATTATAAGTCTTAAAAGTAATTTTTACATTATTTGTATTATTTATTCAGAATTTTAGTGAATTCGTTAGACATTATTTTGATATTTAAATTCCACACTACAATACTTAACAACATTATTTGGTGAGTTGTGTGTTATTTTTTCTTTAATACGTTTATTTTTTATTTCTATGTATGCATTTTTTATTTATATATTTATTTACGAGTATTAACCATTTTAATAATTTAGTTTTTACTTTATTTTGTTATTAGATATACTTATTTATTTTTGATAAACCGATCTACTGATATACCGATTAACCTGGTATTAAACTGACATTTTAATGAACCGCAAGCCTTAACATTGACATAGCCTACATACAAATTGTAGATACACGATACTGATGTACAGTATTCTTTTAGTATTTTTCTTCTGGTATATAACTGTGATGAATCGTGTATTAAATTTTCGAGTGTTTTTAAGCAGCAAAAACATAATATATTATCCACATATTAAAGAAATACTCGACAATTCTAAATTATTAACTAAGTAGGTAAATCAATAAGTCACAAATGTATTTTTGTTTTTTTGAAGAATTATTTGCAAATTATTTATAAATTTTTTCCTCACACAGTGCACATTCGAACATTAGTACTTTACAATAAAACTAAGGATGGTGTTGAATGTAAATTGATAATTCTGTATTGAAGTTAAAAATATTCACGTACCTATATGAAATGAATAAAACTCTTCGGAAGTCATATCTATTAACATTAATAAAAAAAGTATAACATATATTATAAATGATAACACTTTAAAAAAATTCCATAAAATAATTACATCACTTACTCAATAACCCTTTAAATAGGAATGATATGTAGGAATATTAAGATATCAATGTGAAACATTACAGAAACGTTTAATTTTTAATGTGGATTACCATATTTTGTGTATCGTTCGTTATAATTTTGAAGTTTATTTATTTTAAAATATCACGATAAGCTATCTCGTTCAAAACTTTCTTAAATTTGAAAACTTAGAAATAATAAAGGAAATTTTAATTTTAAAAGTCAAATTCAAGGTAATAAAGAAAATTGATTAAATTTGAAAACAAAATATTAAGATCGATATGTGTCATTTAGTACGGTTATTTATGTTAGAAAGAACCATTCCGAAGATTGATAAAGACCTGCGTGAGATTAAAAATTCACCATAAATATCAAATTTGATCAATGGGTAGAGGGACTCTAATGCAGAGGTCTTCAATCTCTTTATGTAGCGGACCACATATTATTTTCTTTAAATTTTGCGGATCGTATTCATAGTAATGTATTTTTAAAAAAAATCAATTTTATTTTTATTAAAACATATATAAGTTAACATTTTTCAATTTTGAATTACAAATTATTTATTTTATAATTAGTGTGAGAACTGATATTATTTTCACTAACTAGTTTTTCTATATTTGGTTGGATCTGTGACGATGCAAATATCAGAGTTTTCTATGTGTATGTCAGTTAGGTTGACGTTTTACCCAATAATTCCAATATTGAGTTTGACATTTTAACACGTGACCGCAATTCGTATGCAACCGTGCATAATCTCGGTCGGTATATATTACGCACGAAGGTGTCCGGGTTATACGAAAAAGTGTTAAAGACTATACGTATCATATACAACTATATTATAGTTTATAATGAAATCATTAAATTAAAATATCTTACGTTCACTTAATAGTTTTACTTTATAAGCATCATACGGTTCAAATAAATGGGGTAGTTCTAAAAAACAAACAAGTAATTAGATAATATTATTGTCTTGAGTTTAAGAAATAATCACCTATATAATATTATAAAATAATTATTTAACCTTAACATATCTTTTCGGATCAGAAATTTACACAAAAAAAAATTTATCTACAAACGAATTAAAATTTTTCTTAACAAAACAATATAATATTAAAATAACAACATTAACCTTTGAAGTTTTATAACTAATGTAAATTAAAATAATATATTTTATTTGATGTTATTAATATTTATATTATTTTAACAAACTTACTTTTTATAAAATTGTTAAATGAGTTTTCTGGCATAGTTTCATAACCTAAATCAATAATTTATTAATATAAAAACCTATGAATGGCTTATGGTTTTAAGGCACATGGTTGGTCAAAATTATTTTTATCCCAATTGTTTGAAATATTTGAATATTTGTTGCAGTTCATAACATGGGAGGAAATAACTGATAAATTTATAAAATCTATACACAACATCATTTTTTGCGTTGTTATAGAACTTTATAACGACACTATTTACTGTTAGAACATCCATATTTTGCTGAATATGTATTTATAAAATCTGAGCACATTAATTTCTAGTGGCGCACTCAGAAATTTGTAATGTGAGGGGATGTTATAAATAATTATGATGATTCATAAAATAAATAAATAAATATTAGAATCTTCTTTTGTTGTATTTAACTCGCAATAAGAATTTAAAAGCCGGATCCAAAAAAGACAAGTTTTATTCAATAAACCATGTTTTTTCCTTGCAACTTCAATAAATTATTTCAAGATAAAATTACTAAATAAATACTTATATTTGTTGTATTTTTGAACAAATGAAGAGAATATATAACTCGTATCGTCTCCCTCTGTTCACGCTACTCGATTCTCAAGTCTTGTACAAGTCACCGGTCCAAATGAAAGGGTGACCTCATTAAAAAATTGTAATTTTTTTTTTGTGCCATAATTTAGCATGTGATTTGCATTAATGTGTATGCCTCAATTTATATGGTTTAGTTTAGATTGTATTATTTCTGTTATGAGTATAACACTATTTATACGAGTATGTGTATATTATACATACACATGCATGACTAAATGTTACATAGTGACCAGTAAAAGTCACCAAAAAATAACAATATACAAGAGCAAAATTTCTGGTAGGAAAATTTTCTACAGGAAAAAAAAAGCCCGCAATATTTTTAACTAATAACCTATAAACCTACTTTATGAACTATAACCACCTACAACCCGTGTTGCGAAGTATTTTCACCTCTTATATATTCGTATTTAACATATAAAATTATATAATTATAACATTATATAATACGATTTATGAATAACTGGTTGTTAACCAGAATAACATTTTAATTACTTACCTAATGCTTTGAGTTCATTTATCTTGTACAATTGGACATTTTTTAGTTTATTTTTAACTGTTGACATAAGATAAACTTTTTTTTATAATTTTGGTATAGATAGGTATTATTTTTGTGGCAGAGTCTGAATTATGTTTTATTACTCTCTCCTTATAACCTTATAACCAAACTTAAGAAAACTTAAAATATTAAAATGAGTTGTAAACGGATTGATAAAAATAAGGCATACATTTTATCATTATAATTTATTTCAATTAAAACTTCGTCTATTTATTGAATTTAATAGTTTTGTACAATTTGAGAAAAACACGTATTTTGAATAATTTCCAATAAGGGAATTCCGAAAAAAATTTAATACTTTTCAAATTATTATATTATATAATTATAATATAATGATTATAATCATAATCATCACATATGACAGTATACTGCCTTATAAAAGATTTATCAGTAAATAGATGCACTTCGATAAAATTCGGATATGTTTATAAAAGTAACTATGAATCATTAAAACTTACCGTAATTCACTATCCGATCACTATAAGTTCTATAATTGTCAGTAAAAATTGGATAAACTGGAAAAGCACACCGTTTTTAATCAATTAATATTTATAAAAAAAAAGGTCAGGTTTAATTCATTTTTAGTTTTTATAAATTTTATGAACAAGAAAAATTTAAAATATTAATTTTAAATTTTTCTTGTTCATTAATCTAACCAAATATACGAGTATTTTATTTTTATTTTTCGGTAATGAAGTATAGGTATCGCATTTTTCTTCTTCTTTCTTGGCACTCAGAAATTCAATATGAGTTTTGATGATCATCATTATCTCTTTCTACTTCTCTCATTCTTGGACCATCCCTCTTCATACCTGCACTCTCAACCGAATGAGATTCTCTTTGATGACATCCAGCAATCTTTTTTTCGAAGATAAGAATCCGGAGATAACAAAATCCTAATCAGTTACACCAACTTAGAAAATTACAAATTACTTGACAAATTGTGTACCCGAAAACTTGAATTAAATGACTTAATGTGTTTTATTAATTTTCAAATTTAAATAATTATTATCATATTGTCTTTACACTTCACTAGCTGTAGCATTAATTATTATTTTTCTAATTGTGTTTCTTAAAACTTATTCTAATTCAAATTATTAAACTTTATATAATAACATTATTCTACATACATTTATACGGTTATTATATCATTTACGACAATCATATCCGATCAATAATAGAAAATTTGTGTAAAACCAATTAATTTTCTAAAAATTAAAACGGCTATTACTAAAAAATTATTGATCTGATATGAATATAATATGTTAAATTAAAATTTTTAGAAAAGTATCTTTTATAAAACCACTATTTTGAAAATTTTAAAAAATAATAAAATAAAAATTGTATTTTTCTTTATCTACATAATATGTGTCTCCTTCCTACAAATCCATACTGTACACCTAGTATAATCTTGCTTTCGTTGAAAATAATGTTGACTTTAAGAACTCGATTAAAGCAAATAACGCTCTCTCGAACTTGGTTATCCTCAATACTATCTTTCTTGACCAGTTATTTTTGTGCTTAGTATATAGCTCCTAGATATCAGGATTAGTTGACTTTTTCAAACGTTAGGGCTTCTGTATAGCCGTACCAGTAACATCTCTATTATCTCTCTTAGCTTTATCAGCACTAATTTTCAATCCTATTTATTATTAACCACCTACCTACTTATACTATGTTATATAATTTAAATGCTAACAAAAAAATTATATTCAAAAACGTTCCAATGAAAACAAAAATGATCTCTTATTTTTCTGATAACTGTTGTTACATATTATAACTAAATAAAATTTAAAAAAAAAATCTTACTTATTTTGCAATACCCAAATAGTTCTGCGATCATAGGAGTTAGCCCTAAAATAAATAGTTAATTGTAATACATTTATGGGAATGTCCACTTTTTAAGAGGGTGTGATACTCGTTTGTGTTGTTTCCGTCTTACAAACATACAATTGGCAAATTTACATTCAGTAGGGATAGCATTGTGCTGTTTCCTGTTAGGTTTAATATTTGAGTGAATTGACTTACTTATTAATTATATTGGTTATTATCAAATTTGAAGATTAAAAAATTATATGTAAAACGTTTGTATTTTTTTTATATTTTAATTTTTAAGAGAGATATGAGTATGTAAAATATTACAATTTAATAATATTTATATTTTCCTTTAAAATAAAAATATCGATAAAAAATAGTATTAACAGTACATATTATCTATTCTTATCTTTAAGTTTAATAATACGTAAATTTGCTATGTGGGTATAAATCCTCAATAATAATACATTATATTATAATAAAATACAATTTGATTAATTAACATAATTAATTTCAAATTAACCCTTTTTAATAAACATAATGTATGTACATAAAAAAAATACTATGGGATTAAAAACAAAAATTGTCCTAGGATAATGGGGACGGGTGTAGTCGCTATTATAGGTGAGACGTTTGGAAAATAGTAGAAATTTAATGTATGCCTTTAAGAAACGATTCATTTCTAACGAAAAAAACGATTCTGAGCGGAATTCAGTTAAAAGTGTTACTTTGTCAGTAATATATATAGCAACGTATAATATTAAAATAAATATATATGCATTGTATATTTTCTTTAATAATATTTGATTAATATTTTGTACCTATTTTCCTGATTTTCTTACTTTTTTTTCCGGTTTTCCCATGTTTTTCCACGTTTTTCCCATTAATAAGGAAAACTCATCCAAAAGTACCATCCGAATCCGATTTCTTCTCAGAAAAAGTGCTATCATTGTAAATCGGAGAAAAATTACTGGTAGAAAAGTTGTTCACAGAAAATAAAAAGGCCGTAATATTTTTCAATTAATATCTGCATTTTTCATTACGATTATTATGATTTTGGTTAAAATTTGAAATTAAAACGATGATAAAAAAGCTATAACTTTACGATCAACTTTTTTTTTCCACTAAGTACCTACATTTTTTAATAGATCTCGTGTTAAAAAATCAAACATTTCTGCTCAGCTAAAACAATATTTTCCACATAAAAGCAAAAGAAATTTGACGATTTAGAAACTTTAGAAATAGCTCAAAAATGGAAAAGGTCAGGTTCGTAAAATTATTTTGAAATGTGTTGCAAAAAAAAACAAATTCTAAAACAACGAAACAGTAATTGTATACATTTGTTTTACGTATTTCCCGTTTTTTGCTAATAAGTAAGAAAATAATCACCTACCTAACTTACCATAACTACCTTATTCATTGCTCAAACTATACACAATTATGTTTTACAAAATATGCTGTACTTAAGATTGGAATAAGATTTCTAGTACATATTGTCGACAGGCAGAAAAAAAAAATTTATATAAACACGCATAAAATGAATACATTTCTTCACTGTGCAATCCATTATACCGAAGGGTTTTACTATTTGAGAAATCTTTTTGGAAAAAAGAAATACAAATTATCCTCCCAGTTGAAATTGTTTCCAGGTCAAAATATCTCCAATAGAATATATCTTCGAAAAATATTTCTCCTTTTAAAAAATCTCTCAGAACTCAGAAGTAGAAAATAATTTAGTTATAAAATCAATAAATAAACATAATCGTTTAGTTACAACTACACTGTTCATAATTTTATTCGGATATATATTTTTATCGGAGATATTTTTCCGACGATATTTTGACCGGTTGCCGTTGAAATCGATAAACCATAAATACCATAATTTATATTCAAGAAATATAAATACAAAAAAAATTATTTAATTAATAATGATTTACCTATATTTATAACTCTCTCTTCAAACAAACTGTAGACTTCGTTAAACATTGGAAAATAAGCTAAACAATAATAATATAATATATAATATATGTAGGTAATACATAGTTCAATTTTTAACTGAAAGATGTAAATTAAAATAGTGAACTATTTATTTATTTACTTACAATATTTTAATGCATTGTATTCATTCTGGTAATAATGTAAGTGTTTAAATTCTAAACATAGACACATACAAAAAAAATATAAATATTTATTATTTGTATGCAAATATTGTATCTTAACATATTAAAAATCGAAATTATAAAAAAACCGATTTCCTTGGTGTCCTCTTTCCCAGACGTCCAACTGATCAAACGAAAAAATATTTGTGTCAGATGTCAATCTGATATCTTTTAACGTAACCAACGAAAATAGCTGGTTTATTTTTTACTCTCGAAAAAAAACACGTAAGTTACGTATTAAGCCGGTCCCACACGACTCGTGTACTTGACGAGCATCGTAATCGCGTATGTTCGTCGAGTCGACCCAACTAGCAGAGTTAAATTTTGATGATTTGAAGGTTATATTGCTTATAACAGTTGGAAAATTTGTTAAATTGGAAAAAATCATAGTTTACTATCACTAATAGAAAGTAGAAATTTATAATGGGTATATTTATTTTTATTCAAATTTAATGTAAACTAATTCAACATAAGTACAAACATACAATGTTAATATACTGTATGGTAATTCTATCCTATATATTTTTGAACATTTCACAATGGTTCTAAAATATCAATAATCATTTTAACACATGAAATAGTTGTCGCTGTTATTTTTTAGTAGCAGTAACATGAAATTACACTATCTGACAAGTCAAGTGGCAGTTATATTTCACAGAGATTCTTAATTAGTAATAATCATTCTAAATACATGAAGTAGCAGTCACTGTTATTTTTTTAGTAGTATGAACATTTACGGCTTGATAGGATTGCAACTTTTTTCCGATCATATCGTTTGGTAAACCCGCGAATATTGAAAATGTAAACACAAGCAATATTTTACCCAATTATTCTCGTGATAGATATGATTCTTATTTCTTCATTATTAGTTATAACTTATTAGATAATTGATTATTAATAATTATTTTACGAGCTGCTTGTTAAGGCTCGTAGGGTAGGATACTGGCGATATAGGATATATTTATGTATCGCTCGAAAAATTTCGGTTTCTAAGTTGACGTCACTGCTGAAACTATGGGAACGATATCTACCACGGCGGGTAGGATCATAAATAATATTATTAATTCCGTATAATGACAGTCCGTTCGATATTTTGCACATTTACAGCGCACCCACGAGTCGTGTGGGACCGGCTTTATACATATTTTGCATCGCCGAAATCGTCTGACTCGGCCCGTCTCTATATTATTTTCTACGTATTATTAGTTTTCCTACTATATCCCCGGTAGTTTTATTAGTCTTTTCCATATTACGTTCTATTCCAGTATTGCTTGTCGTAGGTTGCGTGTTTTAAACTTCGCCACGCATTAAATATTATAAGTATACTTAAAATTATTTACAGTTTTATTGGCATTTTTGATAAAATTTTATATATATTTAACGCTATACAACATATTTACATCTAAAACTATATAATATAAATTATGTATGTGTGTGTTAAAATATGTTGTAGATACCAACCCGTATTTGTGATTAATTGTTTTTTATAGTATTCTGTATAATTTTCAAAAGCATGAGGTAAACCTAAAAATAAAAAAATGTTAGTAAAACTATAATACACTGTTATAATAGTATTATATATAGAATAATATTGCTGTGACTATGACTGTACTTTTAGAACTGCTCTAAGTCCATAACTTAACTCAGCGTTTTAAATAGATTTTGTTGTAATTGTTAGTAGGTAGGTACTGAAAATGCATCACAGTTACATGGGACAAGTCAACCGTAGGATTTGCAACGTGATTGTTTCGCGTGGTGAAGGTACATTACACACCTATACTGACACCAGCATTTCATTGAATTCACTTAAAACCTTTTCCAATATTTTTAATTTTAATTTTACCAATTAGTAATCAAAATTTCACAATGTGTACACCATCCAAAACCCCAGAAAAATGGGTAACAATAGCGGTGTCAGTGTACCGTCACTCCAGTACCCGCGATTCAAAATAATTACCAATGCCGAAACTTATATCAATCATTTTTATTTTTATTGTACAAATTAACAATAACATTTTAAAAATCTACACATCATCTGAAACCCACAAGAAACGGGTTTTAAGTAGTGGATGCAATTATTATTATAGGCACTTATAAATAGGTACGTATAGACGTATACAAGATATATATATATACCATATTATAGTAAAATAATTAAATGGGCTCTATACATTTTCTTTAATAATATTTGTTTAATGTTGTACTGATTTGCCTGATTTTCCTACGTTTTTCCAGGTTTCCTATGTTTTTTTTCAGTTTTTCACATTTGCTGAGAAAACTCCGGAGAAAATTCGAAAACGATCTCTCTAAAAAAACTTCCCCACTGAAATTTTATTTTAGAAAAATATTGCTACCATTAAAAGTTGGAGCGAAATTACTGATAGAAAAGTTGTCCACAGGAAAAAAAATCGTAATATATTTTAACAAATATCTACATTTAATATATTTTCCCGTTTATCTCCATTATTTTTCGGTTTTTCAAATTTGATAAGAAAACTTCTGAGAAAACCGAAAAATGACCTCTCTAAAGCATCTTCCTAGTGAAATTTTCTTTTAGAAATACTGTTATTATTATAAGTTAAAGCTAAATTGCTGGTTGGAAAGTTGTGCACAGGAAAAAAAATCATAATATTTTAGTGATATATTTTGCGTATATTACCGTTTTTTTTTTTAGTTTTTCAAATTTGATGAAAAAACTCTTGGAAAAATCGAAAATGACCTCATTAACGTACCTTCTCAAGCAGATTTTCTTTCAAAAAAAGTGCTACACTTAAAAATCTGAGCAAGTCTTCTGGTAGAAAAGTTGTTCACAGATTAAAAAAATAGTAAACATAAACATTTTTTAAAACTATAAGCTTTTTCGCTTCACTCAGAATCTAAAAAATTGAGTTTCATATTGATACATCAAAANAGATATATATATACCATATTATAGTAAAATAATTAAATGGGCTCTATAAATTTTCTTTAATAATATTTGTTTAATGTTGTACTTCTTTGATTTTCTTAATAAATAGAAGTAAATGTAGAAAAAGTGAGAAAATTTAAAAAATGTGTTATTTTAAAATTGTAAATATTACGGCCTTTCAAAATATGCATAATTGAACTCTGATCAGAATCGTTTTTTGTTAACAAACATTTATTGTTATGTACAAATATACATTAAATTTCCCCTATACCTATACCTCCAACTTGTCACCCACGTTAGTGACCCACTTATCGTGCGAAGCATGTCCGTATTTTTTTCTCTTACATCTTTTATAATATTTGTGAATGATTAAAAAATATACTATTTGAGAGGAATAAATAATTTTCATGGAGGAGAACGAAGAGGTCTCGGATTAACGATGGGACAGTATACAGCTTTCTCCTCGATAGGAAATGGAAGATGGGAAGTATATGATAGTACTAAAACTAAAATCGGTAACATATCTGCTTCTAATAATGTAGATGAAGAATTTTTAATGTACACAATATAAAACTCAATTTTGTATTTCCTAAATTACAAATTTATTTTTTAAATCGAGTTTAATATTATAAAGAATTAAGTTTTTTGATATACCTAATTTTTATTTTATTATTAGTATAGGTACACAATATTATAAATTATTATTTTACTGTACTTTTATTATTGTACTACTGAACAGTAAGTATCAAATATATTTACTATGTGTACCTACCTGTGTAAATGTGTAATAATAATTACATTCATTACTTAAAACCTGTTTTTTGTAGGTTTCGGATGATGTATAAATTTTTAAAATATGATTACTAATTTTTAGAATTAAAATAACAATTATTGAAAAAAGTTTTAAGAAAATTTAATGAAATGCAGGTGCCTGTGTAACGTACCTAAGCGGGTAACTGTTATGAGGAAAAAATTCTACGAGTTTATGTATAATAATAATATTAGTGAATAGGTATGAAGGTATGTATTATTAATATGTATATATCCATCATATTTTTAAAATAAAAAATATAAAATCCGTGTTTTTAACTATTCTAACTTTTTTTTCACCGCTAACTCCGAAGTTCAAATTGAAAAACCCGTATCGAATTATTGAGCATATAAATATATTAATAAAATATGTAACTCAACTCACTTACATTTATTATGTAAGCAAAGTGATGATTATTTGTAAGATTGTTATCAATATTTTAACTTAAAACACTTTTAAAACAAATCAATATCGAAAATCAGAAAAGCTTACTGTTTTGAAAATCATCTAGTTGTTTAGGAGTCATAACATAATTAGACACTAGAATCATAATAAAACGATTATTTTTTTTATTTAATGATAGGCTAGATAGGTACAAACGTCATAAATGATTTGTGCGTATATGATATCATTGGTTAGCTCTATAATAATATAATTCACGATTGAATTTTTATACGAAATTTTAAACCTAATGATGATTTTTTGAAACTTTTTTTCCTATCTTCAAAACATAGGGTTTTTTAAAGTTATTTTTGGAATATTATCTGCAATATGAAAATTAATACTCGAATAATAAATTTAATAATTTTATTCATGTTTTTGTTTAATATTTTTTGCTCTTAAGTTAGTTTTTTATCTGATGTCAACCCTAGTAAACGGACATTTAAGGTCGGAGGAATGATTTTATTGTTCAAAACTACTGGGGGAACTATGTTTTGTTTAAAGGTAATGGTAATATATGAGGACTTTTCGTTGTTGATTTTATTTTCCATTTTGAGTACCACTTTTCCATCATATTCATATGGTTTTGTATACGTTGGGAGGCAGTTTTCGGGATATCATGAGATGTAATGACAATCTTGTCATCTGTAAATTCAGCTACAGTGGTGATTGAGGTGGTAGATTTGTCCGCAATGTATATGTTATGTAGGACGGGAGAAGAAACTGCACCTTCAGGAATACCGGTTAGAATAGGATATAGGTTTAAGAAGGCTGAGCCTATCTGCGTAACGAAATTGCTATTTTCTAAGTAGGATTTGAATAATAAGAAATAAAGAGGAGGAGGAAGTGCTTTTAGTTTTAATAAAATGTCAGAAGGCCAAACCTTAGCAAATGCTTGGGCAACATCTAATAGAACAGCAGAGCAGTATTGTTTTTTTTTCCATAGGTGATAGAGTCAGTAATTCGGTCTATTTGTTATATGGTAAAGTGCTTGTTTTGGAAGCCAATTTGGGTGTTAGGAATTATTTTTTTGTCATTAACAATTGTTGATATACGTTTTGAAAATTAATTTTTCAGTTAATTTGGCAAAGAAGGGCAATAGATTTACTGGATGGTAGGACGATGCTGTATCTGGATGATTACCTGGCTTAAGAACTATAATTATTAACGATATTTTACATTGTAGTGGAAAGTAGAAAAGCTTTAGTAAGGAGTGTAGTATATGGTTTATGTGAATAAATACTTTCCTTGAGAGTTCACGAGCTACTTCAGCGGTGATTAAATCTATACCGGAAGTTTTTCAAGAAGAAAAAAATGTTATACAATGTGGAATTTCACCTGGGGAAAAAGGTTTAGGAGCAAAGTACAGTGGTAAGGGAGAAATTAGAAAGATCCCTATACTTTCCGTGAATATGTTATTTTCTACGTCGAGGTGGGGTTAAAAGACTTCCGAGAGATGAGAGCGAAGTATGTCTGTTTTTTCTCTATCAGATTTACACTAAGTACCGTTTGTATTTTTCAATGGGTGCTTACATTATTTTTTGTCTGAGCCGCTTGTGAGAAGCTCTCTACAGTGACCCATCTTTCGTAGAAAATAAGGAGATCCAATTTTTATAGAAGTCATTTCTTATTTTGGTTAATTTACGTTTAAGAGTCTATGTAAGATTGTTGTAGTAGTTTTTGTCTGAGGGAAGTCTGATATGTTGTCAGTGGGTTCTTACTCGGCGATTTTGTGCTATAAGTTCGCGAATGTGAGTGGGGATTAAAAGCTAATTATAACCGGTTAATCGAGTTTTAGTAGGACAATTTCTATGCTGCTAACTGGATATTACCCATGAGATTTAGTACCGCATCTTCAATATCGTTTGGTAATTTTAAGTGGGTGTTTAGATTTACTTTTTGGTCGAGAATTTCACAAAATTGTTCCCAATTCGTTTGGCCATTTATTAGACTAACTGCTATTTTGTAAAGAGGGCAATACGTCGATAGATAAAAGAAATAAAGAGTGGTCAGAATATCAGTTCAAACAATTTTTAATTTGGTTAATTTGATGAGTTAATATTATTTGGGATTTTTGTAACAAATATGTCTAAAATGTCAGGGCGCTTTCTAGTTGATATTGGTCAGTAAATTGGGTTGGTAGGGATTATGATAGAATATTGATTCATGTTAATGGTTTGTGGTAAGGCGTGCTCTTTAGGATTTGAGGAGTGGTAGCCCCAGATTTGGTTTTTGGTGTTTAAGTCATCCCCTACTCCCTATAAATTAATGACCAAGACAGTTAAAAAACGTCTCATATTGATGAGGTATTGAGGTGAAATTTTATGTTTGGGGGGAAATAAGTTGCCGCGGTTGTAGTTGGTACGTGATTTAATATTTGTTAATGTTGCTTGGTAACATTCTTTAAATAAATAAAATTAATTAGTACCTACTTACCCAAAATAAATACCATATCTCTGCGTATTCAACGACAGTGTACTGCATTATTCAAAATTTTAATTATGAATTTAATTTAACTGTTTCTCAATGCCACAACTGAGTAGTTGTTAGGCCACTAAAATATTAACGATAAAAGTAGGCACAAAATTACACAAATAATAAGTTCAAAATAAAAATGTTATCTTATAATAAATAATGATAAAATAAGGTTCTTGCGATAAACAAAAATAGGAATGTCCGTATAAATACATAAATAATTAGTTACTTTCATGGTATTACAGATAAAAGCACCCATCTAATATTAAACACCTAAAACACAACTTAAATTTATAGCAATAAATTTAATCGTTTAAAAAAATCAGTTAACCCTAATTTTGTTATTATTTCATAATTTGTATTAGTCGACAATGTAAAAATTGTGTTAGTTAATCAGGTATGTTAAATGACAAAAAATAAATTTCACCATTGTTTACCTAGCAGGATTCTCTTACAAATCCATGTATCACACCACATCTTTTTTTCCTGGTGACTCGAGCGTAAAAAACGCGCGACAAACGCAAAAACGACGTGACATATTGATTTGTATGAGAACTTAGCGAAAAATATCATTCGAGTATTCATTTTTAAATTGCTGATAATATTCTACAAATAACTTAAACAACTCAGGTTTTGAAGATAGGAAAAAAATTTCAAAAAATCATCATTAGGACACACCAGTGAGTACACCTATAATAGTGTTCTTATTCATTTCAGAAACACCCTGTATATGTATAAAAATATATACGAATGTTAAATACATTATACATGCATACTACATATAGGTAGGTAACACAATTATTATTCTGTTTCGATATAGGACTTAATGTAGAATTATAAAGGTACTCAATTTCAAAATAAATATATACGGTGTATTAATGAATTAAAATTGTTTTTTTATTTAATAACAAATAGTTAACAGGTATACCTATAATATTTATTTCTATGTTCTATCATTTTATACCATCATTGTATCTACAATCAACCTATGAAATTATTGGTTTAATTTAACCTAAGATAATTTAAATCCATATTTTCAAACATTGTATAATGCGATATTTTCATGATATTATATAGAATGAATCATAAACACAATATATAATAATATTTTGAATAAAATATATTAATTTATTACGAGTAAATATAATATTAAAATATTGAAACAACTTACATAAATGGTCAATTATTTTATCTCGTACTTCATAGGCATTATTGTCATCTAAAACTGTTAGTAAAAATAGTATGATATTATATACTCACAACTATAGTAATTTATTAATATAAATCCTTAATTGTATTAACACTATATTATACATTAGGCGCTATTAGTTTATATTTTGACAAAGAAATACCTATAATCTATCACCTGTCATAGCACATTGCAGACATTAAATGTTACTCAAGCAATTGTCGACAAAGTACAACTATTATCATTTTATAAATCTTTAAATGAATTTACAACATCACATAGAAAATATTTAAAATACATAAAATTTAACACGACTTTGATAGTTGAATTTTGCTCAGCATTTTATTTCATTAGGTTTATCGTTGTTTACTGATATAAATTAAATAAATTTAAGTACCTTCTCGACTTCCCACTGACAGCAGTAGCACACCCATTAGCAATATCAGCACTTTTTATTTTTGAAATTTTATTTTAGATTACCTCTGTATACCTACATTTCTTTGTAGTACAGATAGAACAAAATAGTTGTTATTATTTAATTAAGTTGTCATGGACAAAAAAATTCAACTTCTTTTAAAAAAATAACAAAAACAAAGAAATAAAATACCTACTACGATATTTTAGATGAAAGATTATATCCGCAAGAATTTAATTTGTTATTTGCAAGTTAGTGTGAAATCAGGTAGTAAGCATACCATAAATGTTATTGCACAATTATAGATTTTCAATATATTTGGTACTTAGTAAATTGATATTGTCTATGTAAGTATAAACTCGTATTACTTTTTTTAAATGCGGGATTTTTCCTTCCGGTAGTTTCGTAAATTTCGCTATCATATTTCGGTAGGTTGATTAGTTCAGCCACTGGAAGAGAAAGTAATATTTAAATATAGTTTACCAACTGGACATGTAGAATATCGTTAAATTCGACAAATAATATTGTGGAATTGTGAATTGTTTGAATAATAATATGTTTAAGTCAATTTATTTTAATTTAAATAACAACTATCTAAAATGTTTTACCTAAAACAAATTTTCAATGATAAACTTAAACATATACGTACTTACCTTTGTGCGTTGTCCTATAAACATATGTTCTTTCATGAAGAATTGGGTAAACTGAAAAATATACACAAACAATAAATAATATAACGTAGATACGTATACTACAAGAATAATTTTTAAATTTCCTCAATAGTTTTCCCCAGTATGTATGTGAAATAACTTTATAGAAATGTATCAACAATTTTACAATAAACTCATAAATAAAAGAAAATCTATGTTTTTTTATTTTAAAATATACCGAAAAGTCCGAGAATATACCTACACTATCTATATAAAATGTCTACTTATATTTTATTCGTATTCGTTTATGGAAATTATATGATTTGCTTTTGGTATTTAATAATAATAAAAAAACTTCACTATTGTTTCTCATATTTACTTTTTAAAAATAAGCGTATGGTTGTTATATAAGTGCTTATGTTTAGCTACTTACGACCTTTAAAAAATTTAAATACATCTTCTGGAACAGGTTTAAATCCTAAACAGATATCGATTCATGACATTAACTAATATTAGTATATTATAATACTGCATTACGTATTATTGTTATTTTTTTTAATTACACGAAATAATTATTAATAGGTACGTATCTATCAATATTGAATTAACGGTACTTAAAATTATGTATATAATATTATGTATATTGTATACTTACCAAGTGGAAAAATTTTATCCGTGTACATATCGAAGTTTTCGTTTGGCAATGCAAAGTTAACTGGAAAAAAAACATGTAGTATAATCAAAAAGTTTTTTCGATACTGATTTTGGACGTTCACGAATTGCCTCCAATATGACCCTCGAATCGCTTATCATGAATATTTTTTAAAAAGGTTATTCAAATTGCTTCCCGATTTCAAAAATATCATTCACTTGAATTGCCTCTTATTTTAGATAGTAACCCTATTTCACTCGAATCGCCCCAAATAATTATACTTAAAACTAATAGATTTCAAATTTTACATTATAAGAAATATTAATAAAAAATTCAAAGTCAAAGTTGATTGATTTAATGTTAATTAAGGTTAATAAATAATAATAAATATGGTTGCAACAAAATCTTAAGTTTATACATATAAAATTATAAATATTTTAGTAAATTTAGATCGATACAGCAGTAATAATTTATAATAATAAAAAATCATAAGTAGTCAACACATAAAATAATTTAGTTGAAATGTGAAAATGTACGGAAATATCGTATGTCTTAAAAATAATATTTTTAAACATTGCGAACATTTATACAATAACCGATATAATAGGTATAATTATCGGTATATTAATTAATAATCTAGGTATGCTATAGAAGGCAATTCGAGTGAAAAATGGTTACTTTCCTAAATTTGGGAGACGATTCAAAAGTCATCTTGATTTTAATAATATAAGTATTCGTACTTACAGTATACATAGTATATACATACCGGTTTTTATCGCAATGAATTCTGAAAAACTGAATTTTCGTAAATTGTCTGAAAAAAAAAGAGCTAATAATACTGATGGCTATGCTACTGTTATAGGTGGAAAGCTGAGAAGGTAAAACACATACAGTTAATTTATTTATATTTGTACATAATGATAAATTATTGCTGATGTAATATGATTCCGAGTGAATTTTGTTTAAAACTTAACGCTTAGTTAAAGTTAAAAACTACTAGGTACAGTATGAATAACCTTTTTTAAACCACTAAGAAAAACTTATAAATTTGAATGTACCATATATTTAATTGTGAAACATTTCTGTTAGGCCATACTATTTTATCCACATGTATTCAAATAAAAATTTAAAAAACTATACTAATTCCAAATGCTAATAAATAGCTCTAAAATTGTAATGTTTTAAAAATTTTACTATGTCTAAAAAAAGACAATATAACTATTCCATAAACCTGTCAAATGTCTGAGATTATGTTTAACCAAATTACAAAAAAAAAAAAAAACAAAGTAAAAATAATAAAACTGTCCATTAGGTATATGATATTGATTTTGTAAGGTGGAGGAATTCACCTTATAGTTCAAAGTATCATTTTTTTCTCGTATACTCCCACGGCACCACTATCTACCGTAAGGACAAATAGAGTTGTGTCAGGTCGACAGCCGATGTAAAATTCTGTCAAACATTATGAGTAGTTTTAAACAAGACTTGAAATCAAGACAATAAATCAACAAAAATAAAACCGATATATATATATATTTGTTTTTAATTTTTAAAATGTAAACTTTTTGCGAAAAAGTATTACCGGGTGAAAAATTTGCATCTTTTATGATATGGTATGAATAATTTGGAGCCTTCTAACAAACCAAAATAATTTTGTCTGAGAAAAAAACACACATCTTTGTAAAACTAGTAGTTTTTTCGTTACATTCAGAATCTAAATCAACCAAGTGAAATTAAATCGTGATATACTTAAAATAGGCAGTTAGTTTTTGATTAGCATTTTGTGTGTGAGAAGTGATGATGAAATAAATTGACTTACTCATAGAGACCATCCTCTGTAGATAGTGTTCGTAATTTTTATCGAACTGTTTTGGAAACACTGAAAATTTATTTTTGTTTTAAAACGGTAAGCACATTCTACCTAATGGTAGAAAATATATTTAAGTATAAATGTCAGTATATTTAGTAATGGTACCATCATGTTTCACATTTCATAATTAATAAGAACCATCATAAATACCTATTTAATAAATATTTTATAGCCAATTTTCAGTATCCTTATATAGTATAAAAAAAAGTCGCTTTACATGTCTGTCTCTCTCTATATATCCGCTAACTCCTCCTAAACCACGCAACGGATTTTAATGTAGTTTTCACCATCAGTTTCGCGTTATCTAGAGAAGGTTTACAAGTTTATAACTATTTAAATCTACTTCTTATTGAATACCATCTCCTAAAAAATATCTGAGTTGCATCGATCTTATGACAGCTTACAATATCCTTTGAGACTTTGTTGGGGAAAAGACGGATATAGTATTAAGTATTAACATTTCTCAAGTTGATGCGGTTAATGGAGCACCTATATGTAAAACGGTTTTATGCATGAACTATTATCGCTGCCAATAACTGCAGTGATAGTGACGGAAATTGAAACAGGAAATCCAGGGGAAAAAGTCTTTATTACACATGTGTTGGGCACAAGCCACGCAGGGCGTGACAGCTAGTACCTATTTAAATAAATATGACTTATAAATTATAATAAAGAATACAACAGTATTTTATTTGGAGCTATTATAAATTTCACAGTTAGGTAGATATTCCATCGTCGTTCTTTGTTAGTTTAATGTAATTAACTAATCTAACTTATAATTGTAGTCGGAGGTGGAACTATTGGAGGGGGGAAAGGGCCAGTTGACCCACAATTTTTTCTCATTTTTATTCAGCCCCTATTTTGACATAAATACAATTTTATTTGAACAAATATATAGTATATTTGTGTTTCTTTTATGAAAAATATAATTATAAATATTAGAAAAGAAATATTAATACAATAATATAGTAATACTAGACGCCCAATAATCACGAACGGTGTAACGTTGATGAAACATAACCCGTTCTGGATTCTAATTCGATCTCAATTCGTGATTCGCAATCGTAACGGACATAACAATCAGCTCTGGACCTAGAAAAGCGTGTGCCCCGACACGAAGCGTGTTCCGCGAAAATCCAAGTG